ATCAAATCAGGGGAGAAGGTGAGGAAAACTTGTCAATCAAGGTAAAGAAAAACTTCTACAGTTTGATTTCAAAAGGTTGAGTGATTAATTAGATTTCTGCTGGAGAATCTCCTATTTTATAGTCTGTGTGCTTGAAATTTCACGGAACGACACTCCGCTGTTCCGCTTCGTCCGTTTGCGTCTTTCGAATCTAGGTCACGCTTTCAATTGATTCTTATTGCTGTGGTAGCACAGGAAAGTAGAGTACCTTAATAAAAGAAAAAAAATTAAAAGCGCGATCAAGGTTCGCAAAGGCGCGCAGCGTCACAGCGGAATGTCGTTCGGTGAAATTTCAAGTCGTGGTATAGTCGATGTGCCACAAGTTGAAATTTCATGGAACGACACTCCGCTGTTTCGATTTTGTGCGGTAGCGCGCATCTGGCGAATTCGCCAACTTCGGCCACGCTAATTTTTTTTTTTTGGTTTTCATTCTAATTTCGATCGTTTTTTTTATTGTTTTATTTCTTTAAAATGTAATATTATCGTTGAAAAGGATTGCGTTGTACAAATGTAAACGAAAGAACACAGTAAGTTTCATGATGTTTCTCGAAAAAAAGCGATTAAAAAAAGTATGAAAAAAACTTCATGTATTCTTCAATCGCTTTGATATTGTTTTTTTCTCGTTTCTCAAAAAAAGTTTTCAAAGACTTACCAAAAAGGATTTGCGGGTGAAATAGGCCGTAAACGCCACAATATTCTACAATAGTTTCTGTGTTTTTTTAAAGCCATGTTTTAATGTTTTTCATCGTTTTTTCTGTTTGCAGTCGTTAATTGTTTTTTTCAGAAAGTGAGCGCCTTATAAAATGAAGACGTTTACTTCCATGAGCACATGCACCATAATTTGAAGAAAGGTTTTTCGTTCCTTTTTTTAAATGGAGCTTTAGATAAATCGTATTGCTGAACTATGCGTCAGGAATGGGGCGTGAACAGTGGAGCACTTGGAACAGTGGAAACGATGTGCTGAACGAAATGTCCAGAAAACTAATAATTTTTCCTTTGAACTTATGTATCTGTTTTTTTTTAAATAAAAATTCGTCAATGTAGAAACATTCAATTTTTTTAAAATCATTCACTGTGTATTTTATTTCTGATTGGGATATTTTTTACATGATTTGAAATGAAAAAAGAAATGTCGATAAAAGGCTCAATGAAGGTAAAATAACGGAATATATTGAACAAAACCAAAGACCATCTCATGAAAAAAACTTTCAAATATTATAAACGCATTTTTTTCGCTTAAAATTCGAAAAATTACTCTACTTTATTTTTTTATCAATGAAACAGTCTATCCTCTAGAAAAAGATAATTATGATTTTGGCACGAAGAAAACTATTAAAAACATAATTAAAATAATGAAAATTTCGAATAAAACAAAAAAATGGAAAGCGCGACCGAAATTCGCAAAAGGCAAGGCGCTTTCACGGCCACGGCCACCCAACGGAGTGTCGTTCCATGAAATTTCAAGTCGTGGCACATCGACTATACACAGGCTATATTTCTTTTTTGAATCACGATAAAACTAATGATTTTCCTTTTTTTCTCGTTTTTCCATAGATCTTTTTATTCATTTTAACTCTTAGATATCCTAAAAATCATAATAAACTCAAGTTTTTCTTATTTTCTATTCAGTTCCATTTTCCTTGATTCATAATTTTTCCTGAGAACATTCATTTATTTTTGCCACTGAAATATATGGAAAGTCTAGCGTTTAAACTTTTCAATTTTTGGCATGCTGGAAAAGTCGGTCGGTTGATTTGGAAAACTAGGCCACGCCGTTATTTTGCTCCATGGAAAATCGAATTTCAGTTTTTCCCTTTCCCTATAATTCTCCTTCCTTTTTATCAGTTTTCTAGGATATAGGACATATGCTTCTCACTTCAAACTTAACTGTTCCTTAAATATTATTGTTTCCCTAAGTAATCTTTTTACTTTTTGTTGGAGGTAATATTGTTTCTTGCCTTTTTTGTGTGTATTATCTCATTTTTCCGATTTCTTTTTTTATTTTTTTAACTTCACTCATTTGGTTTTGAAGTTATTTTGGATCCAAAAAAATTAATGAGAATTTTTCAAAAATTGAATCAGTTTATAATTTTTTTAATGTAGTAACCATCGTATTTTTACTCGCAAGAACGATACAGTTAAGTGAAAATAAGCGAAAACCTTCTTAGTAAAATTTTTAAAAAGGAAGAACAATTCAGAAAAGGAAAAAGATTGAAATTCTAAGTTTTCCATGGAGCAATATTGCAGCGTGGCCTAGTTTTCCAAACTGACCGACCGACCGACTTTTCCAGCATGCCTTAATTTTTCTTCTTCTGCGAAGTTAGAACAATATTGAAAAGAAGGTTGAATTTTCTATCATTTTATAAAACCTTAGAAACAGCTTTCTAATGTTGAAGCTCCAATTTTTCTATTATTCATTTTTTATTTTTTTCCGCCCCTTAAGACTTTTCCTAATTTTCCAACTGCTTATCGAACTAACCACCATAACCCGAGAGGAATCGACGTGAACTGATTCTCTTTGTTATCCTGACTCCGCTCTGCATAATAAACCAGCGCCGCGAAAATGACGATGGCCAGCAAAACGAAGAAAACCAACAGAATCAGTTCTTGTGCAGAAGCCTGAACTCAAAAAATAGCTTCTTTCGGATATTTCTGGGCACTTTGAAGGTCTGGATCAAAATTTTGAGCCCGGAAAAGTGTTGAGTGAGCTTGAAAAGACGCAGGACGCAGATCATCGACAAAAAGTCCAGGGTCACCAGCGAACCTGGAAATTCTGGTTTGAAGAGATATTCTAAATAATCTAAATCGTAACCTTTATTCTCGAACTTATAAAATTTACTTTGTATGTGCCTTGTTTTTATATCATTTTTTTTATAATTTCATCCTTTAAGCTGACTTTAAATCGATAATTTTACAGAGAAGTTCAGACTCAAATTTTTTTGGTAAGTTTATGAACACTGTTTCATATTCATGTTCTACTAACCAGTCTGGATCAAAATCGCGTGGAGAAGGGATTCGAAGAAGAAGGCGCCCGTGCTGACGACGTCGATGATCGTCAGGGGCGATCGGACAAACTTGTGAAACGAGGGACAGAAAAAGCTACGGATAAACTGAAAACCCATTTTTGAACGGGTCGCCGCCGTTGTTCCTCACCAGCTCGATGCTGAACCAAATGTTGCAGATGAGGTCGACGTAGAAGAAGTAAGGATGGACCGAGGTCAGAGGCTTGTCCGTACCGATCGTCTTGTGGTAGTTCTTGAAGCCCGTCTCTCCATCTACCAGGCGGATTGAGTAGAAAACTGCAAATAATCGGAATTTCTCAACTGAGTTTGGGAATCCGTAGCTTTCATAGTCTATGTACCACGACTTGAAATTTCACGGAACGACATTCCGCTGTTCCGCTGCGCGCCTTTGCGAACCTTGGTCGCGCTTCTAATTTTTTTTTTCTTTCATTAAAGTACTCTACTTTCATGTGCTCCAACAGCAACAACAGATTCGAAAGACGCTTTGCGAAAGCGCGCAGCCGAACAGCGGATTGTCGTTCGGTGAAATTTCAGCTCGTGGCACACAGACTATACTTGAGAAAATTTTCTATTTCGATCCGTTTTTTGATGATTTTATGAATCAAAAGAACGTGATTCACCGGCCTGGATACCGGGAAATTTTAGTTCAGAAACATTTCTACCCACTGATAGTTTAATGAAACGCTCACCATCAATGTCGGGGATCTGGAAGGACGGATCGGTTTTGAGGATGAAGGACATGGTCGACGCTAGGATGAAAACAACAGAAATGAAAGAAATCCCCTGCAAATCTTGGGTTGGCGTGCCTCGGCGGAAGCACAGAAAAAAAAACAGATAACAGTCTAATTATCATGCAGGTGAGAACAGTGAGGGGCGGAGAAACGGCATGCTTCGTCAAAAACAGATGGGAAGAGTTGGAGAGCAAGAGCGACACTCGGCTGAGACCAAAGGACTACGGTAGGACCGACGGACTACGGTAGGTACAGTACCCTGGCGTATTGCGAGCTCCACGGTTCGTCGAAGAGGGCCCAGACGCGCGGCTTGAGTCTTTGCCAGTGTGACATCGTCCCCGAGAAGTAGTCCTCCTCCCAGCCGAACTTCTTCGCTATCTGGAGAAATGATCGGTGAGAACTTTCTTTCTATTAACAAATCAATTTTACTCAATTTCAAGAAGCTTCTTAAGGAGCAGTAATGGGATTGAAAACATTGGAATTAGGCTTAGAGTTTCAAACATATTTTTTTAGTCCGAAGACCATTAATTTTACTTAATCATGACTTTTTATCATATAACTCTACAAAATAAAAGCTTCTGATACTCAATTCAAAGGTAGACGGAGTCAATATTTGAATCGAGAAGGAAATCATTAATTATATCAAAGCTCGAGTAAACTAACTCTAAATGCCTTCCCAAAATTTATGGAATTCCTAAATTACATAAAAAAATCCAATTAAACTTCGATTTATTAGCGGGGCTTTCCATAGTTCTATCAAACAAATATCCATTGTTCTCCAACTTTTACTTTCACACATTAAAAACCATTTCAGAAATATAAATAAAGTTATTTACAATAGAACCAACACCAAAAACATATTGGTCAGTAGATAATAGTTTAACCATCATTAAAGATATAGAAAATATCAAAGTTAATGCTAACACTAACATATATTCAGGAGATTTTAGCTCATTATTCACTAATTTACCTCACTCCGAAGTTATTAAGGCTATATCTAACGTTGTGAATATTTGCTTTAAAAACTCCATATATATTTCATAAAACTAAATTCTATTTCCAAGAAAAAAACAATGTTTAAAATTCTCAATGAAAAAAATTCCGCAACGATGATTAATATTTACGCCAACTACCAAACTTTCTATCTACCATTGCATTTGCCCTATTTTGATCTAACTCTGCATCTCTGCATATCTTCTCTCTCCACCATGACCCAAAAATTAAATATTATTTAAGTGCTGATGAGAGTCCCCTCCTATGCCGTAAACTTTTTAAGACTCGAAACGGTTGCGCGATATATCGTAAATCCAATCTAACCTCTGAGCTATTCCTTTTTTTATTTATTATTTGATAATTCATCTTCTCATTTTTTTCACATACATCACATCATAGACTTGTCAAATTGATAAACGAACTTTGCCGGACTTCCCCATTCAATGAAGAACTTTTTGAAACGTATAATGATCGACTTTGTACGTAAACACATTTCAAAAAATGAACTACTCAAGAATTTTTCTTCTTTTCTGGATTTTTCTAAAAACGAACTTCTTCCTGCGTAGGGGGATCTCCATCCAAATCCAAAGATTCGATGACGGCCAGGGTGTCTTGTGTGTCCCTGTGTTGCGTGTAGGTCATCCAGCAGCAAGGTTCGACCTGGAAATTGTCCAAATTTTTCAAAAAATCTCAGAAAAATCAATTTTTATGAAAGATCTATCAGTGCCAACTACACTGCAAATTCAAATTTTTTCATTCAAAAAAAAGAAAACTCAGGTGACGCTAACTTGAAATTACTCGACACGTCAGACCTAAAACGACTTGCGCCAAAAACTATCGAAAATATCAAAAACAATTTTAAATTTTCGCAACGCGACCGCACCGCTTTGAGCCATTCCAAGTGCGACCACAGTCTTCCTCGTTTAAAAAAATCGTTAAAGCGATTAATATTATATCATTCGAACCGAATGAAAACTTTTCTGAGACATTTTCAAATAATCTCAAATTTGTACCTGATTCGCGTCGAGACCCCAAAACTCGAGTTCTTCCTCGAATAAAGGACCGCATACATTTGTCGGATAGTGTAATTTACCTTAAAACTTATTTTCCTTTTTTTCTATATTTTTTTCTAGGTTACCAGTTCTGTAATAGTTCAATATCATAGAAAAGACGCCGGGGTGCCGGTCGAAAAAATATTCATTGAGCATCGGATCATAATTTCCCAGCTGAGGTGTTAACCTGAAACAATGTGGAATGAATTATATTCAATACAGTTTTTCAGAAAACAACATTTTTCTTAAAATCAAAACGCAAGTGTTTTTGTTCTAGATACTTTCAGGAGCTTATTTTCCACGGTTTTCGAGGAGCACTAACCAAAATTTTTGATCCAAAAAGGAAGTTTTCATCAATTTGTCAAATAAAACTCTAGTGGTCGCTTAAGAGGTTCCTTGCCGGCTACTAAGGGGACACTAAAGTGGCAACTAAACCATCTCTATAAAAGCCATTATTTTGTCTCTCAGTGGCCACTATAGTACTCTTTATTTTTTTAAAGTAGTTGTACCACTTTTATCTCTTAAGAGGCCACTGAATTTTAGCCACTTTTAAGTGGCCATTAATTCGAAAAGTGGCCATTAATTCGACTATTATAGTGACCACTAGAAGGTTGAAACCCTGAAGTGGTCACTAAAATTTTTGAAAAAGAAACCTCGAAAGTCGTGTGGCGGGGATTTTCTTCAAGACGTGCGAGAAAGTTTCGTGTCGAATTCCGCCGACATTCAGGATCACCCGTTGTTCTGTGTCCATCCACGACTGAAAAAATCTTCGTTGATCATTGTGAAAACTGAAGTTTTCGTAGTTAAGGAAATTCCAAAAATTTTTTGAGAAGATTGTAGCTATGAAAAGGAGATAAAAGAAATTCTGAACTGTGGAATAATTCACGAAACATAAAATTGAAGTTGAGGATCCTTGATAGAATTTTTAAAGGAGCATAGACAGAGTTCCTGGAGGTCGCGAAGAATCTTTTACATAGTTATTACGAGGTCCAAAGCCTCTCCGACTCCAAAAAACTCAGCAAGGATTTTCTGGGAAAAATTTTAGTGGCCATATAGGGTTTTGACTTTTTGATGGTCACTATAGTAGTAAAATTAGTGGCCACTTAATTGGTTTAAAATGAGTAGCCACTATAGAGGTCTGAGTGCTACTTCTAGACCACAAAACATTTTAGTGGTCACTTTAGGGTCAATGGATCATCATAACTGGTCCAATCTGTTTGCTTTAGAATTATCAAAGTTACCGGAAGGAATACTTTATGAAAAACTACTGAAGTTGCCACTAAATAGAGAACTTCTATAGTGACCACTAAAACGGAAAATAGTGGCTACTATAGAGGTGAGTTTAGTGGCCACTTTAGTGTTCTCTCCAAGAAGTCCTCGGTGAGCCTCTATAGTGGTCACTAAACATTTTCTCAGTCAGCCAAACTATAATTACAATATTTTCGGCCTATCTCTAATCATATCGACTTTCTGAGCATGAAATGATTCAGAAACTCCAAAAAAAGTTCTCGGTCCAACAGGAATCGAAGGACGACGCGAAAATCTGCATGCAAATGAGCCGAAGAGCCCTCGAAAGACGGGGAAATTCGGGAAAAGAAAAGACGTCGTCAAAAACCTCGTTCGCCCCGGTGCCGCTATTATTGTTCTCGGTGCCGCTAGAATTTCTCAGTTTGGCTTTCTTTTCCGTGATATCAAAGACGTCGACCAGAAGAAATAACTCCGAAATTGAAGCAGGGCGAATGGATTTTTGAGATTTGGCAACATTTCATTTTTTAAAAGGATAGAAGTTTTTGTATACAATAAAATTAGAAATTATTAGCAGAAATTGAAATAAACTTTAGTTCAAATCAAATCAAAATTATTTTTTTACTAATTATCCAGGAAGTATTAAGATAAAGTTCCTGAAGATCTCAACCTTTACAATTCCATAATTTTCAAGAAATTGAGCTCAAAAATATAAAATAGTCTATTCAACGAGTTTTTGATGATTTTCTTAGACTTTGAAGAATCTTTTCTCAAAAAAATCACAAAATAAACTTACCTCCTTGTAACTAGAAATAATACCTGTTTCTTCTTCGCTCAAATTTTTAAATTCAAACCTAATATTCACAAAAACTTTAAATTCTAGTCAAAGACCGACTTCGAAGTTGATCATTCCATGATCCCCTTCAATCCCTATTTTCCCTATTTTTCCTATTTTTTTCTAATCATTTTTGTTGAGATATCTTATCCTAAACTCCATCGAATAAAGAGAAAAGAAAAAGCGAGAAAACTTGAGAAAATGAAGGAAAAAAAGGTGGTCCCAATGGACGTTTTGCGTCCATCATTGACACGCGGGACGGGATTAGTTGGTGACAAAAACGTTTTTTAAAAAAAAGGAAGAAAAAAACCTCTTCATTTCTCATTACTCATCTCATCAGTTTTATTTGGTAGCGTTCAGAAGATTAAAAACTCTTAAAAAAATCCTATTTTTTTCGTTATCTTTTTCGCTCTTAATACAATTTCGACTCTAGCGGCAGCTACAATTTTCCGGATAATGAGAGGGAAAAAATTAAGAAGTGAAAAAAATTAAGGTCTGTTTCCATTTTGGGACAATACGAAAGAACTTCAAAAAGACACGGCTTCTCATTTTTTTAGTAAATTCACTAAAAAAATATAGTTCGCTGGAGCAAATACTTTAAAATATACCCACAAAGTTTTTCACATTTTCACTATTCACCTTCTTCTCTTCATCAAGAAACAAATTTATCTCCTTTGAGATACTTGACAGTTTTTAGCTGGGTCATTTTATTTTGTGGATTTTCCGAAACTTGGTCCGAAACCTCTTTGATTTTCCAGATGAAGATCGTGAAAGCCTAATCCTGCGAAATACCCTCGTTTTCGAAAAAAAAAAAGTCACAGCAAAGTCAAAGGAAACCTTCAAAGCCCGTGAAAACAGTCCATTTGGAGACTTTGAGCCCTCACTTCTCAAAATTAGAGATTTTTGCAGGTTCAGAATACCTTTATGGTACATCAAGGAGTGTTCTGGCCAGTTTTTCAAAAATTCCCAACGACGAAGTGGAATGACCTTCCAGTGAGCAAGCAAGCCAGATCAATGTGTGAAAATTTTTCAACGTCCCTTTGAAATTATATCTCTATTTAGAAGGCTTGGAATGATCTGGTTTTTGGAGAGGCTTTTTTTGCCAGATCGTGCAAATGAGCTCTAATGAACTCAATCCGATTTCGACATGTGCGCTCCACAGCTAATCAATCTAGTGACCACCTTAGTAGCGTCAGCGCTCTTAAGTGATCCCTAGAATCGCCCAGAAACGTCCGGAGCACGTCTGTTTCGCGTTACCAAAGTCCGAGGTTAGGTCCCGTTGAAGTAAAGTTTCGTTGACGCTACTTAAGTGGTCACTAGACTGATTAGCTGTGGAGCGCACATGTCGAAAGCTTTCAAAGGAACTGTCCGCATCTCTTTTTTTTTTCCCACATCATTTTTCCATTTTGTACCCTCCAAAGTACTCGAAATGCCCTTTCCGTGACATGAACAACTTCAGACCAGCCGTGGCCAGAAACAAAAAGAAGGAAAATGGAGGAAAAAAAAAGTGTCAAGAGCAGAGGCTGGAACAATCGGACGGAGCCGCGAAATGGGAATAACAAGTGTTTCCTGCGACCTGACGATTTGCTCGATGTGGGAATTCAGATGAGGAGAAAAGGTTGGAAGGGCGGCGAGAATGAAGAACGGACGGATGATTGGCCTCGAAGACCCAGTAATTGTTCTTCTTCCAGGCCTCGACTCTTTTCGTCGGATTTTCGGGCTTGTCTTGGCCTGTTTTGGGCATGAAGCTTGGAACTTTGAGAAGCCAGAAATGACAAAAATAAAATAAAAGCTTAGCAGTCACGCCTTCTGGTTAGTTTTCACGATGAAAGTTCATTCCAAGAAAGAAAAAAAACGCTTCAGAAGCAAGAAGCCATTAAAGACTCGCCATGTGCGCTCCATAGCTAATCAGTGAAGATTTTAGAAAAAAATGATGAACTGGTCAAGAGCAGTAGACACTTACAAACCCTTGAAAAAGATAAATTTAAAGATTAGTTAATGAAATCTTAAAATAAATAGCTTTTATCAAACTTAATTTTTTGGGACTTCCCGAAACTTTTTACATCAAATCTGAATTGATTTTTCAAACAAATCAAAAAAATCAAATGATAGTGTCAAACAAAGGAATCTTCTTTAAAAAGAGAATCAAATGTTAGGAAAAAAATCAAAAGATACCCAAAACGAAAAAAATGTGGTTTTTTTCTTTACTTCTTCTTTCGACCATCCCAAACAGACGAAAAAAAAAATTTAAAAAAAAATCGCGGAACCGCTTCTCACAAAAGAGACATAAATCAAATTAAAGAGGTAGTTAGCCTGAAAAAAAACGACGGAAGGAAAATTTAAATTAAGTTACATAAATCAGAGATTTTTTGTGTGGTGCAGAAGGAATGAAGGAAGCGACCCGAGGTCGGCAGATAAATTAGGTTTGGACGGAAAGAACGCGGCTTTCTCTCAGCCAAACGTCGTCGCTCATTTGTATACAGATCCCTTGTTTCAACTTTCCAAAATGACTTTCGAGCCTTTTTTTTGTGTTCAAAAAGGCCTTGAGAATGCAAAACGTCGTCATTCCCTTTTATGGAGTTTCGTCTTCTCGCTGACGCAAGCCCGTTTATAGGCATTCTTAACTGCGGACAGAGATGGGGATAAGGGGCTTTCAGCAGGAATCCACAAAAAAGTTGGGCTTTCCCAGCCATTTTCACTTCTTAAAAAGGTTCGAAATAAAGAAAATGAATGGAAAGATCAGATCTCGCGTGTCGAAAAAAGCCAGAAATCTAATGCAAATTTGACACTGAAAATAATCCACCGATTAAACGAGGGCCGGCAAAAAAACATCCTATTAAAAGCCACCAGATGCATATTTTCTAAATATTATTTTTTTTTCGATTTCGTTTATTCGTGAGAGAATGTGTTCAGAAAAAAAGCTTGGAAAATGAAAAAGTAAAAGGAAAATTGAACTTGAATCTTTTCAATTCGAAACAGCAGTTAATCATCATCGGACAAGGAAATATAACTGAAATTCATTAAAACTTTATTCAAAGCTTTAATTTATAATAGAATGGATTTTCCATGTTACGTTTATTATCAGTGGAGCGCAGAAGTGGATAACTTCTGGTAGCTTTTTTCTCCTCAAATCCAAAAAGAACTATTCTGAAAAAAAATTAAATCTTTGAACAAAAAAATCAAAGCTTTAAACTTAGTTGAAAGAATGAAACTAGAAGATTTGGATTTTTTTAAGAAAGCAATCCTTCAAGATTAAAAAGTCCTCTTTAGTAGAGCGGCTGAAAGTTGTCAGATATGTTAATGCGCCTCGGAAAGCTCCGTTCAGAACGTTCAACCAAACCAAAAAGTGAGACCCAAAGTAGGGAAAATAAAAGCAAAATAATTGAAATACAAATTTATACAGATTCTAAAGTTTTTAGGCAGAAAACTGCTCAAAAAGCCACAAAGAAATCATGGAAAAATCTTCGATCATACTTTTAAAGCCTAAAAGAATTATTCAAAAAGAAGCCATGGTCCAAGGGTTTGTTAATGATCCTCAGAAAACCAAAAAATATATCAATCAACGTCTTGAGAACCAGAAAAAAAGTAAAAAAGGTGTGGCAAAACGAGGTTTTTGAGCAGAAGGCGAACGGCGACGTGGCTGTTTTGACAGCATTACACACATCTGCCACGTCAATTTTTCGTCAAATCTCACCGAAACCAATATTTTCTTTTTCTTCCTTTCAAATTCATTTTTTGGCCTCCCACAGTCTGACCGGATGGGAGCAATCTACTTTTTTTATTTGGTTCAGGACCAACGCCGAGATTCGATTACCGCCACTCAGTCTCGGCTTGAAAACAACGCGAATTTATCCGGAAAATCGGCCCCAATCCTCGGAGGAATCTCTCTTTTTTCGTACACTTGGCGGTTCCCGATCAATCAACAATGAACAAATGTTGGCTTAACTTGAGCCACGAGACGACAAATTTCTGAATCTGGCTTTTTTTTCGAATTCTATGACAATTTAGAAGAGCCTCACCAAGGTCAATTATTTTTGGAGTTAAAAAAGGCTACAGTACCATTGAAAACGTTATTTGAATTTTTAAAGGAACATAAACATTTTTCGAAAAAGGTCTCAAGGCGATCAGCCATTTCAAGTTTTATTTTGGTCATGCAGGATGTCTACGTCTTTGCATAGCTATTGAAGAAATTTGAAAAGACTATTCTTTTATGAATATGATGTGAAATTTAATATTTAAAGAGGTCTTTAAATCATAGTTTTAGCGTGAAATTATTTTAAAAAAACTGTGAATATCAAGTGGCCTTTTCAAAAATGAACACTGGAAAAATAAAAATTCGCCGAAATAATTTTCATGATTGAGACAGGAAAATTCGTGGAAAACTAGCATTTCCCACAGAAATTAATTTTTTTATCTAATTTCCATTCCCATGAGTAATTAATTTCGTTCAAGCTTATTTTTTAAAAATAACGTTTTCGAAAGAAATAGAAGTTAAACCAAATTTTCAATCTTCAAAAATTCATCTAAAATATATTCAAAATGATCTTATCTTAAGAAAATCCGGAAGAACACTTTAGATTAAAGAAGATATCCGATGGAGCTACAAGTTTTCATCCCCAAAATCATACTGGACCCATTAGTCTTCCAAAAAAGAAGCGTGCTGAAAAAGTAGATCGACGATCTTTTGGTTTGCAGCCAGAGCAAACAGACCGAAGAAGCTTTTAATTAAATTAAAAGGCGCTTTTCAGAACCATCTCACTAATATTTATGCCGTTTTTTTCATGACAGAATTTCTTTCTGAACTGTGATTATTATTTTTCTGTGGATTTCAAAGAAAAAAACTGAAAAAGCTTAAATTTCTTCGAAAAGCTCCGGGTTTTTTTAGAAGGTTCTAAGTTTGACTTTTTCTTTTTGGGTCGCTTTTTGAAATTGAAGCTTAGAAAATTCTAAGGTGGGTTTAAAAAAATGAGCAAATCCGTTCGAAAGAAATCGAAAAATGAGCTTAAAAATTTTTTTAGAACAGATATTTTTATTTTGGGGTGATATGGATTTTTCTCAAAAAATTTGTAATTCACAGAAAAGATATTAAAACTGTTTGGGTTGAAAGAAAAATCAAAGTTCAACCATGCTTGAAAAAGACAACCGGAATTTCGGGCCCGATAAAAAAGTAAACCAAACTTTGTACAAATCACAAAATGACCGGCTACACTTCTCATCTTCATTTTGATGATTTTTGAATTATTCAAAAAGTTTTGGCAAGCTATAAAAGCGCATGTTGAACTGTAAAACTACAAAAAACTACAAAGTTACAAGAATTTAACTCAAAAAGATGATAATTTTTGGTCGGTAGAGACCCTCACACGGGCAAAAGTCCAGAAACACCCAAAGAGAACGTTTGAAAAAAGGCTTATAAACGGCCTTACAAGATCCTTTTCTCTTGACTTTTTTTAAAGAACCTTTTTGAGAGAAAAAAAAGTAAGAGACGGGATAAAAGAGTTTCCGAGATACTTCTGATACCTTTTTGATAACTTAAAAAGAAGGTCTAAAATCTTCTTTTCGGGACCGTTTTGGACTTTGTCCGCGCAGTGATCCCGGAAAGTTGATAATTTTGCTCTTTTTATCGTTAAATTGAAAAGTTGGAGGAGAAGGGAAGGAAAGCTATTAGTGTTGAAAAGAGTGGACGGAACGGCGTTTGAGGGAACAAAAGACTGGGCGTCTGGTGGGCAGGAGGAGGATGAGACCTGTGGGTATCGGATATCAGGCCGGCGGCTAATCAATGTGGAAGATTCCACGGCTCATCAAAGAGTTCGCCGCCGGGGCAATTTGATATTTTCTCCAACAAAGGAAGAAGAAAAGACGTCGTTTTCATTCAAGGAAAAACACATCTTTTCTCTTTTCGATAGTTTACTTTCAGTTGTTGAAGAAAATATTTGTGGTCGCTTCCTCTATTTATTTTTTTTTTCGACAGAGTAGCTCGATTTGGGCTGCTTTCGCAAAGTTTTTGTTTGGTTTTAAGATTTCGGATGTGGTAATGAATATCAGAAAGCATTGGAAAAGACAATAAATCAACAGTAACAAAAAAAAAATTGGAAAACTCGATCAAATGTTTCAAAAAAGCTCTTAAAAAGGTGGAAATCAATCGAAAAAAGCAAGGAGAAAAAAAGTTGAATGCTGAATTTTGATCAGTTTTAAACATTTAGATGAAAAAAAACCAATAAAAAAGATGAATGAACAGAAAAAAGGAGGTACAATTGGAAAAAAAAATCCGAAAATTAGAAATTTCAAGCTACAAAGTTTCAATACAAATTTCAAAAAAAGGTAATTTTATGCACCTTCAAACGGAATCCGTAAAAAAAACTTCCTCGTTTACTCCAATCCAAACAGAGAATCAGAACAAAAAGAGCTGCACGAAGCTCCGCCCACTCGACCAAGACAAAACTCCTCTCGAAAAATGGACCGACCCAAGGGCCGAATAAAAGAGGCCAAAAAATATGCCATTCATAGTCATGTCGTCTCTCCGTTCAAATAATCATCTGGCCGAAAAAAAAGAAGCTTTTCGTGGAGGGCCATTACCGTGGAGAATGAGAATGACGAAAAGCAATGGCGAAGATTTTTCTGGCTCCTTTGCATACTAATTTGAAAACGAAGTATTCGAAAATAAACTTTTTCGCAATTATATTTTAATTTACAAGTTTCCTGGTACCGTGAATGTACATGAGAACTTGAGCCGTTGATCAGAAAAATATTTTTTCTTTGTTTTTTAATTCATTGGGCTAAAATACAGATATTTTTTTTCTCACAACTTTCTAAAACCCTAGATAAGATAAACCCTAATGTTCAGGAAAAATAAAGTGAAAATTGAAAGCTGCCAGTAAGAAAATGACTCTTTTCAAAAACCACTAAAAAGTACCAAACTTCTTGTCAACCAAACGATTTCCTGAGCACAAGAGCTTTCCCGAAGCACACTTTTATCTGTTCCGGGGCTCTTTCAGGTGCTCGTGATTTATGCTCTACCGGTCGTTTTGCCATTTGTCGCCGCGGGAGAGTTGCGGGAGACGGAAACGCCGGCGGAAAGCAACGGATCTGCGGCCAATTGAGCTCGCTTTTTTCCTTCTATTTGGTACGAAGAAAAGAGAGAAACATGAAAGTATTGAGGAAGTTGAAAAAAAAGGAGAAGAGATTCGAAAACAAATTAATTGGATAGAGCTGATAAGGTCAATGAGATAATTGTTTGAAATGGAATGATTAATCATTGGAATGATAATTCACTTCAGAAGTCTAGGAAAATAATTGAAGCAATTTTTTTTATGTTTTCAAACTGAAACTTTAAAAATCCTATATGTAACCTGAGTTATGATTAAACTATTAAAATTGAAAAAATGCTAAACTTCAACGGAAAGTATAAAAAGGAACCATTTCCAACGGAAAGTTGGTCTTTGGGAACTAACCCCATTCATTAAAATTCGCCCATTTTTTTAAAAATTCAATTCAGGAATGAAAACTTCAAACCTTTCTCAGAAAGACGATTTTTGTCAATTTCTACTGGCTGTGTGAAAATTTGGCTCTACTGAGTGGTGAATAAACTGTTTCGGTTACGCAACTTCGGGAGTTTCCGAACAGTTCTAGGGATCCCTTAAACGTAATGACGTCACTAAAGGGATCACTAGAGCGCTAAAAACGTCCAAAGCGCGTCCAGTTTGCCTTACCGAGGTTCGAGATAGTCTAGTTTCTCACTTTAAAGTTGACATATGGTTCGTTGGGGCGCACTCGATGATTACATGAATAAATCATAAGGGATAAACGCAAATTGAGACCAAAATTAAAACATGAATAGAACATGAACTATTATACTATCAAGAACCCAATGAATACAGAATGAGAAACTTCATAGAGAAGGGCAAATTATTTTCAAAAATCTGTTTAAAAAATTTTTTTTTGAAGGTGCGTGCACTGATTTACACTATGAGAATTTGAAAGCGAAAATTAATTTTCAATTTTTCCTTAAGTCAGCCAATATTTCTCGAGCATTCAAGTCTTGCAGGAAAAATTTTAAAACAACTTTTTGTAAACAAAATAAAAAAAGATGCAACAAGAGCTTTCCAAATAGAGGCCAAACTTCGGGAACTTGAAAAAAATAACCTTGCAATTCAATGCATTACAACAGTAAGAAGGGTGAGGAGTTAATATGAAAAAATATTCGTCCACTGGAAAACGCGACACCCAAAAAGCGAAGGTGAGAAGTTTGAAACGTGACACGCAAGCCGGAAACCTCGGAAAGTGCAACATTTTCGGAGTCAATCTATCGGAAAATTGTTTAAACTTTAAAGTTTTGCACTTTTCTCGAGGACTTCAAAAAGGCGCAAAAGGGTTTTCTTCGGCTTCAAGTTGATGGGAAACGGGAAAAAACAAGGGAAGAAGAGGGAAAGTTTAATAAAATTATCGTGAAACGAGGGATGTACTGAGAAAACTCGTTGTTTTTAGTGGAGGCAAGATGGGAAGGAAACACAAAGTTTTCAGGTGGATCTTGCAGGAAAAAAGGTTTTTCTTTTCTTTTCCCGCCAGCTTTTCTTTGTTTATACATTTTCGTCAGTCGGGTCCAGAAATTCCCGCAAAACACGGGTTGCAAAATTGCCTCGGGCTGTTCAAATCAGTCGTATTTTTCGGTTAAGAAAGCTGGGAAAATTGAGAAAAATAAGTCGTTGCCATTTTAGTTTTCCATCAAGTCATGGGAAAATTATCGGAATTATAATTGAAAAAAATGGATAAAAATTATGGAAACTCAGGATTTCTGTTTTTTTGAAGAAAAAAATGATGTATTGAAGAGGTCGATCCAGAGAAATCGAAACTCAACTTTCAAGTTTAAAAATGTGAATTTTCAAAAAAAAATTTTAAAATAGAGGGATAAATGTTTGCTTCAAGTTTAGTACATATAAGCTTCCATTTTTTTACTAATACTCTATTAAATAATCAAAATAAAAAAAAACCAATATTTTTTTCGGAAAAGGAAATCACTGTAAGAAACATCGTTTCAAAGTTGGATCTTTAAAAATTTTTTTGAAGAAAAATTGTTGTTTTTAGAAAAATTTGATTCAAGTTTGCAAAGCTAAATTGGCATGGATAAGAATACATCACTCAACTGTCAGATAAAATTTCCATATAATTCAAAAAACCACTTCCTGGACTTGAATTTGAAAGAAAAAGGGCAGAAAAATCTGTCTGAACGATTTTCCTGAGGAAACTTTGAAGAGAGCGTGATTGTCTGGAGATTGACCTAAGGAAGACCTTAGCCTAATTGCCTGCGGACCCTCAAATTAATGCAAATTTTCAAAATTATTCAAATTCGTTGACTCGCAGCAGCTTCAAATTAATATTTTCCACCAGATTTCCAACTTCTTCCCCCAGACTCTGAAGAAATCATTGGCCTTTGCGAGGACAGCCGACGCAATGTTTTACAACAAATGTGAATGAGGCCTCCATTTATCTTGGCCCGACAAGTAACATCCGCATTTTCCGCCAAACAACCTTCTTTTAACAACCTTACAGTGCAATAAATCTGTATCGGAAGCTTGAAAATTTGCAAAAATAAAGAAGGCAAGAAAAATAAAGAGAAACGAAAACGTACCGGTTTGCGGTCAGCAAAATTCGTCTCATCGTAGAACATACGAACCGACGACCTGAAACTGCACTTTCAGATAATTTCTCGAAATTGAACAAGAAATTTTTCAGACTTTCACTCATAAAAACTCAAATTATTGGTTTCTTTTCTAACATTTCTTGAATTTTGCTAAGTGATCATAAACTTTCAACAAGGATCACAAAACGAAAAAAAAACAAGTTTGAAAGTTTGCTGAAAAAAAGAAAGAGGAATTTTTGAGCGAATAAAAATAAGGTTATATTTTTGGTTAGTTTATTCGAAAATTTATTTTTTTTTCGCCTAATTTGGCAGAAAAACCTTAAATTGTCGGCATTTTGAAAACAGAAAATAGAAAAATAAAAATAAACTTTATTTTACCGAATAAACACCATTTGCGCTCTATCGTACACATTCAAAAAGAAATTTTGCACGCCAATCGCAAATTTTAATTTTTTTTTTTACTTCTTTTTCTACTCTGTTATGTAAGTTTTGCTGGATTGTTTAAAAGAGAGGAAACTAACTTCATCAAAGTATTGTAGTGGAGAGTAGCTTTCCGTGTTATTCTAAGTCATGCAATAATTGTGCGCCTATTGAAACCCCAGCAAGCATTTTAGTGAAGGCTATAATTTTCCCGTTTTTGTTTCTTTGGAGTCTGAATCAAACAAAGAAATGGTTTCCCGGAAGTTTCTCCCCCTTTGAAGGCAATATTTCTCGAATATTCTGGGAAGTTTAGCTTTTTTTTTGTTGTTAGAAGTTGGGATAGAAGTTGTCCGTAACCAAAAAGTTAGAATTAAAACCGCTTAACTTCTGTCGAGAGCAGTCATCGCGAAGAATGAATAGAAGACGATAATGATAAAAAAAATGTAATCGTTTCGGATTTCTTTGATCCAAGAGATAGCGGGAACCGCCCCTTGTCGTGACGTCACGGTTTGTTGGCTCTCGTTGTGATTCACTTGATGGCCTTCAGTTTAAACTCGACAATCAATTGGCCACAAGGCACTTTGACAATCGGAAATCTTTTGATTGGATTTTTGGGTCGTTTCGCGACAAGTGAAACTGCAGCGCGGCTCAAAAGTTTCAAACATAATCTAGGTCTTTTTGAAATTCTAGATTTTGTTTTCTAAAAAAATTTGTAACGCTATATTTTTTTCTTAAATTATCTGTTATAGTTTTTGAATTCAACGCAAAAGTTTATAAAAGGACACAGAAAAAAAGATGAACACGAAGATGGCTTTTTCATCTCGATACCGTCAGGAAGGTTTTTATTCTTTGAAAGAGAAAAAAATTTCTGAAAAATGAAAAAGTTTTTATAGCATCAAATTTTTTTAATGTATAGTCCACTTTTTTTCGTTTTTTTCTAGTCCCTTGTTCAATAAAAGCCCGAAAGTAACTTTTCTATCATTCTCTGATCCAATACGAACCTTATTCTTATGAAAGACATGTGCTGCGAGAGAATTAGAAACGGTAGATGATGGTGAGAAGGCCCAAAATGGAATGCAAATGAGAACGAATGAGAAGCTGGCCCAAAAAGGAAGAAAAAAACGTCCCGAAATGGGAATTATCGTCGCCAGAATGTGTCTCCAGATGTAAAAACAGCGAGAAAAAAAGAAAAATCTCTTTTTTTCAGTTTTTTGAGTTTTTGAGACGAAAAAATTATTTTGTAACAGAAAAATACTCGAAAATATCAACGAGAAAATAATTTTATCCTATGAAAATTTCACGAACTTTTCTTCACCTAATTTGAAAATTATTAAGGGATCCCTTTAAAAACTTGTACAGCGAAAAATAATGTGAAAAATTTCTAAGAAGCTCGATGAATAGTGATTTCACTCACAATTTAGGATAAAAACCTCGAGAAAATAAAAACAAACTTATTATTTTTTTGTCGTTGTGAGAAAAAAAGTCGGTTAACAGAGCCTTTTGCAGTTTTTCGAGGGCCAAACTATACTTTTTCCGATCCTTCAGTAATCCTACTCATCAAGAATCTTTTTGGCGTTTGTTTTGATGTTTTGAGAGTTGTACGAAGTGGGAAGCTTCCCGAGTGTTTGAAAGCAAACAAATTTATGAATGTGATGAATTTCGAGAAGGTTCAAAGGATCAACCGGACAAAAAAGCTCAATTTCAGAGGTTTTTTGAAAGTTAAGCAAATTTCAAAAATAGAGAGATTTTTTTGAAATTCTCGAACTTCCTGGCTCTCGAAAAGCGCTAAAGTGCAACTTTTTTCCTCATCATTTTTAAGCCGAAAGAGAAAAGATTATTACAGAGTTTTTGGGAATTTTCCTGATATTTGATATATCTTCGAAAACGAAAAATTATTAGAACATCGAAAGAAAGAAGAAAATAGGCTTGAAAAAGACTAATCGAGTAGAAAAAGTTGTTTTCAGAGGATTAATTCCAATTTTTATACAAGAGGGTAAAACTAAACTATCAACGCCGCCTTAAAAACAACTTCGTGATCCTTATATCTAATTTATAATATTTTTAAAGGCTTCAAAAAAAGAACTTGAATAAAATCTGGGGAACATTATTTATCGAGCATGGTTTTCTTTTGTTAAGGAGCCTAATCAAAAAATTGAAAAGATTATTTTAAACTCCACTCGGAAATTTCTTGAAAAGTGGTCCGGATTTTTCCCGATATCATTAAGCTTGATGACTAAGCTCTCAAACTGCAGCATTTTTTTCGTGGAGAGTCCTTCCAAAGGTCCATTTTTCTAAACTCTGAGCTCTCTACAGAAATTTCGAGACGTCTTTTTCGGAAACTAATTTGAGAATTTGAGATTTTTCATCTGGTGCATGAAGAGATCTTCTGGCCGGTTGTCAGAAAACGGGAAAAATAAAAGGAGATTTCGAAAAAGGCTACTCAGCAAACTGAGAAATTGATAACTTCATAAAGTGGGAAATTCTTCTTTAATCCACGACGCCAAAAGGGAACCTTTTTCTGGCGGACCGCGAAAAACCGCGCTCGAGAGTCTTGTCCGAAGACGCGATCGACGTGTCGTCGTCATGGATCGACAGATAGTCCATCTGAAATTCAGAAAACTGAAAAATTCAAAAAATGATCGATTTGAAAATTGACGACGAGCAGATCAGTGAGTAGGTTGAAAAAGAAAAAAAAATCTAGTTCAAAAAAATTTATTGAAAGAATAAAATTTGTTTCTGAGGAAATTTTCCTCCGTCTAAAGATTTTCACTGAAAGTATAGTTTTATTCTACTTGCAATTTTCATCTTCATAAAGCTTTTTGTAATGATTTCCCGTAAAAACTTTCCATTCAAGTTTATCGGCAGAGAGTTTTACATGAAGTTTGAACGGTTTTTGACAACCGGAACCCGGAAACCTTCTGGATTATAAGTTTGAAAATTACTTTTCTAACCAAACTACACGCAGAAGAAAAGCCGAAGATCTTTGAGAACATTCTTTGAACTTGTCAATTACACGCTTGAACTTTTTTATGTTGGAAAGATGTTATTAGTACACAGACCGCGCTCTATAATTAGTCATAAGCCATAATTTTGGCAAGGAAGTTTCAAAGTTTCTTTTTGCAGAATTTGAAAACTTTTTCATGGGTTGCTGTCAACAAAAAAAGTTTCTGATTGGATCCAAAAGGTCACGAGTTCGATCTCCCCGTCGCGACCCAACCGCGATTCGAGGGGTTTATAAACTGTTGGTAGTGGGAAACCACGGCTACGCCACTCGGACGGATATGTCACTCGAGCCAGTCCACTGATTATCAGTGATATCAGGATAGTATTTAACCAAATCAAACTCGGGCCACCAACGTCGCTCAAGCCGTACAAAGGCGTATAGCCTGTGTGCCACGACTTGAAATTTCACCGAACGACATTCCGCTGTTACGCTGCGTGCGTTTGCGAAGCGTCTTTCGAATCTAGATCACGCTTTCAATTGATTCTTATTGCTGTGGTAGCACATGACAGTAGAGTACCTTAATAAAAGAAAAAAAAAACTAAAAGCGCGACCGAATTTCGCAAGGGCGCGCAGCGGCACAGCGGAATGTCGTTCTGTGAAATTCCAAGTCGTGGTACACAGGCTATAAGAAGAAGAAAAAAAACCTACGATTGAAAAACTAAATGAAAGATTGGTTTCTTATATATTTTAAATCTTTTCGGAGTAATGACAAAGGTGATCCAAACCGTGACCCTACCGAAGAGCTGAAAGTGACGTGAGAACATCCTCCGAACTCCGGAACGAAATCCGGATTCATGGAGACAGCCGACTTGCGACGTTTGACCGACATTCCGCAACTGGCCAAACGCCGTCAAATCAACAAAAGGCTCTTTTCTCATTTCCGGAGCCCCAACGAAATGAATCATTCACCACTTTCTTCATTTCAATTTAAGATACTTTTTCAGCGAACCTCATGTTTTTTTTCTCACAAAGAAAGCAATTTTAGTACAAGTTTGGAATTTTTGCTCAAATTGCCGAAAAATGTTGAAAGCCTAGTCAAAAGCTACTCAGAGATCTGCGCAAGATTTCATTTTTGGAGATATGCTTTATCAAAGTCAGTCTTACTTTGATGCTTTGATCTTCCAGCGTTAGTCTTGTGACATAAAATCAGTCTTGGAACAAATATTTCTCAAATTTCCAAATTCATATCCAACAAAATAGAAATTTTCGCAGGTAGCGACTTTGGAGGATGTTCTTCTAAGCCTTTAGAGATTGACGAAAATTTATCACAAATTTCAAAATCTATTCTGAGAAGTTCTTTACTTGGTAATTCTCCACATTCACAGGAATCTCTCATTTTTAGACTTCATTTTTTTAAATTACCCAAAAGAGCTCGAATTTTTCTTGATGGGTTTGGAGAAGGTCGAAAAGAAAAAGATCCTAAAATGACAATGTCAATGAGTCGATTTGTATGCATGAAGTGTCGTCAGGACGACATATTTAGTTGCTTTCCTATAAAAAAGACCAAATGGGAGCAACACAAAAACGTCGTGACTACTGTTTCAAGGAGGATACAAAGGAATGATTATTTGAACGATTGCATTGTCACATATTTATCCAGAAGAAAATGATATTCGAACGTTTTGACAAAAAAAGTTGATTATCTTTTTTCTCGTTTTTTTAAAACTAGCGTAGGATTTGATGTCCAAAATGTTTTTTCTTAGAAGCTATTTTTGAAATAAATGAAAAGAAAAGAGTCAGGTTCAGATAAGACGAAAAAAACAGGTCTAATCAATATCCAACTTGATGAATTTTAAAACAGTTTCCTCCAGAAAAAAAATTATCAAATTTGGTCCAATCTTTGATTAGGTATGTAGTTCAACTTTTGAAAAAACCTTTAGCTAGATAAGAATAAATATCCGTCACATCCAATTCATACTTTAAGCCTAAATCTAGGGATGATAAGACTTTAAAAAAAGAGAATCCAATCTTAATTCATATAAAATTAGCTTGACCTCATTAAACTGGCTCGAATTGCACTAGCTCAACCTCAAAATAAAGCTGACTTGACCAAAAATTGGTTCTCAACCTCAAATTGAACTGGCACCAAACGGAACACATAGAAACAAATATATAGGCAGCCAAATAAAGGGTCTCAAGACGAAAGAAGAAGTAAATTGGATTGGACGAAGAACGGAGGAAAGGGAAAAAAAGCAAGAGTGCAAGGAAAACAATGGAGGTGCCAGGAAAGCCGACACCGATCTGCCCATCCGGCCGTCAGAATTATGAATACGTGAAGGCGTCGGGGCCGACGACGTGGCCCGAAGATTGCGACCGATGAGAGATGGAGTTTGCCCGCCAATTAGGACGGCTTTCAACAGGCTTCCGGTCGGCTTGGGCTCTTCTCACGTCATCTGGAGCCGTGCCAGAAGTCGTTTTTTGAAAAAACTCTTTGGCTTGAATGTTTGCCAAGGTTCGAAGAACAGAAGGAACTTGTCTGGACTAGCTTGAAAAGAAATAGCCATTGAAAAAGACGGCAAAAGTGCCCTATGGCTAAACTTTCGCCTGTTCTCGGCTTTCTTTAAAAGGAGCAACTGAAAATTTAGTGTGAAAATAATTTTTAACAAGTCTATTACGAATTTTCTACGACTTAAAAAAAATATTTACTTATATACTGCGTTTTCGACAGTCAGTAGCCGGCCGGAAAAAATAGCCTCCAAAATTTTTTTTAGTAAGCGCGCTCTATGGCTAATCTACAAATAAATCTGCCCGGAACTTCATCAGAGATGAAACTTCACTCCAATTAGGATATTTAAAAAAATATATAGTCAAAATTCAGTTTCAGTGCATTTTTTTTCTCTGGGAAGCGCACGAGCTTAAAAATTTTCCGCTTTTTCCGACTTTTCTGGAACAAAAAGCAACTTTGCGCCGAAAATAGATGAAAATTTGCTCTATGGCAAAATTTGGAAGATAATCCTAATCAATTATCAAAATCGAACTCGTAGTAGCTGGAAAAGCACATTAAAAATCCTTGAAAACTCGAAAAAATGAAGGAATTTTTCTTAGTCTATTCATTAAAAATTCGAAAAACAACAATATTTTTTTGATTTTATGAATGAACTTTTGAAATTTTCGATATTGTACTTCCCTAATGAGGACATTTGGGACTACCGAATCAAAAAAATTGGCTTGTTTTTTTACCTATTTTCATTTATTTCCATGAAAAAGACAAGACCAAAAGTACAAAAGGACGTGACGTCAGAGACATCCAAATCAATTTTCGGCTCAAAAAGTGTTTTAATTAAAACAAAAGGGGTGGCCCGGAAAGTTTGCGTAACGAGGCCCGTTGGCAAACACGCCGAGTATCGTCTTTATATGGAAATCCGTCGTCGAATTACGCTTTTTCGTTGCAAAATTCTGCTCGCGCCCCAAAACGCTTCTTTGGGAAAAGATGGGAGAAAAAAGGTTGGAGGTTGGCTCCGATTTTAATTTCGACGACGCCTTCTTCATCTCAACAAACAAGTGATGACGTAGACGACTCGCCGAACAAGATTCAGTAATAAATGAAGACGTCGAGAAGGCGTTTGGGTGCAAAACTCGGAGGCTTTTCTGAGAAAGTTCATTCTCCAAACACAACGATTTTTATAAGATACAGCCAGAAGATTGGATTTTACTTGACGATGAACAGTGTAACTGTTAGAGACTTGAAGGGCAGTGATCAACAAAGATAATTATAGAAAACAGCAAAAGAAAGGGAAAATAAATATAGTGCGCCTAGTGCACAATCCAATTTTTGTCGGGCCTCAGACACCAAGTTTGAAAACTTTTCAAGAAAAACAATTTTAAAAAAATACATATATAAACGAAGAAAATTCAACGAAAATTGGGCTATAACAAGATATGAAAATAAGTCATTGATAACAAAGTGTGATCCAGGGATCCAAAAGATTGCCTAGCCGATCTAGAAACAAAAAGAACAAAGTGGAGAACAATAAAATGGTTACAAAATTCAAGATGAACGGGGCAGTAAAACATGAAACCACGTGTGATTCACAGGTATTTTCCGAACTCGGGATCTAGTTGTCGTCTTTTTTAACAGCCAGGAACAAGGTGTGCTGGTCGGAGATGGAGCCGCCGACGACGCGGAAGCCGTCCAGATGTGCCGACGTCACCTTCTCCGGCTTCGGGACCATCTGAAGAGGAACTAACGTCATCAAGAAGTGGGGCGACGTCAGGAACCTTGTCGTCGTCGTCCTTGAGGCCGAGGCCGAGCTGTCCGGTGGAATCGAAGCCCCAGGAGTACACGTCGCCGTCGTCGGTCCACGCCACCGACGTCGCCAACTTCGCCGAGACTCCCGCGATCTTCTTTCCTTCCTCGAACTCGAGCTTTTGCATCGTTTCGTACCTGAGAGCTCAGAGTTCATTTCCAACGAAAAATTGTATTTTTTCAATCAACTCACAGCCAATGGACTTGGTCTTCTTTGCCTGTCCACGTGCCGAGTCCCAAAGCGTTGTCCGTATTCTTGCCCATCACGTAGACGTCACCTGAAATCACATGAGAAGATATTCAAACTTTCTTCTAGACTTTTTGGTGAGTCCCTTGAAAAAAAGAGACAAACTTTTCTAATAGATCCCAAAAAAAACATTACGAAATTTTATGAGTAAGTACCTTTTTTTTGATTATCTAGAGAAATCGCTGAGATCTTATTTGTAGCTTGTCACTTTTGGTAATTGAAAAATAAATTTGAAACCAAATCCTACTGTATTCTTTTTTAAAGTCGAACGCTCCAATTTTTCATAAAAAAATTTGCCATTAGATGGTGATGAATAATTTATAGTAGACTTGTCCGATGAGCAAAACGTATTTTGGAGTTTGACTCGATTTTGTTATCACTATTATATATTTGATCAACCAGAATTTTTCCCGAATCGCTCGAAATTCATTTTTGATAGATCAATACTTTACATTCATAAAAAGACAATTAAAAAAAGATTCATACTTTAGAAATTTAAAATTAGGTAGACTTTTTAAAAAAACTTTTCGCCAATTTCAAGCTTAAACTTAGATTTTTGAAGAAGAAATATTATAGCGGTCAGGCAAATGTGCCTGAAAATTTATTTCAAAATTTGAAAAAAGGAACTTCTGTCATTGGAACTCCACTGTAACCAGACCATAAAATATTGATTTTGAAAAAAACAAATAAATTATTTAATTAAGATGACCTGAATCTTTTTTTGAAAGCCAAAAACGCTCTTTTTCTCATCATCTTCAGTTTGATCATTCCATTATTACATATAAACCAGGGACTACCATTCTCGGCTCGAGCGACGATGTGCTGGACGCCGTCGACCTGGGTGAAGGTGAGCTCGGCGCCGTAGGAAGGAGCAGCGACGGGGAGAGGAACGCGCAGCTCGCGGTTGTCCTGGCCTTCTGGGCCGACGTCTTCCGTCGTCTCCTCTTTCACCTTGATGCCCAGCTGTCCGTAGTTGTTCAGACCGAACGCGTAGTACTTGCCGTCCTCGCCATGGACCAACGTCCAGAATCCACTGGCGAACACGTTCTGTAAACTTACTTTTAAGCCTAAACACTAAACTTTCCTGCTGAGGAGGTTAAGCAGCCGTGCTGACACGGGGTCTTTAAGGATTTACTTGTATTAAACCCGTATAAGCGAAGCTTTCAGACCTTTTAGCATTTTTACCACAGCGGAAGTGCCGTTTTAGCCCATTTGGGCCTCTGATTATCGAAATAAACATAATGGGTCCCCTGTAATCCCTTACACCCGTATACCTCCCGTTGTTGAACAAATGAGACTCAAATGGCCTCGAAAAACACGATTTTAATACGGGTACACCCGTTGAGACACCTGGGCATGTGAACAGAGACCCTGACAAGGGAACATTCTCAAACTGGAAGCTGATAAATTTTGGACACTTCCTTTGCGTCATTTTTCCGGTAGCCTTTATTATTGGAAGTACAATTAATAAATTCCGCATTTAACACATGAAAGGTTCTAGCCAATCCTTCACATCTTTGAAAAATCATGTCTTCAAATAGGTAGCGAATCTAAGGATTCTCTGTTTGGAACTTTGAAGTTTCTGTATGAACTTGTAAAATATATCAGACTTCCCATTAAAAAGAACATTTCTTTGTGAGCAAAATTCGAATAATAATGAGAAAAAAAATTTCATTTCATCGAAAAAAACCAAACAAATAACCTTTTTTTCAGCAACTGTTTTCATATTTTTTTCGTTCTTTTTTTAACTTCTGAAAAAGCGAACCTTCGCCAAAACGTCGATGAACTTCGACTTGACACGAAAGCGCATCCTAACGATCAATGATGAGCCGGATTCGCTGACCATGAACTCTGAAACGGAAAAAATGGGATAAAAGTTTGATGATATCCAAAATCTCACTAGATCTGATAGTGGAAGTACGAGAACTTCGGCCGAGTTGCCCCATAGTTCCATCTCCGAAAGTGAGGACTTCGCCCTTCTCGTCCAACATCACCAAATGGTTCTCACCGGCGCAAATCTGAAATGTTGTATTTGTTTATCGTTTTCATGCTCGATTCCTTTTTGTGGGAAATAAAGACGTGAATGTCCCTCTCTATGCAAATAATCTTTCGAAATTATGGCTCAGACTGTGGTAGCGAAAATAAAAAGCTTCAGGAGAAAACTGCGAGAAACTGGACGGAAAAATGACGTTGAAAAAAAGTTTTTTTGAGAAAAGTTTATATTGAAAAAAATTGCCCTTTTTTCACCTCACCTGACAAAAGTAAACTTATTTTACACAACTTTTAAAAAAAGTGGAGACATAGAACTTTTTTTGAAATTCGTATGCATTCGTTTTTGTACCAGTAAAAAGAAAGAAAGGAACCAAAAGTTTAGATCGAATAAACTCAAAAATGATGCAAACCAATTCTTTTCCTATATTTTTGGACGTTCCTTTTTTTTCTCGAAGCAGCTTCAATCCCTGTTTAAAGCTTGAAAACTGAAGATCAAACAATGAATTCTACGATTTCAACGTCTTTTTATTATGTTCGAAGAACAAAGCCTCTAATTTATTATCAACTTCCTCACCTTGACGATTCTCCTCAACTTGTGATGCACGATAATCACCGGCGATTCTTTCATTTTATGCAAAAGCGGGTGAACGTCGATTTCGCCGGAAGAGTCCTGAAGTTAGCCAACTTCAGAAGTATAATATACTTCAAACGAACTCTCAAGTTTCCCCAAGCTATGACGGAACCCAAATCGGTGAGGGCAGCTGTGAAACTTGCTCCAGCAGCCAGCATAACGATCTGCAACAAATAAATGGATCAACTTCAAAAAGGAAAGAAAAAGCTGACTTTTCCTTCGGCGGTGATTTCATCGGGGAACGTCAACTTGGTGAACTCGTCAGTACTTTCTTCGGGTTCGACTCCTAGAAAATGAACAATCACACTTGAAACTAACGAAAAAAAGAAAACCATCGGCCGGGACGGTTCCTTTTTCGTTGATTCCACACATATAAACCGTTCCATCAGTGGACAAAATGGCAGAATGAACGCCGCCAGCCACAACCTTAACATTTGAAGTATAAAATCCTAGGCAAAAAAAATTTATTGAAAAGTATTTAGTATGTTAAAAAGTGAAACAAAACTTCTATGACTTTACTGACTTTAAAAACATCTCTATTAATTTTCCTATGTGACGAAAAAATCATTTTTCATTCGAAAATCATGAATTTCAAAAAAAAAAAAATTTAAAAGGTGACTTGCGAAAGACGCAGAAAAAATGAAACTTGAAAAAAAAAAGAAATTATAGTAAACATTTGTTTCATTTTCCGTTCAAATGAACTTTTTTATTATACTGATCTTCACCTGGACAATTTTCAATTCATCTTCTTCCACGATATCCACCTTCCGTGGCTTTTTCGTTGTTGTTCTTCCCGGATGCCCCAAAGCTTCGCCTGAGAGTTTTCTTTATCATGCGGAACATCAACAGCTTGGATTACCTTCTCCGCAAGAAAGAACGCGATCTCCCACAATGTTTGGAACAAAATCGGTGTAAGATAAGAGACTTTGAGTTATTTTCGCTGAAAGAGAATATATATTTTTTCAAATATCTACACGCGAAAACCTGTTTTGCGACTAGGAGTCGCTACCGTGGATATGTCGGAAGCAATCGTTTGGTTTAATGTCGAGTTAGCTGACACGGCTGCACTCTGTCTTGCGTTTACGGCCTCTTGTCTAAAAAAATTTATTATTTTTCTAAAAAAAAACATGAATTTCAACTTTTTGAGGAGTTTCGGCCTCCTCAGCTACCGGCGTAGCTGGAACTTTGGCCGCAGGCTTTCGCCCTCGACGACGCGCCGGAGTTTTCGGCTCGATCGTTTGTTCCGGCTCTGCCTCGGCTCCTGATGAAATCTCGTCGATTTTCTCCATTTCAACTTCTGCTGGAGCCTCTTCCTGAACCATAAAGCTCTATACAAAATATATTTATAAACTACATTTGTAATTTGAGCTTGCTCTTCCGATGATATTTTTAACTTCCGACCCCGTTGGAACTTCTACTTCAGAAGTGTCCATTTTCTCCTCTGTAGACATATATACTGCAACGGCAAAAATTATCAAAAAAATTGTAAGCGAAAAAATATCAAGAACAAGAAAGATGACGAAAATGGCTTCGAAACGTAAAAAACGCGGAGATGAACAAACTTCAACAAAAAAAGAATAGAAAGATGAAAATGATGAAATTTAATTTGAAGTCGATGATTAATTTTTCGAAATTTTATTGTGAGAACAAACATTTCGCAGTTCGATTTTCTCTGACAGCTAATCAATCGGTCTGAGAAAAAACATCACGAACGGTAAAAACGGAGTAGCTATCTTCAGAGAGAAAAAAAGAAGAAAACAGAAAAGATTTCGTCGAAAAGGTAAAAAGTGCCCGCGAATTTTGAATTCAAGGCGGGGACTTTTTGCAACTGAACCACGACTTTCTTGCAAAATTTCCAGCATGGCGCACGAGCTTTATAGAAAATTTCCTTTTTTCAGTACATGTTGAAAACACAATTTTAAACATCTGGTTTTTCTAAATGACGAACGAAAGTGTTTCAGATGCGTTACGTAGTTGTAGGAGGTGGTATTGCCGGTGTTAGTTGCGCTCTTGGCTTAATTCGAGAAGATCGCTCCCCAGACTCAAAAGTCGTTCTGATTTCGGCTTCCAGTCATGTCAAAATGGTCACAAACTGGCATAAAGTGAGTAAGAAGTGTCAATAATGATAGAGTGACCTTATATCTTACTTCTTGATAGGTTGGGCAGTTCACGGAGCAGTTTGATGTCCAAGAAACAGAAGTCAGCTTAACCGAAGACCCTCGGTTCGAGCTGCTGAACGCCGTTGTCAGCAAGTGGGACTCCAAAAAACAAGTTTGAAATTTGAACGAATAAATGAGGAGAAGAAGAACTGTGACAGGAGCTTGAAACCACAGTTGGCCGAATAATCAAGTACGACAAATTGTGCATCGCGACGGGAGCTCGGCCCAAATGTCCTTGGAAGAACGACCGAGTTCTGACGATCCGAGACATGGACACGGCTCTGACTCTTCAGGAGAAGCTCGCCGACGCCAAAAACGTCGTCATTGTCGGAAATGGCGGCATCGCCACTGAACTCGTGTGAGTGTAATTTGAGATTCGCGCAGGTTCGAGCTATCGAGTCAAATGAAACCTTGATATTTACTAAAATTCTTTTTTGAAATCAGAATACTACTAGACTTTTTAACTCGTTTTATTAGTTCATTTATTGATTTTTCCCTCGGAGTTTCGGATGAGTCAGTCAGAAAGTATGACTCAAAGCAAGCCTAAAGCGAAATTCCGCGAAAAAGTCAATAACCTAAGCAATAAGTTAAGTATAAACTTTTATGAATCCGTAAGAAAAAATCTGAAAAAAATCTTTTTATAAAAAAATTAAATTGCAAAATGTCTACAGCTACGAGCTCAACAATGTGAATGTGACATGGCTGATCCGAGATTCCAGCATCTCTTCGTCGTTTTTCCCGGCCGAAGCGGAAAACTTCTTGCTTCCCAGGCTCAAAACTGGAAGAACTTCGGGTACTCAGAATCATATTTTTTTTAAATTTTGGATTGGAAGGATCAAAAAACTCGGGAATCCTCAAAAGGCCGGAATTCTCGGCATCTCCGTCCAAAAATCAGAGCAAAATTTCCGGAGCAGCTCTGGGTCCAGATTGGTGTACAGCTATCCAGTTGAGCAGTTCAGAACAAGTTGAAAGAACCTCGAAATTTCGATTTTATATATTTCCTCAACAGAATTTGGGTCACAACGTAGACGTTGTCAACAACTGCGAAGTCTTCGACGTCAAATTTAATGAAGAAGTCTTAATCTCTTATGAGAAACGTGGGAAGGTTGAACTGAAGCTTTCAAATTTTCACTTCATGGTTAGAATTTCAGAGTTTCGAGGTATCCTGCGACGTTTTGATATGGGCTACAGGTGTTGAACCAAACTCGGATCTTTGGAAAAGGGACTGCAAAGAAAGTGAGAAAAGAAAATCATCATTTTATCTATCGTTAGCTTTTCAGTTGGAGCTGAGTTCTGAAGGCGGAATTATAGTTGACGATGTGATGAAAACGAATTATCCCCAACGTTTACGCTTGTGGAGACGTGTGCTCTGTGAAAAGTCGAAGAGAAACTTTGGAAACAGGTCTCTTTTTAAATAAGACGTTCATGCGAGAAAATATTTTCCAGATGCGACTGTGGACACAAGCCAGGCAAACCGGCGACTTTTGCTCCCACTCTATGACTTCTCAAGAAGACGCCACTCAATTCAACATTTTCCTCGAATTTTTTGCGCATTGCACAACTTTCTTCGGTCACAAGGTAACAACTTTTTTCAACGCTAAACGGATTTATTTTTCGAAAACAGTTGAAATGGACAAATACAAGGGAGATATAACATGAGACCAAAGAAAACAGATGGTTGAAGCTATTACAACAAAAATTATTAAACAATATAACTTCAACCTCAGAACATTCATTTTAAACGACTTCAGTTGGTTCTTCCTTCGACTGAAAAAAATTCAATGAAAATTATTAACAGCTAATGATAAAAGAAACTCACTGTAAGTAGAGACGTCAATCTTGTCGGGTAGTTCGGTGATGCTGATGTCGAATCTGTCTTGAACCTGGTTCAAAGTCTGTGCATCGGTCTCATCAGAAACGAATGTGACGGCCAGACCCTTCGTACCGAAACGACCAGCACGAGCAACCTGCATATCTCCTTAAATCTATTCGCGCCATTTTTCAACTAACTCTGTGGAGATAGGAATCCGAATCTTCAGGCATATCATAATTAAACACGATGTTGACTCTTTCAATGTCCATGCCACGACCAAACAGATCCGTAGCTACCAAAGATACGCTTCTAAAAATATTAGGCTTTTTTCTTGAATAAGAAATGGTATTTGTTTACCTGGAAGTCTTTGAAGGCCTGGTACCTAGATAGACGCTCCTCTTGATTCATTCCACGGTGAATGGCGATGGACGGGAAATTTTGCTCAGAAAGAAGTTGGTGCAAAGCTTCACAGCGTCTGACAGTCTTAACGAAGATGACGACCTGGAAAAAGACATTGAGACTTTTTTTACGCATACTATTCACTTGGTTGAACTCTAAGGCGTCCAGAAGCTCCAAAAGCTTTCTGTTTCTTTTCGCCTTCCTTCAGCTTGACGTAATGTTGTTGGAGACCATGGAGTGTTAGTTTGGCTTCATCGTCGACATAAACTTCCATTGGCTGTAATTAACTTGTTAAGCTTGATCTTCTGAAAAGGCTAAGGGAAATGGGACACACACACACGAACAATGTCAAGATCGTTAGAATCTTGATGTTTTGCTGTGGCTGACAGCCGCATCAGTCCCATTCAGATTCGCGTTAGCCATACGCATCCACGTTCGGGAGCTACCACTGGTGATTTCCTGAATAAAACATGTACTTCTAGAGATTTCATTTTATCCTACCAGTTGCAGTCTCTCCCTTGATCATCTGATGTTGCTTAGCAAACACTAATACATGGATTATTGGGTGTGTGTCGAAAGTGGAGATTGATCCAGCCGTAGTTGTTCCTTACATCTTGCATGAATTTCTTGCAGACGGTGCGTAGCTCCTTTGGCAGAGTTGCGGAAAACATCATGACCTGCTTCTCCTGTGGCGTCATTTTCACGATTTCTTGAACATCTCGTCGCATATCTGAAAGTAAAAATGGTTAAGCTCATTTAAATTCTATAAATAATAACCTGCATCACCAATCATCTTATCACATTCGTCGAGCACGAAGTACTTGACTTTGTCAAGCTTCAGCTTTCCTGATCGAGCAAGAGCCAAGGTTCTTCCTGGAGTACCGACAACAATGTGTGGGCAGTTATTTTTCAGTCGGTCCTCATCTTTCTTGATAGGCATTCCACCAAAAAATACAGCAACCTGAAAATGATGGAAATGATAATTTTAGAATGATTGAAAAAATTTACCTTGGTTCCCGGCATGTACTTGCTGAAGCGTTCATATTCCTTGGAGATTTGGAAAAGCGAGCTCGCGAGTGTGGCACATGCAAAGAACAGAGACCTGAATATGACTTGATACGTTTTTTTTTTCTTGAATATCAAATCATTACCTCTCCGTCGACGGCTTCAAGCTGTTGCAGAGTGGCAATCACGAAGACTGCAGTTTTACCCATTCCAGATTTTGCTTGGCAAACAACGTCCATTCCGAGAATAGCTTGGGGAATGCACTCGTGTTGGACTGAAATAATTTTGTTTCGAAGAGTGTTCCAACGGAAATGAAAACCTTCAGAGGGATGCTCAAAACCGCAGTCGCCGATGGCACGAAGGATTTCAGGCTTTAGAAGGAAATCACGGAAACCACTGCTGTGAATAGAAGCGTATGTTCCCTAAAATGAAAATGTTATATGAAAGAATGAAAGCATAAAAATTACCTTAGTTTTCTTGGCAGCGTCCCCAGCTCCTGCATCTAATTTGTTTTCTTGGATTTCCTCCTGTTCTTCTTCGTAGTCGAGGAGTTGCTCGTCTTCCATGGCTAGCTGAATTTCGAAAGAGTTAGTAAAAACGACTTGTCGAATGAAAAGCCCGAAAATGTTAAAAATTAGAACGACTTTCGAAAAGTAAAAAGTTCTATGGAAGTGTTCAAAATTTCTATAGATTACTCAATCGAAAAAAAAACCTGTCTTGAAAGGCTATTAATGGAATTTAATCTGCTGTTATCGGCAAGAAACAAAGGTCTTGAAGCGAAAGATGGTTGAATTTGACCTGGCCTTTTGGCGGAAAGAAAAACGTGACAAGCTAGCGCGGAATGGCCTTTAAAACTGTTTCAAAAAAGACGTTACAAAACCATTTTCTTCTTAAGTGTGACTTCCTAAAATCCGGCAAATCGCCAACTAATCCAAATGCAGCAACTGAAATCAATGAAAAACGCATACTAAAGAGAAATAATTTCTTGATCGAAAATGTTTGAAAGAAATGAACGGAAAGATAAATACATGTAAACCTACTTCTGCTAGCTGAAAATAAATTTTTTATATTCAATGGAGCGGTTTTTTATGTAATCTAGCTAATGAAAATGAATTAAACGCAATACAAAGCAAGCTAGAAGCAAAATAAAAACGCTCTCCGAGATTCAAAATGTGGCGAAAAAGCGCGCGACGACCGCGTTGCACGCGAGTGTTTTAAAGGTCCTGGAACGATAACTAGCGATGGCGCCAATTTCAAACTTATGCCGCTCGCATGCTCTCGCATGCTGAGCAGGTGTCTCAACGGGTGTACCCGTATTAAACCCGTGTTTCTGAGGTTATTTTAGTCTCAGTTGGGCTAAAACGGGGGAACAACGGGTGTAAGAAAAATAGGTAACCCAGCTGGGCTAAAGCGGGGTCTCAGTTGGGCTAAAAAGTGCCAAAAGTTCTATCAGCTGGGCTTATACGGGTTTAATACGGGGGCACCCGCGGAGACCCCGTGTTAGCACGGCGGGGTTACCCTGCTCAGCATGCGAGTGAGCAGGTGTCTCAACGGGTGTACCCGTATTAAACCCGTGTTTCTGAGGTTATTTTAGTCTCAGTTGGGCTAAAACGGGGGAACAACGGGTGTAAGAAAAATAGGTAACCCAGCTGGGCTAAAGCGGGGTCTCAGTTGGGCTAAAAAGTGCCAAAAGTTCTATCAGCTGGGCTTATACGGGTTTAATACGGGGGCACCCGCGGAGACCCCGTGTTAGCACGGCGGGGTTACCCTGCTCGCATGCTGAGCAGGTGTCTCAACGGGTGTACCCGTATTAAACCCGTGTTTCTGAGGTTATTTTAGTCTCAGTTGGGCTAAAACGGGGGAACAACGGGTGTAAGAAAAATAGGTAACCCAGCTGGGCTAAAGCGGGGTCTCAGTTGGGCTAAAAAGTGCCAAAAGTTCTATCAGCTGGGCTTATACGGGTTTAATACGGGGGCACCCGCGGAGACCCCGTGTTAGCACGGCGGGGTTACCCTGCTCAGCATGCGAGTGCTCAGCATGCGAGCGTGTTCAAAGTGATTCCGCGAAATTCAAAATAGCCGTCAGAGAAAGAGAAAGATAACTGAATTTTGGAGGGTCAGAGACCATTTCGCATTTCGCGGAAATTACTTTGAACACGGCATTATTATTTTTTCGAAGTGCGGTTTTTTCCATTTTTCTTTTCGTAAAAAGAAAACCTCAGCCATGTTCAAACTAATTTCTGCGAATTAGGAATGAACGTCAGAGAAAGAAAAATATAATTATAAAATTAGATAGTGAAAGATTATTTTTTTATTTCCCCTGAATACCATATATATTTCACATATAATGGGAGGATAAATGTTAGCTCCATATTCTAAAAAAATTTTGCTTTGTTCATCAACAAAAAAAACATTAAACGTGATTTATTTCAGGTGGTTTTACTTGGCGATTATAAACCAGAACGTCAGGAGAAGGGATCGTGGAGAATAGTTGAGAGGTGCTATTTCAAATCAATTTGTAAAAAAAAGAAAAATGTTTAAAAATTAAAACTTTTGTTGAATTTAGATAGAAAACGAAAAAAATGAAATATTTAAGTTTTTAAAAAGTGAAAATGTCTTTCATATTTATCGATTTTTTTGGGTTTTTTCGTCTATATATAATGTTATTAACTTTCAATCTTTTTTTCCCCCGTAAGTTGGATCGAGTCACCTCAATAACTTTTTTTTTCAAGTAAACTTGAGATTCTTCAGAATCGTTGACGATGAGCAGTACGTTCGATGTGTGGTGGTGGAACACAAGGTAGTCGGAGCGATGCTGATAGGAGAAACTGATCTCGAGGAGACGATGGAGAATCTTATTCTCAACAAGACCAACATCGCTCACGTCGAAGAAGTCTTCTTGGATCCTGACGTCGACATTGACGATTATTTCGACTAAGTCCTTTATCGAAACTATTTATTACATCTTCAACATGTTGCGAGTGGGCAATTTCCGCCTTGGATAAACTGGTGTCAAAAAGATAGAAGGAAATGGTGTTTAAGCAAAGAAATTTTAGAACGTTTCAAGAAGATATGGACACCATAAAGATAGTAAACGTATATTTTTTTTACAAGGAAAAACTTTGAAGGAGATAATTGAACAAAGAAATGATTATGTAGCTGAAAAAGAAGGTCATTTTTACTTACGAGCGAAATTTTTTGCTTGCTTGCGTCAGACTTTTCTTCCCTTCCCAGGCAGAAAAAAGCGCATTTCTACTTTCTAAATCCAGCATATAAATTTCCTTACGACTGGAAAAGCCTGTGTCCAATTAAAATTCAAGTTTGAAAAGTCAATTTTAATCCCTCGATGTACAATCTTTCTCCTAAATCAAAAGCGACTGAAAATTTTTCAAAAACTTTGAGTAATAGGAAAATACCTCCAATAGGAGTGCGTTATCCTCAACTCGATCTGAATTTTCAAATTTGAAATGTTTGTGGGCCAACGCGTGGGAAAAAGCACGTCGCGCAAGCGCGGTAAAACTGTCGTTTCGCATGTAGACGAATGAGTTACGGGCCGACGTTCGCAGACAAAAGCAAAAAGACGAAAGGACACTGCGAGTTTGAATTTTCGCTGAAGATACTATCGGCCCTCTCATCCCAACATTTGAATTTGCCTCTCCTTTCTTTTCCTTCAAGACTCACATTTCTCACCTGCCGACGTTGATGAATGAGGCTTTACTAATGGGGTAATCTCGTCTGTTTTTTCCTCTCGACCTTGTTAGATCGTTTTTTTTCGATTTATCTTCTGGCGTCAATCAGGTTTGAAAAAAAAGTTTTAGAGAACTTAATGGAAATTTTTTGAAAAAAAGCTTCAAAATAATGACAGGGTCTCAAATAATAATAATAAAATCCGCGGTTACTTCCGAATCTCTGTCCTCTTGTGTTAGGTCATGTGCTTTTGAACTTTGAAATATAATCCAAAAATGTCTCAAATACTCTTCGATGTACTAGACGAAGATCATAAAAGCTTTCAGATGGTTTCTGGAAAGTTAAGATTCTTTTGGAATTCTCCTTTTTTTCTTAGTCAATTCAAAAAAAAATGTAAAAACTTTCTCCGACTCTCCAAAAATTCAGTTATTTTTTTAACTCTAAAATGAACAAAGTTTCCTTTTTTTCAAATGCTTTTTAACTACTTTTTGTAATAAGTAGGGTCCGCAAAGCCATTTCTTCAAAACGATCCAAAAAAATATGCTTTTTTACACTGTTCGATAGAGGAGACTGTCCATTTTCATAATCCGTTCAGTTTTAGAAAAAAGCTCCACTAAGAAAAAAGTTATGGCCAAAAAACTAGCGCGCGCGGCGTACAACTGGAGGCAAAATCTCACGGTTTACCCGCTGCCGCACGCTTTCTTTTTAAATGTTTTTGCGCGTTTCTGGACCGTTTTTGAATCGGTTTTTTGTTCTGAGAAGTTGTCAGAACTGAGCTTAACGTTTTGGCATAAATCTTTTGTACAATCCTCATAAGAATTTTTGATAAAATATCAAAAAACTACTTAGAAAAAAGGTCAGAAGGAATTTTTCAGCTTATTTTTTTCTTTTTATCTAATCAGAAAAAAATTATTATCATTTGGTTTGAAAAAGAAAAAAAATGAAAAAAACAATGTTATTTCGAAATAAAACGGGAAAAATGTGTAATTTGACTCCAAAAAAACGGCTCCTGCAACATTTAAAAGTGCGCATCGGTGTGTTTGACGCAAACACTGCTACGGACGCTTGCACGAAATCTTCCGAAATTTCAAAAATTGCCATTTTTTTCGAGGTTTTTCAAAGCCGTTATTTTTTTCGCGTCGTTTGATTTTTCATAATTTTTTTCATTGATAGAGTTTTTGAACGCTTAATAACCTGATCAAAAAAATATAGACGCGATCCTATTCTCTCATGCGTCAACGAGGTAGGCGAAAAAAAGGAGGTTTTTGGTTAAATCAAATATAATTTGATTCACTGTCCCAATAATTATTTTTCATTTTTGAATTTTTTTGTTTGTGAGCACATTGTGAGTTTTTTTAAATCAAATAAAAAGTATACCATGTCGCTGAAATTTTTTTCGCATTTCAGCTTCAAAGTTTGGTGTCACTTTACAAGCTTCGATTTTTCGCGTCGTTAGATTTTTAAATTTTTTTATTCAAAAAAATAAAGAAAGTGTTAATGTATAACATACTCAAAATTCGGAAGCGTTCCTCACTTGGTTTTTCAGAAACGCGACGATTTTTGTGAAACTTGTCAGTTTTTTTCGTGTTGAATCTTACTTTTTCGCTTATTTTTTTGAAAAACATAGTTTTAAAAAAATATTCAGTCTTGTAGAGCGTTGTCGATTACATAGATTAAGAGAAACAGTTGATTTTTAAAGTGGGACTTTAGCTAGTATAAACGCCTCAAAACCGTTTTTGCAACAAAAAAATCGTCATTTTGGTGGCGTGAAGGGGCGGGGCTTTGCGCCCCCTAGTATTAAGACAAAATTATACCTCCATATTTTTTGAGGGACTTTTTTTCGAACCAATTGAACAAATAACGCAAAATGGCCTTCACTCACTAGTCAGTTTAAAAATCTGTGAATGGAAAGTGATTTGTCTGCTTGGCGCCACGATTTCCCGCGCGTCGTCATTCGAAAGTCCCGAACCAGAAAGGGAATAAATCACGAGAGAATTTGTAACCTTGAAGACGATAAACATACCGTAATCGGGTTCTTGCCTTGGTTTTGAATATTGAATTTCCAAGCAAACTTTTTGCTCTTCGATTTCGAACCGAGGATGTGTCGCAGTTCTTTTGTGTTTAATGAACAATTGAACTGACCGCAAACTCGGAATTCTTTTTGTTAATTTTGGGGAGAGACGAGCGCATTCATTCGCTTCTTAATTCAAATCTTGCTGACGCCGTAGATTCACAGAAGTCTAGGGTTTGAGAAGAAACTTTTAACGAATACAAACGAAGAAGTCGTAGTTTGAAAAATTAACCAAATGGTGCAGAACAAGTCTGCTTCTAACTTAGAAAAAAAAATGTAAGTGCCAGAATTCTCAACTTTTCTGTTCATCATGTCGTTTTATGTTGCTCCAGCAAGAGTTTTTGATACTTTCAAACAGTTTTACTAGAGCTGCCAGTTTTTTGAACAAAAACTGCTATTTCTCGCAAACCCCTTATTCAAACAAAAAAAAAATCCATTGTCCATTCACTAAAAAAAAAAAACGAGGTTAGCCGTTGACTTGCCATTAAGAAAATGATAAAGTGCGTGTCACTTTTTGGCCGTCGAGCAAACAAAAGCTTAGCCGCGGCGATATTTGCATGGATGGTCGCAATTACGCGAGCAACCTCCAGCAGCGAAATGACCGTGTTGGCACACAGTTACAGTAATCCAGAACGGAGGAAAAACTGGATCGGCACAAGTCGTTAGGTTTTTGGCGGCGGCGGTACCTCCAAAGGGCGGCTCACGAGGTTCCCTCAAAGGCACATTTCTGAATCGCTTTTTCACCTTTTCCGGCTATCTCAGCTGGTTTGAACAGCGTGGAGTGGGAAAACATGGAACGTTTGGAAAAACTGAAAAACAGAGAAATCGGAGGGTCAGCCTAAGCCGCTCAATTTAGTGGGCTTGACCTCGCGAAACCTTATTCTTTCGAAAATGCATTATTTTTTACTTTCACTTTTGTTTCGGTATGTAGACTGATCACAGCTGGTAATTGCTTGTTACGATTTTCAAAGGGTCTCAGAAAGTTTTCAAAAAGGTCTCACATCGAAGATATTATTTCATGTCTACAGATTAGTCAAGTAAGTTGAATTTACAGTTTGAATTCTTCAATAGCAAAATTTTAGTTAGTTAAATTACTATTCAATAGTTTTTCAGGATTTGACTGATTTAGATGCAAAAATCTGTTCATGTTTTTCAAATTTTAATCGATGGGAACCTAAAATTGAGTAAAATTAAAAAAAAATGGAAGACCATATTAAAACGTCGACGTCAACCCTAAATTAGGCAAATCATTGGCCAGTCCTTTTTTACAATAGAGCGAACGTGTGCGGGAGAACGCGGCCTCTGGAAAACACCTGGCAGAAATGGCATCTGCCGGTTGACCGGCCAAACTAAACATCCAGTTTCTCTCCCTACAGTTTAGGTTCGGATCAGTTTTCGATGTTTATTTCTGGTGAAAAAGGAAACTTTCTGACCTGTGGATTAGGATTGGGTCAACAAAAGCTGAGAAATTTGAATTTCATTGTAGCGGAAAAGAAGAAGAAGAGGTAAATGGGAAAATTTCAAACTTTCCGTTTTCTTTAACAAGCATTGAAGGTGTTTTTAATATCATCATACGACTGATTTTATTTTAATGAATACTTGAAGAAATACTATGAATATTTGAAGACTTTCAGCCCTCAAAACGTGACAGCCCATTTTTATAAAAAATCTTGAACTTCAAGCGGATCTCCTACTTGGAAAATTTGATCAAATTTACGAATAATTTTGAATCTTTTAATGAATCTTTCAAATCCGATTTCCCCTTCTAAAACCAAATCCATGCCTTCGGTTAGAGATACCCAAGGTGACCCACTCGGAACAAAAAAACAAGAAGAAGGAAAGTGGCGCGACCGGCTCCCAACCTCGGAGGAGGACCCATCACTCCAAACTTTAGGAGGCAGAAAATCGATCGGTTGGTTCCTCGATGGGCCCTTCTCATGGTCAAACTTTCCGACGAAAACAGGTGCTTTGGGCCCTGACTGTGAGGAAAACGTTTCTCTCTATTTCTGTTCAAAATATCTCAAGGAAAGCTTTGAGAAAACATTTGAATTTCAAAAGCTGTTTTCATAATTCATACTTTCAAAATTTCAAAATCCCAATCATCAATTCAAATAATGGTTTTAATCATTTTATCGTTTCATGAGGAAGCTTTTTCTAAGATTTATTTTCATTTTACATCCAAAATGGCGTGGGGAAATCAAGTGAAAAAGCATTTCCAGCACTTCCTCCGTCTCTCACAGCTCATAAATCATTTCTTTTCCTTCCTACAAATTCATAGCTCATTTTTTTAATATCTCTTCTTCCTCTTAAAAAATATTTCAAGCGCATTTGGAGCTGAAAAAAATATGCAAAGCAAAGCTTCTTAAAAATCATTTCTGCAGAAACTTCCGTTTTGCACTTTTTCTTTTTGATATTTGCAGAAATAAAATCTCCCTGAAATGATAATGTTTTGTGAGCTGCTCAACGAGAATAAATATAGAGTACTTTGCAGCAGATTTACAAAAAAAGAAAATTTCAATCTTTTTGATCTTGCAAGATATGCATTTCTTTTTCAAATTTTCTGAACATTTCTCTGAATGTTTCGAAAAAATGAGTCAGGATTCTGAAATTTGCTTTTTTTCAAGACCCGACGCCTCAAAGGTCACTTGTCTGGACACTGAAATATCCCGATATTCAAATCGCCAATTTTCAAAAATGATCCAATTTTTCGAAAAAAATCCTAAATTTTAGGTAAACTACCTCCTTGCCAGAACGACTAGAGTCTGTTTTCGAACCAATTGATCAAAAAAAAAACATTGAAATATTTGAAATTTTCACTTCTTTTCCTTTGGAAAATTCAAAATTCTGAGACGCCTTTTTCAAAAAAAGGACCCATTGTGGCGGATGGTTGGAGTGGAAGCCGCTGGTTGGGTTCGTTTATGGCGCGAAACCGTGGCGTGCCTAGCCAGCGTCGGCCACGCCCCTCGCGCATCTTCAGCGCTGCGTCTCCTGCCCTTCCACGCTCTCTGCACCGTCTTGCCTCTCTCTTTTTGGGGGAGAGCGTGAGAGCCTGTGCCAAATCGGACTGTCGGTTTTTCGGTTGTTGCTCGCCCACCGGCACTTGGAACCTTCTGGTTAGCCTCCCTCTAGGCAACCATTTCACACGTGGCTCGGGCTAATTCCTTCTTTCGATTGATTCCAACTTCAGATGGATCCTTGGCTGTGTGTTCCGATTTCCTATACCTAACCTGTTTTGGCAGAGGAAGGTTACCATTTTTGTACCATTTACCACTTTTTTTCTTTTTCCTTTCTAACCAGCCTTATCTGTATTGTACAAAGGTGGCTTGAGATAATTTTTGACAAGAAGAACAACAAAAAGTGTTTCGAAAAAAGAGGTTTCGAAGTCTTTAGTGATTTTATGCCACTCGTTTATATTCTTTCTTTTCTTAAAGTCCACTCGAACCTCCTCCAATGATTTCTAATGGACGCAAATATTCTATAATCGTTCTTATATTTAATTTTGTCAATCTAAAAGTTTCGAGATGACGCTAAAATTTTTTGGAAAAATGTTCACTCTTTCTCTTATCAGATCTCTCCACATGCTTGTTTTTAAAATGCCGTCCCACATTTATTTGCCCTTTCAAAAATCAAAGTTCACGTTTTTTTTCCTAGTTTCAAATCTGTATGCCATTCATATCGTTTTTTTTGTGATTCTTCACTTCCGTTTTCTCTGTTGTCTTGGAAGACCTCAGTCCTAATATTTGAAATAGAAAAATCAGTTCTTTTTTTCCGATAGCCTCCTCTTTTTGCCGTAGAATGAAGCGAGAAAAAACTAGTCACTTTAAAATCCCAAATTCAGAACTCGGGACACAAAAAAACCAGAATGACGTCATTCGGGTCGATGCTTTTGTCTTTGGAAGCAAATAAGGAGAATATCCCGCCTGGCGGACTTCCCAACGAGTCTTTTGTACTCCCGGAATCCCGTGGACAGATGATCTGCGATGACGTCGACGTCGTCACGAATTCTCCTGTCCCTCGACCTTCTCCCGCTTATTCCCAGAAGTCTGACGCCTCCTTTTTTTCATCTCAAGGTTGGTCGAAGATTGAAAACCGTTTGAGCAACTCAATTGATGGTTACTTTGGAACTTTTTGAGAAATTGATTTTTTGATAGCGCGAAAGTCTTGAAGGAATAAAATTGCACTGGTAACAGCTTTTGCCTCGATAATTTGATGTATCTTCTCAAATTTCCTCTATATTTCTCGACATATTTAAACACCAAAGGCTCTTCTTGAAACTGTAATATTTGCCGAAAAAGGTTCGAGTGCAAAAACTGCGCGGAAAAACCTCGTCCGAGGGGTTGGACAAACAAACACGGGCGTTATCATCGGTCAATGAGATAACTCGCGCCTTTCCTCATCCTCAAATTACTTTTACAAACAAGCTTTTCTTTGATTATCAGGGAAATCAGTTATCAGTCGAGGTCAAGCCTTGAAGAAGTCTAGGAATGGTGAAATATTACAGAATCGCTGACGGATTCTTCGATTGTCCTTCCTGGGAACAATGACGAGTCGGAAGACGATCCCGAAGTGTCTTCCAGAAAAGAAAAAAGCCTTGGACTTCTGTGTCAAAGGTTCCTGATAGCCATGAATGAAGAAACTTGCGGGAGACCTAATGGAGAGGTTCACCTCGAAACTGTGGCTCGGAAAATGAGTAAGAAAGGCTTTGGGGCTACGATTTCAAAAAAGTCGAGTTCAGACGTCGAGAAGCGCAGAATCTACGACATTGTCAACGTGATGGAGGCGCTCGACGCGATGCAGAAAACCAATAAATCTTACTATAAATGGCACGGTCTTGATGATTTGCCCAAGCTCATGGCAGGGCTGCAGGTTCGTATAAAGCCAGAAAATGAGTTCTAAACGAAGAGTTTCAGAAAGAAGCGATAGTGGAACGTCTGCCTGAACGAGTTCTTCGAGTTGAACAGGCGATGTGTTCCTTCACAGAACTGTCCGGGGGTCGGAAACACAGCCGAGAAGTCGTTGGAAGTTTGGTCGGCGACTTGGGAAATGAAAGCACGTCTTCTGAAGATGTCGTCCTTCCCACGTCTTCTGCAGGATCTAATGTGAGGATGATTTAGAGCATTTTCTGCGGCTTTTGAATGCGATTAGGATCGTCACTAAAAGCATATTTTTACACTGAAAATCTGTTTTTGGCTCATTTTTCAGTAGATAGAAAAAAGCACTTGATCATGGAAATAACCCTTTTCAAAAAATTCTAAGAAGAACTTAACGTTTATTTTTGAGCATCCCTAACCGTCAGGGATAATTTTCAAGAGCGAATTTTAAATCAGCCTAAGAAAGACCTCACCTAAAACTTCTAGGCTCATCGAAAAATCCAATCAAGTTTCAGTCCGCTCTATAATTTTTGTCTATCCAACATCTATTTCAGGAAACCCGCCGATCAAGAGTCGACTCGAGAGATCGACAAGGCCGGAATTCCCTCGCCCAGCTCTGCCGCCGCTTCCTCATGGTTCTGCTGAGCAATCCTGTAACTAGAAAAATTCTAGAACCCCAAGAATCCCCACCTTTCCAGAAAAACATCCGGAAAGTCAGTCTGGACGTGGCGAGTACCGTTCTGATCAAGGACCCGGAAACGGAAGGATTCGAGCCGCCGAGCCGAAGTCGCTGCCGACGTCTCTACGACATCGCCAACGTTCTCGTCGCACTCGGACTCATCAAAAAAGTCCATTATCTCTTCGGCACCAAGAAAATCCCGCTTTTCGTCTACAGCGGACCGGAGCCTGATGGTTTCATAAAGCTATAACTCCATGGGTTTATTCTGAAAATATTCCAGAAAATGCCAAGTTTGACGCGAATGCCTGTGTTGAGAAAGTTCTCCTGACCCCTTCCACCGGCCCTCCGTTGACCCCTCAGATGAAAGTGAGAATTCAGGAACTTCATATAATAGACAAGGAGATTCAGGCGACGACAGCGGCTCTCGCCCAGCAGTTAACCATGGGAAAAAGATGCAATTCTGATGTGAATCTCTCACAGGCCTCCTCTAATCTCAAAATGCCGCGAATGAAGTTGGTCGTTGCTCTTTAAAACGCTACATTCAGCTGCGAAAGTTCAAAAACTTGAGATCAAAAATGACGTTCCATTAAGCTTTTTTTGAATTCCAGCTCGTAAATTCGAATTCACCATTCTTTTTTTAAATGAAAAAAATTCTGAAGTTTAATTTTTTTGCAAATCCATGAAGATAGACACATTTAATGACGCAGAAAAAAAGATAAAAAAAGAATATAAACTGAAATGGAAAAATAAAAAAACACAGAAATGATTTTTGTCGTACATTTTTTTCCGTGGAGCAACTTTGTTCAAATATGCATTTTGCGTTGGAATTTTTTTTTGAATTTTCAAACTAGGTTTCTCGAAAAATTTTTTTCTCTAAAAGTGGATTACTGAAATCGTAATGAAAAAGCTCTGTAAGATGAGAAGTCTTTTCAAAATTTGTAATATTTTTGCTTATTAAAGTTTGATGCCCAAAAATTCAGTTTTTTTGTCATTTTTTAGTGAGTCGGGAACCTTTTAATAATCAGAGTTTATCTATAATATAGTGTGCTCCACTTTGAGACCCTTCCAATCAATCCATATTGTTCTTTCGTGGTCAAAAAAAACCTCTGTCTTTTCCCAGATCCGACAGCATCCCAGCCTCTTCCTCCCTGATGATGTTCGCAGAGTTGGCGGCTGCTGAACGTCTTCGTCTCGACACTCTGACGCAGATGAGCCGTCGTCTGGCCGCCATCAACTCGATGACGCCGTCGACGTCTTCTGTTCTCCCGCCTTTTTCGATGTTGTCCGCTTCGTCGGATAATCTGTCGACCAATGCCTCGCCTCTCGATTCTAACAAGTTAGTTTCTGATCTGAGAATGCAATTAGAAAATATGAAAGACGGATTCTCTCTGAGTTGAGAAATGAATTAACTGAAGACCTTCAAGAACTTTATAAACCGAACCTCTTTTTTTCAGGTTCATCAATTTCGAGAGCCCCTTCTCTTCCCTACATCCCATTCTTCTCCCGCCTAATGTAAACTGAAAAATTGAAATCTCAATAATCTGGATTCAAACTTTTTTAGCCCCAACCGCTTCGACCAACTATCGATCGGAATCCCCCTCCCTTCCATCAATCTTTTTCAGCACCTTCCATTAAAACTGAGGTACCAAAACAAATTTATTTCCAGATTGAAATTTCCTCTTTTTCAGAACTATAATCGCTCGTGCAGTTATTCAATGTCCAACATTTTGAGCTCGTCGAAAAAATCCAACGTTTTGTTGGATCACACCAAGAACTCTCCGTTCCAAGTTGTCAAGAAGTCGTCGGATCAGAGAAGAGAAAAGTTGGTTTTTGATTTTGAAAATTCGAGTCATCAACTGTTTCCTTTCAAACTCCTAACAAGGGAACTCTTCTCACAAAAGTCTGACTATTTTGAAGAGTCTCCGAAAACCCTGTTTTTTTGAGACTTTTGAAAACACCTCACTCAAGTTCCTTGCAATGCAGACCCATAAACGTACTTTAAAAGTGTTTTTAATTTTAATGTTTATGGCTCGGCAGGCAGGGCGGCCAGTGGGCAGCCATCCTCCACCTCTGTATTTAATGAACCTCATGAAAATCCAACCAGCACTTCTGATTTTTAAAATGAAAAGATTTCAAAGCTCTAGCCATTTTACGAGTCAAGACTTGTTCGACTTTAAACTATTTTAATTCCTGGGAAACCAGGTAGTTTAAGGTTTGAAAAAAACTAACCATTTTAATTTTAAATGTTTTCGATGACCTTTTAGAGAATTCTAAAGTAAAAAGCAGAAATATCTCGTTCGTGAGCAACTGCGCTTCGCATAAAACTTTTAAGAACTCGAAAAACGATAAAAAGAACAAGTTTATGAGAGGGTGCGAGAACGTCGGCTTTCTTTTCAAGCCGACGCCAATTACAAAGTTGACGTCTTTGCCGACAGAACGTTGCGCAACCCGGCCGAAAAGACTCTCTCATCCCTATATTTTTACTGTCTTTTTCTCGCCCTTTGACTTTGCCGTTGATTTCAACGTAGGAAAGTTCCCCAGAGCCTTTTCCCTCGTTGTTTTTCCTTTTAACAGAACGTTTTGCTTCCAAAGAACACCTGGTGTTTAGCGATTCCCAACGACTCGCGCCGCTATTTTGATGGATGTCTCCGGTTTATCACTTGACATTTTTTTTGCAAACGAGTTAAAATTAGCGGAGCCTCAAAACTTTTAAGAAGACTTTTGCAGTAATTTTTTTTATATGGTAGGCTTTCGTTTTACTGAAATAAAAAAAATCGCGTTAGACCAAGGCTCGTTGCGTTTGCCTCCTTAAGCATTACAGGAAGAATTTTAAAAAAATTATCAAGTTTTGGTGAGTTTTTTTTTGTATCAATCTTTTTAATCTTTATTATAAGTTTTTCTCAAAATTTGAAAAAATGCAATCTACTGATAAATTTAGTCATACACTTCTTTAGTCTGTCTCTTTTCGCCAAAGAAAGTTCAAAAGAAGTAAAAAATATTCCATTATCTGGACTACACTCTATAAACCTGTCCCATAAAAAAAATTTGGCTAATTAATTTCATAGATTTCAGTCTTTTTTCACAATAACTTTGTCGTTTTGCAAATCGAGATCGGCCTTGTTTCAAAAATAGAAGAAAAAAAGCTTAAATTTAGAAGAAAATTAAAAAAAAAGTTTTACTTTTAACAATTGCAAATTCCACTCTTCATTATTGACCAGGATATATCTAGAGCCTCCCTTCTTCTTAAAAAAAAATCTCCCTTTCGTAAAGATATTCTACAGTACTTCTGAACAATATTTACAACTTGATCCAAAATATCTTCTCCCATGGCTGTCACACGACCTCATTCATCAGCCCAGGTACAGAGAGGTGTGCAGAACACCTTTTCCATAAATCTGATGCTATCGGAGGCCCCACAATAACGAAAGAATCAACCGCTCGATACGATCGCAGCTCGTTTTTGGCGAAATTCACCCTTTTTCGCCCAGATCTCTATCTCTATCACACGCTTTTTGCCCTTGTTGCTGTGCACTTTTTTTGAAGGTCCTTGCGGTTTTAAATCTTCTTTTTTTTGCTAGGTGATGGTTAGAGTTGAGAAAATATTAAAGCAAAAGTTTGAGCTTTAAAAAAATCTGAGTTATTAGAAGACGTAGGGTCTCTGGAACTTTATAAAAATACTGTTCGTGACAGAATCATTGCGAATTTTGTCCTCCTTCTTTTAAAAACTTGACAGAAGCAAAATGAGATGAACTTATTAGAAAATTAGGTTTTCAAACGTTCAGGGACTTTAGTGGGAGGAGTTTGAACCGATGTCGTCAAATATTTGAATTCCCGTCAGATTTTTTAGAGCTGTGTTGAAAACTTCTTCATTAATTTTTTTGGACCTTCCCATGAACCTTTAAAAAAAGTAACTGTTTTTTTATTCTGTGACCACTTTTTCAAGTTTTTCAAAATCGCAAGTGACTCAACGTAAACCAAAAAGTTGATTTTTTTCAAAGATTTGAAGTTTTCTTCAGGATTTGAAAAAGTTTATAGAAAATCTGATTTTTCTATTGATTAGATGAAATATTCTCTATGTGACTGTTCTCTGAGCGATTCTCGTAACTGGTTGTGCTTCAACCGAACACTTGTCGCTTTGTGCTCCAACGCACTCGGCCGCACTTGACTCATCTTGGGCCATTGGAAACCGAGAAGGACCCTTGGCATGGCTTTGCTCAGACGCCGCCAGAGTGTTTGTGGGCTCCGTGCGGGAGTCCGACGGGTCACATCGGACCTCCTGCCGATTCTTGCCCCGTCGGCGACCTCCATTGTGCGCCAACGTGTTGCGCAACGTCACAGATGCCGTCTTGCGCAAGTCGCCACTCAAGAGCGGGAAAATCGAGCTGAAATTAGGCGTTTCATCGATTTGCTCACTGTGATCAGTGGTTCCGGAGATGACAGGGATTTAGTTCATTCACAGAGATCTCACTGGAAATTAGGAAACGCTAAACTCTTTTCATGATATTTTTAACGTTTTCATCTTTCATAAAGAATGGTCGAGTCATAACTATTTTGGAGAATAAATTTAAAATTTTAATTCCTTCTTTGTTAAAAATCAGATATTGTGATTTTTGCTTCTATTCTAAAAATTCAGAGTCTTCGGGTTCAAAGAATTGAAGCTTGTTTCTCTTTTTTTCAATTTAAAAATAGAAACAGATTTTTTTATTGTTACTTATCAAAAATTTAAATAATTTTTAATTTTTGACCTATTTCAAAAAAATTTCTGAAAAACGAAACATATTTTTTTGATTTCTGTGAACTTCATTCATACGCTCAAAAAATATTTTCCACAATTCCTGATTTTCTCTTCAGCGATCAGACTTATTAGCTACACCTTATTGTATTCTAATGCTTTATTTTTCAGGAAACCGTTCGGCGAGCTTCAGAATCGGATGTAGATGCTCCAAAAAAACAATCCTCACAATTTCTTTTAATTTCCACTCATCGCTAGTCTTTCCCGTGTGGTTGCTTTATCTCTCTCGTTGTTCATTTATTCATTTTCCTCATATTCAGCTGTAAATTATTCGTCTGTCTCATTCTTTTTGTACTCACTTTGAAACATTTCGCGTTCCACTGGGTCCTTTTTTTCTCATCTCATCCATGTCCCCTTTCAGTCGCTTGTAGAACTAGTTCAACGTATTACTTGAGTCAAACAATTCTTGGTGTCTTTTGAAGTATTTACTGCGATATTTTTTTTACTTTGCGAAGAATAAATTTTTTAATTGATAAGGAAGATGAAGACGATGAAATAGTTTCGAAAAGAAAACGAAAGAAGATTTTTTCGGAAAGGGGCGAAGAAAAGATAGAAGCTCATTCAGATTTGCTCGTCTCTTACCAGAAATTATTTTCTAAAATTTTTTTTTTTTGAAGAAACGAGGCTGAATGTAGTTTGGTTGAAAAATATCATAAATCTCAAGAAATCGTGCCAATAAAGTACGGAAGAAATATAATTAGGGACCGCAGGCCAATTTCCAAAGTTTATGGTATAAAGTTGAAACCTATATGAAAAGAAAGCTGATGGCAATCGAGAGCTAACTGCGAAAACAGAAAAGAAAAATATGAAAAATGAAAAAAGTTATGAGCAAAAGAGTGGCGAAATCGGGGGAACCATTTTTGTGTAGAAACTTTCGTCAGGGTCGCAGGAAAAGGGGCGTGTTTATAGATACCGCGCGTTCCTTGCTGCGCGTAAATACACCCCGGAAAAGTTTCGAAAATATATTAATTTGCGTTTTTAAATGAAATGTTGGAGTTTTCATATTGAATACTTTTCCTATTCAATATGGGGCTGCTCTTCGAGCACTCAGACTGCATATTTCCAATGAATTTCGTAAAATAAGAGAACAACCGACGAAATAAGACTATTGCATAGAAGGAACAGCGAAAAACCGAATTAAAAAAAATGCGAAATTCTACATAAACATTTACTGAAGAATATGTATAATCACTAAGTCATTGTTCACAGACTTTTTGAAAAAGGGCGAAAGCGTTTTTTTACTTTTTGATTTTTTTCACATCTTTCATTTTTTTCTTTGAACGATGTGCGTCTACATGGCGTGTACATGGATGATTTTTGTAGACCTTTTTCATGAGATTCTGTGAAAATTCGAAAAAAATTTAATAAAAAGCGAAATTTAATATTTTGCTGCCATAATGGATATAAATACGCTGGAAAGAATTTCTAATTGTAAAAGGAGTAAAAGTTTTGCCTAAAACGACAATAAAGTAATCATAACTCATTGCAAACTTTAATGAAATACAAAAAAACAATTTTTTTAAAAAAATTTTTCATGCTTTCGAAAAAAATTTCGGGCCTTCCGTGGTGTCTGCAGATTTCCAGCGACGCGCAATTTTTTTAATATCAAATTTAAGCGTTCAAATTAACCATACTTTTCGGGCCATCCTTGGAATTTTTTTATTTTTTTGATATGTTGTAGAGAAATGTCTAATCTTTGATATTATAAAATAAAAAAAACTTGCCCAGAACGCTTTTGGGCCGTTTTTCAAAAGCGTTACAAAAAAACAAAAAAACTTTAAGCTTTCATATGAACTATATAGTCGATGAAAAAAACTTAGTTTTTCTGTTTTTTTAAAATTTGCAAACCGCTGCAAACAACCGTTTAAAAAAATATAATCAGTAATTATCGATTGTGTTTTTTTCGAAAATAAGGAATTTCGAAAAATCGTGATTTTTCAAATTGCGTTATTTTTTTGAGGCCAACCATAGAATTTTTTTATTTTTTTGCCAGAATATGCGTTTTTTTAGTTGCTTTATAATATTCGAAAATGAAAAAAAGTTGCCCAGAAACTTTCAAGAAAAAAACAGGGATTTTTTTATCCGTTTTTCGGCCACAAATGCGTTTTTAAAAACTGTCGTCATACATTCTTATTTCTTATTTCTCATTATTTCCTTTTTATGTAGGATTGTTAAGCATAGCCGATTGTATGTTTCCCCTAATTTTTTTCCCAAATCGGTGCAAGAAAAACTATTTTTAAAATATAAAAAAAGAACCAAAAATGCAACGAAAATGACGAAGTTTTTTTGAACAGCGAAGTGGGCGTGGCTCTGCGGTCCCTAAATATAATTTCAGTTTTTTCGATAGTCTCTCTAGAAAAGTTGCGGTCCTAGACTGTTTGACTTGAGGTTTTTCAGAAACCGAAGTTGTTCTTGAGTAAAATTAATTTTTTCTGACCGTTTTTCAATTGACAAACGTCTAAAAACGTTGTAGAAAGCGAAAATAATCAAAAACTTGAAAATGATTACCGGAGAAGGTGCTAACTAGTGAACGTTTTTTTTACCCACCCCCCGGGTTGAACTTTTGCGGAAACTCTGCTGAAGTGTACTTTAGGACCTCCTGATTGCAAAACAAGAAAAAAATTTCTCGCACTAGATCTCGTTTTCGATTTATGAAGCTTCAAAGTCAGCGGGCTTTTGAAGCGTCCTAACTTGAACGAGATCTATTGCAAAAAATTTTTTCCTTGTTCTGCAATTAGGAGATTCTAAAGTACACTTCAGCAAGGTTTCAGTAAAAGTTTAACCGGGGGTAAAAACGTTCCCTAGTAAGAGATCTGAAGCTTCCTCTAGATTGGTGTAATTCGAATATTATCTTACTGAATAGCCATGCTGTCACCACCGGATCGCAGTTCTCTTGCAGAGAAAAAAGGAATTCCCATGGAAAAAAGTAAAATTTGAAAGAAGATCCTCCGGGGAATGACCGAAAACGAGCTCTTCATGGAGCAACTGTCGGGCTCGCCGAGTTGCCGCCGGCTCCGCCGCCCCCTCCGTTGCCATCGATTTTCCTCTGATCAATTTATATCTCTAGCCGCCCCTCTTGGTCAATAAGCTTCTGTTAACCGCCACTGTTTTCCTTCGACTTGTAATATTTGGCTTCCTTGTCTCGGATCTCGATTGAAAAAATTGGTTTTTTGCGCTTTTCTGGCTCATTTATTCATGATTTTGATGATTTTTCTCATAAAATTCTGGCTCTTAAGAAAAAATTCAACAAAGGAAGGCGAAAATTAACAATAAAAGGTTGGATGAAAAAAGAAAAATGTTTTGATAGAAGGAATAATTTTCTAATTATTTGATATTTGACGAAAACTTGAGGTGGGAATCTCATGAGCCATTGAACAGGTGCAGTAGATTGATGACTTTAATCTTTGTACCTTATTTCTTATTCGTATCATTTTTCCGAATTATTCGTTCCTTTTTCAATTTTTTTAGTTGTGATGCGCTTCAGGTTAAAAATCACACAAGATATAAAAACCCATTTGTTTTTACTTTTAAAAAAATTACTGAATAAAATGAAGAGGTTGTGAAAAATGAATTATTTGATTCCAAAACATAGAAAAAAACTATTGGAATCCGTTCTGAAAACTATTTCTGAATGCCCTAAAACCCGCCTTTTGGACTTTTTTCCTTTTATCTCATGTTTCCCTCTTTTAAACTTTCAAAATTATAATATTTTCAGATCAACTTTTTTTTCAAACACTGGTGTTTTTGCGAAAATTAGTTCTCATCAGCTACATCCCTTTTTTTTTACTTCATCAATTTAACTAAAGTCGGCTCAACTCACGTGGAATGACTTTACGCGTAACCGCTGTTTTAAGTTTCATCCGACCAAAAACGACTTACGTAGGGACCGCAAAGCCACGCCCCTTTTCGCGATAGAAAAAGTGGCTTTTTTTTGGTTTTCAACTTTAATTTTGCTGTAGTTGCAAAATATGTGGAACTGGATAATAAATTTTGACACACATGTACAGAAAAAGCTTCCTCTTTCGTTTTAAAAAAATATTTCACGCTTTTTTGATGCGTTCGCGCGGAATGTCGTACAAAAAAACGTGAATGGAACTCAAAAAAATTTTGTCATTTTTTTGCTTTTTTTCATATGTTTTTAGGTCGAACGCACTCTTTCTTTTTTTAAATAATGATTTTTGATTCAAGTAACGGTAATTTTTAAAACAATAAAATAAAAAAAATTCGTCTTTGCCAAAAAAATTTTTAGGGAGTGCCGAAAGTCATAATTCAAAATATCGTTAATAAGCGAATATAATCGAGTTTTTTTGTTTTTTTAAAGTTTAGATCATGGGCTTACTTAAATATTTCTCTACAGCATCTGTGCTTGAAAAAAAGTTGTTTAATACGCCAAAAATGCTCTTGAAACTAGAGGATAAAATTAGCGGCGTTTATCACACAGAAAGCGGTCGAACGCAGGTTTTTTTAAACGATTATATACATTTATTAGTAAGAAATCTTTCAATTAAAAATAATAAAATAAAAAAATTCGTCTTTGCCAAAAAAATTTACGGGACCGTTTTTAATGCAGCGATCGCTAAACGAGGCAAAAAAAGCACTAAAAAAACAGTTTTTTTCAAAGTGAATTTCCACGGAAAGTTTGAGTAAAGATTTGCGATCATATTCTGATAAAAAAATAGCTTAATTACTTCAAGTTTTTTGATATAGGCAATCTGTGCTATTCAAACGGCTCAAGGATATGGCGGATGGAAGCTCCCATCGCTAGACCTAACAGCTTGGCGCAGCGCGTGCGCTGCGATTTTACATTTTGAGGTCGCGAGTTCGATGCCCGCAAGCGGCAGTTTTTGGTTTTTCTGGAAAATACCGACTTTTTCGGCAAACTAGCAAATTTTTATCATTTTAGCACTCTATTATGATTTTTCACATCATAATAGACCAGTATCAAAACTTGTTCTGGAAGAAAAATCGAGAAAAATGTCAAAAATGGATAATACCAAAATTTCAGTACTAAAAAAATGGTGCGCAGCGCGCCACATTTTTCGTCATAATTTTTTTCATCCTCAATATTTTTCGAAAAACTAAACGGTTCTGAGTTTTGAATCGAAACAGCTATCAAACCATACAAAGCTCAATGCTGAAAAAAATTTTTTGAAAATTCGTCTGCGGTCCCTAGACTTACGCAAGGGAGCATCCGAAAAATCGAGCTTTTGAAAAAACCGGCTTCAAACCTAATTCTTACCGCTAGACAACCGCAACACGTTGATAATCTTAAAAAAGGCCTTTTTTATGGGAAATGTGTCAGTAGAGCGTCAAGAACTGGAAAAATACGGCTTGTGACACCTTCAAACTTTTAAATCTTCCGAGTAACAATTCTTCTAGATTCACTCATAATATCCAGCCACCTACCATTTTCAAAAAGTTATAAAAAGCCGTGTTGAAACAGAAAAGAAAGGCGGAAAAACAAAAACACGTGGAGGGCACATGAGATCGTCAAGCTGCCAGGCGTCGATTCGCTGTTTTTCATCGGCTTTTTTTTCCGTTCCTTCGTCCCAACTTCGCATATTCTTTACAATGGAACACGCAAGACGAAGCGGCTCAACCGCACGTCAGAGCATGTCGAAAATTCAGAGCTTATCGATTTTTTCTCAACTTTTCTTCCTTGTTAAAGTTCAACTTGTCGCCGAGGCCTCTGCTGTACTTTCTTTTAATAATTTCTACATTTTCAATCTTTCTTCTTTTCTAACAGTATTTTACATTAGCTTGAACTTGTTTACGCTCACAAAGTCGATCAAGAAATTATGCTCGCTGGAGCGCATTTGAACTAATGAAATCAGCCTCTTTTTATTATCTCCTCGATAAAAATTGAAACAGCCCTTTTTATACTTTTTCAAAATCACAGCATTTAAATTCTTTGATATAATTTTGCTTTTCAATCACAGATTTTTCCAATAATTCTTATTTAAAACTTTTTGAATATCAACGAATTCATTAAGAATGAATGAGAAGCGAATATTTTTCGATTGGAAAATGATCAGTTTTTCAAATTCTCAAATTCGAGGGCAAGCTTACATTTAGTATCAAAAGTAAGTCCGAAAAACTTTTTTTCGCTTAAGTTTTGAAAAAAAAATTTTGTTTTGTTACTTCAAAAAGATGGAAAAAACTTCATTTCTCGAAGCCTTTTTTTAAAAAAATTCTATTTTAATATCATTAAAAAAATTCTCGTTTAATTCTTTCCAAGTTTTTCGCATGACTGGTTAGGACTTGGAAAATAAAGAAAACATACCAAAATCAGGGCCCGCGATGGTGCTGGACGAGCGGCTGGGCTACGATCCAGAAGAATGGGAAGAGTGCGAGGAAACGGAGAAGTTCATGGTGTTCGCGCCGTTCACGAGGCTGCTGCTCACCGCCGCCGCCATCGCCTTCGTCTATTACTTCTTCCGGCTTCTCGACCAGAACAAGAACAAGAGCAAGGATGAGGTCTGGAGATCTTCACAAGGACTTTCTTAACACGAAAAGCCATTGAAATCCTCCTCAAAAAAAAATCGAGGAATGGGGTATATGCTTGAAAGTTGAAAGAACTTTTTTGAACCGATCAATGAAAAAAAATATTAGGCTTTGAAATTTTGAAAATTAGACTTGGTACTTATTGGCTTCGAAACTGTACTTAATTGGAAGGACTGTTGTGAAAAAAAACCTTTCAAACGTCAAAAATGAGAAAAATTGCCATTGCCCGAAGCGACCAAAACTTCAATACCTGTTTTATGACTAGAATCAGATTTGAAATTTCAGAAAGAAGAAGAAGCGGAGCCCCAACAACGGGTCGAAAAAGTGATCGAAGCGGCTCGCGAATTACAGCTTCCGACGCCGAAAACTCCCGTCGACGCCGAAGAACTTCTTCGCGAAGCCGACCATTATCTTCGGCGTATGTCTATGAATCTTTGAAATTTTTTTTTTCCAAAAACAAAAAATACCAAAAGTCAAACTCTACAGAAACAAGTCAAAATGGATCAGCTGCTGTACAAAGAGGTGCGGACGCGATTCGAAACAACTTTCCTACCCATGAGCTTCCGTCAGTTACTTTTTTTTAAACTTAAACCTTTCCGCTTAATTTCAGAACACCTACTCATGCAACTCAAGAACGTTTCGACAAAATGCTCAGTTCAGTCGATAATCACCTGCAGCAGGTTCATCGCTGGAAATTCATCATTTAAAAAACTTTTTAGACATCGGACCCTCGCTTTTCCGCTGCTAATCAAGAAAAAGAGCTCTATTATCAAAACGTTCAGCAGGTATCTTATTTTGTTTTTTCTTATTTTAATTTTTAGCCCAAAATTGATTGTCAAAACCATTACAGAAACCAACAGTCCCAGAACACCACATACCTGACCATTTCCAACAACAGCCATACCAACAGTTACCCGCCGATTTCGATGTTTACGACATTCCTGGAGTTCAAAAACATCAACAGCAGCAGCAACAAGTACAGCCGCCAGTTCCGCCTCCACGAAAGTCGGTGCAGCAGCCGCAATCGGACAGACGATCACAGCAAATCAGCGAAAAGTAAGTTCAAACAATGGGCTTGCAAACAAAACAAAAAAAAAATCGGAAACAGCAATGCGCGTGAAAAATGATGTTTTAATTGGTAATGAGTGTATGCACGGGGTGCATAGTAAGTCACGCCCAAACTTTAAATTTCAGTTTATATTTCATAAAATTTTTATATTTATAAAGCATGTAACTTCATTTACTTTGGAGATTTTTTTGACTAAAAAAAGAATGAGAGATATGATTCAGTGGTAATGAGCGATTTTAAAGTTGACTTTCATTAAAATTTCGAAAATTTTGGTGAAAATTCATGCACTTTAATTTTAATGTCTTTCATTCTTGTTTAAGTTTGTCATAGCGAATTGTGTTTTTTTCCAGAGACGAAAGAGCTTTTCTAGAGTGGGAAGCTGAGAAAGCTCGTTTAGAAGCCGATCGTCTGAGCAAATTGTTAGATACTGAGGTGACCGATCTTTTTTGGATGGAAACTTATGACATATTGTTTCAGGTCGGTGGCGAGTCTTCCACAGACCTTTCAAACTCAGCAAAAGCCTACGAGAAATTCTCCCCAGGCTCGCACATTTCTTACGAAAGTCGTAGTGAAGAAAAAGCGGCTCAAATCGGGTGAGAAAATGTTTGAAAAGTGGAATAATCTATGAAAGTTGTAGGCCAACGACGCCAGTCGCTAAAAGAAACGAACTGACTGGCAAAATCTTGAACCACATCGAGCAGACGGCAGGACAACAGAACAATCCGGGTACAAGCAAGTGGGTTGAAATTATTTATTTATTTAGTTTACCCGTAATATTTCATCATTTGATAGAGTTGTCATGTGAGGGAGGGAGCTCAATTATTTTTCGTGTTTAGAAAGATTTCAGACTTGGGAATTTCTTCTTTAGTCGTCATTTCTTTCTTAGAACTATTCTCAATAGTAACTCTCGACACATGGTGTTTCTTTTCTTGAATTCTGCGGCTCCTGAGGTAGAAGAAAACAAAAAAGTGCATGGTTCCTTGCGATCCAACGATTATAGTGAATAAATAGTGCCAAGCCGTCGTGTACGGCCAGTATATTGTAAAGTACTGCAGGACCTGGAAAATTAGTGCGTTTTTTCAATTTTAACCTTTTTTAAACTAAATTCCTGCCCCAAATAAGACTTCTATTATTTCCTTTCGCATTTTTTAAACTTCTGTACTTTCAGCTTTTCTTCGAGTTTTTCTATGTGCCTAAATAAAAAAAAAACTCGATACAGCACAAATCACGACACTGAAAACGGCTTTTTGTAAGGAAATATTTTAATATTTTTGAGTTAATTGGCGAGGTTTTTTTTAAACTAGCCACAACTCGCGTAACTTTTTTGTTCAGTTCCAGCTCACCCAAGGCATTCCGAGAGAAATTTGCATGAATATCATTCCAATTATTTTCGATTTCATCTGCGGGTCGTGTTGGTGGTTGAGCTGGAATAGTTTCTCACTCTTTTTTCAATAAGAAAAGCCTACCACTCGACTAAACTTCCGCGTTTTGTTCAAAAACACTTTGTAAACCAGGAACATCGTGCACATAATCCCGTTCAACACAAGTATGCTGACGGGGACGACTATAGCGTAAACGACGTAATCAGGTCGGACCCAGCAAAAACTGTCGTCGCGGTCGAAAAAGTTGGTGAACACCAGAAGAAACAGAGATAGCATAAACGGTAGTGCTGTATAAGGACGTTTTTCGATTAATGTTAAAACTAACTGAGACTGACGGAAATAACGGCAGGCGGAGCTAAAAATGCATTGAAAAAGGGCCGGAAAAATATCGGTACGAAAGGAAGAATAGTCCTGATTCCTTGAAAAACCGTTAGAAATAACGAACTGCAGAAGATGTTTTTAAGGGAAAATTGATTCCACATACCAGACCAGCAGGGCGTAGGTTATGGCTGCCATCTCATCACAAGCTCTACCGGCTATAGATTCGTTTGAGAAAAAGGCGAAGAGAAGATAGAAAAGGAGCAAATCGAAATGGTAGACGGTGGCGACGACGTCTTGCTTCGGGAGCGAATTTCCATTGACGTAGCGGTAGAAACTTGTCCGCGTCATGGTATGTGTACTGAATTTCTATTGAGACAGAAGTAGTGAGACAAAACTTACTAAGCTCCTAAACTGAGAGCGCAGAGAAAAACCAGAGAAATGATAGATATCAAGTTGGTCGCGAGTCCGACTCCTTCCAAGGCGCTGTCACAGACGATCGGATCGTCGACAGCCCCATCCTAGGCAAAATTTGATGGAAACTAAGAATAAGACCCACCACGATGAGTGTGAAGTCGGTCAAATGAATGCATCGTGCTTCCAGAATCCCATCTTTGACTGATATGATTGTACAAGGCTGATTCACAGCCCAAGTTTCCTTCTCAATGTCCCACCAAGTAACTCGGAAAGTACCGTGAAGAGGGTTTTGAAGCTGAAAATCACTAAAATAAAATCAATCAGTTTTTATCAGAACTTTTGAAATATCAAATCGAAGAACGGCCATCGTTTCTTCTGTTGAAGCAGCGTGGATCTGTTGTCCGTTGTTCAAAACTGTAGCGCTCATCACAGGAGAGTCCTCGGTCAGTAAGGTCTGCTGCACACAAGAAGAAGGTGCATCCATTGCTTAATAGAACCTTAATTTGTTTTAATATAAATCTCTTACGGTCATAGTCATCGTCGTAAAAGTTTTCTGCCCACAAAGAGTTACTGGAAGGAGGTGCTCGTTCAGAAATGGGAGATTGACTTTTTGAATAGCTCCGAAAACGTTGAGGCCCGAGAAACAATTTACGATCGCGATAGATTGTGAAAAATGTGTGAGAAACTGAATGTATATATGTTTTTCAAATTTGCTGAATGACTCACTTTGTTGTGTTCTGCATAGATCACTCAAAGGGATCACTATTGAGTTAAGTTTTGTGTAACTCGTAGACGTGTTGATTAATTTGAACATAGGACCGAGGTCCATTATTCCATCATCTCTTTGAACTTCCTCTAATGGGATTGATTAGGTTAAAATTGATTGTAAGAAATACCTACAGAACAATTGAGTCTTTTGGAAGAAAATCCCAAATTGACGCCTTCTAAATATTCGATCCGCTCATCGGCTGTGTTTTCCACCATTGTTGGCAACATTGACAACAATCTTAACTCAATAAAAATTGTCTATATTTATAGATTCGGTTGATTTAGTAGACACTTTCGAATGCAGGAGTGTAAGTAGGAAAGCAAATATAACTATCAAAGTCTAGGGATTAAAATTGAATTGCTGCGATATTTTCTAGGGAATGATGTAGCTTTCTAGGAGAAAAGTCAGTCAATTTTCGAAAAAAAAACATCCCCAAAAAACCTTTTGTGGGAATCGCTGCTCGCCCGAATCTCGTCCTGCATTGCGTATAAAATATTGTCCATATTCTCAACGATAACGTATGAATTCTGAACAAGAGAAAATATATATTTTTTGAAAATTTTCCTCGCCATTTCCTATTCAAAATGAGGTCTCACCTCTCACCTCGGATGAAATTCCTGGAAGATTTGCACTCTTCTCCAAGATATTAGTGATTTGATAGATTTCGGTTGAATTAAGATTAACCCCCTGGCTCGAATATTTTAATGTTTCATTGAGAATGGTTGATACATTGTTCAGTCCAACTCCGCTCTGGGATTTTATGACTCCAGTTATATTTTTTAAAGACTCTCACATCACTCAAATTCTTCAAAGACGGAAATGTGGGCGGCGAGACAGTTGCCATTGTTGTGACTGTACTCGTTTCTGTTGATCTAAACTTGATAAGATGGCTGTTTTCGAAGGAATTTGATTGACGAACACGACTCTGGACGTAGGAACCTTTGTTATCACAGGGGAAGTCGTTAAAATTTTCGATGACTTTGCGCTGGATGAACTCGAAATTGTTGAAGTTGAAGCTGAAAATTTTTATTGAGTTTATGTTTAGCTTTTTTACGAGCAATCAGCTTCAAAGTCATGTGGCTTCGAACACTTTGCAACCTGGGTCCTTCGAAAATTTTTTCAAACTTCCAGCCGAGTTTTTTGCTTTTGACTTGTCTAATACAACTTCGGAAATATCTCCTGGAGTCATTGATTGCTAATTTTCACCTTCTGAGATCGGAGTGGTGGTCTGAAAGGCAGAAGAAGTCCTTCTCATAGGTTCTACTGGACAAAGATCGTTTTGATCTCCTTTCACAGATGAATACCCAATTTGATTGGCTGGTGTGTGCCACCAAGGCTTTCCGTCGATGCTAAGTGGAAAAAGTAAACTGATTAGTTTATATATTACCATGCATCTTGGGTGAAGCACTCGTCAGAACATTGGGGAAAAGTGTATTGACAAACGCAGATTTCTTCTCGGTTTGAAGGAATCGCAAAAGTTTCGCGAATCGCGTGAACACAGTGTCTTGAAGAGATGTCCTGGCCGCATCCGAGTACAAAAACCTTGGGAAGTTGTCCATTTTCTTGGTGTTGAAAGGTTATTATGTCCAAAATCTGAAAGATGTGAAATTTTTTTGAAATTAATGTTTTGGAGTTGAAAAGTGAAATTTAAGAAAATGTAAGTTTTAATTGTAATGATTTTATGTTTTGCACATCTGATTTACATTTTCTCATGCGGGAATCGATGTTCTATTAAGAGGACCACGAGATCGATTTTTATCTTTTTTTATATAGAGAACGACAGTGAGAAGTGATAAAATTATAAACCTTATGGTTAGAGCGATTTCAACGAGACTTCGCGAATCTTTCCCTTTGAAAAAAAAATCGATTTTTTCCTCTTGAACTTTGTGAGCTTTATAGTATTACAAATTCTACTTAGTTCAGGAAAAAAAATTTTTGAGTCTTTCTAACCTGTCATCTGTAAATTACCTTTCCTCCTTGATGAACTGTCACGTTAACAAATGTCCTGTTGATGAAAAGCAGTCGGTCACAAGGCTCTGTTTCGGTTAAACAACTAAAATATTCAAGAAATACCGGATTCAGTAGCGGAAAATCACTTCTCTCCATCAACAAAATATGTAAGTCGGCTGGTCCATGTCAGCAGGACGAATCGATAGAGAACAGAAGATTGGTTGAGATTGGTTATGTCGACGCCCACACTGATGTGTTCGGCCTGTGTTTCGTGTGTTTCGGAATACGAAAAAGCATAATGGACATTGTTCAGTTGGGATTTGCCCAGAAATATCAGTTGCAGGAGGAGAATAAGCCGCATAAACTCAAAGTATTGAAGCGCGGTTTGCGTACTGTTCGGAAAACGTGATAAGAAGTTGGGTTTTTGGTTGCGCTTGCTTTTTATCTTTTAAAAGGATTGTTGTACTGATTGCGTGTATGTTTTGTTCCAGTTTCTTGAATACAACTTTATTTGGGACTTGAGTCGGTAAACCCGTTCAACAAAATTAAACAAGTGTATTCAAAGCTGGATTGGAACCGAAACTTATCGCGAAATGTATAAAATTGGGCTTCAGAGACCTTTAAAACGCGCTTCTGGCTCTTTTTTGTTCTCCAAAGCGCTCAATTCTAAAAGAATTCAATATTCCTTTTCGTGGAAAATTGTAAGAGAATAAATAATATTATTCTTTTAAGCAAAAACAAATCTGATGCTAGCAAAAAAAAAAGTTCTGACGACGTTTTTCGACTCTTCCTCGTTCCAATCAGGCTTTGAATTAGTTGGAAATTTCATCGATTAATTATTTGCACTGTCTTGAGAACTGAGATCCTTCTTTGGTAGCGTCTCTTCTTCTGGTGCTGTTGTCCGTGAATCGCGATTCCCTCTGAGAATCCTGGACTCGTTTTCGTCTCATATAGTAGTAGACCAGAATGTGCATAGTTCCTTGAGATCCGACTATGATTGAAAAAATGTAATGCCATGCAGTTGTGTGTGGCCATTTGAGCGTGAAATATTGCAGAATCTGAAATAGTTCCGGGATTTCTCAACTTTTGAAAAAGCTCACCCACGGCATCCCCAACGAGATTTGCAAACAGAACATGGAAATAATCTTCGATTTGATGTGTGGATCATGTTGGTGGTTCAACTGGAAGTGTTTCGCAGTTTTTTGTTTTCATTTTTGAGTCTTACCGTTTTGCTAAACTTTCTCGTCCTAATTATGAAAAGTTTGTAAACGAGGAAAGTAGTGCAGATAATTCCGTTTATAAGGAGAATGCTGATCGGGACGACGATCGCGTAGACGACGTAGTCTGGTCTGACCCAACAGAAGCCGTCGTTGCGGTCGAAGAAGTTGGTGAAGATCAACAACATTGAAGAGAGAATTAATGGTGGGACTGTAACCATATCGTTTCTCTTTGGTGAGTGAAGTTTTTTCAACTTATGCTCACTGTCAAGACTGCTGGAGGAGCAACAATAACTGTGAAAGCACGTTGAATGGAAAAGGGAACGAACGGGCGAATCACTCGCAGACCTTGGTATACTGTCAGGAGTACCGAACTGGAACATAACAGTCTTTTTGTGAGAAGCTAGATATTACAAAAAAGTCATAGAAGTCTTTTTTAAATCTTTGAAAAATTTAGAATAGTGGAAAATAACTTTAAAAAGATTCCCCAAAAATCTCGAAACGCAAATACCGGAAAAAAGATCTAGTTTGCTTATGATGCTCACCAAATAAGTAGAAAGTATAGAATAGCGGCAAAATAAGTGCAATCTGATCCGGCGACCGATTCACTTGAAAAGAAAGCGAAGAAAATGTAAAATGTCAGCATGTCCAAATTATAGGTCGTGGATACAATGTCGTGCTTTGTCAGTGTGTTTCCATGAAGGAACCAGTAGAACTTGGTTCTTGAAAAAGACTTGACGCTGTAAAATATTAATTTTCTAAGTTCCAACTCGTCCCACTTACTAAGCTCCAAAGCTGATGAGGCAAAGGAAGGAAAACGAAACTATAGACATCACATTCACCGTAAGTCCGACGTTTTTCAAGGCCTTATCACAGACGATCGGGTCGTCAAGAGCGCCATCCTAAAGTAATCATGAGAGAAACCAAGAAAAGACTAACCACGATGAGTGTGAAGTCGGTCAAATGAATGCATCGTGCTTCCAGAATCCCATCTTTAACTGATATGATAGTACAAGGCTGATTCACAGCCCAAGTTTCCTTCTCAATGTCCCACCAAGTAACTCGGAAAGTACCGTGAAGAGGGTTTTGAAGCTGAAAATCACTAAAATAAAATCAATCAGTTTTTATCAGAACTTTGGAAATGTCGAATCGGAGAATGGCCATTGTCTCTCCTGTTGGAGCGGCGTGAATCTGCTGTCCGTTATACAAAATTGTAGCGCTCATTACTGGAGACCCTTCAGTCAGTAAAACTTGCTGCTCACAGGGAGAAGGCGCATCGCTAGCTTAATTCAACGCTGTCTTTTTGTAAGGATCGTTTCTTACGGTCATAGTCATCGTAGTAGAAGTTTTCCACACTCAAACTACTAGAAAGAGAAGGTCGTTCAGAAATTGAAGCTCGATTTTTCGAATAGTTGCGAAAACGTCTAGGCCCAAGGAATAGTTTACGGTCGCGATAGATCGTGAAAAAGGTGTGAGAGACTGAAATGATCAGTTTATTTGCGACTTTTCGCAATGACTCACTCTGTTGTGTTCCGCACAAATCGCTCAAAGGTATCAAAATCGAATTCAACTTAATGTTAACTGTCGACATATTGACTAATTTAAACTGATTCCCAAGGTCCATGAGTCCATTGTCTTCTTGAGCTTCCTTCATAAAAATGAGAAGTTTGAAGTGTCTGGACGAGATACCTACAGAACAGTTGAGTCTTTTGGAAGAAAATCCCAAATTGATGCCTTCTAAGTATTCGATACGCTCATCGGCTGTATTGTCCACCATAGTAGGAAATATGGACAATAATCTGCGAAGATTGACATTTTTGAACTTCTCGATTTTGGTACCTTTCATCCGAGTTTCCGCTCTCCCTTATGTCTTCGCTATCGGCAGACATAACGTTGTCCATGTTTTGAAGGATTTTGTATGAATCCTAAATGAGAGAATTCAAAAATGAATTTATATCAATGTCATGTAATATCTTCTCATTGAAGACGCTCACCTCTCACCTGTGAGGATATTCCTCGGAGATTCGCTGATTTTTGAAGAATTGTCGTTATTTGAGAAATTTCCGTGGAGTTAAGATCAGGACCCAGACTGGAATAATAGATCGCTTCATTTAGGACAGTTGAAACGTTATTCAAGCCAACTGCGCTCTGAAACTTTGAAGAGTTGAAGAAAAATCATCAAAAACGCACGTCGCTGAGGTTTTTCAAAGTTGGAATGGCTGGGGTCGACGTAGTAAAAGCTGTCGTCTGAGAAGTTCCTGTTGAAGGTGTTGTCCTTAAAGTTCAAGATGGTCAATAAAAAGGTTTTTGTTGAGGACTGTGTAGTAGTTATTTCCTTAGTAGAGGTAGATTGAGCTGAAGTTGACTGAAATGTCGTCGTTAGGTCGTTCGTAGTTGTGGGGAGGTAGTTTGGCTTCCACCAATTTAGTTCAGGACTAAAAACTCGGTTCAAAAATTCTGAATAATTTTCGATTTATTTAATTATTGAATTAAGAGCATTAAGAAATACTAACTGAAAAAAAAAGAAAAATTTAATCAGAAGCTTCCTCTTATTTTTTAAGATATTATAATTCTAGCTCCATTTAGATTTTGAAAAATGGTCAAAAACTCAGCATCCTTTCTGTTATTATCTAGCCTTTGTTACGGTTTCCTTTCCTTTTTGAATGCTAATTTTTTTTTTCAATAACCAACTCAGTACTTACCAAACAGGATGCTGTCCATTTTGGCAGTAAAGATTCTCAATACGGCAAACGCATAAAGAGTCGTTGAAGGGAGGCTGCCCAGGAGCGGATCCCATGTAGGTAACCTCACAAATTGGGAAAATTTGGTTTGGAAGGATTGTTTCTGGTTGTCCAGCAACTGTTATCAAGGGTTCTTCCTTCGATCCCTGGCTCTGGAACGACATCACGTCCATCACCTTAACTATACGGAATCTCGTATCCTTCAAAGCTTCTTGTGTTTACGTATCGATCTCGGTAGAGGTAGATGTAAAAATAGTCTTGGTTCATCAACAACATGTCACTACAAGGAAGGGAAGGCAGGGAGCAGCTGAAAATAGAAACCATCCAGACCTGAAGTACTGACTGAAAAGTATTCGGGATACTTTAAAAATCAAGTTTTAATTTCACATTTCAAAAAATACGAGTTATTACGACATTATTTCATGGGCGATAGTTCTGAGAGGTTGACAATAATAGATGGTTCAGTAGGGTATCCCTTTTGGAGATAAAATATCAAATAGGCCAGAAACAAAACAGGAAACGACTTATTTCAAAAGAACCAGCAAATCAAAAAAACTCTAATCAAACTTATCAAAAAAATGGAGAAATTTGCAAGATTGATTACCCATCTTATAAAAAAAGATATTATTAGAAAGCTTCAAACCAAACTTGAAAAACAGTTTCTCATATTCAACGTTGAAGCGGCCTTTACTTTCAATATACGAATAAATATATAAAATATTAAAATTTTTCACTCACTCTGTCTCGTTGACGGATAAACTGAGGACATCTGGAGAGAAATTGAAGATAATGAACTGATAAGTGGAAGCGCCGTCATCGCCAAGATTAACATAGATCTCGACAATTATACTCGAATTCGTGGTGAAGGAAGTTTCCTCGAATAAAAAGCTGTAGTACAGCTGTGCTTTGACGTAGGTCACTAGGAGAAAGAGCAGGGAGAGTCGCATCGTGGACTGTCAAAACGATACTGATAACGTTTTTAGCACCCCGCAGCCTTCTGTTTATCCTTATCTCATTTAAAAGTTTCCTTATCGTTTCTTTTCTTTCTCGTTGTTTAGTTTTTTTTTTTCCGAATTCCAATGTTTAAGTCGTCATATTGATTATTCCTATAGAGTTTTTATCTTGAATTTTTAAAATGTAAATCAAAAAACTGATTTGAAGTCTAGTTTATCCTTTTCGCGTAATATAAATTATCACTGGCTTTTTTCAAACCTCTATGAGGCAATATCACGAAATTGTGACAACAGTTGGGATTTCGCTAGAAGTATGATACCGAGTTAAAAGTCATTTCGCGAAATATGAAATTAGCGTCAGAGAAAAAGAAAGATACCTAAAATTTGGAGAGTCTGAGACATTTGTGCATTTCAAGGAAATTATTTTGAACACGGCTTAGGATTAGAAAAAAAGCCGCATCAGCTCAGTTAATTCTATTTAAAAAAACTGTTTCATGCATTTCTTATATTTGTTTTCAGATTTTTTTCAACAACTTTAGAAAATTTATTAGAGAACATCTCAATATACCCGTTCAACATGATCAATTTTTCATATTCAACACTGACTTGGGACAAAAAAAAAATTGAAAAATGTTGTTTTATGTTTTTTTTTTGTCCCAATCAGGTTTCAAATCAAATTTCATCGATTACTTGTTTGCACTGTCCTCGGAACTGAGGTTTTCTTCTTTGGTAGCGTTTCTTTTTCTGGTGCTGCTTTTGTCCGTGAATCGCGATTCCCTCTGAGAATCCTGGACTCGTTTTCGTCTCATATAGTAGTAGACCAGAATGTGCATAGTTCCTTGAGATCCGACTATGACAGAAAAAATATAATGCCATGCAGTTGTGTGTGGCCAATTTAAAGTGAAGTATTGCAGAACCTGTAATCAGAAAAGTTGATTTTTGAGATCATAAGAAGTTGACCCATGGCATTCCCAACGAGATTTGCAAACAAAACATGGAAATAATCTTTGACTTGATATGTGGATCATGTTGGTGATTCAACTGAAAAGAAGTATCATATATTCATTTTGCAATATTTTTCTCACTATTTTACTGAACTTTCTCGTTCTAGTAACGAAAAGTTTGTAAACGAGGAAAGTAGTGCAGATAATTCCGTTTATAAGGAGAATGCTGATCGGGACGACGATCGCGTAGACGACGTAGTCTGGTCTGACCCAACAGAAGCCGTCGTTGCGGTCGAAGAAGTTGGTGAAGATCAACAAAAGCAAGGAGAGAAGGACTGGTAGAACTGAGAAAAATTTTTTGATTGAGTGAACATAAACTTTTTCGAACTTGTGCTCACTGCAACAACTGCGGGTGGAGCTATTAGAGCTGTGAAGGCAGGTTGAATTCTGACGGGAACAAAAGGACGGATCACCCTTAGACCTTGATATACTGTCAGGAATATCGAGCTGAAATGTAATAGGTTAAACTGAGGGTAAATGTTTTTGATGTCTAGCCAGAAGTACGGAGATTTCTTACCCAATCAGTAGAGAATACAAGATGGCCGCGAAATAGCTACAAGCTGCCCCGGCGACCGATTCACTCGAAAAGAAAGCGAAGAAAATGTAGAACGTCAGCATGTCCAAATTATAGGCGGTGGATATAATGTCGTGCTTCGAAAGAGTATTTCCATGAAGGAAACGGTAGAAGTTGGTTCTTGAAAACGACTTGACGCTGTAGAAATATTGTTTTTCCAACTATCAACTTGTTAGACTTACTAAGCTCCGAAGCTTATAAGACACAGAAAGGCTAGTGAAATGATAGAGATGACATTAACCGCGAGTCCAACTCCTTCCAAGGCGCTGTCGCAGACGATCGGGTCGTCAAGAGCGCCATCCTAAGGATATCATGAGAGAAACCAAGAAAAAGACCAACCACGATGAGTGTGAAGTCGGTCAAATGAATGCATCGTGCTTCCAGAATCCCATCTTTGACTGATATGATAGTACAAGGCTGATTCACGGCCCAAGTATCCTTCTCAATATCCCACCAAGTCACTCGAAAAGTTCCGTGAAGAGGGTTTTGAAGCTGAAATGAATGAAATATAGTTTATTTCTATTTTTCTGAAAACTTTGGAGACGTCAAATCGGAGAACGGCCATCGTTGCTTCTGTTGAAGCGGCGTGGATTTGCTGCCCGTCGTTCAAAATTGTAGCGCTCATCACGGGAGATTCCTCTGTTAGTGAAACTTGCTGCACACAGGGAGACGGCGCCTCAAAAGCTACAAGAAGAGAAATAATCCTTTTTTTGTTACCACTGAAACTCACGGTCTGAATCATCGTCTTTAGAAGGTTTCAACCAGAAAGAGCTACTGGAAATGTCTGACCTCCCGGATATCGGAGGCTGCCTTTTTGTGTAGTTTCTCAATAGTTGAGGCCCAAGGAACAGCTTACGATCTCGATAAATTGTGAAGAATGTGTGAGAAACTGAACTAATTAGTTTCTTCTTTTTAACATTAATTGCGATGACTAACTCTGCTGCGTTCCACATAAATCACTCAAGGGTATCAATATCGAGTTCAGCTTTGTGTAGCTGGTAGACATGTTGATCAGATTGAACTGATTCCCAAGATCCATGATTCCATCATCTCTCTGGGTCTCCTTCAATATTTTGGTTCAAGTAAAAAGTGTCTGAAGGTGATACCTACAGAACAGTTGAGTCTTTTGGAAGAAAATCCCAGATTGGCCCCTTCTAAATATTCAATCCGCTCATCGGCTGTGTTGTCCACCATTTTAGGTAACAACAATAATAATCTATGAACTTTTAGAATTCCTGATTCGCATGATTCTGTACCTTTTATCCGAATTTCCACTCTGCCTTATTTGGTTAGTGTCGGCATACATGACGTTGTCCATATTTTGAAGAATTTTATATGAGTCCTAAATGTCTCAAAATTAACTTTTTCAACTCTTATGTATAATCTTCACGTTGAAGATGCTCACCTCTCACCTGTGAGGATATTCCTCGGAGATTTGCTGAATTTTGAAGAATTGTCGTTATTTGAGAGATTTGTGTGGAGTTGAGATCAGGACCCAGACTGGAATAACAGAGAGTTTCATTCAAGATGGTTGAGACGTTATTCAAGCCGACTCCGCTCTGAAGTTTCATATAGAGTTGAGAAATATCGAGAAAGCGGACCTCGCTCAAGCTTTTCAAAGTCGGGAAAGTTGGAGTCAACGTAGTGAAAGTTGTTGTGTGAGAAGTTTTTTTTACATGCGTTGTCCTGAAGTTTGAAGTGCTTTCTGAATGAAAGCTGAAAATACCTGACCGGGGTTGTAACTTCTGTCGTTGGTTTCGGAGTTGAAGTGCTTAATATCGTAGTAGAAGTTGAAAAAGTTGAAGAAGTTATTGGAAACGTTGACGTAGTCAGGATCGTTGAACTAGTCAGGATCGTTGAAGTTGTCATGATTGTAGAAGTCGTCATGATTGTAGAAGAGGTTGGTTCAGGCGTTGTCGTATGGAGAGCTGAAGTAGTTGGCTCTGTTGTAGGCAATGTTGAAGTCGTCAAAATGGGCGTCGTGGTAGGAGCTTGCGTGGTGTTTATCCCTTTGGTCGTTGTGACTTCAGGTGAAGTGGGCCGAGGGGACGTTGTCGGTTCATTGGTGGTCGTGGGAGCATTTTTCGGCCTCCACCAGTGAAGATCAGGGCTGAAAAGTAAATTTTTCAATTCAATATCAATACAGAAAAAAACTGAACGAGTTTTCAAAAAATGAGTTCAAAACAAAGAGTCAAAGAAAAAATACCAAAGAGGATCATCGAAAATCCCGCTCCTATTTGGCGTATATATCGCCTTCTTGTGCGCTCCACGGATAACGTCGACAGATTGATTATTTGAGTTGATGCTTTTCCAATCCCTTCAATATTTGATATGACCTAATAAAAAAAGAATTTCTCTGAACAGAATTGAAAAAAAAAACCAATGTTTTTTAAAGTTAATTCTTAAAAATTTGTGAAGGAAACCCCAAAAAAGCAGACAAAAACTAGGCAATGAACTTTGAAAAGTTATCAGTGGAGCGCACATCTTCGTCTTTCTTTTCGCTTGTTTTTCATATTTGCTTTTTAATAGGTTTTTTTTCACACCTACCAGGGTGGCTTGTTATCATCCTTATGACAGTAGGTAGATTGCACACCGCAAACGCATAAAGAATCGTTGTAAGGCGGTTGTAAGGGATTCGTTCCGTCGTAGGTAGTTTCGCAAGTGGAAAAACAATCGCCTTGCGCGACATATTCCGGGATTCCGACAATTTTGAGCAGGGGTTCCTGGTTCGATCCCTGACTTTGGAATGAAATCACTGTCATCACCTGGGACATTCAAAATTGGAATTTTTCCTGTTTATTCGCAACTTACGTAGTCGTCACGGTAGAGGTAGACGTACAGATAGTCTTTATTCTCTAGAGACATTTTGCTACAAGGAAAAGAAGGTAATGAACAGCTGAAAAGGGTTTTTATGTTGGATAGGTTGTTGAGAACAAAGTTTTGTTTTTAAAAAAAATCGGAAACCTTAATGAAATATTATATTTTCAGAAAATTAGACTTCGAATAAACTTTTCACTAGTCGCCGAAGCTCTCCCGCCCATACTGCATATGTAGAAATCGTTTTTAATTTTGTACGTACAAAACTATTTAATCGATGATATTACCTATCGCTTACTTTCCTGAATCGACTTTAAGTTCCTACGGAGAAAGACTTCGAAATTTCACTTACTCTGTGCTGTTGACAAATAAACTCAGCACTTTGGGCGAATAGTTCGAAATTGTGAATTGATAAATGGAACTATCGGCGGTATCAGAGTAAATGGTAACGCCGCATTTGATATCCAAGTAGTTGGTGAAAATAGTTTCTTCAAACGAGAAGGTGTAGTAAAAGTTGACCTTGGCGTGGACTCCAAGGAGCAGCAGCAGAAAGAAAAGTCGCATCGAGGACTGTCAATACACAACCAAACTGATAACGTATTTAGCACCTATACAGATTTCTGTTTCCTCCTTATCTCCCTTAAAGGTCTCCTTATCGCTCCTTCTCCTCCTCTCTGATTTGACTGTTCCGAATTCCGATTTCCTAGAGTTTTGCAGAACTTTTTGCAAAGTGAAGTTTTTTTTATATGTATTTTAAAATACAGGAAGTAACAAAAATGACATGTAAACAACATGAAAGTGTGAAAAAAAGAAAAATTATCGCGTAAACCCGTAAAAAAAAGATATGAGGCAAAGGAATGATTTTCCTTTGGTAATGATTCTGATGGTTTTTTTTTTTTGAAGTTTTATGAAAAATAAAGATCAGAAAGACTGTACTCGCGAGTCTTAGCCAGATCCAAATGAAGATTTCAACTGGAAACGAAGGAAAAACTCTTTTTGGACCTTCTTCCTTGTTACAAGTCAATTTCCCTGAAAGTTCGTCCTTCAATAATTTAATAGATATCTAAACAAATCCACAGTTTTTTATAAAAATTTTAACCTCTGTCATCTTTTTCTTCAAAAAAATTTTTTTATACTTTTTCCAAACCAAAAAAACCGAATTAGCTGACGGTGTGTCAATTAGATCTAAAAAGTATGAATAATCTTGAAAACAATAGCTATAGTGAATTCTTTAAAACTTTTATATTCAAATGAGACCTTATAAAATTAGACCCTTTCAGCCAATAGAAATTATGAACTGTTGAAGAGGCAGTTTAGTTTTCCATTGACTTTTGAGAAATCGCCTTTAAAAATAATCTTTTAACACTTTCTTTGACGAATTTCAAACGTGGCCTTTATCTTAATCCGAAATGACACTTTTTTGTTTGTGAAAGACAAATAATTTCCGGCGTACTTATCTTAAGGAATTCCGAAATTGACATCATTTCCCGGCATGATTCAACCACAAGCCGATGAACCAATTCTTTTCCAAAAGTTGATGAGTAAACTCGATTTTCAGTCTTCGCGATTCGCAATTGACCGACTACGATATCAGCGACTTTAATCCCGTTGAAGTTTGTTTTTTTGTCTTTTTTAGGCAAATATAAGGGTTTTAGGCCAGTAATGATGGCTCGGCTTGGCAAGAAACTCATTTCAACGCCCCTCAGGCCATTCAGGAGCAACATCGACGAACGACCGCTGATAGTGACGATTATGTCAAAGTTTGAATAACCCTCCTAAATTCTTTTACGGATGTGTTTTTAGATAACTGAGCCCATCTACGACTACCCGCCAAGAAATGAAAAGGCGATCAGTCCACATGAAGCTGCTCAGTTGCAGGTTCTTTTTTTTTCAATATAATTTCAATATTTTTTAAGATAACTCTTCATTGATAAATGTATCCTTCCATCGGATTTTGAAAACCTATCAAAATATTTTTTTTCAAGGATTTCAACTTGTAGATTTCCGAAACATTGAAGAGTTTGAATTTTGGAAGGCAAGAGCGAGTTAGATTCAAAATATTTTTCTTAAAAAAATGTGTTCACATTTTCAGGCATAAAATAAATTTAAAAAACAAATGTAATTTTCATTCATTATAAGGAACGAACACATTATTTAAAAAAGTCAAAATTGAAATAAAATTAAAAAGAAATGATTTTCCGACCGAAAAACATTCAAAAAATTGTGTCTTCACGGTTTTTCCATGTCTATTTTCTCAAACCACCTTCATCGAAGGTCACTCTATTTTTTTCTTTCAATCACTTTTCTTCAACTGATCTCACAGGAACTCGCCCAAGAGTACGATTTCGGTTTGGACATCCCTGGAGTGGCATCTCCTCCAGTTCAACAACCTCAGCCAGCTCAAAAGGAGCTTGAGGTTCAGCACAACGTCACTTTTGTCGATCCCTTCGGTCGACCCATTCAGCCTTTTGAGGCGGTACCTCCGCCGCAGCAAGTCCGAACTCAACAGGTCGAGTTTTGATCTGAATAGAAAAAATTTAACCGATAAGCGCCTCGACGGAAGGAAGTTGTTAAAAAGTTGAAGAAATCCATAATCATTTATATCCTCTTGGTCTCCAAAATGGGGATCTGCTCGAAATTTTGTCATGAGTAGAGTATAGTTTAAGGTGGTGAGCAAAGTAACGGGGAAGACTTATATGATCTAGCCGCGTCTTTTTAACCCGCAAGAGGCTGAATAAACGGCCAATGTATCTAATAATATTCAAAAGAACCTTCTTTATCCACTATAAAAAAGAAAATTTCGAAGTCATCTGGACTGAAGACCTATCGAAGTAAATAATATAGCTAGGCGCCTAATTTTTCCTCATTTCGCGACAACACTTCAGTGCAGAATTTATTCTATAGATCAAATTTTCATAGAAATTCCTGGTTCTGCAACAAATTGGACTCGAAGAAAATCAATCGAAAAGAGCTTTTAGTCGAAATTATTTTTAAAAAAGTCCTGCTTCATTATTCGCGTTTTAGGCGTCACCTCCCAGACCGGCTGATCAAAATGTCAGAAATTTGCCGATCAACATCCAAAGAACTTTTGCTGCGCCTAATCAACAACAAAATGCACAGCAAACTGTTCAAATCCAAGTTTTATCATCATTATTTCGTTCCCAAGACTCAATTTTTTAGGGAAAAGATGACCCGAAAAACCTTGCCGATGCTGAAATGTTCGTCCAAGACGCTCTGGAATATCTCGGCAATCAAGATGTAATAAAACATACTGATGAAAAGTTAATTATAAGAGAAATATTCTAGAGAATGGGTCATTCTGGCGGTTTTGTAATGGAGGAAGAGATGTTGAGCAGCCATGGTGGAACCGCCCAAAAGAAGGTTTGAAAAATAGGCAGAGTAATGGAAAATAATTGTACTTTAGAATAAACAACACTCGGGAGGCGCTGAAGCCACATCTCGTCAGATTAAAACTACTGATGTTGGTTTTTTTCCGATTGGAAATGAGTTAATGACTTTCAAATGGAATCAGGATAATGCGCAAAATGTTCAAGATTAAATTTTATCGTCATTTTTACTCTTTCACAGGATTTGAATAAATTTGAGCTATAGAAAATTTGTTTTTTCGTGATATAGTTCAAATAGGCTGTTTGCGATTTGACTCTGAAACGTCTGGAGATCAAGAAAACTTGAATTTTTTTTGAGCTTGAGTTCTAGCTTGAAAGAGCTGATTTTTCCTGTAAACAGAGAGTTTGGATCCAGGGAAGGTCACTGTTCAAATTTAAGCTCCATAAATCATCCTAAAAACAAAAATTCTCTTTATGAAGACTACAAGGATTAACTATAAGTCATCAGGATAAGTTGGAAAAAAGAAGTTTTTATACGTAAATTTATTCACTGGACAAGGTTATAAACGGTTATTTTTAATCATAGGACATCAAAGCTCTGAAAAAAAAAACTGAGTTCCCAAGTTATATCAGAAGTTTTTTTAATTCAGGGCATTTAAAAATTTAAAAATTTTTGAAGTGAATGAAATGAAACAATTTCTAGGTGTTCGAGCGAGTGGAGCACGACGAGCACGACGACATGACCTATGCCCCGGAAATCCAGTCGGTAGAAATCCCGCCCGACCAGCTCAGCGAGAACAGCGACAACCTGCTGGACTACTTCGACCACGTCGCTGCCGAAGGAGTTCAGGCTCATCGTAAGAATAATTTCCTATCATCCCTGAAACACGAAAAACCAGAACATTTTTCCTTTCAGCGTTCACAAATTTCCCGCAAGGGACACTCAAGAAGAATGAGCCGGTAAGACTTTCAGAATATTCCTAAAATAATAATTCCACAAAAGTTCGACTAGAAACTAAGCTTTACCTCTACTAAGCCGCTTCTGCCTTTACTTTCAGTGGATGTTCAACTAACTGCAACTTCCAAGCTTTAGCTTCTTCAGGCGAAACAAGAAATCTAACAAAAACCTCTGTTTTGCGACATTTCTTTCGATGTGTCACATATGTTTCTCGCATCCCCAGTCACCCACTCATCAGCGCCATAAAAAAGCAAAGTTGAACTTTCATTCGAAACTCAGAACGTTCCGAAGCGCATGAATCGATAACTAAACTTATTTTATAGGTACAGGTTCTTTACTTGAGACTTTGAAATTTTTGAAAATTGACTCTCTTCTATATATTGCTTGAAACTTCTGGAATTTTTTTGATTTCCGCTGATTTCTAATTTTTCAAAATTCCTAGTCAATTTATAGTCGATATAGTCAATTTTTTTCCCGACTCGAAAGGCGAGAGTCAAAGGTAAGGAAAAAAATGAAGAAAGAAAAAAACTAATTTTTTTCTATAATTTTTCACATTTTTTTATTCGTTCAACTGAGTTTTTTTCAAACCCATAAAAAAATTACAATTCATTGGAAACTTTCAAAAGAAGAGAAAAAAATCGTTTCGTGTTGGACCTCGAGGTCTCCGTCAAAAGCCGCTTCGCACACGCAACGCGTCGCCCTTGTTAATGTACCCGTCTCGCCATTCAAGTCGAGAAGGATCGACTAAAAATCTAAAATTTCGTTAGCCAATTATAAGAATCTCATAGTTTTTGAATAAAGTCTCTTCCCTTTTTAAGATCAATACTTGATAAAAATTAATATCAACTAATTCTCAATGTATTTTCTGACAATGTTCTAGATGCTTTTTGTTTAGACAGCCGAACCCAGTGGCTCTAGCCTGAAACCAGTCGGCCGGGTAAGCATGCGCAATCTTTTCTTCATTTATTTGTGTAGTTGTGAAATTGTCTCCATTGTTTTTGTTCAGTTTGTCCTGTGAGAATCTAATTAAGGGTTTCTGATCCTCTTGAGAAGAGATCTTATTTTTAGGCACCCCAGATCCTGCCAGCTTTTGGCAATCGCGCCGCCAGCAGCTCTTCGCTGGCCTCTGGACGGTCCGGCAGATCCGGCCGAAGTCCATCTGGATTCAGCAGCGACGCCTACCCTCACCATGTACGTGTTCTGATTTTGAAGTAAAAACGAAAAGGACATTTTGAAACTATCTAGTACTGTAGAGTGATGTTAGTTAGCTATTATTTCAGAAAAAAAAATGGACTTTTTCTTCCCTCAAAAAAGAAAATAGACTTACTTTACTTTGAGCTTAAAAAAGGAATCCTTTTATGAGATTTTTTGTGACTTCTGACGTTGACGGATTCTACTCCATTAAACGACAAACCAATGATAGCCATTTACAAGACCTCATCCAAAAGTTATTTTGAAGCTCCGGAAGCAGTCGTCGGTGCTGTCCGTCCTGGGAGTGACGTCCATGCAAGAGATGCTTCTGACGATCACGAGCCTCGACTCTCTGTCCGACGCGATGCGCCGTGCTGGCCTCGAAACGACCAACATGATCTTCGGAATCGATTACACGGCTAGCAACAAATACCAAGGAGAGGACTCGTTTGGCGGACGTTCCCTGCACACAATCCATCCCAACGTCAAAAATCCCTACCAGCAGGTTTGAGATTAGGATTGAAAAAAAAAAAGAATTTCTATAAATCTAAAGAGTTGGCGGAGAAAATGAATAGAGTGAAACAGAAAAAGGCGTTTTGTGGGAAAAAAAATCCAGATTTTCACTGGGAGTTATCGGAGTTTCCAGCATGAAAAAAAAAATAAGCCTTAAGTTTTAATAGACACAACCTTCCTACTTTATCTTTGATGGGAAGAAAGGAGCTTTAAATATTTTTCAAGGCAGCTATTTCTGTATATTTCTATTTAGAATGAAGAAATTTGTAAATTTCAGGTTATCACGATTCTGGGCCGGACTCTGGCTCCATTCGCGAGTACCGGAAGAATAGGAGTTTACGGTTTCGGAGATGCCAAGACTGGCGACTGGGCCACGTTCCCATTGAAACCCGATGGCGACTGCTACAGTCTGGATGAAGTTTTGAAGTTAGAAAGCACAAAACGAAGTCTGGATTATAATTTCTCTATTTCCGAGTGTACAACGAAGTGACTCCGACCGTGGCGCTCAGTGGGCCTACGAACTTTGCTCCGCTCATTTACCAGGCCATGGAAATTTGCCAGAAGTCTCGTGATGTGATTTTTGTGAGAAATGAAAAATGATGAGGGATTTTCATTGCAGTATCATATACTTGTGATTATCGCCGATGGACAGGTCACCAACGAAAAAGCGACGCGACGCGCCATCGTCCAAGCCTGTCAGCATCCGCTGTCCATCATCGTCGTCGGAGTCGGCGACGGTCCTTGGGACATGATGAAGGTGGGAAATCTTTTTGGATTGACCTGTTGGTCGCACTGGGAATGGCTCAAGGTGTAACGGCTGCACGATGAGGTTGGTTGGTACCAAAAAAGGGAGTGCTTGTATTGAAAACCTAGAAAATATCAAGTCCAAGCTATGAAGATCTAAAAAAAAATCATAGAGGAAGCTATCCACAGAGCGTTGTTGGCGACGGAGTTCGCTGCTTGACGTTCAAAATCTGAACATACTAAACCGCTCAAAGCGTTTCATCCGAATTGCTCGGCATCCTTAATTTTCAAAAATTCACAGGTCTTTGACGAGTCACTGCCGAAAAGACCCTGGGACAACTTCCACTTTGTCGAATTTCATGAGGTCGGACTTCTTCTCAGAGTTCTTGAATATCTCCAATCTTCAGATCATGAAGCGCACGAAATCGATGGAAGAAGGCGACGTGAAACTGGCAGTTCAGTCTCTGCTCGAAATCCCCGACCAATATCGCTGCGTCTGTGAACTCGGCCTTTTGACCCGGTCGATCCCGCCGAGAGGCAGCGAAATCCGCCGACAGCTCATGCACAACCCGTTGTAGATCCATTTTAGCTTTTCTCTTCTTGTACTTCTTTTGTTGGGTTGAGAATTTCGATCAAGACATACGGTAGATGTCAATGTTTCTCCCCTTTGAATTTTTCTTCAAGTTAGACCCTACGATTTCTTGTTGATAATGCTTTGAATTCGTTCGTTTCCGACAATCCTGTACCATTCTAAATCCAATATTAAATATTAGTCTAACGTTATTCCTTAACCATAGAACTTATCAGAGTACTTTCATCCACAAATTCTTTTTTCGTCAGAACTGTGCAAGAAGTTTCGAGAAGAACCGGCATATAAAAAATGAATTAATTTGTTCGACGTTCTTCCTCTTTTTGCAATCCTATATCCTTTTTTTCTTCAGAAATTTATAGTTTCTTCCTTGGGTAAATTTTAATTCAGTTATCAAAAGACAAAAAAATGTGTAGGTTGTTTATTCTCATAACTTGCCTTCCCTGTGCTTTATTGAAACTATGTGTTATATCAAAAAGACTAAATAAATATTGTTTCGAGTTTTTATTCGTGGTTTTTCAAAAGTCTTCAAAGATTTTAGAAGTTTTGTTAGCCGATACTTGAATCTCGTTAACCAGAAAGTTCAGTTGAGAAAATTTACATCAATTTTTTTTCTTTATAAAAAAGGTGTAAGTTTTGATAGTTGTTTCTGGTGAGCTTACAAAATCCTTGGACATTTTTAGGAAGATAAAATGGGTGACAGTGGGGTTATGGGTTAATATTCGCACGATGAAGTTATCTTTAGCTCTTCTAGTTCTTCGAGTTGTTCAATAATTAAAAAAATATTACTTAAGAATTTAAAAACTTAAATTTTGACTGAACACTCGCTGTGCCCCTTCTTGACGTCTGTGTTTACGGGGCGCAATTGCTCAAAAAAACAATTTCCACGTCAATTTCAATTTTTTTATAAATTTATTATTTTTTTCTCAATTCTAATTAAATACAACTATTGATCGGTTCACTCATCTCTCGTTTTCAGAATTGAGCCTCATTATCAGCTTGTAGGTTGCTATGGGCGACGCTTCATTAAGCGGTCCATCAAAAGCTGAAAAATTGGCAGCCGCTAAAAAGAAGGTTTTTCTGATTTACGCGCGTCTTTGTCCTAACTGTTCTCTTTAGTTGAAAGAGTTTGAATCGAGACGACAAATTGATGGCGGATCGCCCTCGCCGAGCGTTGTTTCTGAACATGGCAACGGTTTCAACGGAACGGGGAGCTACCTAACCGAAGATTCTTTAATAGGTAGGTATTTTTATCTTATGATTGTCATATAATCCGTACTTCAGTAAGAGCAGAACCGGCATATGACAGTGCCAATACTTCACAAGCCAGCAGATCTCAATCAGTTCATGGAAATCCTGTAATTAATGGTTTTACAAACCAAGGCACCGGCGTTAGTGTTAGTTATTTTTTTCGGAAAAAATTTTCAAAACTCGAAATGTTTTAGGTCTCGCCGTATCCGGAAGGATCTCAAAATGAATGGTACAACGCATATCAGCAATTGAAGGCTCAGAATGATGAATTGGTAATTTTTGTTTGAATGAAACACTTCAAAAAGTATTACTAGTTTTTATGAAGCCGCAAAAGTATTGAATATGATTGCAAATATAATTAAAAACGAATTCAATTAAAATTCAACTGCGTACCTACAAGTCTTGATGTCACTTATATTCATTTTTTTTTCTAGCCGTAATCTAAATAGATGAAAACCTTCCGAGGAAGTTTTCGAAGATGTGTGACATAAATTTGGTTGATATGCTTTCAGTGCGCTCACTATGGCGAGCTCCATTCGGCCTATTCTCAAGTCACCTCGACTGGCGTCCACGTCGAGGCCGAGAACCAAATCCTGCAGTTGCAATCTGTTAGTTGGCAACTTCTTCAAGTTCTTCATGAATGAGTTTCAGGCCCTGTCAACGATGGTCGAGGAGAAGCTCATGTGCCAGACTGAGCTGAGAGCGGCGCGCGACGAGCTGGAGGAGGAGCGCCAGAGCCACAAAGAGGTTTTTGATTTTCACTTGGTCGTGTTAGTTTTGCTCATTCAGATGTAGGGATAATATATTTGAACAGAGAAACAGTTAATTTACTTGTGTGGAAATAGAAATTTCGGAAGAAAGAACCAAGTATTTCAAGCTGAAAGTACGGAAAAGCCACAAAGAGGTATCTTTTTTTTTGGCTTTCACTTGATCATACCAGTTTCGTTCTTTTCCTTGTGCGGAAAAAGAAAATTTTGAGAAAAACTAAGATTTTTCAGCTCAAAAAACGGTTGACCACCATCGGAAACAGTAGCGGAGATCAGAAGGCTCTGTTGGCCAAGATTGCCGAAAAAGACGGGATTCTGGAAGCACGACATCTGGAGCTCGAGTCGATCCGAAGAGAAGCCGCCAACGCCCAGGCGGCCCTCCTCACCGTTCAACACGAACGGAGTGAGGCTCAGGTGATTTGAAGCTCGGAAAAGGGAAAAATAGTCAGTCCTCTGAATTGTGAATATAGTGTTCAAAAAGGTGGAAGGCTTTGAAAATTACTCTCTCATCGCTAAATACTCTATTTCTATGAGGGTTTCCAAAGATTTCTTCATTTTTTTAAAAAAATTTTTTACACTTAGAGCCTCGTTTTTTTGTAGTTTTTTAAATTACAGAAACTAAATCATGCATTTCTCTTATTTTAACGCGGTTTGTTGGAACTGAATACAATGTTGTTCCACTACTTTTAATAGTTTTCGAACGAGTTTGAAATGAAATTTTGAAGGCGCGTGTGAGAAGTTTGGTGCGAGAGAACACGGCCAACGAGGCGCTGGTACAACAACTCCGAAAGGACCTTCAAATGAAGGAAATCTACCTCAAACAACTCGGAGCCCATAATATCGCCCATGCCGTTCCTGTCGACGAGAATGCTCTCCGTCAAATGCATGGCAAGCTCTCATGATTAGTTCAAAATCATGAAAAAAAGCTTCAGATCGAATCGAAAGCCTGGAAAGTCAGTTGAACGAGGCGAAAAACGAGAAATCGAGGCTTTTGAGTGAATCCGCCGCCTTGAGAGCCCATTATTCTGAGAGGGAACAGGCCATGCAAGAGAAACAGGCCGAGTTGACCGCTCAGGTCTTAGAAATAAGAGATCATTGAATTAGTGTTAATTACTGTTTCAGCTTGAAGAAATCCAGTCGATCAGATGGGCCGCCGAAGCCAACGCTCAACAGCTCGAAGATCAACTTCACATTACGAAAAAAGTAAGAAATAAGCTCAGAAAACTTGGATTTTTTTTTAGTTTTGTGGTGATTTTGAAACAAGTTTATTAGATAATATCAATTCTTACTTTCAAAAAATGTCATCCTTTTTGTACAGTCAAATAGAATAAAAGTAGTCTTTGATTCATAACCAGTATACGAATTTTAACCTTTTTGTCATTTCATTTTTCAATTTATAAGAATTTTTTTTCTAGTACTTTTCAAGCTGGAAAAGTGAAATTTTTGCATTCCATTCGTCAAAATCAATCTCTATTGCTTCCTCTTTCACTTCAAACCCCCGGTTGACATATATATTTCCAGGAGCTGGAGCATTTCCGCTCTGGCGAAGTCGGAGCTGACTCGGCTCCTCCTGCACATCCGTCGATATCGGAAGAAGACGTCGAACGGCGTCTGAAAGAAGCCGTCCGCTTTGAACAGGCCAAATGGCAGCGGAGTTTACAGGAAGAGCAGAGAAACCACGAGGAGCAGATTCAGAACAAGGTGATCATACAAAAAAGGGCGATATTTCTGATTTTTAGTTTGAGTTTAGTTTAAGCAATATTTTCTCTGAACTCAAAGTTTTTTTAAAAAGTGTTTTTTTACGATATTTCTTCAGTGTACTGATAGCTTTTTGAAAGGATGTTTCATTTTTTCGATTTTTGCCCTGATTTTTTTCTGTTTCAATTTAAAAAAATAAAAAAATAAAATGTTCTTTCTGGATATACTCAATTGGCGCGTTCTCTCTTCAAAAGTCAGCTTGTTAGAAAAAAAAACAAAAGTGTTATTTTGTGTTTTGTGATTCCGTTGGCCCGCTCTTTTTTTAACAAGTAAGATGATAAAATAATCATCAGGAGAACGATAGAACTTTGATAATTTTTTCTGAAACGCAGGACCGACTGATTTTCGAAAGAGAACAGTCGCTGGCGGAAGTGGAGATGAAGTACCGGCTGTTGGAGGAAAGGACTCTTGAAGCGAATGCCAATGGAGCGGTTTCTATCCGTTCATTTTCAGAAAGTATCAATAATTTTTAGGACCTCCTTTCTCTCTCCGAACAACTCCAGAACGAAAAGGCGACGGTCTCCAGGGCAGTCGCTCAGAACCGAGAGCTCAAAGCGCAGTTGATTGACACTGAAGACAGGTTTCTTTTGAATCTTGTACTGACTAGCGAATGGTCTGACTAGAGAACGTTTTTAGCCCCCCGTTTTCGAGTTAGGACACTTCAAAAGCTTAAAATAGCGCTTTTTTTCCTAATTTGCGTATTTTGTGTTCTTCAGAAAACGTTTCCTGATGAGGGGTACCTCAGGCTAAGCGCCCGGGCTTTGGGCCTCATTTTTAAGAAGAGGTCTGCGCCGGGTGGGGCCAGGCTTCGAAAAAAAAATCTTCAACTGTTGCTAAAAAAGTTTTCATTCTAACTTTAGATTTTCAAATAATTCCTTCATGAAGAAAAATTTGGGAAAAAATGATTTTACACACAAGTTCTAATGGGAAAAAGGCGAAAAAGGAGCAGATTCTGATAAGGGAAAACTGGTGAAAAAAGACTCTCAGGTCGAGAAAAAAAAAAAGTTTAGCCGCTCTTTCAATTTTTGAGTTTTTTTCGTTTTCGAATATTTTTTTTCCAAAAAAAAATCTTATTTTTTTCTCACAAGCTTCCAAAAAAAGGCGCACAAAAGGTGATTTGAAGTGAAAAAAAGTTTTGAAAAATGAATTTAAAAATTACAATGAAGGCTAAGCCGCTCCTTCCACTCCTTGATGATCAGTTTTTGGTCTCAAGTAAAATTATTTGGTATGATTGTCCACTAAAAGGGTTTTTTTTCACAGATTGATCGCCCTGACTGAAGAAAAACTCCAACTGGAATTGGGAAAACAATCGGCCGAACATCAAGTTCGCGAGCTGTCCAAGCAACTCAATCTTCAGGTTGAAATTCCTATTTCTCTCCTGTGGAACAATTTCTGTTCTTTTCAGGTCGCCGGACTGGTCACGCCTCACTCTGAGCAAGAACTTGAAGGAGTTTCGGTCAAGAAAGAGATCGAATCGACTGCCGAGGATTTGGATTTGAGCACGAGTAGTGGAGGTTCGTGAAAGGAAAGATTGACGTTTCAGAGGATATTTATTTGAGAAAAAAAATTGATGATTTAGTGGTAAAGAGTTTTTAAGGCTACTTAACGCTACTTTAGGGAGAACTTGGACCTTTTTTTATCGGATGTACCTTGAAAAAACATGAAAAAAAATAATTAATGAGCATTTGCCTTTTTTTTCCTGTTTTATCAATTGGTCAGGCGTTTTATTTTTATGGAGTATGAAATCTACAATGTTTAGTTTCATTTTCTTTTTACAACTCATTTCTTTTAAAAAATCTTCAATTTTGTTCGAAAACTTGTTTCGAGTTTTTCAATTTCAATTCGAAGGTATGGGCTCTTTTTAGAACACGGAAAACTTCCACACCTTTGAATATCTGAGAAAGAGTGAATAGATTATTTCCCTTTCCGTATAACTCAAGAGACAACAATTTTCTTCGGTTATTTTAGGTGAAAACGGTATGGATCTGGAAACGGAAGACGCGCCACTCGAACAGGATGCCGTTCTGCCGATTGAGAGGCAAAATGATGAACTTCGGCAGGAGTTGGATCAAGCTCGTCAAGAACTACAACAAGTGCGCATTTTCAGGGAAAAAATTAGCAGAAAATGAAAGATTTTTTAGCGGGATTTCAATTTTGTCAGCTGTATTAGGTTTTGAAGGCTGGAGAATCAGTGTCTCAGCTTAACTAACAATCAAATTTCATTCTCATTTTGCAAACTTTTTGATTCAAGGTACGCGCTGAGTTACGGAGGAGCAACACCCAAAACGAGCAAATGGACCAGATAATGCGACAAAATGCCGAGGACGAAAATCAGAACTCGATTCACGTCGAACTGACACAGGCCGTCACCAGAATCAATGAATTGGCTTCCGAAAATCAACAACTTCGAGATGTTCGTGGGAATTTGTGTCATACCCGGTACACGGCTAGCGTGGCCTGTCTGCCCTCTCCACCAACCAGGCGCTATCTATTTTTTTAATTCATCTCGGGACCTTTTTCGAGGGATCCAGCCAGCCGTAAATAAGCTATACTGTTTGAAAAAAATCTATTTTTTTCTCTTTTTCAAGCAGTTTTTTTCAAAATTGGATGAAGTTTTGATGAGAAACGATAGGAAGCTGTGAAATAAACTAAATTACAAAATTAAATCTCAAGATATTCAAAGGCTAAAAAAAAGATAGGTACAAGGATATCCCACAAGGTTTTACGGGCTTTGAGAGCCACAAAAAAAATTATTTTTAGGCGCTTCTTGAGGCTCAAGAAGCCAACGACCGCCATCTGCAGCAGAGCTTCAGTCGTGAAGAACCACCAAAAGTAGAAGGAACGAAAGAAAAAGACGTGGTTTCGGAGCAGCCTCGGCCCAGTCGAACTGGCGACGAGCCGCCGACGTCGGAAGGCCGAAACGACGACGATTGGGCGAGGAAAGAACTCGAGAAGAGATTCGCGCGCGCCATGACTCAAAATGCAGAGCTGACCGAGTCGATCGACCGTCTCGAACATATTAACCAGCAGCTTCAGGTGATTCAATCAGTATTAGTTTACATAGAAGGTCATTTTTGCGTAGGGTCTGGAATTTTCTATAAATTTGCTCAAACAATCTTTGATACACTGGGAATCGATTCCGCATAGTCGCTATCTGCGCAAACTTTTCGTTTCGAAGATATGATTTTTTAATGTTCTCATTCTTAAACACGTCACAATGTTCGGAAGGGATGTGTCCGCAGCACAAGTTAATGCATCGCAGCTAGGAGCGTGGTGCAATGGCTAGTGCAGTAGCCTATGATGAAGGTTCGAATCTTTTTGCCGCTATCGTTTTTTGCCATTTTTTTTTACGAATTATGATGAACATGTCGAAGTTTCATAATTAAAAACGTTCCAAAACCGTTCGGTGGCCATTTTCTTCCAACAATAAATTTTTATCAAAAAAAATGTTTTTTGAAAGTTTCTTGGAGTTGCGGCATGCTTCACATCATCAAAAATATTTTTCTTAAGTTTCTTTGTTCAAAAACGTTTTGGACTACGAAATTTTGGAGGAAATAACTTGTACTTTCACTTGTATCAAAAAAAAATTGCAGTAAGAAAGGATTTGGAATTTTTTCCAGCTTTACAGCTGTCCTTGCTGTTTCAGTGAACATTTTTAATGCGAAAATGACGATAATGACGATATTGTAATGTTGTCGGATTCGGTATATTAATAACTCAACAATCGCCGGGCAGTAAAACTAAAAGTTTGATTAATCCAAACGTATATTTTCTTTTTCGATAATTTTCTTAGACTGAATAATTTTTCAGTTGGAAAACGACACGATTGCGGACCACGTTATCCTGTACCAACATCAAAGAAGACTTGTCCGAGAACGGCTGAAAGTGAAAGATGAACAACTGCGGGCTCTTGAGTCCGAGAGGACACGGACCGTTGAAAGGCGAGTTTTTTTTACGTTGAAAAAATCTTTCGAAATCGTCCCTGACAATTTAGTGATGAATTTCTCAGAGACTGAAAAAAACCAATAGCCTGAATTTTTATTCCATTTTGATATAGGGAGATTAAGAGAGCATATTGGCTTGGATTATGAAAAAAAGGTTTATCAGAAAAAAATATTCCATTCACTTCGGGAATTTTTCCGTTTTTCAAATTTTTTAAAAAGTTTCTTCGCAGTTTGGTCAGATTCTGTAGAATTTTTTTAAATCAACTGGATTTTTTTGTAGTTTCTTTATTAATTTCTCTTTTTGCATATTTTTGAGCATTTTTCATTTCAAATCGTTTTTCTTACTAGCTTTCTGATTCAAGTATTCATAGCGTTCGTTATTTTATTTGGAAAAAAAAATTTGCGTACATGATAAAACTTCATTTTTTTCCATGAAATTATCTTTTAAAATCGATGTTATGAAGTTCATTGTTGCTTTTCAGGTGTCAAGAACTGCAGAAAGCGCTGATGGCCGTTCTGAACAAGAGCGGAATGCTCAAGGTTTTCCGATATTTCTGTCTAGGAGTTCATTTTTCTGTTTCAGGAGTACCAGGTGTCGTCCATCGCCAAGAAGGCGAAAAGACGCGTCAGCCGCTCCTATAGTCACAGTACGGTCGACGAGGAACTCAGCGGCGACGAGGCGATCCTCGTAGACGCCAAGGACGTCCTGGTCCGTCTTTTCCCTTTCGTACAACGAAAAGCTCAATTTTTGTGGGCTTCGATCGATGTTAAGTCATAAGCGCCTCCAAAAAATTTTCGAAAAAAATAACCTAAAGAACAGAAAATGAAAGGTTTCAATATTTGATTAACAACAAAATAAAGAGAAAAAATTGCGAAAAAACAATTTGAAGGTGCCGCCACGAGACGGTGACTCAGTCAGCCGGCCGCGATCGAATACGGCCCTTTCCGACGCTTCGACGACGGCTTCTGTCCATCAGAAGACGTCCGACGTCAACGCGCCGCTTCTTTCCAACCTTCCAGCTGAAGAGCCTCGGCCTGCGGCTTCTCTGACGTCTTCTCCTCGCAGCTCTTCGCCCTCCGGCCAAGTGTATGTAGATTTTCAGATTTTAAAAAGCTTTAGCCCCTTCTAGAGGCTTTAGGTGTGCTTTTTATTGCTGAGGACAGACTGGTTGAATAATAATATTTACTGGCTTATGACATCGCGATAGACAATAGTAGCGACCCATCCTGGGCGAGTGTGTCTCTTCCTCCACTCAAGCTCTCAGAGGCGGCTTCCTGAGAGACGAGTGGGCGGTGGACGGTGTTTGATATAGCATCCTTTACAACATTACCATTACATCACCTACGGCCCCAGAAGACGCTTCGTCCCCGAAGCCTAAAAGAAATGAATGAGAATACTAATAGAATTTAAGGAATGGAGGTGAAATAATTTCAAAGAAATGAATAATTTGGATACTACGTGTAAAATAGTCATTGTATTTGCTGCCGGATAGCACTCCTATAGCACTCTTACCGCGTATTTTATTTATTGACTGACGAAGTGGATAACTCGATTTACCTTTGTTGGAACGAACATTGATCATTACAAGATCTACAAAAATAATATTCAACTTTGCAGTAACACTGAAGATGCCGATGTTCGAAGGATATTGGAGCTGATAACGGATATCAGCGTGAGTTTCATTTGAGAGAAAAACAATTGTAGCGAAAATTGTTTCCTGCAAAAATTTTTGAATGAAAACCCTTTGAAACTCATTTTTTGGGCGAGTTCTAAATCAAACGATGCTTAAACCTTGTTTTTTTATATAACGAGTTTTAAAAGGAAATGAGATCTTACAAAAAGCTTCGCTTCACTTGTTTCATTTAAAAATGAGTTCTAGAAAAAGTTTTTTTCTTCTCGCATGAAATACTTATTTTTCAGAGACCCCCGCCTCATGTGGCCGGCAACCTTCATTGCACGCAGTGCATTGGCGAAATTCAACATGTTTAGCCACTTTTTTTCTCAAATTTAAATTTTTAATAGATGACCCTTTATAGTTCTATTTTCCTGTGCGATTACGGTTTTCATGCATAAAAATCCGGCTTATATTTATGTCCAATAGTAATTAATTATTTATTTAATTGTTTATTTGTATTTTTGTTTCTTCTGCCTTCCCTCCGAACGAGTTTCATTTTTCCTTTAGTGTATTTTTAGGCGAATCGCAAGAAAGTGTAAGAAGTTCATTTATAATTTATCATTGGAATGGCGGTATTGCAATCACAATTCTTTTAATCTCGAAGGTTTTGGAATCGCGGGGACGATTCTTTAGTTAGCCTTTTGAAACTCTCACTCGTCTGTACCCTCTATCTCTCTCAACTGCCTGGTCACTTTTTTTTTTATTTATTTTTTTCTGATGATGAGAGAGAATAGAGCGCAGACAAGTTAGACTGTCACAAGTCATAAGAAATGAACAATATCTATTTTTGACTTACTGGGTAATGTCTTAGGCTCTCTCTCTCTATCATTCTCTCTTTTTTGGGACTCTCCTTACTCGGTTCGTTTTTTTAACTAATAATGATTAACTTATTTCACTTTTAGTCGCGATGTGATATTTCTTCCCTGTGTCTGTCATTTCTAAGTTATGTGTTTATATTTTTGGGTTTTCTTCTAAAGTAATAAAGATTTATATGAAGGTACCGGAATTATTATTTTTCCTTGTCAGTGTCCGTATTCACACTAATTTATACTGCGATTATTTTTTGTGTTTTTTGAAGATCATTTTTTAATTTTTTTTTTTTCTTTCTCGTTCTGTGTTTTTTTTTCTATCGCTAAATTTTGCCTCAAAAACTGTTTTTGCCTAATCAGCTCCTTTTTATTGATAAATTGAGAGAAACTCAATAAAATAAAAAAATTGAAAAAAATCAGAAAAAAATTAACAAAAAAATATAGAATTGATGTGTTGACTTTTCGAATGAAGCGAAATTTGGATTTCAAAAATAGAAGGCCGTGATCGAAATATTTTATTAACCAAAGTTTTTCCTGATAGGAAAACTTGTTTTAATGTTACAGCCAAAGTGTATTTTTTGAGATGAGGCGTTTTTAAATTTTTGGTCCTTCTCGGTCGATATTTTATTTTATCACATTTTGAAACTGCGGGTTTTTTTTTTCCGAAGAATCAGAAGCTGATAACAAAATGTTTTTGATTTGAAGACTGTTTCTCATATCTTTCAAAAACCTATAATATTGTCCTGAATGGAATAATCTTTTTCAAAACGAAGTTGAGTTCTTTGAAGATGGGACACCGGCTGAAGCGCCCTCTGAACGTCGCCGAACGCTACATCCTGTACGGACTGGTCGGCTTCGCCTGCGAAGTACGCGAGCCTTCCTGATTGTGTGAATGAAAGCAAAAGGTGTGCTTCACGGCGACGTTCGAGGTGGCCATCGCCGGAAACCGCAAACTCATCGGCGTCACCTCCGTCTACGTCTTCTTCGTCTACGCCACCGCCATCCTCGTCATCGAGCGCATCTATCTCCGAATTTCGGTTGGTACTCATTTTTCCCTCGTACCTAGGGGAGTGGTCCTTGATAAGGAGGACTCCTTATAGGGACAAGTTTACGGGGCCCCCTCTAGGGACCGCTTGACCTCCTCCTAGGAGCCAACTTGTCACAAAATATAGAACGGAATATAAACTTTTTTGAGAATTTGTAGAAGATCCTTCCCTACCTGCCCCTGCGTGCTTTGATCTACACGCTCGTCTGCTACTTCTGGGAGTTCAGCAGCGGCTTCATGCTCAAACGCGTCGACGCTTGTCCTTGGGACTACTCCAGGTTCCATTTCAGTTTATAGGAATTTAGTGAAATCTGAATATAAATTTAAAAAATTGCGTACAAATGATTATTTATTTTAAAAAAAGCAGTTCAATTTTTAAAAAGTTGGAAATCGTAATTTTTTTGTGTTCCATAGGTATCACTAAAAAAAATTTTTACAATCAGTATCATCTTTTTCATTATTCTGGAGTGAGGTGTTGAATTAAAACAGTTTGAGCATTTTTAAAACAGGTTTTTCAATTATTTCCTGTTTCTCAGCCGCTTTATGATTGTTTCAAAATAAGAACCTAGCATTGGACGTTCGCTCATGACTTGAAAATAAATGAAGTTATAACAGAAACCTAGAGTAGTAGAAATTCATATACAACTTTTGGAGATTTTTTCTAAAACGCGTCCGACTAGATACGACTTGCGCCTGGTGACATCGAAAAGTGTTAAAAAAGTTGTAGCACCACGGCTCTTCAAGTTGAAGTTCAGCTTTTCTTGAAAATCATTTTTTTTGATATCCAGAAAACCCCAACTTTTAGTTATTTCGACTACCACTTCATGGGCCTGATCACCTTCGAATACCTGCCTCTGTGGTTCGTGGCGACCATGTTTGGAGAGAGACTTGTCGTTCGGAAAGCCCTGTCGCTCGCTTTTCTCGTCGAGGAACAGACGTTCGAAGACGTCGCCAGGGCCGAACTCCTTGATACAGACGTTCATCAGGATTGATGATGGAAGAATTCCAGAAATTAGTGCTTCTGATGAGCTTTTGTAGATATTTGCAGAATGATAGCTTAAAAATTGGAGATAATTGTTTAGAGCTTTTGTCAAAATTCTCTCCGCTTTTTGTAGGAGGGATCTTACTTAATTTCTATTCTCAATTTTGCAGACTCTGTACTTTGTATTTCTATGTTGACGAAAAGTCAGCAGTTGGAGTTTTGGCTAGACTATAGTCTGATCGAAAACAGTTTTTAGTGATTAGAAGAGTGCATGGCTGAAAACAACGCGAAATACGGTTTCTCGAGACCTTTTTTTTTAAAAACAATCTCTCTGCATGTTTCATATGGATGTAAATATTTCTGTAGATTCACCTGTTCAAAACGACTTTTTAGGCTTCATTGTAATTATTGTCCATTTTGTCATAAATCCGTCATTTTCTAGTCGCATAGTTCAAAATTATGATGCTGATTGAGCTTCTGTGTCAGATTATGTGTCGAATAAAAGGCTTTTTTATTTTTCTTTGGAATTTCTATGTGTTTCCTCTGAACACTTGAATACTTTTTCAACTAACTTTATCACATTTTGTCCATTTAATCATTGATCAGGATGCGGGTACAATGCGAGGTGATTGTGGTGAAAGAAGGGCAGACGATGCGACCGCGCCACGTCAAAGGATTCGTCACGATCGCCAAGAAGAGAATGGCTAGTTTTTCATATGTATTTTTCAAATTCTTCAGAGAGAAATGGAAATTATTTTCCTATACTTTCTTTGCCGCGGCTAGAAATTCCGAATTCTCATGCGTAACTGTTCATTTTTTCGCATGTAGTTTTGAAGTTTTTCTTGATAGTCTTTATTCGCCGCGGCTTAAAACTCCTGGTTGCATGGGGAATGGCTTGTTGCTTCAATGCTTGCCCGACTTGAAACTACTTGCGCGCGAGGGCATCAGAAATTAACGAAAAAATGCTCTTTTCCATTCGGCTGCTGAACCGTTTACGCGACCGCGATGCTTTGAGCCATTTCATTCGCGACCAGATAATGGAAAAATAAGTTTAGAAAGGAGTTTTTACTCATTGTTTCCATGAAAAGTGAGGACAGGATTGTTTTCACTTTCTTGAACATTTATTCAGAAGGACGACGTTTATCAGATTCATGTGGTCACGGCAACCGATCGCAACGGAACTCGATTTGATGTTGGTGTTTTGTAATTCATTTACAATAATAGAGATCTGAAAGGTTAAAATCAATAAGTGATCATGAGAAAGATAAATAAAGCGTTCGCAAGCAAAAAAAAAATTTAAGTTTACTCTAACAATAAGATTTCGCAAATTAGCAAACTTTTCTTCTAGTCAGTTGAAAATGGTCTTAAAACGGAAACGGAAAAGACCAGGCTCTAACTTCTTTTTATTTCAAAAAAATTGGTTTTTCATTTTGATATTTTTCGGTGTTTTTTTAGTTCTAAATCGCTAGTTTCTTGTATTTACGACTTCGTAGAGAAACTTTTCTACGAAATAATAATCATAAATTGTTTTGGTTTCTTTTTCTATGATTTTTTTTTCCAGATCGATCCCAAAAATCCTCCGATCATTATGAAAAACTTCATCGGCGCCAAAAAACTCACAATAAACGTGTCGACGAAGCCGCGGAAGACCATCATAATGATGAACAACGTGAGCTTTTGAATTCCTTGAAGGCTTGGCTGAAAGCGTCGCGTTTTGAGATCGGAAAAAAATTCTTTTCACTCTTAGTCTTCCTTTTGAGCACCGTCCGGCCGTCAGTTACCTCTTCTAGACTGTGCCAACTTGCGCAAGCAGTTTTTTGTCGGGCGCTAGAAAAATCTGAAAGACGTCGAAAAAAAATTTTTTTCTAAGAAACAGACCGCAACGCACTGACAAAGAATGAGAAATTCAGGAATTTTCATCAAGATTTTCAAAGATTGTTTCAGGAACACTTCAGAAAAAATTGAATTACTTCGCTTGTGAGCCATTCTTTGCGACATATCTGTGGAATTTTCAAACATTTTTTGGTTTTTCTGCAAGTTTTTATCAGAAATTTTAGGTGGTGAAAGATTTGCCGGCATTCGTGACCACTCTGGAATGCATTATCGGAGGCGAAACTCCCAAAGTTGGAGTTCATTCGGCGGTGACGTCGACGGAATTCCGGGCTCCCGTCAAAAATCTCACTATAGACAAGGCGGAGAACTTGAATCAGCCCTTGCCGATCACTTTGGAGAAGCTCATCTTCGGTCCTATTAGTGGGTTTTGAGAGATTTTCGATTTTCAAAAAATAAAAAGTCAAAAAGTTACAGGAGAAGCATTTTCAGTCTTGAAAAGGAGGTGAATTGTTTTTTATTGATGGGAGCATGTGAATTTGGATCGAAATGCTTATTTTTGGCGCTTAAAATTGGTTTTTCTTGCTTCCCTCTACTGCTTTCAAATAAAATTTCGCGTAAGTCGCCCTGAAGTCGGGTGAGACTTTTAAAAAATGGTCATGGTTTAGCCTCTTGTGTGATCAAATTGGGTAATGGTGTATTAATTTGAGATGTTCCTGTGAGGTTTTTAGTTACAAAGGAAATTAACTTTCAATTTTTTTTGACTCCTGCGTCATATTGAAATCATCGTCTTTTTTCATCTCTCTTCTACTTTTTTTGAAACCTATGCATGCGAATCCCCCCTCTGATGCATTCTGACTGGCTTTTCTTGCCTAAACTCGCATGTCCAAAAATTTTTATTTAAACTGAAAAGGACAAAAAAATCTCGCTGTGACCATCTGCTATCTCCCTGCCCAATTTCCCAATTGAATAATCAATTTTTCACAGTAATTTTCAGACCTGCAAAGCCTTGACACGCGAATCTTCGGCTGCAAGAATCTGACGCATTTGTCGTTCAGCGGGAATCCTCTCGGAACCGCAACTTCCATCAATCGCTTGCCGTTGATCTCGCGACTGAAGGAACTCCGACAGTTCGACGCCGCCAACTGCTCTCTCAGCGAGATCTCCGAGCCCATTTTGGTTCGTAATAATTAAAAGAACGATGTTTTATTCAAGGTCACGAAAAAACAAAGGATGGGGGAAGATAAAACTCGTAATTATTGGTCCTGTGAAGTCCTAATGAGCTTCAAGACGATCGGTAAAACTTCAAAAAGAAGCTAGAGAGTTTTCTAAATTTTGAAGTGGATTTTTAATAGACAAAATTTTCTCATTTTCAGAAAAACTTTTTCGTTGCCCTACCGTCTTCCCTTTTGAAGTTGGATATCTCTCAGAACGGACTCAAGGTGAATTTTCTTTCCGAGAATGGAGTTTCATCTTTTTCTTCTTTCCAGACCTTCCCAGAAATATTCCACCTCAAAAATCTGGCACATCTGAACGTTGGGTCCAACCAGATTGAATACATTAGCAGCAAGGTATGTTACAGTTTCATGCACTTTTATGGTCTTTTATATTTCTTTTTTAGTTTTACCGAACGCCTAAAATGATTCAGAACATACAGGAATCGTAAAAATTTCTCAATGCAGTCTTTATTAACATTTATTAAAAATGTTTCAGCTTTCCAACTGTACTGCCATGATGAATCTGAACGTGAGCAACAACCGTCTGAAGACTTTTCCGCACGTTTTGCCGAAATTCGTCAATCTGCAAACTTTCAGTGTCGATGGCAACGAAAATCTGATCACCCAGTGAGATTTATCAAAATATCCTGATTGATATCGTTGAGTTTCTATCACTATTTAGCCGATTCACGACTAGCTGAGGGGCGTGGCCTGTCTGTGATCAAATCACCAGAAAATTTCTCTTTTTTTCGTGTCAGGGCCCTTTTCTCGATAGCTTAAGCCAGCCGTGAATGAGATGTATAACATGATAAAGAAAAATGAAAAAGAGCATTTTCCACTTGCGACTAAAGTCTGCTACTGGCGTCTTTGTGGAGATGTCCTCTGCAAAATCATATCTTGGAAGTTTTATATGAATCGATAAAGCTCATTTCCAACAAGCCAACCTGAAAAAAATCGGAAATGAACCATCGTTTTCAGGGAAAATGCGATGAGACCTCAACTTGTGGGTTTCATGCAGCTGCAGCACCACGACCGGATGTCGTTCTGCCATGCGGGTCGCGTCGAGACTCTCCTCACCTGCGCCGCCGACGCCATTCATCGCAATCCGTAGGCTTTCGACGTTTACGGAGTTGTAGAATTTATTCTTTTCTAATCAGTTGATTATCGAACGATAAGCCGATTCCAAGTTTCAAATATCCATGGGCTCAACCATCTTCTTCTTCTCCCTACGCCTTCGTACCGCTTGAGCGGCGTCGGCGCCCTAAGTCGATTAGCCGAGGTCCTATCCTGATATGTGATAATTAGTGAACTGGCTCCATCCCACTACCAACATTTCTTAAACCCCTTGGTTGGGTCGGGGCGGGGATCGAACTTGTGACCCTGTGGACCGTAGACAGGCACACAACCTGTTGCGCTACGGCGCGCTTCATCCATGGGTTCAACCATAATAAGTCAAAAAAATTATTTTCTTTTGGAAGGCCTGTTCCTTGCACTTCGTCTCTATCGACAAGAGTTAACTCTACTGTAAACGTTTCAGAAAGCTGATGGCGATCGCCGAAGACGTGCTGCCGAGATGCGTGGTTGCAAAGACGATGTCGGAGCTGACAATGTGTACTTCCTGTTTCAAACAAAGATTCATCCGCTACGTCGCCGAGTCGACCGTCGAACTCAGCAGCCTCGCCCAGGTCGTCGACGTCGTCAACCGCAAGATCGTCCTCAGGTCCTCCACTCCTTTTGTTCTCCTTGACGAAAGAAGTTTGCAGACACGACCGCTGCAGATCGTGCGCCTTGAAGAACTGTCGAATCCGCGAAGTGGAATAAATGAAAAATCCTTTTTCTGTTCAAAAATGTTGATATTTGCCCCCGTTGTAAAGTCTGTTCAGATTTTGGATGTCAACTTGTCCTTCAAGCTCCGCCCCTAATGGCGCGATAAACCAATCAAAGAGCTAGACATCCACAGAGCGTTTTCAGATGACGTTATTGTACTTGACATCCAAATTCTGAGCAGGCTATAGTATATTCGCCTCAGTTTCACTCTTTGATTTCTCTTCGCCCTCTTTTCTCTCGATGACACTCTTCTTTTTACTCGCCATTTCCATGACTTTTGAGAGAACATCGACGCAGTGAGGTTAAAAATTCCAAACCATAGCGAAAACATTATAGCTTGAGTATCTCTTTTATATTTCAGCTAGTTTTATACTTAATTTAAAAATTAGTTCTAAACATCATTCAAAAAGTCTGACTTGTCTGCGCTCTCTTCTCTTTTCATCGATGCGCTTCTAGATGATTGAGAATTGATCAAGAGGACAAAGGCAAATCAAATTCTGTGAAAACAATTTTTTAAATTGGTTTTACGATGGAAATCTCAAAATTCATATTTTGTCGAACGCTATAAACGTTGTGAATCTTTCGAGGTTTTCAAATTTTGAATTAATTAATGGACTTTAAAAGCTCATTTATTTGATTTTTTTATAGCGAACATCAATTCCCATCTTTCAAAAAACCGTTTTATCATTTTCAATATGTTTCGTAATCTTCAAAATATTTCTATATCAAAAGCTTCAAACCCGTCGAAAATTCTAATTTCGCAACGTTTGTATTATCTGGCTCCGCCCCCAACTGTTTTGAGCAGTTTTTCTTCTCGAAAATATCTTTCACTTCTTTTTTTTCTGCGAAACATGTATACTTTTCTCGGTTTAACCAACTTACTTTTTAACATTTTGCACACATATCACATATTAACTGCAACTCACGAGTCCCTCACTGATCTGATTGATTTCATTCCGTTCCCATGATCTCTGTACTTTTAGTCCTGTCGATAAATTTTTTTCTATTTTGGTTTTAGTTTGCGAAAAAATTGATCTAAAATCGCCGTAATATCTCAAAATTATTTTCAGGTATTTTCGAGTCATCAAGAATGTACTGAAGCACAAGAACCTCGGTAACGCAAACCGCACTTTCTGAGCATTCCTAAGGATCCCTTTAGCGGTGTTAGTAGTCTTAAGTGTTTACTTCAAACTCTCAGGACTGTCCGGAGTGTTACCGAGGTCCAAGCAAAAAAATTTAGTCCGTTCAGATTTTGAATGTCAAGAAGAATGACGTCATTCGAAAATGCTCTGTGGGTGGCTCGCTCTCTGATTAGTTTACCGCGCCATTAGGGGGCGGAGTTTGAGCGAGGACTTGTCATTTGAAATCTGAACAGACTATATGATATATATATATCAGTCATGGAGCGCAGTTTCACTGACAAAAATAATAGAAACGGCCTTTTTTAATTTAAGTTGTGTTGAGTTTCCAGGCTTTTATGGTTGATCAGCAGATCGATATAGCCGAACTTTTAAAATGTCGGTTAGCAGTGGCAAAAGGAATTCTGCACGAAAGGTTCATTCATCTCTTGATGAACTTAGAAAATTTATTGATTAAGGTTAGCCAAGCCCCCGTTCACCACCATAGACGGCGTCGAAAAGCTCAAGAATCGGCTCACGAGCGAGATTCGCTTCCTTGAAACGGTTGGAAGAGCGTTTTTCTTCGAAAAAATGAAGACTTGTTCAGATAGAATCAGGAAAGCAGCCTTTGGAGAAGAAATTCGTCGAGACCAGCAATATCATGCATTTCGAGAACATTGTCAACAAGGCTGAGGTTCGAAATTTGTCAGAAAGATTCATAGTTTGCTCACTTAATTTATTTTCACTTGAAACTATATGACCTTTCTGCGCTCTCTTATCTCTTACCGGCGAGGTGATGAAAATAGGAAAAGAGCGAGAGAAAAGAGTGTGCAGACAAGTCAGATTGCTTCAAGTGGTGTTGGTCCAGGTAAAAACTCTTTGAGAATTTCCGTTTTGAGATAAATATGGACTCTAGAAAAAATTAATTTTTGAGATACAAGAAAAACATATGGAAAATTCAACTTTTCTTTTAAGCTTTCGAAAAAAAAAATTTGAGTTATTTTCTTATTCACTAGGAAAGTAGTATTTTTTTGAACTGCTTTCTGGCTTTTCGAAATTTCATGATACTTCAAAAACAGCTTACTTTTGAAGAAATACGAAGGCGTTACGGCGGTCCTACAAACGTTCACGATAAAAAACGTCGAGGACGGCGACAGGACCATGAAACACATTGTCGACATTGTGGCTAACAATGGGAATCGATGGGTTGGTTTTAGAGCCATTGGTCGCATTTGGAATGGCTCGATGTTTAAAGGCCACGCGGCGGTTGCTTTGATGCGTGTCAGAATCGATAAAATATTTCTCAGAGGCTTAAGGAAATTTGAAATCAACTCAGGTCTACTTGACTCTGTCGGCGGGTCAAAGGTTTAAGCCATTCCGAATGCGACCCGGAAACTTTCTTTCTTTGAATCGATGCAAAGGATTTATGGCGTTTTTTTAGATCAAAGTGATTTCGCGAAGTCCCAAAGGGATTTGTATGGATTGGTTGACGGGAGCCAGTCGGAATATTCTGGAACAAGCCAATGATTATATTCAGGTCTTTTCTGTATGAAAACATATTGAATCTCGAGCTTTTTAGATGTCGAAAAGGTTTATGAGAAACTTTTCTGCCCCAGAAGTGGTTTTCGATTTCACGGCCGGGGTCCCTGATCGGATAGCCAATAAATTGCGGTCCGAAGGCGTCAATGTCGTCGGAACACTGGTGATTGCTTTAATCTCAATTCTGGGAAAATAGTGGGATTTCACCTTGAAAGAAAATGAATAAAAAAAAATTTATATTCCTCATGAAAAAGTATGTATGGTACATTATTTTTTATTTATTTCTAAACCACTGCAATATTGGCGAAAAAGAACTCGAATTTTTAAAAAAACAAGTAAAAAATTGAAAAAGAAAACCGAGATTAATGGAGTTTAGAAAATTATCAATTCCCAAAACTTTCGAACATTATTGGTTTCGCTGTAATGTTTGACATCAAAACCATAGATAAAATTAGGCGAGCCTATTAATAAGAAGTAAGTTTCAAGAAAAAAAACTACGTCAAAATTGGCTTTTTTTGGTACAGCAATAATCGTACATGAATTGAAAAAAAGTTTAGAAAGGTATTTTTTTAAAAAAACGTGTTTTTTTGCCTTTTTTTGACAAAATTTTTCGAATAAATATTGAGTCTACGTTTTCAGAACACAATAGAGAACTGTTTCAGAAAAATTTTTAAAATATCGATTTTTTTATTTTTCATACTTTAAAGCCTAACTGATTTGAATATTTTTTTCCTCGGCTCAATCTCTCACCCAAACTCCAGTAAACCGAGCTTTTTTCAAGGTCGACATCAACACTATAACCAAAGTGCCTGAAGACTTCCTGGAGATGCTCGACGTCTCCGAAACGAAAGACGTCGAAACATCTTCGAGTGAACCTTACCAACCTCCCATCAACCTTGATGTCTCCGCCGTTTTTGTTCTCGTTTCCAATTTGACTCATGAGGGCGGAACTAATCATAGGTTTTTTTTCTGTTCCTTCTATTAGAATTGACTTTGTTTTTCTAGGTTCTCTAGTAAATTATTAACTCAACAAGCCGAAATGGAGCGGGAGCAACCGGCGCGGCGGAATTTGTTAGAAAAAATTGAAGGTTTTTTAAGTTTGGGATTTTTTCTGATAATAAAATGGCCGTATTTCAATTTTTTTTTTTTCTCAAAACATAATTAACCAAAAAATCTTATAACTGCTCTCACAGATTGGTTTTTTTCTTTAGATCTTTTTTAAAACTATCTGTGAAGCACAGGGTCGCACTTGGAATGGCTTTCAATTCGTATCTTCTAGGCGCAACCGACCTAAATAACCCCGATCGGAAAGCATTGTATAGAGAACTTAAACTTCAAATCATCTGTAAACCTTTTCAAGCCGCAACGCGAACGCGACGCTCTGACCCATTCCAAGTGCGACCGCGAGGAAAAAAGATGAGAATGGATAGTTTCTAATATTCAACTTAAATTTTTTTTATCGGTTCGAAGCTGATTTTTGGAGCTCCAGGAAGAGACTGGATCATGTGCAAAACTGCGTTTGAAGCCGTCAAGACGATTGTCTACACGGTTGGAGGAGAAACAGAACGGGAAAGATGGGAAGAACTGATACGAAAAGTTCGGATCGTCGAGGACAATCCTTCACCAAAATCTGAGCTCCTCCAGCTCTCCGATCGGATCAATAGTCGCAGCATTGTCAGTTTACTGATATAACTGGAATGAAAGTTCTTAGGGCCTAAGAAAACTTTTGAAGGCTCCAAGCGTTCTCAAAGAAACACCTCACTTTCTCTAACGGCTGCCGTGAAGCTTGCAAAAGTAGCCATTCTAGGGGTTTGTTTAGTGGCCACTTTAGAGAAGCATGCTACTTATTTATTTCTTTGAAATTTATGAGAGTTGCTTCTCATAGAAAATCTTTGAAAAAAATATTACATTTAACAGTGGGACTTCCATTTAACTGATAAATAAACATGTAGAGTTTTTCCATTTTTCTGATTTCCAGGTGATTTTCGGCTCTGGAGACCATTACAAGGCGGTCACGGCCACGGCAAATAAACACTTTGTTTCTTCGGCTCATCATCAGGTTGCTGTTACTCATTTTCTTGAAAAAAGTTCGCCTCATTTTTTTTTTCGTTCTCATGCCTCAACTCTTCGCTCTTCGGGCCTTCTGATTCCAGAACGAAAAAAAAAAAATTCACGCAATAGATCTGTTTTTCGATTTATGAAACCTCTCAAATAACGCTTTTTTCAATGTTTTGTGTGATTTGCGAATTTAAAAAGCTCATTACTCGAAAAACAAAGTCTGTCGCGGGAACTTTTTTTCTGGAATAAGGAGGTCCTAAACGGAAAATTTACTTAAACTTCTTAAAGTGAGAAGCCGGTTTCTGTGTCATGTTAAGGCGTACAAGACGTTCGCCTCTTTTTTCTCAACAAGATTTTAAAACAGGAAAATTTTGCTTTTTCAAAATATATTCCACATTATTCCAGGGCGTCGCTTTCGATGTCGTTCTACACGAGTCTCGCGCTCTGAGCGAACAAAAAGAGCAAGAATTGTAACATTGTAATATTTCGACTTACTGCCATTATTTTTGATTATTTTGTTATAACGGCTTTATTTAATATGTTTGGACTAAGCTACGGTTCTAAGACAGGTGTGATTGAATTTAATGAATATTTTCTATGAGCACTGTTTTTTTTTTGTTTTCGGTTCGTATTTAATCACGATTTTCATGTTTTTGTTCATTATCTATCAGTTTTTAAAGTTTTTTTCAACTTCAGGATAATATAAAGATGACGACGGCAACTTCGAGTTCTTTCCCGAAAATCCTTTCCAAAACGATCGACTGCAAACAAGGAGCCGTTCGGGCAGTCAGATATAATGGTAATGATGATTTATTCAATCTTTCCGATAAGTGATTGACTTTCAGTTGATGGGAACTACTGTGTCACTTGTGGCAGCGACAAAACAGTCAAACTGTGGAATCCCTTGAGAGGAAGTCTTCTGAAGACCTACTCTGGCACGGGGAACGAGGTTTCTTCGATATATTTGATTAGCAAGAAAGTTTGAAATCCTTCTAATTGAAGTTATTTTACAATTATCTGAGAAAATAGCTTTGATGGCCTACCCCCCCACCGGTAAGATGGAAAAAAATGATTTTTATTGAAGGTCCTCGACGCGGCTTCTTCCTCGGACAACGCTCAGATCGCGGCTGGAGGTGCAGACAAGGCTCTGACAGTTTTCGACGTCGAAACGGGAAAGCAGCTCCGACGGTGGCGGGCTCACGGCGGTACACCTCGTTCCCATTACCTCTACATAGGTGCTTCAAAATTCAGCCCAAGTCAACGCGGTGGCCTTCAATGAAGAGTCCAACGTCGTCTTTTCCGGATCCATGGACTGCACCATGCAGGCTTTCGACGCCAGAAGTCGCAGCGAAAAGCCGATTCAGGTAGTTTTGTGAGGAAGGTGTGATAATAAAGAATTTCAGTTGCTATATGTATTTTCTTTTTTCAAAACTGATTTTTCTTTGCTTTCTGACTTTTTCCGCAAGTTTCCCATGATACTCTCTAACGTCTTCTTAAAAAAACAAGCTTCAAGATTTCTCGGTTATTGAAATATGACGTCGCAAAGTTTCCGAGTGATACTGTAAAACTGTTTTTTTTTTTTCACTTAAAGCCTTTTTTCATCGAAAAATAAGAATTATCGAAATTCTGATTACTTCAAGAGCTTCAGAGATCAACTTCTAAAACTCCAAAAATCAAATAAAAAAGAAAATAACTTTCTCGCCAGATCTTCACTGAATCCACCGACGCAATTCTTTCTATCGACGTCAACGGACACGAAATCGCGGCTGGAAGTGCCGACGGCAACTATCGGACCTACAGTATTCGAGATGGAAATGTTCGCTTTTCTGAGATATTTTAGAAGTTCATCGACGGTTCAGATGACTGTCGATTTCATGGGAGACAGCGTGAACAGCGTCAAATTCACTCCAGATGGAAACTGTCTCCTTGCTGGGGTTATGGGCGGCGTCGTCCGACTCATGGACAAAGGCAACGGACGTCTTCTGGCTAGGTTCAGCCTTTTTTTTAAATTGAAATTCTCTTTGAAAATTATTCGAGTTTCGCTGTGTAAAGAGGAGGTTTTGATTAATTTTTATGATTTGTTTTTTCATGAAGATTGATATTTAATGAGAAAATAAATATCAAGCTTAAAATAATTGTGAGACAGAGTAAAAATCTAAAAAAAAGAGCTGCGTTTTTCGTTTCGGAAAAAAATTTCAATTTCAATTTGCGAGGAGCCTTCTAAGTGTTCGAGGCTTCAGGAATTTCTGAAAATCGGAATTTCAACCTGCGAGTAATTCAAGGAAGCTAATTTTGGAAAAATCAGGAAATCCCGCAATTTCTGACTTGAAAACCTAATACATCGAAAATTTTCATCAAATCTCGAGAGTTCTGAAGTTTAATTACATATAATTAATTACTTTGTCCACTATTTCAATTTAACTTTTCACATTTTTTAATATTTTCTCCTTTTTTAATGATCCCCTTGCAGTTATAAAGGACACCAGAACAAGGACTACAAGATAGATTCCTGTATTTTGTCGTCAATCGAACACGTGGCGACGGGATCCGAAGACGGCTTTGTTTATGTTTACAGGTACCCTTCCATGCTTCTTCTTACCGTCTCACCTTATTTCAGCCTTCTCGATTCGGATGTTCTGACAAAGCTGCAGCATCCGTCACGAGTCATCCCATCATTATCGGCTCATCCGAAGAAGAATCATTTGATAACCGCAGCGGGACAAATCATCTATTTATGGGTGCCAGAAGGAGAAGAAAACCCCGAGACGTAACATTCCATGAAATATTCATTTCGCAAATAAAATAATCGATCCAAAGTGTTCATTTGCCGCCCGTGGGTGTATTCGTGCCGATTCCAATGCCGCCGCTCACTTCGGCCGTCGACTTCGGCGCCTGGTACTGTGGTACCTTGATCCAGCCAAGCTGGAAAATTTGTTCAAAGTACTACTGATGGGGAATTTGAAAGGTCTCACTCGAACTGCGTCGAAGTACTTCTTCGCCTTGCCGGACTGAATGAGGTCCTTGTTGCCGTCGTAGTCATTCAGCGACTGATGTTCACCCTGAAATAAGATGGACAGTACTTTTTTCCAAAACTTTTCTTTGACAAAAAGAACGATAAACAATTTTATTTTTAGCTCTGTACGCAGAGAAACTTTCAACGCTGATTTTATCAACACCTTTTGCTGTCGCAAAATGTTGAGAACATGGGAAACATATCAGCTTTTTTTTGCGCACTATCGCCTCTGTACATATCTTCATTTTGTACTATTTACTATGAAACCAGTAACGAATGTAGAAATAGAACTGTTGCGGGACACCAAAATTTTTGCGGAATAAGGCGCTTTTAAAAGTTTAACTTTTTTCTATTCACCATCTTTTCTCCGAAATTTGTTTTCCAACGAAGTGAAATTGAAAAAATACAGTTTTACGCTCATAGCAATTTCAGCAATTTTTGTGCAAATTTTTCACAATTTTTATACCGAAATCTGTGCAAGAAAATTGAAGATTCGGCGAAAAAGATGACTCTGAGCTGATAGACTTTCGGGACTCGGTTTACGAACTTCAAAAAGTGCAACTTTTTCATAAATTTCTGCTTTTCGGAGTAAAAAGACTCTCTTGTCAGTGTAAGACGTTTCCTGCGCCGAAAAAATCGTTTTTATGAACTATACACGTGACGGTTTCACTCTGAACGCGGTGAGAAAATGATTGGCTTTTGGCAAGAACAATCGATTGGCGACGCCTCTGTACAGATCCTCGATTCGTTTCATTCTCGAGAGTTACAAAACATTTGCGGTCCTGCAGCCGCGTCATCCACGTGTCCATTCAATTCAATCCGTGTGCACAGCTTCATTCAGCCGCCGAGGCACATATAAGCCGCCCCCGCCTGGCCTCCGAAGCATTTCACCTGCTTCGCCCACCTTTGCCTCTTATCAGCCCCCCGCTCATTCCTCGCGTTTTCCGATGCTAAGTAGTGGTGCCGCAGGTAAACTTCTTTACGTGTTACCTGATGCCTTCTGCTTAATATCGAAATCGCCCCATTTTCTGATTTTTCCTGCCGACAGACTCACTAACAGTTTCGACGGTTCTCTGACGTATAAGGATCAGTTCTTGGTAAAAAAAAAAATAATTTTCCACTTTGCTTCCAGGTTAAATTTCAACAATGTAATGTGATTCTTTTTCAAAAAATTAAAAGATGAAAGTCTTCATGAAACGGAATTTTCTACGAAAAATGCATGAATGAGGAACTAATAATTTCTCACAGTACAAGACATGTCAATTGAAAAAATTAATTAAGTATGAAAATTCTTAAAAGGGAAGTCAGCAGAGTAAAAATTATACTTTTTTGTATATTTTGATCTCAAAAGGAATTGAGATAATCGCAAAGTTTTTTGCGGCTCTTGGAATTTTTTTCCAATTTGTACATTATTAAATTTTGAAAAGCCGTGGTCACAAATGGAATGACTCATGACGTTGCGATTTTAATCGCTATTTTACCTTCTGGTATACTGTCCACCTTTTTTTTTAGAATCCAACAACCAAGCGCGCAAGTCGTTTAAGGTCTGACGCCTCCTAGCAGATATTAGTGGAATCTTTTTTCAAGTCAAAGCGAGAAAATTTCACCGCTGACTTGAACCATCGAAAAAATGGTCTTTACAAGATAAAAGAAGAAATAGTCCTTGGCTGGTGGAGATCTTTTCATAGTCGCTTCTCTTTGCAACAAAACGCTCCCAAATTTGACCCCATCAGCAGAGAAAAAGCTGATTTTGCTGGTTTTTCAGACCTGAAAAAAGCTGATTTTTTGTAGAAGTTAGAAACAATTAAGCTGTTTTGATATGTCTAATTATAAGCGGTGGCTAATCGCTTCAGACGGCTGCGATTTGAACACCTGCGCGCCTAATAAACGTGTATGCTCACCGGCCTTGGGTAGATGTACTCGTAGACTGCGGGAAGACCCGCCGCCGGGCCAGAACCGTCCAGACCGACGGCTACCTGAAGAATAAATGATGAAAATTTGTCAAAATGATTCCGAAAAATGTTGCAGAGTAAATATGAACGCAACAAGAAATATTCTTTTTAGTAACAAGAAATATTCTTTTTAGTATTTTCAGATAATGTACATCGTATTGAGTAGGCATATTAAAAAGGTAAAATAATTTTAGAAATACCCTCGCGGAGACGGCTACTGGATCATTACCGGGCACGCCAACGCCGACGCCAAATCCAACTCCTAAAAATCAATTTTGAACGTATAAAAAATCAGTAAGAAATTTTCTGGAAGCACTTTATCCTTTTTTTGAATCAAACAATTTTCGTTTTTCAACGAACCAACGCTGCCGACGTCCTTCAGAAGGCCGTTGTGCCTTGGATCTGGAGGCAAAACGGTCGTCGTAATGCCATACTGGGCATTCCGAATCGCCTCCGTCAGATCTGCCGCCGCCTTCTCGTCGTCAGTCTTCTCTTCTTCGTCTGTTTTCCTCTTCACGTCTTCTTTCACTTTGACTTCCTGCAGCATTTGTAATATCAAATGTTTTTTATGCAAAAAATCTCTAAAAATTTATTTTCTAAACTGCAAAAGAAGTTATTTTACCTTTTCTTCTATCCAACCCCAATCATTGCCTTCAGTATAAATATGAGTCGATAACGGATGTACAGAGCGGCTTTTCTGTAGAGTTTCTCCTCTGAAAAAAAAAAAAAATTGAAAGCCCAAAATTGAAAAAGCGTTGCCCGTTTGTAGTACGATTCTGGTTTGGGAAGCGCATTGAATGTTGGAAAACATATAATGCCCACGTATCAAATATGAATTATATGAAGCTCACATTCCAGCGCCTGGGGCAAACGGATCGCGCCTCGTTTCGATTCCGAAAGGGAATGGTACTGGCTCCTTAATTTTTCAATAAAAACAGAGGTTTTCCATGATGAAGGCATTCAAAGGGGAGTTCGAGATAAGAAAACCAACAAAAGAAAGAGCTTGAAGATGCAAGTCCGACTTTTTGAAAAGAAAAACTAAAAAAGTTAAAAATTTAAAAGTTAAGTACGATAAAAATCAAAATCTACTAAGTCCATTCAAATCAGTGGCTTCCAAGACGGGGAATTTTATAAAAGCAATAGAAAGAAACGAGAAATGAGAAAATGGGAAGAAATGAAAGAATTTCTCGAAATTTTTGAAAAATCAACACATTTTGTCTATAGAGCATAGTTGCTCCAGAATACCCTTCACGCAAAATTCATATTTTCTGACCAAAAATGTTTTTCGTTTTTTAAAAATTTTTTGCCGTGTTCAATTTGATTCCGCGAAATGCAAAATACCCGTTAGAGAAAGGAAAATATCACTAAATTTTGGAGAGTCAGAGATCATTTTGCATTTCGCGGAATCAAATTGAACACGGCATTTTTCTTTTTGTTTAATTTTTGTTTTTGATACGCTTCTTCACACTATTATAATATCTTCCTTTTTATTTGATACTTTGTCTGATTATTTTTCAGCGTAAAATTCTTTTTAACAGTATCAACAATCAAAAAAATTTTTGGATTTCCAACTTTTTCCAAGGAAGCTCTGCGCTAAAATGAACTCACCTTTGCTCGCTGTGAGCGACGTCTTCGGCCATCTAAATTTCCAGCAATTCATCAAAAGATTGATTGAAAAAGACAAAGAAACCTGTAGAAAATAAGCAGAAGCCGAAGAAAATGACAAAAACGGCAAGATATCGCATGGACTGACCATTTTTTGGTGGCAAGGAACCTGCGGCAGTCCAGCCGGTTTCCGTCACATGTCTCACTTATTACAAATACGCATTCAAATTCTTCTAACTATTTTTTTTGTCCAATAAATCATCGGTTTTGCATTGATTGAAAAAAACCTTCCTGTAACAAAACTCTCAACTTTAATAGGACTTTCATATTTTTTCGATTTGGCTAACAAACGAGAAGAAAATTTTGAGGGTGTAGAACTAAATTTTCGTATAGGTATAGTGTCTTGTCTAACACTTCGAAAAAAAAAACCATAAAAATCTCAATTATCTGCGGTTTAATAGCGTTCAACTCATGAAAAATCAAAAATAAGACGGGTTTAATGAGCCCATTTCATGTGATGATAAAAGCCGCTAAACAATGATCAGCCTTCTTTTGTAACTTGAGATAGTGTGTTTTGCAGTCTCTGATAACACCTTTGGCTTATGAACGACCAAAAATTTTGTTCCAACAGGTCGCCAAACCTCATTTTTCAATATCATTTCGATTTTTGAAAAGAAGTTGCGCTGTATGGAACCTCTTTTCAAAATTTAAAACCTCTTCAAACCAGATGCATTTTTTTTTCAATGTAAGAGCTTTTCTAGAAATTAAAAATTTTCTTTATTTAAACTGCGCCTTGTCATTGTCATCGTGCCACCATAATTGACACAATAATTGCGTTCTGGACCGGAAATTGGCCGGGGTAGATATAAATTATAATGAAAAAAGTTCTCTTGCTGTTGCTTTTATGAATTTTCTCTTGTCATTGTCATTATGACATTCTGGCTTCGAATTTACTTTTTTTTTTTGGTAAATAGTTGGTCGTGAATTTTTTTAGAGTAGAAAACTGTAAGCAAGCCTAATTTCCAAAATTGTGTTTTCAACAACTTTTCTCTTCTTCTGGACTGACTGAGAACAATTTTGTAATGAAAACAATAATATATTACTTCATTTTTTTTTTATTTTCTGAAAAAAATTTGCCGCTTACCCATAACTGAGTGGTCATTGAGTTGCAAGAGAACCTAGATCGCAGCTGTTTCTTCGCTACCTGTATCAATAATTTCTAACGTTCGATGATCATACCATTCGCCGCGTGTTTTTCGCTACGGATTCACCGTCTTTGTTGGAATTTCTCTCTCGTCGCCCTCGTTTTTACGTTTTTTGGTGAACGGGAATGCCTGAATTTGACAGATTCTCACCTTTTGGCGCGTCTACTAGTTGTTCTCTGGTATACTTTCAGTCCTTCACGCTTGGAGTTGTTATTTTTCTTTATTTTAGTGAGCACTAAAAAGTTTAAGGACGTCATTTGTGACGTGAAAGCTATCAAAAAGTTGAAATTTTTCGTTTTTCGCTATTAATAGTAAATATAAAGCGCTCCAATAATTTCATGGGAGTATATCTTACAAGCAAAAATGTACTTTATTTTTGGATATGCTTCAAGTTTTCAAAACGGTTTTGCGATTTTTTTCGTGCTACCTTTTCTTTTAATCAAAATTGTTAACCTTATTCGAATTACTATCAAGTTTTGAAAGAAGTCTTTGATATAATGAAAAAAATCTAATTAGCTAATCCTGATTCGATTGAAAGAAAATAAAAGGAAAAAAAAATCTTAATAATATGAGGTAACTCTGCTCTGTCCGTTTCGCGTTACCAATGTCCGAGTGGAGATTTACGCGCCTTTTTATTTCAAATATTTTCATTTTCTCTTTCCGTTTTCGGAATTTTTTCGCCTTTTCCATCATCTATCCCTAGCTAGAACAGGAAAAATGACTACAGAGACGTCTCAAGACCTTTGTGTCTACTATATGCCTAGCTGTTCATCAAATTTGTTTCCAGAAACCCCTGGACTGTCTTTTCCTATTATTTCATCGCATATGCATACCATAATCTTCCTTTCCTATTTGAATTTTAGAGGCAGCGTTTTTTCCTAATGTAAAGCTGTGAAAATCCTGAAACTTCAGGAGAACGCATTCTTTTCTTTCTTTTTACTGCATATTACATTTCTTGACGGACCTCAAAGTGCGTGACTTGTCCCAGGAAGAAAGAATGGAAGTCATGAGGCTTTTCCGCAGACAGCTGATTCCTCTTTTTTCTTTCCGCAGATCGAGCGCGTTTTGCGTCACGCCGCTTTTCTTTCAGAACTTATTCATCGTCAAGCGTAATGTAGAACAATATTTTATGTAATCCCCTCTCATAATCCGTTTCCTGAGTCTGAATTATTCATTTTCCGACGTTTACTTCGTCATTTTGCCATATTTCCTCTGTACTTTTGTTAGCACCTTGAAGGGTTCATGTTTCTCTTTGATGAGATCAGTTTGCGGAAACTGGGGAGATCGATTTTATCTCTGGCGCGCTGTTGGAAAGCGATTCCGATAAGAACTTTCTCTCCTAAATCTGTTCTGTCTTGCACTTTAGGTTTTACGCAAAGATTACTAATTTTTTTTCCATTTTTTTTCTACCAAAATCGATAGAAACTCGTTTACACTCTTTTGATTACTTTTCCTGTTTATAAGATCAAAAAGTTTTGCTTGATTTGAATTAATGTTGAAAACTAATTTTTACAAAATTTATGGGAACAGGAACCCTCATGATAAAGTTTTTTAAAAGATTATAAAGTTTTTTAAGAGATTATAAAGTTTGAAATCGTTTTTTGTTGTTCTTTCCTATTCAACTGATCATTGAAAAAAAGTTGATTTTTTTGAAAATTTGTCAAAGTTTTTCTAACAGACTTTTTTTCAGTTTTTCACTTCAATTCTCCTTGGCGCAGGAAACCATGGATATTATTTTTTTTCAATTAATATTTTTTCTGATTGAATTTTTAAATACTACAATGTTGCCGTTCCAGTGATTCTGGATGAAGAGTTCGCCTTTTTTCCATCGGTTCATTTCTGTTTTGTCCCAACTTTCCGCGCCGATCGATAAGCGGCCGAGTTGGCGGTCGTCTCTCCGCCGTTTGTGTTCTATTTCTGCCGCCACCCTCATTCCGGCCAAAAGAAGTGCATTCCGCCACAAAGAAGCATCTTTTTCCTGCCTAAATCATTAGGTTTATCTGTCTTTTTTCATTTCTTTTTTTTTCATAGTCATTTATCCCACTTGAAGAACTTTGACGAAATCTCGCATCGTGTGATCCTTCGCGTGACCGTTTTTTTTTTCTATTTCGTGATGCTCTTTGTCTTTTTCTCAGCCTTCTAATATTTTCAGTATCTTTTCTTTCATCATTTAGTTTGTTCACAACAAGAAAAATTAATATAAAGTAATGGAACTCGTGTATTTCAACTCTTGAAGCCTTCTTTCTGTTATTTCAAAAGCTGTTTGTTTCGATTTGTCTGAGAGTTCAAATTTAAATCGAATAATGTATCGTCATTATTTCTCATGGCGTGTTGAAAAGTATAAACATGGAAATTCTAGAAAACAAGTGGAAACTTCCAGAATTTTGTGATTTTACAACCGTTTTTTTTGTCGTCCACGAATGAAAGTTTCAATTTCAAGATTTTTTTTGAAAACGTGTCATTGGTAGTTTTATTAAAAGTTTTTCGTTCGGGTTTAGAATGTGTTTTCAATTAATCTCGTATTTTTTTCCTCAAATTTATAAAATAGGAAGCTTCGCTGAAACTTATTTTTTTGGCCTCTTTTTTTCTCTAATCGTTTAAAGTTCCTCGCTTCATTTTTCCTTCAAACTAACGGTGAATTAACCCTAAAATTCCGAAAGTGCATTGACAGCAGCAGCCAAAGAATCGAAATTTTTATGGCGAATGAAAATTTGATATCTTCTACATTTTTTTTCCGTCTTCTTGCCATGTTTGGATAGAAAGAAATATCTCTTTTCTCTCTTTTTTCGGCTTACTTCCTCGTTGTGTTTTTCGGTTCGGCGTTTGAGTTATTCATACCTTCTCCGACTTTATTTTCTCATTCGAATGAAAAAATGCGTTTGAAAGCTTGTTTCGAGAGTTGTTTTCTGTTGATTTTGTGCTGTTTCGCTGCTCGCGCACAGTTTGTTCGTCGATTGTCAACACGTTATCGATCGGATGTTTCTATTTGGTGGCGATTTAAGGAAGCGTGGCGCGACTTGGCGAATTTGTTCGCTACGCCGTCGTCGGATGAGCCGCCGAAACAGACAGCTACACAGACATGAATCCCTCAAAGAAGGGCGAATCTAATGTAGATGTAGGTTTTGATCAAGTTTCTGTGTGCTTTGAAGATAAATAGGATTAACTTTCTAGATATGTATAAAGATTTAAAAAAAAAATTTTGTTGTTATGAAAAAGGACAGTGTTTTGCACACTTTTTTTTCGATTCATCTGAAATCTTTTTCGGTTTGAGAATCAAAGAAAAGATTGGAATAAACTCAGGAAAAAATTGTCAACTTTTTTTTGTTTAGTTGTATTTTAGAGGATGCACGATCCAATTTGGGGCAAGCAGTTTTGCTGAAAGTGACAGAAAAATAGATTTATATTCTTCTGAAAAACCTGATTGAACAGCGAATCAACTTCAAACATTGATAATCTTCTTTTTAAGAAAGAGAAATGAAAATTTTGTAGCACACTATATTTCATCAAGATCGGTTCAATATGACTCATGTATTTCAGTTTGTTTCCCACGAATAATTTCGTTAAAGCTTTCGATTCTCTTAAAACTTTCTTTGCTCACTAAGGAACAGTCATCGAAATCTTTGACCAAGTGGTCTCCACGTTTGAACGTTTGGATTTGAAATCGATATTATGGTTGTTTTGAAAATTACACGTCACGCTTATCTCTTTTGAAAATTCATTTCCAAGTCCTCGGCGCCTTTTTCGACGGAAAATGGTCGTGCGGCAGAAGGGCAACAAGAGTTTTGATTTTTTCGAAGCTATATTGGTAAAAGTTGGCTTTTGTCTATTCTTTTTAAATAATGACCTTTTTTTAAAGACTGATGTTTCCATTTGATTCAAGTTCTAGTTTAATTAAAGGCCGCAAAAGTTTTTTTTTATATGTTTTCAAATCCGGGGGTTCAAATAAAGCTTATGTGACTTTTCCGATAAAAATTCAAAAAAAAAAGGTGACCTACATGCCTCTAAAAAAAGACACGTAGAGCGGCTCTCCGTCTCGATTATTTCAAAAAATGTATTTATCATCCTTTAAAGTAAGTGCTGAAAGATTATGAAAAGTGTAAGGATTTTTTTCCGGCCTTCACTCAGGTGGAACCACTGAGGTACTGTATCTGTCTCGTTATAAAAAAAATTAAGTTTAGTGCAGGATCATGTTTTTGGAATATTCATGCCGTGTTAAGAGATTCCGTGGAATTCAGGATAGTCATCAGAGAGTGAAAATTATAATTAAATTTGAGAGAGTCAGAGAATTTCGATTCCCACGAAATCACTTCGAACACGACATATAAGTATGTTTTTTGCCCAAATAAAAAAAAACTACCAAGAATATACTGAAAAGAAACTTCTTCATCAGCTAACTATTTTGAGGATAATTATATTTGTTAGTTTCAGAGGCTCGAGCCTGTGATATTTATATATTTAGCACTTCATAAATATTCCTTCAATTTTACAAAAGTACGAACCGTACTGCTTGCAGGCGTGCCCTCTCCCGCTGCCGCCGCGGAATGCGCCGCCGCCCTCCATTTTCCACAACGCGCGGATCGGCGTCAATCCCATCAACTCCTCGCTGGAAAAGCACGTCCGTTGATCTCAAAAGAAAAACCTTCAAAAACCTCTTTGAAACCTTCCAGACGACGCCAAACTCTCGAAAACTCCATGTGGTGATCGTGATCGATCAGAAGGTTCAGAAGAGCCTTCGTGTCCGGGAAATGGCGCTGAAAGACGTCCAGAAGGTGGCCGATTCTCTCAACGTCGTCCTTATTGTTCGTTTCGGCACTGTTTGAGAAGAGATAATCAATTTATTCTCCAGATAATCGACTTCGATCGGTTGGACTTTGGAGAGACGGAAACTCTCGACATGTTCTACAACGCCGACGTCGCCCTGGTCGACGTCACCGTCACTCATCAGCAGCCCAGTCTTTGCTATCATATCGGTAAATCTTTTGAATCACTTAGTTTAGTTTAGTTAGTTACTTGGATTGCTTGACTAGGGACGGAGGGTCATTAGCAATTTTTTTGTTGATTTATTGTTCGACGTACTTCTTGAAAAGTTTTTCAAGAAGTTTTCAATGAATCTGATACATGATTAGCCTATAAAAAAACGTACTTACTTGACATGAAGCGATGAATTTTTTTATTTTATTAGATTTTTTTCATAAGAAAAAAACCGCATAATCTTTGCTATCTTTCCGGAAATCTTTAGGATTAATTAATTAGCCTAGTGGGTTAATTACTATGAACTGAAGATGTAGGCTCAACCATTTTTTGGAAAGAAAAGTTAAAGAAACTAAATTCTCCTGATATTTTTCGCTTTTATATAAGAAAAAAAAAAAAAGCTGGAAAACTTCACCCCATTTGTAATTATGAGCTTTTACAGTTTACTGTTCGTTTTTTTGGCCCTTTTTTTAAAAAAATATAATCATAATATTTAACTTTTTAGCTTTTTTTGGTGCCTAGAAAATATCCGATTTTTGGTTTTTCCGAATTGTGAATTTACATCACGATAAGTTCAAAAAAATGGAAAAAAATCCCAAAAAAATGACTTTTTATAAGAACTGTTAATGGTGAAGAATCATATGAAAAAAAGTTGGGTAAAATAAAAAAACAAAAAAGAAGATAAAAAAATATGAATTAAAGAAAATCGAAAAAAATAGGAGACTTTCAAAAAAATTGGTTCAATCATTCTGTGAAGTTCTGGTTATCTTACCTGAAATGATGAGTTTTCTATTTTATTCGATTATTGATAAGAAATAAATGACGACGAACTTTGGAAAAAGGCTATGACATTTTCTATTTTGGCTTTATCTTATCTTTTCGTTTCTTTCTTTTTTTTTCTTGGCCTTTGCTTTTGATTAATGAAATTAAACACATTATTAGAAGTAGAACGAATTTTTTTCAGTTATGAGTAATTTGAGAAAGTCTTGAAGATGAGTAAGCTTTTGACCTTGATTAAATTTTTATATCGATTTTTTTTTCTCTAAAAAATGCATTTCGGATGTGTTGGAAAAAAACTTTTTCTGGAAACTTTGGAAAATATTTCCCATCTTTTTTGAGTGAAAATAAGTTGAATTCAATCAGATAAAAAATAATAAAAATTTTTTTTCAGGCGTTCGAGAGAGCATGGGCCAGTCTTACAACATGATTTTGACCTATTTGGCGCAAGATTCTGAATATCATGTTATGGACGCCTTGAAGGTGACTTTTTCTTCTTTTCTCACGAGAAAAAAAAATATGACGAAAGGTAAAAAACGAATAATAAATTGAGAAGTATTAACTGGAACAACTCGAAAGAAATAAATTATCAATCATTAAAAGTTTGATTCTTTTTTTTTTGAAAAATAAATACCTCATAGGTCGAAGCAAATTTCAACGTAAGCGAATATCAACTGGGAATAAAATTTCAAACGATTAATATCATTTTTTTTTTCTCTGTAAATTTCCGTCCAGTTCTTTCTCGATTTTTTTACAATTCGACGAAAATTTAATTTTTTTTAGAAAAGAAGAAATAATTTACAAACTTGAAAAAAAGATTACTTTAAAAATCGAAATGAATAATAAAGTAACAGAATTTTTAACTGTATGTATCTGAGAATAAAATGTGGAACCATTGAAATTTTTCATTTTTCATTTTTCATTCGTTGATAATTCAATTCCCTGTTTCTCTGTAAGTTTTTTTGTCCGGTTCTTTTTCGGTTTTTCATGATGATAAAATGGTTTCAGCGAATCAACCTTAGTTTTGTAATTACTATATTTACTTCAAAAGTTCTTTTTAGCTTTTCAAAGATTTTCCTGTGTTTTTTGCCAAACAGACGGAAGGGATTCAGAAAACGCACGCCCATCTGCCGATGATCGTCTACATGAACATGGCGGACACGAACCAGCTGCAGTCCTACGATAAGGTATCGTCTATCGCATCACTCTTTTTTTCCCTCTTATCTTTTTTTACCTGAAATCAACGGTTATCGAGCTTTCTTTATGCGATTACCACGCCCTTTTTCTCTCCTTTTCTCAGAATCTCAGAAAAAAAAATTTCAAGTAGTTCTGAATTTTTTGTTCGTAGTTCTGGAAAAAAATACCTTGACTATCAGAAACTCGATTTTCGAGTAAGTTCAACCGGACTTTTCCTTTTCTAAATTTTGAATATTAGGAGAAAAATTACGAAGATGAGGTGCCTACAAAATTGAAAAACAGGTTATCGTCCAGATGTTTAACTAATGACATTTTTTGGTTAAACAAGATCGGAAATTAATCCTAAATTTTTTCTAGATCCTTTCTTTTTCTTTCGATCTTCTAGGTAATTTACTAAATCAAAGTCTCCTCTTGTAACTTCCCAACCTATTCAACGATTTTTCCTTGGATCTCCTCTTGTAACTTTCCAACCTATCCAACTATTTTTCCTTGGATCAGAGAATAAATTGGAGAGAAGGCTTTGCAGCAAAGCAAAGGGGACGACGAATCGAAGTCGCCGTTCGCGCGCAGCAGCGGCGGCGCGGCTCTCAAAACCATTCCCTTCAGGACCCGCATGAAACAAGTCCTCAAGAGTGTCCAGGTCGAGGCCAGGTATTTCCAGATTCCGAATAGCCCTGAAAATCTTCCGATTCAGTGCCCACTCGCGAGAAAAGTTCCTGTCCGACCTGAGGAAAGCGCGCGAAATCGCCGAGGCCTGCTCCAAGAACAGCTTCCTGGACAAAATGAGGACGAGACTCGACAATCCCGACGTCCTCTCCGTGGACACCGTCTACCAGATGATGCTCTCTTATCGGTTCCGATAGAATGAAAGAAAAGTTGAACGAAAGACCTTTGAAGGGACAACCAGAACTACGGCGGGATGATCACCTTGGTCGACGACTTGAAGAGGATCCCCGACTGCACGGTCGTCGATGCTCACGTCATCCGCTACCAGTACGCCTTCGCCCTCAACAGGTACCTTCCCCTATTTGTTTTCTCCAAAAACTTTGATTTATCATCGAAATAGTTTTTCTAGAATCATTTTTTGGTATTTCAAACGACTGTTCAGGAAAAACTGGATCTTGAACTTTTTTTCAGTCCTCGTGAATGGACTACTATTTTTGCTCTATTTTGTTTTATTTTATCGATTTGATAATAAGGAAAGGAGGGTGGAAATAATTTTCAAAAAATATTTAAAAAATGGTTATTTTCTAGCTGACTTTCCGGTTTCAGAGTGTAATTTTGGCAAAAAATTGTTTTTTTCATGGATAGTTCACTCCTCAATGTAATTTATCAGCATTTTTTTCAGTTCGAGCAGGTTTTTGATGTTCGTTTAACAGTTGAAATGAATGTGTGATTTTTCTATTTTATTATTTTTTTCTCTTGTTTTTTTGAATTTCCAAATAATATCCGTCTGAAATTTTTTTAATATATTGGTATTAGATTTTTTTAAAACCTTGTTGAGGGGTTCAAAGACACGTTGAAGAATTTCGAAAAGTCCTTGAAGAGAAGAGCCTTTTTCTGTGTTATTTTAGATTATGAATGATCTCTTAGACTTCAGCGAAGAATGTCGAACAGACCAGAATCTATTTTTTTATGAATTATTTTTTTATTTAGGCGGAACCACGAAGGAGACCGAGATCGGGCGCTGAAAACTGTCTTGGATCTGATCGATTCGACCTCGGACAAGGACACTTTGAGTCCGGATGTCATTTGCCTTGCGGGTAGAATTTACAAGGACAAGTTCATTACGAGTAACTACGAGGACAGGGACAGTTTGAAGCACGCCATCGAGTGGTTCGTCAAGGGAAATGGCCACGGAAATATCCCCGACTTCCAGGTACCGAAAAGCCTTCGAAATGTCGCCGTTGGAGTACAGTGGAATAAACCTGACGACGTTGCTCCGAGCAAGTGGAGAGCACTTTGAGAGCAACGCCGAAATGCAGCAAATCGGTAGGAAATGTCTCGAAATTTGAGAAAATGCATCGTTTTCTAGCTGTCGTCCTGAACTCGTTGCTCGGAAGGAAGGGAGCCCTCCAGAACCTGAACGAGTATTGGGACGTCGCCACCTATTTCGAGGTTGGTTTTTCAGTTGATTTTTCCATTTGTACGAATATTTTCGTATGAAAAAAAAAGATAAAAAAAAAGAAAAATTTGTCCAATTTTTTTACGTGGGAATGGTTTTTAAATGGAGGCGAAAAGCAAATTTTTTTAAAAAGCTTGTTTTAAAAATCAATCCATTCGAGTTCTTAAGTCTCAAGAGAAAATTTCATCGCCATAAATTTTTTTCAGGTTTTTGAAATTCATTTTTTTATTATCTAGGGAAGCACAAAATAAAATGAAAAGGCAGAAGGGTATGGAAAATAATCCATTTAAAATTATAAATACAATTCTGAGAGGAAATTGAGAACTTTATGAAAACTTCTAGTGGAATTTTTTCAGTTCAAATCAAGATTGCCCAGACAAATTTCGATGTTTCTCGATCCAATTCTTTCATTTTAAGGTTTCTGTGTTAGCTGAAAACTTCCAAAAAGCCTGCGAAGCGGCCCTCCGAATGGTGAAATTGAAGCCGCCGGTTTGGTTCCTGAAGTCGACGATGGAAAATATCAAATTGATTAATCGGTGTGCGGCTACGATCAGCCCTGTTGAGAAGGTTCCTAATCTCGAGAATGAAGGGAAATTTCCGAGATTTCTAGGAAAAACAACAGTTCCTCTTCTGGTCCGAGTTTTTCATGGAAGCCACCGAAGCGAGTACTGACGTCAACTGTCCCCGTTATCCCGTCCTGATCCTCGAGCTGAACAAGGTCCGATTGGAGTTCTAGAGAACCGTTTCGAAAGGAAGATTTTAGGATTACACGCCATCCTACTTGACCTTGAACTGCTCGGAAGGAACCGTCATTTTGAGCCATGTTCTCGAAAATAGCCAGCAGAAACGGCTTCACCAAGGTGAGATACTAGGAATTGTTTTCTCAAGAAAACAATTTTCTCCAGGAATCCATCGATGGCACTTCTCCCGCAGCAACATCAAGGCTGTCACGGAGTCTAAACGGGACGATCGCCAACTGTTCCTCTACGTTCACGAGAACTCGGACGACTTCAATATCTTGTTCCCCACGAGATCTCATTGCAAAAAGTGAGATTATATTTTTGGAACGCCGCAAGGGTCCCTATAGGGGAGCATGCTAGTCGTTTTTTTTTATGAAAAGAATCCATGCGAAATCAAAGAAGTAGGGTTTTTTGAATGAGAACTATCAACAGAGGATTGATCGATCAAATTTGTCTTTTGATTTTCAAATCTGAAGATAACAAAAAGACCCCTATAGGGACCACTTTGCTTTAAGGGCTTAAAGGTCACACCTTAAACCTCTTTAGAGGCCAACTGACGTTCCTAAGAGGATCTTTTTCACGTTGAACCAGCATTAAATTGGGAAGAAGATATGGATAGCATGTAAAAAATATTACAGACTTGAAACAACGATATAGGGCCCTTTTGTTGTTTCTGATGTTGGATAGGACAGAGAGGATCTGCGAGCTTTGACATAATAGCTTGAAGATTTTGAAGAAAGGAGAAAACTTTATTTTTTAATTAATTTAGAGCGAAACCCATTTTTTTTATTTTCTTTACAGAATATTTGAAAATAGCGAATCTTTTTACCGCAAAATGTTGGTACGTTTTTGGTTACATATGAGAACTTGACGGATTCGATGAGTCAACGATTTCCAGGAGGAAATTTTAAACCAAAATCGCATATTTATATCCTTATTTTAATTGACTATCTTCCCTCAGAGCCTACGATGACATGAAAGCGATGGCCGACACGGCTGACGGCAACTATCAAGGAAAAGTTCTGACGAACACGGACCTCGAAAAGATCCACGTGAGATTATCCGCCACCCAAGTCACACTGTAATTTGGAATGTAGTTCGAATACGAGCTGACTAACAATGGAGAACGCGTCGTCCTGGGAAAAGGAACTTATGGAACTGTATACTCGGCGAGAGACATCGACACTCAACGGCAGATCGTGGTCAAGGAGATCGAGGTGAAGTACGACGAGGAGGTCCAGCCGCTGATGGAGGAGATCAGCCTCCACTCGACTCTCAGCCATCAGAACATCGTCCAGTACCTGGGCTGCGATCTGGCCCATAAGTGAGTTCGGGAAAGGAACGGGGGAGATTTCAAATTTTGACTCGGAAGAAGCGTCAAGTCTCCGAAAAAATTGAATGAATTTGAACTTTTTTTTACTTTTTTACGAAAAGTGAATTTTTTTTTGCTAGCCAAGAAGATGTATCGAAAGCTTTTTCGTAGAAAAAAGCCTTGTTTGAACGGCTGTAATATGGCCTAGGAATAAGTTTGGAGAAAAAATAAAGAAACATGTTTTAGCGGAAAAAAGATAGCTCATTGGTCAAAAACTTGTATGTAATTTGAAATTTTGTAGTCGAACTTGTATCCAAAAAAAGAAGAAACAGATACAAAAAAACAAAAAAACAAAAAAATGTGGCAAAGCAAACTTTTTTTAAAGTTTAGAATTTTCTAGACTTAGTGGAACAAAGAAATAAATTTTTGAATAGACTGACTCCGTTAGATTTTTTTAAAAACAACTCTTCTTTTTTTTCTTCTTATGAAGTTAATAAAACAGTTTGAAGAATAGACGTTTAGAAAAAAGTTTTTTTTTTAATTTATGGATGTTATTTTTCGAAAAAATTGAAGCTTTGAGGATAGTGGAACATCATACTCACACTTCCTGGTTCATAATTCTGTTTTCAGGCTGAATATGGTAGATTTTTCGAAAAAAGTTGTAATAAAAGATTTTTCAAACGAAAGTTGCTGGTTCATTTTTTTTACAAGGTTAAATTTGGACAATACGCATAGAACAATACTTCATTTTTTTTTCTGTTGGATACGATTTCCTTGAAACTGTAAACATGTTTTCGAATTGTACGTCTTCAGAGACACTGGCAACGACGTCTTCTTGATCTTCATGGAGCACGTTCCTGGCGGCTCGCTGAGCAGTCTTCTGCGCTCGAAATGGGGACCCCTGAACGAGCCGGCAATGGTGCTCTACGGCAAACAAATCCTGGAAGGCCTCAAGTTCGAACTCCTCGGCCTTCTCGTTCATCGCCGTGTTTGTTCAGATACCTGCACGAGCAGAAAATCGTCCATCGGGACATCAAGGGCGACAACGTCCTGGTCAACACCTACAGCGGCGTCTGCAAGATATCCGACTTTGGAACCTGTAAAAGACTCGCCGGACTCAACCCCGTTACCGAGACTTTCACTGGTAGAGTGGTCACTTTTGGAGACTATATCAACTTTCTGTTTCAGGAACTCTGCAATACATGGCGCCGGAGGTGATCGACCACGGCCAGCGCGGCTACGGCGCCCCCGCCGACATCTGGTCTTTCGGGTGCACGATGGTCGAAATGGCCACCGGAAGGCCTCCTTTTGTTGAGGTAATTGGTGATTTTAACGGTAAAAGCTGGTTCAAATGGTTCAAAAACTCAGAAAGTCTCGAGTTTTTAGAATTTTATAAGCCTTGATGATCTTCTTTGATGACGCACTTGATTTAAAAATAATGCAGGGAAATGCTTTTTCATGATGGTTTTTCAGTTTAGATAGGAATTTTTTTTGTCATCTAGTGAGCTCGAACGTCTTTCTTTAACTTTTGAGAAAAAAAATATTGTTTCTTGGGTTTTTTTTTAATAGTTTCCATGTTGAAGTTCTGATCTAAAAAGTTAGCATTAGAAATTTTCTTTGGCCATAGTGAGAAATCGAAGGATTTTTCAATATAATACATTTTCAATAGTTTTTCTACCTAAAATCAATTTTGGTACTCATAAAAGAGTTGAGTTATACTGGACTTGTTTAATGCGAACGTGATTAAAAGAACTGTCCTTGTAACTTTATTTGATCGTAGTCGTTTCTGGTCGGCCGCACGTTTCTGGTCGGTCGCACACCGTTAATTGGGATTTTCAGATGCAAAACCCCCAGGCGGCGATGTTCCGCGTCGGAATGTTCAAGACGCATCCGCCGTTGCCGGCCATGCTGTCTGAAAAATGTCGACAGTTCATCAAAAGGTTCAGGAGGAAATTGGAACCTTTCAAAACTGTTTCCATTCTCAGCTGCTTCTTCCCCGAGGCCCATCAGAGACCCGGAGCCGGCACCCTGCTGCAGGACCCCTTCATTCAACAGTACCATCATTCGTTAGTTTTCATTCCTTTCATTTTTCGAGATCTTTCAAGGAAAAACTGAAAATGTCTCAAATAAGGGATTCAGGATTTCGAGGACTCGAAGCGGTTCAGTCAACAAGAAGCACGTCGAGCAGGTCAAACATCAAAGAGGTAAAAAAAAATTGGAAAAAAAAAGCGATTTTTTATAACAGTCCCCAACACTACCTCATGAGCTTAAAAAATATTTTTCTACCTTATTTTCCTGTTTTTCACAAGTATACCCTCTTCCTGGACTAAGTGAGTTTCAGACTTGCCCTTGTTTGGTGAAGGCTAATTTTAAATTCGGGAAACTAAAAAGAAGACTTCAATAGGCTTCTTTGTCTCAAATTGAAAGTTGAACTTGATAATTTCAACGGGTTTACCCCTCGAAATTCCTATATCTAAAAGAAAAGAGTAGGACGTTAGAACAATAATCTCGGATTTACCTTTTGTTCTCAACACTTTTCTATTCTCAGTCCTGAGTACAAGTTACACAAGATGCATGAGAAAATGAGAGAGCCCAGAGAGCTTAAGAAAGAATGTAGTGGAATGTGCGGTGAGTGTAGCGCCGGTGGTCGATAAGAATTGTGTTCGACATCACGCTTTTTCTTGTTTTTAGGCTCTCGTTTCTGATTTTTCTGATTTTTTGGTTTCCAATCTTTTATTTTTTATTTCGGTCACACGTCAATCTTCCCTTTCGGGGTCAATGGTGTCATTTCTCGAGTTTTTCCATTTAAATTGCTTTTCTGAAGACTTTGGTAAGTCCAGTGGCCTTTTTTCCACAGTAATCGTTAAAAAAGTACTTGAGGGCATCGGCGGTAGATGAGATCCTTTTTGTCACATTTACAACAATCCAATGTTTTTAGAGCTTTAAATGGATTACATGATAGCAAGATTGATTTGTTTTTATACAGAGATTCTGCGATCGACGTCGCACATCGGTGGAATGGGCGTGGCTGAACGATCTCCCAACTCTCCGGAGCCGTCGGCCTCGCCAACGACTCTGACCGCCGGAGGAACTCCCCACTCGGCTCCTGTCATTCCGAACGTCGCCCCGACGTCGACGACGCCAAAGTCCACCGGCAGGCCCAATGGCAAGACGGCCCTTGCCAGCGCCAAGGAGGACAAGAAACTCCATCTGAAGATCGATCAGAGGTGCGGCTTCCCTTGTAGATCTTGAGAATCCAGAAATTTCCAGCCGATGCAGAACATTTTCCTCGAGTCCCGTTCAGGATGGTCAAAATTCCGCTGGAACCAATGTTTCTCATCCTGGATTCCATCTTAGCCAACCTTCGAGGTGGGAATTGAAGTTTTTGAGTGAATGATAACTAAAACTCAAATGAAATTGAATAAGGATTATTAGGCACAATTTCCAAGGTTCTCTTAACCTATCTAGGCAGTTTGAAAGGTAGAAAAAGTCAGGGAAACAAAAAAAGTTGGTTATATAAATGATGATTTTGCATTTTTTTTATAAAGCATCTTCACCAAAGGGTTCAGTTTTTTTTTTACGAATTTTTTTGTATTTTTTCGATGCTTTGAGTCCACTTCTCATCCAGAAAAGCAGAATCCTGGTCAAGTTGAATAGTATTCCAGATTCACAATGAAACGCTCTTCAAGTTATGAATTTTGTCTCAAACCGTACTTATCAGTTTTTCAAATCCCCCTCAGAAACTCTCTTTCAAAGTCTTCTCTGATTCATCCAACTCTCCATTATCATCAAATTTCCAGTCCGATCGTCGACGACAGCAACGGACCTCATCTGATCACGTCGCCGGTTTCCCTCGCCAACGGCGTCGGAAGTCCTCTCTCCTCAGCCGGACTTCTTAACAGAACGATTTCCGACGAGAGCTCCAACAGCAATCGATTCTTCATGCTCCAGAAAGATTCGGAACGACGGCGAACGCTCGCCCAGTTCATGTCGGAGTACAAGGAGAGGGTGAGGAATCTTCTGGTTACCATGCATGAATTAGGACAGTTAATTAGACCTGATATTTCAACTTTGAAGTTTCTTTCTCATATTGGAACCCCTTCATGAATCTTAACGGAATTGATGCATTTTTCTGAACTTATATGAGAATTTTTGTTTTTCTTCTGATTCCCATTCCTTTGGTTGCGCGGAACCGTCTTCTAAACCCATCCTTCTTGAAGATCATCGATTCGTGGTCGACGCGGCTGATCAACGCCAACGACTCGGCGGAGATGGTCGTGACGGTGCACATGCTGGAGACGATGCTCGACGGGATGCGCGAGTTCCTCTCCAAAAAAGACAATCATTCGATGCACAAGACGATCGACGACATCCGCTGCATGCTCGACTACGACACGACCAAGATTGCTCAAGTTGGACTCGATCCGTGGAACAACTCATTCTGAAATGCTTTTCAGGTCAACCTCGCGCTGTACCTTTTCTCGGACTCGATCCAGCCCGTCCTTCGAAGGCTCGACATCAAGCCCCATTGGATGTTCGCCTTGTCGAACTTGATCACCAGCGCCGTTCAATGCGCGATCAGCATTTTGAGTCCTGATCTTTCGGTTCTTCTTCATGTTAGTAAAGATTGCACAGCTTTTCTAAGTCAAAAAGTTTTAAAATATTTTTTGAGCTCGATACTGACTTTAAATAGCTTACTACTGCAGAATGAAACCTTATGTTTCTCATTTTTTTGTGAAAAATCAAATAAGGTAACTTTCATTTAAAAAGTCAAACTTTCCAGGTTTCCGATGAGAACGTAGTGCCAGCCTCGTCGATAATCAACGGCCAAAGAGGCTCTTCCATGTCCGAAGGAGAGGCCCTCGACAGCCGTCCTCCCTCCAGAGAGGTCCCCAACAATTTCCTCTGTATTTTGACTGAATTTTCGTTTTCAGGACAGTCGAGTGACCAAGGAAGATCGACGAGAACTCAGGACGATTCAGGAAGAAAACGACATGCTTCTTGAAGAGTTCGTCCTTCTTGTTCAACGTCTTGAAAAGGACATTCTTTCAGATTGATGGCCGCCGAAAGAGAGCTTAAGACGCAGCTCAAGGCGAGCATCACCCGAACGCAGAGGATCCGCGACATGGTCCAGTCCGGCTTCCGAAGCACCTACCCTCCCTCTTTCCGCGCCTCCCCTCTGATGACGTCACCTCCGACGCCTCCTTTTTCGGCGACGTACGGCGGCATCACGACGAATCCGCTCAGCGCCGTCACCTTCTCCAGCTCGGCGCCCACCTCCAAGGCCCAGAAGATCATCATGCCGCCCCACGCCGAGCAGTACAATGGACCAAGGCTTCAAGAGGAACTCGTGTCGTGGCTTCGAACTCTCGACATCGACGATCGGTCCATCGGCGTCATCGTGTCTGAACAGTACTGCAAGTCGGATCTCATCGAGTTCGTCACCAGGGAAGAGCTCCTCAACATTGGCGTTGGGTGAGTTTTCATCAATGCAAAATGTTGGAAAGAATTTCGCTGTAGATAAGAAAGCTTTTTCAAGGGTTCTATATGTTCATAGGGATAATAGAAACTTCGATTCTGCTTCTGATGATTTTGGTTAAGAAATGAATCAAGAAAAAACACGAAACCAGCAAAAAATTTTTCATTGTTAGTGAAGTGCCACTTCTGTTACTTTTGGAGCGGATTTACTGATTCACTTTTCCTCACTTCATTTATGAAAAGATAATTAGGAAATTCATTCACCTAAATTGAGAATCAACCAAACCGCGACTAAAAGCGTATATAATAATTTTTTCAATTTTGCTAGGTTGTTTTTTGACCTACTAAATAGATAATTAGAGTAATAATGAACAAAAGGTGAGACTTTTTCTGCACTTTTTTTTTTGAAAACCAATTTTTCCATTCCATCTCATCCTTTTTCTAGTAACCCAGCAACTTCTCAACCGCATATTATAATTCTGAAATTCTGCGTAAAACTAGCTCTTTTGCCACGAACTACAAAATTTTTATTTTAAACACTGTAAAACACGGGTGATTTCAGCGGCGGCGCGTCGTGCCGAATCATGAGAGCCGTCCACGAAGCTCGCGAAAGATCGCGACGAGCCCCGGTTTTCCTGTCGCCGATGCGAAGTCGCGACGATTCCCTCGACGACTACCATTCGAGCATCGCCGACGACGTCTACACGGTCGCCGAAATGAGCTAGCCTCCATTTCCCCGCTCCCCCTTCAACTTGTTCACTAATTCCCTTTGTGCTAAAAGGCTTTTCGCCTAGCTGCCCCAACTACCTTTGAATCAGTGGTGCCAACGCTTCATATTACTCATCTTTCTTTTTTCTTTTCGTCTCAGTTTCTTTCTCTTGGTTCCCCTTTCTATCGACTTTATTTGCTCATAGAATTGCTTAGATTTGTCCCGACCCCCGTCCTCTACGTGTATCCCAACCAAAATGATCCTGATCGAGGTCTTCTGTCAGTTTGATGAGTTTCCTTATGAGATTTATAAAGTTGTAAATGCTCGCCTCAGTTTTATTGACCGATTCGCAACGCCCCTGAATTTTGTGATAGTCGCCTTTTCTATGATGTGAAATTACATATGCGTCGCATTGTCATCTCTTACGCCTCTCTCCATGTGCAAAAAGAACGTTTTCGTTGAGAAATTGTACAAATTAGAAGTTTTTTCTTTTCTCTTTTTGATAGTCTTAACCACGTCGCCTTGTGTTCAAATTTCTATTCTTGCGGAGTACCATAGCGTTCTATTTCTAATTTATAAAAGTATGTTTCCCTTTATTGAGAACAAATAAACCGTCAGGTTCCTCCTCTGCTGTAGTCCTCAGAAGCCGACCGAAAATCCGGAAGATCTTTGTTGACGTAGCCGAGGTAATTGAAGCCGTCGCCCCCGCGGCTTCCCCATTTAATTGTACCTTATCAGAACCGTGAATTTCTCCTCTTCATCTGCACAGTGCCTGTCAACACGTTTATACTGAGAAATATTCGAAGGAGACCAAAATTAGATTGCGTGGGAAGTGTCTTCCGGAAGGTCTTCTAGCCGCCTTTGACGTGCTTCTGAATCGCCTCTCGGAGCGCGTCTTCGGCTCCGCCTTGGACGGTTTGCTGCAAATATTCAGATCTGATGAAATCAGCTCAAAACGTGACTTACAACACGTTCGCCGTCACAGAGAATGACGAAAGTCGGCATAACCTGCACATCAAACTTGGCTGCGATTTCATCCTAAAAATCAAAATAAAATTTCAACATTCAAGCGTCTTGAGAGACCGCTTCATCGACGTCGATTCTCATGAAAAGCGCTTGTTTGAATTCTTCGGCCATTTTCTGAATAATTTAATAGATTTCGAATATAAAGATTTGATACCTCATAAGCTGGAGCAATCGTTTTGCAAGGCCCACACCAAGTCGCGAAAAAAAGTCGACGATTATCACTCGATGACGATTCTTTTCCACCGCTTTGTTGAACTCGTTCTGAATCGGAAATGAAAAAAATATGAAGTTGAACCATTTTTTTAAGTTCATCCCTTTTTTTAATGATCTTTTAGGATTGAAAAAATCACTCAGAATTTTCAATCTTTCTGCTTTTAAATTTTGGAAAGTGCAGTGGGGGATCGAAACTTTTTAGCATGTAATCTTATAATTTCATTGCTGCTCAATTCTCCAAATTTTAAAAATTTCCAGTTTTTGGGATAATCCCCAACAAAATGATAAAAGTTAAGATATAAAGATGATGAATCCTGATAATTATATTCTTCACCTTTCTGAGATTCCGTTCCAAACCAAAATTTCGTCGGTAAACGTGGATATTGACAAATTTCCCTGATATATATATTGATGATAACGAAAGTTATGAACAATCTTACGAAAAAAAAAGTTTAAAATAATTCGGAAAAGTCTCCTGATAAAATTATATTGAGTTAAAGTGGGATCGTTGCCGATGAGCTACAAAAAAACATTAGAAAAAAACCAGAAAACCTCAGTTTTTTTCAGACGAAAAACCCGATAATATTTTTACACAATTGTCTTTTTTTCCGCTCAAATTTTAACCAAATTAACAAGCCAATCCAAAAACTCAATTTTTTTGAAAAAAATGGAGCTTCAAAATGACGCTGAACAAAAAGTTGAGAAATCCAAAACTACTAATTTTTCTAGTTCCAAAATATTTTTGTAAAATTTCAATTTTAATGTTTTTTTAAATATAAAACTTTGACGAAAAATGTCTTATTGAAGAAAAAAAAAATGGAAAACTCACAACGTCTGAAGTTTCGAAAATCGTCGCCATTCCTAAGGGTCGTCGGAGGTTGAAGTGAGGAACGGCCCTTTTTGGTGCTCCCTTGGAGGCTCCGCCCATCGTCCGCCCACTTTTCTTTTTTCTCTTCCTTTGATCAAAGGTTGAGAATAACTTGTTTATCAAACTTTGAGGGCGGAAAAGAAAGAAAATTATAAGTTGAAAGGAGCCAATTGGAGATTGAACGGCTTTACGTAGCTGAATTTTAAGACTGAATTTTTTTTTCTAATTTTTGCAGAGAAATCTTTGAAAAGTTAACCCGTTGAACTAATCAGAAGCTTCTCCTACAGCTAAATTCCGGTCAGTTGAAGCGTGAAAATTTCTATCAACCGTATAAAATGTTCATATCTAGTAAGTCTCCCTTTCGAACTCATGGGCATAACCAAAAAAGTTCCGTCTCTCAAATTCTCAAGTCGCAAATTGGAATTTCGTTTGTGAATATGAGGCCGAAGAAAAGAGGGAAATGAGTCAGACTTCTCTCCAGAAAGTCAACGAACACGAGAAAAAGAAACATTTTCTGAATTTATTGATATTTTCACTCGCTTCATAATTGATATAACTGCGGCGAATGGAAAAGTACAGTAAAAAGATTGAACACATTAGAAAAAAAAAATCTCGCTGATGTGCGGTAATTGGCTCTGAGAAAATACAACTTTAATATCTTAGTTCTTCTACCAATCTGCAGAGAATGGTCGCATTGAGAATGGCTAGAAGCGTAAAGGCTTGTAGGTGCGACCGACCAGAAACGACTTGCGTAAAGGCATTAAAAAACTTCAAGCCATTCCAAATATGACCCGTGGCGTCAGATTCATCAAATCTAAGACACCAATTACCGCACAATAATCATTATTTTCTCAAAGCTAAAATATTCAACGAGATCGGGAGAGAGTGTAGCCTCGTTTAGTCTTTCCCGAGGTAGAAACGGTGGTCAAGGCCTGCTCGGGCTCCTCTCGAATCAGAAAAACGAAGACCTCGGCGAAGAGCAGAAACGTCATGAACAGTACGATCGCCGTGAGAACTTCTGAGGATCCAATTATTGAATTTTCCGCATGATAAAAAGACAAAACTGATCAGGATGGCCAATTGCTCGTCTCCACGGAACTTGACGCCTTCCAGCTCGTGTGGGATATTCTGGAAAGTGCGGTAGAATATCTGAAAAAAAGTATTTGTTTCGTTTTTTTCATCTTGACTAACCGGAGAGACCCTCAACTTCGTATTGTTGCGGATAACGACGACCGGACTGTCGTCGTCTTAAAAAATGACTATAAATATTGACAAAGAAATACAAAAATTATCAAGGACCGAAAAATCAATTTGGAAAACGATACATTAATAATCGAAAATTAAAGTGAAACTGGCCTTCACATGACATCTTGAGCAGAGGGGAGACGTAGAACCTCGCCAGGTTGGTCATGTTTTCAATTCTCAAGGCTGGACCTGAAAACGACAGATTTCCTCGAATATTTCCCTTCATTTCCAATTTTATGCCTTTCTTTTACCTAAAAAGAATAATGATAGCTACTTTATATGGAGTTAACTTTGATTTACGAAAAAAAGCTATAAAAAATCAAGTTTCAAACACAGAACACCAAAAAAAAAACTGACAAGACTGGCTTTCGATCTTCCTGAGCAGCGGAAAATGGAAAACACTGGCATTATGATTTCTGACGGTCAGCTGGCCGATGATTTCGCGGATGCTTGACAGATGCATGATATCGAAACTTCCTGAAAAGGCCTTTTTGAGCACAAATTCCGGAAAAATCGAAAGAAAAACCGCTCGAGTTGGTGATCGTGAGATCACTCTGCACACGGGAGCAGCCGAGGTAATTAGTCGAGAATTCTTTCGTCACTTTGTCACCCAAACATTCGCCTTCTAGAAATGCCTCTTATTCCAGCGAAACCGTCGGAATCGACAAACTCAGGCAGTCAAATTCTGTCTTCACGGTGAGTTTGAAGCGAGGATCGTGGTTGAAGCGGTCGTGGCATGCGTAGAGATTGTTGGCAATGACTGAAAGGAAAAAAGTTGTTTTTTTTTCTAATTGTTTATACCATTGTTCATGGGAAGACCTTCGCAATGAACATCGACGTGATTCAAAAAACTCATGTCTTTAATCCGAGTGCCAACGACCTGAGAATGGGGTATTTTGCCGAGAATAAACCCTTTTTAGCTTTGAAACGCATTCAATTGGATAGTTCAAGTTTCGAAAATCAGTTCATAAAAGTGGAAAAGCCAGGCTTTTTGTGCAAAAACTCCGGATAAAACCAACAGTTTTGGCTCTTCCAAGCACAATTTTAAAGGCATAGGGGCAGTAAAAAAACGGTGTTTCAGTTCAAAGCAGTACTTTGTAGAGCTTTTCATTGCAAATCGAACGGTGGACTTGGAAACGTACCGAACTTCCTAGTTTTCAAATCAAATCAAATCAAATCATTTATTTTGTTGTTTTAGTCTGATGTAATCGACTAGGCGGTGAACAAGAACTTTAAAAGCTATAACGAACAACCGCCTTTGGCGAACTAGAAGTCCAAACGTGTAGTCGAAAGAGTTGAAAGCATGGTCTTACGGTCCTTCGCCTCGTCCTTCTGCGCGTAGTCCATCCAATTGCGCCTTGACGAGCTCAGAATGTAGCGGATGGTGTAGCTGGAGCCCGGAGACCGTGCTCTAGGTGGAAGCCTCAGAATGAGAGCGACCACTTCGAGTGAAGATTTTATACGGAATTTTGAAGAAAAAATAATTCAAAGTCGGAGAGAGGAAAGTTTGAGTTCCCGCAAAAAGGACGCTTTGCAGTAAGGTTGCTCTATGGACAACAGGCTTCCGGATTTTCGCTTTTTTCTTCGTTTCTTTCAAATTTCAACTTTTTCTGTTGTCACCAAAGTTCTTTTTGTCACAAAAACTTTCCATTCATGTATAATTTGCAAACTTTGATCGCAAAAAAGCGTTTCTGGTGAAAAATGATGATTTTACACAGGTTTCGATTGGGATAGCGATTATTTGTGTTTTCTTTATTATCAGTGTGTGTTTTCTGTTTTCTCAATCAATTTTTCAGAGAAGAAACCCTTAATTTGAAGCAGATAGCCGGTTATTTCTCCCAAAATGCGAGTCTAATGAGACGTCCGCAACATCGCGTGCACCGCTACTGTAAACATTTGTCCGTAGGCCGATCCAAAGCTTTTTTCAAAATTAAAGGCGGGAAAGAAAAATGGCGTTTTTCTTCTAAAGTGGTCACATCTGTAATTTTTTTGAGTGCACCATTCGATTCGCAAAGAAAAACTGTATAAGATACTGCTTTCACCTGAAACCCCATTTTTTACTGCCCCTATGCCTTTAAGATTCACTTCTCATGCTTTTCAGGGTAATTTTTTTGAAGATTAATCTTTTGGTAGATAAAAGGACATCAGGTGAAGAGGATCAAGATAAAAGCTTCTTTTTTTAGCTTCGTTTGATCCGAAAATCCTGACTTCCATACGCTCTTTGCGAATTTATATGATCGAGAGAGTAGCATAAAAGAGAGAGCGCAGACAGGTCAGACTCATCAAATAGTTCCGAATGAAGTTTACATACATGGATACAGCCACGGACACGAGAGAACAAAGGCAATGGATAGATCTCTCGGAACTCCGTGCCGAACATCATGTTTCCGTAGACTTCGTTGCATTTCTCGTACTCGCTATCGCTTTGGATAGGATTCGGAAACGAACATTCTCAAATAAATCAATTAAAAGTTCTTTCTTTTCGGGAGAACCTCGAAAAGCCTGAATATCGCACTGTGCGCAAAAGAAGGCGACTTTGTCGATGATCCTCTTCGGAAGAATTCCGTTTCCACGCAACTTTATCGCCAGACCGAACATGCTCGAGAAATCATCGAAAGTTTTGTTGAAAGAGATTTCCAACAAGTGGTTGTTCGAGGTTACGTTGAGAGCACTGTCTGAAAAAGATATTGAATCAAACTAGATGAATTGATAATTTCTCTTTTTTACTTCGAGATACGGTTGAAAAATATTTTTTGAAAGTTAGAGATGTGCTCCTATAGAGAAAGGTCACAACTTCACTTCATCTTATTCTCAAGCTTTAAGAACTTGGAAAGAAAGCTGAAAAATTAGTTTGGCACGAGAAAAAGCGAGAGAGCAGCCCAGTCTTGAAGAGACGCCGAGAAACAAAGATGCATCTTTCTCTGGCGTCCTTCCCATCGCAGTACTATCTCAACGTATGCGCACTTTTTTTTTTCGAACTATCAACGAAATTCTCAAAAGCTTGTCAACAGCGGAGTTTTCTAGTAAGACCTGAAAAAACGGATCTTTGTCTCCGAATCTTCAAAACTTTCGATCTTTTAAACTCTGATTAGAGCCTACTTTTGAGGCACACCGTACTCTGTTTTCTATTTTCGTTCAATCGTTCAAAGACCTCTTCAGGCCCTCAAAGGTTCCGAAAATCCTACCTTTGAAAGAAGTGAAAGAGGAGAAGTCGAAGTGGACATATTTGGTGGCGTTGAGAAAAATGGTGACGTTTCTGAGGCTCCAGACTCTCGACGTCACGTTCTTCCAGGCTTCGGGAGTCCATCTGCCGGCGTCGACCACGACCTTCTTTCCGCCTAGTCTCGGGTCGGCTATCCATTCGTCGCAGTCCTTCATCGTCGCCATCGTCAGCTCATTCCATAGAGGACATACACGACTAACATCTGCAGTTTCAGAAAATTGGCAAGGTTTTTTGTTTTCGGCCTTGATTCAGATGTTAAAATCAATAACATTGATTTGGTATTTTTCTATATTTTAACATTTTTGCTTGTTTTCAACTGATAATACGTTTTGCAATACATCCGTTTTTTATGTTCACCGAAATGTCTTCACTAGCATCTCTTATTATGCAGTGATGTTACTCTTCTACTCCTGAACTTGTTCCCGCTTTAAAATTTTTTTCAAAACAAAGTCCCTTGAAATTATGCTTTTAGCTAGGGACCGCAGGCAGTTTTCTAGAAACCATCAGATTTAAATGATTTTCATATGACCGTGTACTTCATAGTCCTGGCAACTTTTAAAAAAAGAGATCTTGGAAAAATACTGACTCTGAACGAAGTTACAGCCATGAAAGCGCGCGTTTCGCGATTTCAATTCTCTGTAGAAAATTTGGTCGAGGTCGCGAAAAAAGTGGGCGTTGCAAGGGTGCGGCGCGCTCTCAAAGACCAGTAAAAAAAATTAGAGAAAAAGTTTCTTGTTAATTTTTTTCGCACTAAAACACACTAATGATAGTTTTTCATTATTGGAAATGATAGAACAATGTCCAAAGATGAGGACCAGCAAAAATAAACACTGAAAAAAAGAATAAGTTGAACGATTTCCAACGGCAAAAAAAGCAAAAATTAATATTTACGGAGTTTTTCAATGCTTTTTGATGTTCAAAACTGTTAAAATATCATTAGGAAGCATGGATAAACGCAAATTCTCCCTGAAACAAGATTCGATACAGAATTCGGAACCAATAAAAGGTTGTGAATCCATAGAAACACGAATAAATTAATTATTAATGACTTTTATAACCATTCTTGTAGCAATACAGCACTTTTAAATGCGCTCAACTCATTAAAATCCACTTTTATGTCTTATTCAGGTGAATTTCCCGACTTTGAACGTGTTTTTCCAGTGGAATCCGGATAGTGGGAGTTTGGCGAGACTAAAAATAATTTTTTTGTTCTGGAAAAAGCATGTGAAGCTCTATTTTGTTTTTCCGAATTACATTACTGAACGTTTTGACTCATTTCAAAAAAGTTTTACGCTATTTTTGCTTTGAAAACATCGCGAATTCGGAATTTTCGTGGGTCGGTGAATGCACAATTTCGCCAACGCGCAAATGCAGGATGCTGTTTTTATTGTTCGAATGAATCAAATTTTGAAAGCACAAGCAGGATTTTTTTCATTTTTGACTATGTTGAAGAAAAAAGTAATTCAAATCAAAATAAGAAAAAAAATAATTTGCCTACGACTGCTAAAACACTTTCCCAAGTGTTTCAAAAATCAAAAAAATCAAAACTTATTTTTTTAAAATTAAAATTGAAATAAAAGTTTTGTTTTTTTATTTTTTTAAAATGTTCTAAAATTTATAGAGAACAGTTCAAAAAAATTTTTTTACGATGTTTCGCGGAAAATGCCAAAGTTCCCGAATTTCGAAAGTTGCGATTTTTCCGACGCTTCGATACTTGAAAGCACAAGCAGGAATCTTTTTTTATTTTTTTACTTATATGGTGTATTTTTACATGCTTAACAAAATAAGAAAAAAAAATAACTTGCCTACGAGCGGGATTGTAAGTATTCAACGTTTTTCCACTTTTTCGCACAAAGGCGTCACGAAAAAACGTCATTTTAACCGATCCTTTTTTTATTCACAGCTATTTCTTCTGTGTAGAATTGTAGAGCATAGCCGATTGTATCTTTCCCTCAATTTTTTCCCAAAACGGTTCAGGGAAACTGCATAAACAACAATGAAATGTCAAAAAAATGCAACGAAATATACGACGTTTTTTGGTCAGCGAGGGGGTGTGGCCTTGCGGTCCCTACTTTTAGCTTCAATTTTTCTGATTGAATATGTGTATCTTATTTCTCTTGCGCTTTTAAATTTTTCCTTTTTTTTCCATTCATAAAAATTCCATTAAAACTTCTGATTTCAGATATACAAAAGTAAAAATGGTAAAGTAGTTCGAAATTCGATCAAAAATTTCTTAAAGATTCAATAATAAAAAAAAACTACTGTTCGTAGTCGAAACTTGTGATATGATGAGATTTATGATAGCAACCACGCAGAGCAACATGACTTGAAATGAGAACAGATTTAAAATTTCTTTTTACCTCCTTTTCACGTTATTCAATCAAGTTTTTCTTCCATTTGACCCCATAAACTATTGATAGAGAAAGGAGACAAAATGCCTGCGGCAAAGAAAAATCAGTCGATAAGCAACCGAATGCGCCTTTTACCTGTTCATCGCTTTATATTTCAAATTCAAATCTTAGATGATAGGTCAGTCGAATTGCAATTTCAAACTTCTTCCAAAAGTGGTTAGTTTTCTTATTTTCAATTTTTTCCGAGAAACAAATTTGCAGGAGCTTCACGCTCACCTGAATGGCAGCATTTCACTTAAAACAATCAGAGAATTGCTGGAAAAACAATCGGATCGTCCTGAAGAGTATGTCCTTCAACAGCCCGTCAACATGGAAGAGTAAGTTCTTTATTATAATTTTTTTATAAATTTTTTTGAGAAAGTTACAAGTTGTAACCACGAAACATTTCATTGTTACCATCAAAATTTTGTATAGGAGTCTGAAAATCGCACAAAGATTAATGAGATGTGATTAACAGGAGATAGTTAAGCGAAAAAAGGCAAAAAAAAATGAAAATAATTTTCGAAAGGTCTGCTTGTCCATTGAGCAACCTTGCCATAAATGCTTTTACGGGACTTGAATCTTTTTTTCAATAGTTGAATATATTCAACTATTGAATACTCTTTTATTACTCTTTTTATTAAAAATTTAAAACTAACTTTTGCTCAGTTTCTATAATTGCTAAAAAAATTTCTACATTAACTCATTATTTTTTTCCAATCATTTTATTTAAGTTGTTTCCTTTACAGAGTTTTTTTCTCCTGTTTCCGTTGATACAAGAACTGACTCAAAAACCTGAAGCTTTACGCAAGGTAATAAGATTTTGTTTCATCAACCGGGACGAGTTTAAGGCCACACACGATGTGATAGAAGAATTCGCAGAAGACAACGTTATTTATTTGGAGCTCCGTACAACCCCAAAAAATACTCCATTCACGAACAAAAAGCAGTATGTTGAGATCGTTCTTGAAGGTAGTATTTTTTTTGTTGCGTGATCCCCTTTTCAGAAATACTTGCTGAAATAAGTTTTCATCAATCTCTATAACCACAGCAAGTTTGATTCAGCATGCAAAAATTTAACTGTGAACTTAAAAGTTTTCAGCTATTGAGAAGTCGAACGAACGGCTGAAAATGTTAACAACTCTCATTTTGAGTATCGACAGGAAGCAAAGCGTTGAAGAGGCAGCGGAAACTGTAGATTTGGCTATTTCTATAGGTAAAAAGAAATAATTTTCATTAAACAATCGAAAATTTAAGATTCGGAACTAATTGTTGGTGTTGAACTCAGCGGAGATCCGAAGATTGACGGCCGAAAAATGATTCCAGAACTCCAAAGGGCCAGAGACGCCGGTCTAGGAGTGGCAGTGCATCTTGCCGAAGTTAGAGAACTTTTCAAGCTGATTCTTTTTTTTACAATTTAATGAGGGAATGAGATCATTTTGGAGACAGTATTCCAAAATTTCGAAATTAAAATTTAATTTTGACCATCTGGTGAGTAAAAATTTGGAAGATAGACTTTTTTGAATTGTCTTGCAGCATTTGCTTTTTGTTCATTATGATATAGTCTGTTCAGATTTGAATGTCAAGTCGCTTCTAAAACTCCGCCCCTAATGACCCGATAAGCCAATCAGAGAGCGAGCCAACCACAGAGCGTTTTCGAATGACGTCATTGTACTTGACATTCAAAATCTGAACAAACTATATAGAGCAGCTTTTTTAAAACTTTTTCTAAAAATAAAAACAATAAATTTGCTCATTCAAAATTTTTCAGATGAGCCAATATCTCGAAGAAGTGCCCGAGTTTCTTGATTTTCGGCCTGATCGAATCGGTCACGGCACTTTTTTTACACACCGATCAGCGCTACATTGAATTGATGAAACGGTCGAGAATTCCTTTAGGTTTTTTTTTATTTTGAAGTTTAGAAAAAGGGAAAATTTCTCATAGAAATCTGCTTAACTTCGAACGAAATGTGCAAAACGACGAAATCGGCCGACGAGTCCCATTTGATGTATTGGATCGAATCGGGTGTCCCGGTGGCCCTTTGTGTGAGTTTTAAGAGCAGTCATTTTTATTCTGCTCTGTCTGCGCACTCTTTTCTCTCTTTCTCTCTAGCGAAGTCGGTGAGCGAGAAGAGAGAACAGGCAAGCTAGATTTTGTGAATTCTTATCAAAATCTTCACTTTTTCAGACCGATGACAAGAGTGTTATGGGCTGCGACTCGAGTGGAGAATACGAAAAAGTTGGTTTGCATTTTCATTTCCAGGCGATTTGAATCATTTTTCTATTTTCAGGCTTACAAAGCGCTCTCAAAAAGGGTCGAGGAACCTTTCCAACTCTTGCGGAAAATCACGACCGACGCATTGAAGCATTCGTTCATTCGGAAGAAGTCGAACACGGGAAAATATGAAAAGTTACTGGCCAGTCTGGATTTTTTGCCTCTTTGAAGCAAAGTTGTGTTATTTTCATTAACTTTCAAGAGAAAAATGAATTTACTGGGTGCTTGAAAGAATTCAGCAAACTTCATAATTTTTTAAGGCCAAGGAACGCTCTCTATTATTTTTAAAGCGGTTCAAGCCTTGAAGCAAAAGTCGCTGTTTTCCTCTGTTGATTATTTTGTTTTGTTGGAGGGCAGTGAGAAAAAAAGGACCATCTTGGAAAACTACACAGGTTGTCTCGTTGAACACCTTTTCCTTGAGTAAATTTAAGCCGAAATGAATTTCTTCAAGAAATTATTTTGTTGGATGGCAGTGAGTATTGCAAAAAAAAAAATAATAAACTTTCATAACTGTACACAAAAAAGGGAAGGGAAAGGGGAAGAAGACACGGTTGGAGACCCGTCGCGGAGCGGTCACTTCTGGAAAGATCAAACGTAGAGAACGGTTGCCGGAGTATCGTTGGACTCGTCGTCCGACTTGATGGACATGCGTACCCGGAGGTCGCCGTTGCGTCGGCTCATCCGACTCAGCCTCCGCAGGGTGTGATACGTCCGGAAGAGCAGCGCAGGCTCGTGCGGCGACGGGTCGAAGTAGCAGAACGCCACTGAAAATCACAACTTTTCGAAATGTTTCATAAAAATTTCTCCATTTTTTCATTGAAATCAGAACCGCAGTAGCTAGAGGACACCGTTTTTGCATTCGTTAAAGCACAGTTTAAGTTAGGATTCGACATACAGTGAGATGGTTTTTTGGGCATAATGCCGTGTTCAATTTGATTCCGCGAAATGCAAAGTATCCGTCAGAGAAAGGAAAAGATCACTAAATTTTGGAGAGTCAGAGATCATTTTGCATTTCGCGGAATCAAGTTGAACACGGCATAATTTTCTTTGAAAACGAGATAAACACATTTGAAACAATCAGAGATAGATATTAAGCTTGAAAAAGTAACTTTTGACCAACCCCAGCAAGTCTAAGACACGACCGAATTTTGAAAATCCGTCCTTTTTACGAATGTATTTGTAATTTTTTTTTGTTCGGTTCAATCTTATTTGCGTCGAACAAAGTCATGCTCAATTTTTTAAATGGAAAAATAGCCAAAAAATCTTAAATTCGGTCCTGGGAGATGGTTCTCAGATTTGTTTCCTTTCATAATTAAAATTCCTTCAACAAACTTTTATTCATTTATTCAGCGTGAATATTTTTTTAAATTAATTTTTTAACGGAATTTAGAATTACAGTCATGAAACAGGACCGAAAACATTTTAAGATTATTTTTTTCTCTTTTCAAAAATTCATGACTTTCTTTAAACTTCAGCCTCAGTTTAAAAGAGCGTTCAAACAAGTCTTGGGTAGCTCCAAAAAGGTATTCAATTTTTAATTTTTTTTTTTCGCGATTATCAATTTTCAAAAAAAAAAGTTTTCAAAGTCGAAGAATATCCGCTTCATACAACGAAACAGGTTCGGAAAAAATCTAGAGATTGAAAAAGATCTGTATGAGAAACATCTGAAGCAAATACATCAAATAAAGCCGGAAGAACTGTCATAAAACATCAAAATGATGTGAAACAGCTGTGGTTGGGGCTCACGTGCTCCGAAACAGAATGAGGAAAATTTTGAAAAAGTTCACCGGATATTCGAAATTTTATCCCGATAATAGTCCTATAGTCTTTTGAAAATCATGGCAAGCTTTGGCCTCCAAAAATATCCAAAAGTTCAACAAGGATTTGCAGCGGCTAGTTACACTGCTAGTGTTTCAGGTCAAATTGCAACAATTTGCCCGGAATAACTTTGAGAAGACACTGACCTATGACGACGATGACGTTGAGGACGAAGGCGGCGAAGACGAAGAAAAGAGCCGAGTCGATGGGCGACGACGCCTGCAGAAAAGTGTCGTGCCCTTCGTTCATCCCTCAAGTGGCCACTCCAGGTCTTCTCTTCAAAATTTCCATTTTAGACAAGAACTTTGAATTTTTTTGCCAAAGAAAGGTCATTCAAACGGAAACTAGCTATTTTCTTCTCTTTTTTGACGGAAAGTTCAAATTTAAATCTAATCTCAAAGTTTCAACTGAAATGATCTTTCTTTTTCGTTTAAAGAAACGAAAAATACGCACGCAATGTCTGGAATGAGCCCAAAATATGTGATTCTCAGAAAAAAATAAAAGATCGAAGAATTATTCTATTCAGGTTCTCATAGCCTTGATTTTTGACGTGTGAGACCAAAAAATAGAAAAAAAGAAGAAATGAACTCAAAAATCAATTCAAAGTTCTCACAACTATGGATTGGCGTGAGAAAAGTTGGAAATTGGAACTTTGAAAAGATATAATAATAGACTTTGTCTGAAAATGAAAATCACACCTTGGATGAAGGAACACGGATTAGTAAGCTTTTACGTTTTTTGTTTTTGTTGCCTGGGAGCACCAGAAAATGGGAAAAAACGAAAAATTTGCACGCCATGGATGGAATGAACGCAAAATATGACGTCCAAAAACATATTGTTGAAAAAAGTATAATCATAATTTTAGAACTGAATCTCGATAATGTTTCAATTGAAGTCCGGTTAAAATTAATATTTGAAGCGCTATTTATTTCTAAACCAAAAGGTTAGGAGTGAGAAATAGAAGGTAAAAAATAAAAGCTGAACTTTTAAAAAAATCAGTTTTCAGTTCACAAGTTGACAAGGAAATCAGAGTAAAAAGCTTTTTCTGAAATTACATTGTGACTACATTCCGAGTTATTGATTCAAAAAGCTCTTTTCTTTCAAGCAAAAAAAGATCAAAGCTACAACTTCAGGCGTTAAAAGAAACGGAAAAGAAGATTAGGAGTGATATAAGTGAAATACATTAATAAAAAAACAGCAAAAACTTGTTATTAGAAACTTTTCGAAGAAAGAACAAAAGTTAAAAAGGAAAAATGTTTTTGTGCGGCGCTTATTAATAACATCGAAGGCTTTCCGCGTGAACCACTTCCGTCAAAAGCAGAGCTTTCCGTCTTCCGCTCATTTCTTCGAAAGCTTTTATTGGTTTTCATTCTCCTATCTCATTATTAACACATCTGCATTCATTCAATTAGTCCTTACAAGGGGAGGTCAATTCTCTTTGTTCTTTTTGGGGATCTTTTGAAATTCGGCCCTGAAAATCTTCCATTTGCTGAAGATATGAATGTCCTGAAGCTGAAAGGGCAGTAAAAACTAGGGTTCGAAAGGAGTGTGCCATTTTTGAAGCGTTTTATTGCTTGTCGAACGGTATATTTGAAAATGTACCGATTTTCCCTTTTCTTTGAAAAAAAAAACTCTTTCAGTTTCAGAACTTTTGAAGGTTCGAGTGGAATGACCTTTATTTTCCCGTTCAGAACTCCTATGACCTTTTATTGTTTCGGAACACTCGAACCTAGTTTGCCCTATTCTAGCAAGTTATTAACCAATGAGAAGGCTCAATTAGGACGTGAGATAACTTTAGGAACGGAAATGCGATAAAGATACTCGTTTCAGATGTCAAAGATGAGGCCTGAATATATATTCTTGCTCGAAAATGCTTCCGCCTCTCTGCTTTTGAATGGCAAAAATATGCTGTTTGATATTATTTTGATGGTTTTCTTTTCAATCGAAATCTTCGCTTCCGCATTAACATTTGAATGGAGATAAGCCTTTTTTGTTTTTCGAGACATAGCGAAAAACAAAAATATCCACGAAGATCAATAAGAGCTTTAGGCTAAAAGAAGAAGGAAAAGTCGGCCTTTTCCAGTTTCTTCCTTATAACTCGGAATGGAACCACGTTTTTTCTTAGCGTGTAACAGAAGGCGAACATCGTTTGCCGCGTCTCGACTCGCGATTTGTGGCCTATCAAATTTCGCCCAGACCCGGCTAATCGCCCAGCAAGTCCAATTTTCTTCCAGCTCAGAGTTCTCAAAAATAGACAAAAAAAAGTTGACTTTTATAGATAAACTAGCTTCCCTAAACCTATTAGATCCAATTATAGAAGCCGTTGCTGTAAAAAGTCTATCCAAAGGCGCAACCGACTTCAAACGATTTGCGCCTTTAAATATAAGAACGAGGTTTCAAATTTCAGGTTTGTACTTTCGACTGCGATCTTTTTGATAAATTCTACCTGCGATCATGATTTTTGGAACGGAAGCAAGGGTAATTTCAAAAAGCAAAACAAAGTATATGTTTTTGATTACGGTAGTTTTTTCTAGCTTCAATTGGTCATAACTCTTGGAATCTGTGAGCAACTCGAAGCATTGTTTGCAATGAAGATAATTATCAAATTATCAACTCTTCATGTCAAAGTCCAGGCATTTTGAAGTTACTTATTTAACGCATCAAAAATCTCTTCCAGGTTCAAAATCTCTATTTCTGTCCATTTTTCGAGCCAGAAAAAAAAGATTGAGAAAAAATGTATTAAACTTGAGCTCAAATTATGATATACTTGATTTTTCTTATTTTAAACCCCATGGTCGCATTTGGAATGGCTTTGAGTCCGGCTGTTTAAATTTAACATGGAGACGACCTCTATACTTGCCAATTAGTATGACGGGAAGAAAATTTTTACTTCATCTTTGAAAAATTGCCCAATTTGGTGTTTTTCAAATTGAAACAAGCAGCTTGACCAAATTTATTCGAAATAAGAAAAATTAGGTCTCTTCCCAAACGTAAAACATTAGCCGTAGTGTTTCTCTCTTCAATTATGGCCAGGAAATAGCTTTTTCTCTCAAAAATTGTCTGCAAAACTTCTTCCTTGTTTCTTTTCTAAACTTGTTAGGCTTGAAAGCGAACTCAAAAATAGAGTCAAGTTCATGTTGAACAATTAAAAACTCCCACGTGAAGATGAAAAAAGTAGACCTTAAAATTAAAAACGAGAAAAACAGAAAATAGTAGAGTAAACGTAAGAAATCAAAGGTCGAGGATGAGTCGGTGTATAATTTAATTGATGCTTTGAACTGGATGATTAGGCACGAAAACGAGAAGGAGAAGCAAAATTCCGCCTGCCGCCGGGGCCAATTTCAAAGGGCTGATGGATGAGGAGGCGGAGCTCGGTCAGTGAGTGACACTCCGCAACCTTGGACTTTCTTGTCTTTCGTTAAAGTTCTAAGGATGTGACCAAACTGGAAAGAATGCCGAAAAGATCAGTTTTGAGAAATACTTTGAGTTAAACTGCGTTCGTTCAAGTAAAAACTTTTCGAGATCAAACAAAAACCACCTTTCTTTCAAATGTTTATGGCAATACCGAAACAAAAATATTCAAAGAAAATAATTTTTGACGCTCCAACTAACTGAAATCAAAGCACATATTAGATAAATGACATCAAAAATGCTGATAATGTAGTGTTTATTTATAGCAAAACGTACTACTTTGATTCAATTAACTTCACTTTTACTCAGTGCTATGACTCAAGCTCAATGAAGCTATCGTAATCAGAAAATCATCTTTTTTTAAACTAGCAACAATTTCTAGAAGGAAACACAATTTGTAGCAAACTATGTTCTCTGTTACAAATAAGGATTTCGAGTAATTTTTCGACCTGATTTATCCCTTCTATGGCACTGATGTATTCATATTTTTATTTTGATTTTGGAAGGTTTTTAAAGTTACAACGCTACACACTGCACTCAAAAAAAGATTTCCAGTCAGGATCCAAAAACTGACTGATTTTTTTTTATCTTCAAACTCCAATCTTCGATTTATGAAGGGTAGATTTTTTTGAAAATCTGTGAGCTGTTTTTATTTTTCGGGATCGGATGCAGCATTAAAAATTGAGCAGATTCGCAGCGTTCGGGAACGAATGAGTGAACGCCATGAAAGTTTAATGTCGAACGCATTTTAATGATCAAAGACTTCAAAGCTTATTTAGTGCTTGGACAGATGTCTGACTGAAGACCTTCAAAGAACGTAAAGAAATGCAAGGATCATAAAAGTGGTTTTGGATAATCCGACGACAATGTAGTTCTCATCAACGACTTTTTTAACGACTTTCCGGAGAAATGAAGTCTTATTTTATTGGATAGAAACGTGCTTCGAGGAGCTATGAATATAAATTGAAGTTCGAATGAACTTTCCAAGTTTTGAAATATGACTATTCTCCCAAAAAAGGTTCAAGTTTATGACATACGTGAAAGAATCGCGGAAAATTGCAGGAAAAGAACAATCTTGGTTTCCGGTGGCCATACAAAAACGGATCGGATAAACGCGTCTACACCAGGTTTTCACGTCGAAAATGAGAGAATTAAAGTCAGAATGCCATGAATTGGTTATTTGTGAGCAAATCCCGGAAAAGGCACAACCCAAAAAAATAGGCTCGGCCAATATCTTTTTTTCTTTTTCTGGTGCCTTCCGGCCGTTTTCCGGCTTTTTTTGATGTCCAAAGATTGAGAACAACGACAAGACACTCATTCTCAATGTTTTTCCGAAAAAACTATTCTCACAGCACAGGAAAAAAAAAATTAAAACTTGCAAACTACAAAATTTTGAAAATTTTCTGTTTTTAGATGATCAAAAATTCTTAATTTAAAAACACGAACTTGCTAGAAAATTAAGCTTAGAAACCCTGGTCTGTGTCTTGGAAAGTTACTGGGAAAATTTTTAGTGGGCCTTTTAGGGGTTTGACGATTCAGTGTCCACTATAGTGGTCGAATTATTGGCCGCTTTAAAAGTCTAAGAGGTACTATTAGACTACTAAAACTACTATAGTGACCACTAGGATGCGAAATCAAGGCTTCTATAGGGATGTTTATAGTGGCCACTTTAGTGTCCTCTCCAAGTAGTCGTTGACGAACTTCTCAAGTGATTACTATAGTTTTTCCAAGCACGTTTGAGTCTTCTATTTTTGAAAAGTTGAGTTATAAAAAATTCAGAAGTATTTCAGTTGCTTTTGAGATGTGCAAAACTTGTTAGCGAGCCATCTTTCGTCAGAGGTATATAAATTTTTTTTTCTCTCTCGGAGATCAGTCAGAACCATCTGAAATAAAAAAACTTGCAATTTTTTTCGGAAATTTATAACAAGAAAAACAAAAAAAGTTAGAAATCTTGGTAAGGAGCGTTGCGGAAAGGGTTGGCCGGCTCGACGTAGACTTGCTGCCGAGGAAGTTCGTTGCCGTTTTTGACGTCTCGGTAGATGGAAACACACGGCGACGCGTACAGCGCCGTTTGCACTATGAAAAACAGCTGAAAAACATTTGAATGGAGGAAAAAAATAATAAAATTATTTCTTTTTAATGATATTCCAGCAGCTTTTTCCTGAGAAAAAACCTGAACTCATCCTCATTTTTCACATCTAAGTACTGAGAAATCAGAGAAAAAGATCTCCAATGAATAACAAACCCCAGAAGCAATATATCCTGCGGAGGTTCCGTAGAGAGATCGATTGGCGAAGCTGAACGAAAGCCAGACACAAATCACCGACAGAATCGACAGCACAAAAGAATAAATGAGCTCCTGGATTGGAAAAATTTGAATGAGGAAAAAAATAGGAAAACAGAAGCTTACAACAATGTTCCAAGAGACGGCGCCGTTCGAAAGGCTGTCCATCAGCTGGTCCTGAAATCCTGTGGCGAAAATCACGGTCGCTGCAGCGGATATCTGAATAAAATTGGTAAAAGAAGCATATATCTAGTTATGAACATTAGAATTGAATTCCTTTATCGAAATTTTCTTATTGAAAAATAGTCTGACCAAGAGCGAAACAAGGATGGCGAACCACAAGAGTCCATTGTCAGAGCTCGCTGTTGATCCAACGCAAATCGCCAAAATCACAGCATTCAACTAAAAAAATATTGATAAACAAAAACCAGAAATTCTAGCAAAACCGCTTGAAGTGGTTTGAAAAAATGTGGCATTTTGAGAAACACATTTTCCGAGGCTTCAAAAGACGAACTCATCTCTAAAACCTAAAAAAAAAATGAGACAGGTTACGAGTAGCAAATCGATGTGGCGCGCGTACTGTGAAAACATCTGTTATCAGTACCTTCGTTGCTCTTCCTTATCTTATATTTACGCAAGGTCGGCTCTCTTCAATCTCTTACGAACAGAGGAAATTGGAATCTGCTGGAGAAAAAAAAAGATAGAAATGCCAAACAAACATCTCAAGCTGAACTTCTAAAAGTAAAAAATCAGCTCGACCTCGGGAATTCATTTTCCACTAACTCCTGGATTATTAAATAATATTGAAAAATTTTTTTATTTTTTTCTATTCTCATCAAATTTTTTTCCTCATTCCGTAACTTCAAAGCTTCTCGCTGTGTCGAAGTCGACGCTATTTTTCTGATTCCGCGTTTTACGGTAGGGCTTATGTCTGCATTCTCATAACACACGCGAGCGCAACTCTACGACCATTTTTGCACGGCTCATTTTTTTAATTGCTTTTTTTCATTTATTAATTCTATTAAAGCATTAAATGAGATTCTCAGAACAATTCAGAAAAGCCTTAAATTTTTGTAACGATTTGCCGAATCTTTTTAACTTCCTTTGTCTCGAAAAATTTTGGCTAGTTTAAATATTTATGAAAAATGTTTTTTGAGGTATGTCAACGACGAAAATTGCATCGCGAGCGGTGCAAAATCGTTCTCAAACTCCATTTTGGAACTGGCTGCGTAACAAACTGTTGGCCGTCGATCGTCAGCCAGTAACTCCACCACCTGGCATTCCAGGTCCTGATGGAAAGGTTTCGTTTTTTTAAAAATAATTTCCTGGTTCTAATTAGGGATAAGGCTATGATATATGCAATCTCAGTATTTCAGGCCGTCTACAACTATCCTCACCGTTTCCCAAACACGCAATCTTCGCGACCTGGGTCCGCTGAACTTCCAACGCTTCCCGGCGGAGTCCACCACAAACTCGAAGATAATTACTATTTAGCAAGGTATTCTAAAAAAATTCATTATTGATGAGCACTTTTTTTCATATAGAATTATTATGATTAAATATTATTTCCAGAGACGGAAGGAGAGGAGTTTTGCCGCCACCGGTTCTCTACGAATCTGACGGCCATGCGACCAAATATGCCACTCAAATTGGCGAAGAAGTCAAGTAAGAATCGATTACAATTAAATATTGATTATCAAAAATATTCCAGGAAAGAGGAAGCTGTCAAGGTGAACAAAGGTCCCGAACAGAATTTTGGCCTCGATGCTCCCACGCCTGGTTTCGGTGCTACCTGGAGCAGGTTAAACTTGAATGATTAGAATGTTGGAAATCTTTCGCGGTTGAAATCGAATAAGGATCACAAATTTTCGAAAAGTGTTCAATTTAAAAACCAAAAAAAAACGAGGAAAAGCTTAAAAAACCCTTACTTTAAATCTGACCATTTCAAAAAACTTAGAATTTTGATGTATAAGCTTCAAATTAATCCCCTGAATCTCTTGAAGAACTAGGAATTGGCCAAAAAAGACTGTCACCATTAAAAAGCACCGGATTTCTTAAAGAAACTTCAACTTTTTTTATATAATTTCCCTCTTCAGATCGATTTCGAACGAATTGCAAGACCAACAAAAAAAGATCCCGAACTTTCCTACCTGCAGAAATTCGACAAGTACCACAAGAGTAACTAATCTCATTAAAAAAACTAAGATAATTTAAAGAATTATATTTTTAGTTGATTAGGCTTCGTTATCTGTACTGTGTTAGGGGTTTTTTTATGCTCAATTGGATCTTTTGAGCATAGTTTTGTATAATAAAGATTCTCGATTTTCTGGGTATGTATTTTCTGTATTCATCCGGTTGTGAATACCGTTTTATATCTTTTCCCTTTTTTCACGTCTTTAGGTTATTTATATATTTGCCAGTTCCAAAGATGAGGCCGTCCGTTGTTGCCATGCACAAGCACTTCGGTAATCTTGGCAAGGTCTGGAATTCCTTCATCCTGAAATAATGAATACACTTTGAAGATGTACGGGGAGCACCGATTCGCTCTGGCGCCAAATGAGCAGAAGGCCTTCAAGGGATGGATCGACAACGCTTTCGTTGGTGTCAGTTTTTCGATGTTTTGGGTTGAACTCCATTTTTAATGCCTCGTTCATAGTAGTTCCGAGAAAATCGAAATAACCGTCAGATAACTATTTTTGGAGAGTGAAAGACAATTTTGAACACTTTTTTAGAGTTTTCAGTGATTCTTGCTGATTTTTCGAAAAAACCAAAGAAGAATCTTTAAAAAATTGTTACGACGAAATCTCTTTTTTTTTTTGAACTTTTCCGCTACTTCGCCTTTAAGTGCTCACAAAAATTTTAGGGCATTTTCCGTGAAAATTACAAAAAAGTCGTTTTTCAGACCTTCAAAACCTACGTCTGGAACCAGTGGTGGTACTACCTCCCGCAGGTTTGCATTTAGAGTTATTTCTTAGGTAAGAAAAAAAATTAGCTCGAACTTTATGACATGAGTTTTTTTTCTTCATGGAAATTGAGAATAATATATAATTTTAGTTTACATTTTAGTTTTTCAATGAGAACTGTTGCATTGAAGATACTATTCGATTGAAAAAAAGAGGTTTTAATTCGATAGTCAGAAAAAGTGAAGTAAATGGAAGTCCGGTGAAGCGATAGCATTAAACTTTTCCGTTTAGAATTAAAATCTTTATCGAGTTTTTTTTTTCAGAGTGTAAGAAAAGGGAATATTACCATTTTTGAGATAATTTAATTAGGTCTTTCACGGATCGCGAAGAAGAGAGCCTGTAAAAATCATTGAAGAACTTGTTTTTAAATCAATATTGAGTAAATTTATAGTGGGCTAGTTTCAAACTTTACAGTCTTGAACTAATTTGAGTATTTTGATGAGGTCGAATCATTGACTACTCCAAGGAAGCATTTCCTAAGAGTTTTGATTCATGATTTGTTTGCTAGTGGTATTCAAATGGAGAGCGTTCGTGTACGAATTTGAGAAGAAGTGCATAAAAGGAGGAAAAAGCTCTTGTAGTTGTGTTGATTGAATGAGTTTGAGGCGGTCGGAGCCTACCTTCTTTACGACTGGGCCAAGAAGAAGAACCACGAGGTCAACCGCAAGAATCCCGCCGACTACGCCAACGACCAGTAAACCGACTATAGTATAATCACAAAAAAATCAACGCGTTTTTTTACGATTTTTTTAAAATTGAAAATAAAGAAATTAGGATTGTTTATTCGCAGCGTTTTTTTGTCTCGATCCGCCATTTCATCGGGAAAATGTCTGGTTGTTTATTTTGGGAAAGAGTGGCTTATTTTCTTTCTTTTTTCGAAAAGATGCTGACCTCTCTGGCGAGGTCTTCTTCCCGTCGCATTTCCACAGGGAATCATCTTTTGCCCCAAGGCGCCTTGGCTTACATTGGAGGTATCTGAACATTTCTCGAGAAGAGAACAAAATGTCTCAGGCCGTTGGGTGGACGCAGAGTCTCGAGAATATTTTGAAGTCAAAAATCCGTTTGATGGCGAAGTTCTTTACAAGACGGCCAATTGCGGGGTCGCTGATGCCGAGAAGGTTTTTAATAAGTTTTTTTGTCTTTTTTAAGTGTTTTTTGAAATGCAACTATTGGTTAGTCGGAAGAGTAGATAATGGCCGCTAAAAGGGAGAGGCTCAAAAAAGGCAGCAAAAAGAGTCCCTTTGTCGAGCCTTTCATTTTTCAGGGTTTTTAAAGGCTCAAGAAATGGTGGAAAAAAGAAGAGGCAGCCAAAATGTTGCATAAGAGCTGATGAAATGGCGCAAAAAGGCAGTAAAGAAGGAACCTTTGTCACCTTAAAAGGAACTTTTCTTAAGAACCTTTTCCCACCCTTTCCGACTTAGCTTATGTGATAAGTTTAAGATTTTTGGTATTTTCAATTTTTTTTTGATTCATAGTTTTCAAAGAAGAAATGAAAAGTTTCAAATGGTAATTAGTGAATTCAAATGAGACATCTGCGCCTTTAAATAATATTATCAAGGCCGTGAAAGCCTCGGTAGACAGTCTGGACAAATGGGCCAACGGAACGACGGCCAAACAACGCGGAGCGATTCTCCGCAAATGGTTCGACATCCTCGGCGCGAGGGAGACCGAACTCGCGACCCTTTTGACCAAAGAACAGGTGGGAAGGCGGCTGGGAACAGGTGAAATTGAAGTGTTTCAAGGGGAAGCCGTTGGCCGAGGCCCGCGGCGAGATACAGTACTCGGCCGCCTACCTCGACTGGTACGCCGGAGAGGCTCGTCGTGTTTATGGACAGGTGATGTATTGATTGGATTTCAGGTAGAAGAAACGGAGATAAACTTTTTTTATTGATTTCCTGAAAACAGGAACTTTTTTGGTCGGTCTTCCATCTTATATCATACTGCTCATACACCTCAACTATAAAAATAATTCAAAGTCCTCCAATTTCAAATCGAAGAATGGTGTTAACGGATCCTTAATAACGTCCTCGTTTGTCATATCCTCAGTTTCTGTTTCGTTGTTTTCTGAGGCTCTCTCCAGGCTCTTCAATTTTTCTTTCCAAATAAGATGCATCCTCAGTAAGGCTATGAAAATAAACATCGCATAAGGACAGTTATCGCCTTTTTTTTTAAAAATAATCTTCAACTTTGATTTTTTTAGGTCGTTCCAGCTCCTGTGCTAAATCGTCTTCACTTGCACGTCCGTGAACCCATCGGCGTTGTCGCGATTATTTCCCCGGTTGGTGCCTCGGAAAACGTAGAAACATATCGAAACAGTCTTCACAGAAGATTCTCTTCTGAATCGTGGAACGTTTAAAGAGTTTTTTTGTCGGCTCAAAAAGTTTTTGTTGATCAAGAACGGCGCGTAGATCAGCACGCACCTTTGTGATAGAAGTAGACGATTTTCGACGATCAGCTACTTCTCCATGTAGGAACATTATGACGGCCAGCTTGTCCAGGACTGGCGGGCGAAGTAACGAGATGAAGTAGAATAAAAAATATTTTTGTACATTGGTTATTTTCAAAATCTTGTGAAATTAACGTTTTGACGACACTTTACACAATCATAACGCAAACCAGGATTGCCTCGGAAGCCTCAGAACTCTTTAGTGATCACTTTAGCGTTAGCGCACACAAGTGGCCACTAGGCATACCTCCCACGCTGGTAACTCAAACCGGAAGTGTCTCGGGAGTTTTTGGAAAACTTTAGTGATCACTTAAGTGCCCTAAAATCGCAAAAAATGGTTTGATAGGAACGCGTTACTGGGGCTTTTATCGATAAATGTAGAAAGAACTTATTTAGAAGCTTTTACCCAAGCATTGAAGATTCAATTTCAAGTGGAACTTCCCGACAGCGATGATCGCGAGAAAAGCGGCTGCGGCGTTGGCTGTCGGCTGCACTCTCGTCATCAAGCCGGCCGAAGACACCCCTCTGAGTGCCCTGGCCTTTGCCCAGGCTTAGCTCCCTTGGAAAATCCCAAAAACGGAAGGGTTTTAGACGGCCGAAGAGGCAGGTATCCCTGCAGGTGTCATCAACGTGATCCCCTCGGATCGAGAGAAAACCGCAGAAATCTCCAAATTCCTCTGCGACACTCACGACGTCTCCGCCGTCAGCTTCACCGGCAGTACTCAAGTTGGAAAGGTTCGTTAAAAAAGGAAAGAAAGTTCGATTCGGGATATCAATTTCGTTTTGAAAGTTAAAGTTTCACTGATTTCTATTGCTCTACATTAGAAATAACGAAATTTCATTTTCATTTTTATTTCTGAGGCAGTAGTTATCCCGAGTTCTTTTTTTTTGTTATAATTTTTGGTATTTATCCAAAATTTGCTGTTTTTTCATAACTTACGTGATTAGGAGGAAGTAATTCGCACTACACTTTTCAAAAAGTGATATTTTTTTAGTATCTATTGTATTCGAACTCTTTGTTTGAACCATAAAGTTTTCCTGGAAAGTTTGAATTTTGAGCGCCCTTTTTCTACAGGAAGAACAGAGAGCTTTTTGGTTTCATGTAGATCGTATAATATATAATAATCTACCAAGAATGCTATTCAATAGTGTAAACTTTTTGGAAATAATGTGCAGTACAGATTCTTCTGTCCCAATGCGCTCAGACGGTGAAACGAGTGTGCCTCGAGTTGGGCGGAAATGCGCCTCTCATCGTTTTCGACGACGCCGACATTAATGTAGCCGTCAACGTCAGTTTCTCTTCAATTAGAATGCATAAGTCATTATGTTTCCAGGGAACCGTGGCGACGAAATTCCGCGCATCAGGACAAACTTGCGTTTCGGCCAACAGAATCTATGTGCATGAGAAGGTTTCCAGGAGTTTCTCAGAGAATCAAAGGAATGAAGAGTTCCAGATCCACGACAAGTACGTCGAGCAACTTTCGAAAGCGATGAAGGAGAAGTTGGTGATGGGAAACGGTCTCGACGCCGCCACCACCCAAGGGCCGCTCATCAATCAGCGCGCCGTTGATAAAGTTATAACAAAGCCGGAACTCGACCGAAAAAATTATAAAAAATGATTGGAAATGTACTCGAGACTGTAAGAGCTAGGTGAGAAAAAAAAGCTTTAAAAGTGCTGAAAAGTTTAGTGAACGAAAAAAACTTGATAATGAATTCAAATATTCGAGTACTTCAAAAAAGTTAATTCTTTTAAAAATTTACGCATAGGGCTCGAACAGTAGAACTTTTTAAATTTATTCAATATTTTTTCCCCTTAGTAATATAGTTTTGGTTATGAACGTGTAATATTTTGAAAATCATATTCCTGAAACTCCTAGCCTTGCTTCTATTGTCTGCTGGTTTCGAAGATAATCTTCAAAATCGACACTTCTTAGAAACGTTTTTTGTCCGCCTTGGTAATCAAATATTATAATAATCCATTTTCTTGAAATGGCAGAATGCGACATTTGCATTCCATGTGCGAAGCGGTTGCGATGCATTTTGACGCCAAATCAAAAATTATCGCATATACATGGAAATCCTTTGTGAAATTATTCCCATTGTAATACAAAGTGCCAAAGCTCCAAAATGTCTGAAATTTTGAAAATACGGAATGATTTAATTGGCTTTACACAAGAAGTTCAAGTACCACAAACAGTAGTTTCGAGTCGAGAGAAACGAATTAAATTACAATAATCTTTTTAACTTTCCATTTGATCTCCAAAAACGCTTTCAAACTTCTAGATCGACGTTTTGGTCGCAGACGCCATGGGAAAAGGCGCCGAGATTGTGGTTGGAGGAGAGCGAGGCGACCGCGGCTGCGGCTTCCAACCGACTCTGCTCACCGGCGTCACCGACCAGATGAACATCTCCGGCTGCGAGATATTCGGCCCCGTCGCTGCTGTCCGAAAGTTTGTTTCAAGATGTTTTCGAGGAGAGAAAGTCGTTACTGTTTATGCTCAAGACCATTTCCAATCATTTTCCACAGATTCTCCGATGAAGACGAAGTTCTACGCCACGCTAACTCTGCCCGATCTGGCCTCGCTGGCTACGTCTTCGGCCGCGACGCGGCACGTCTTCAGCGCGTCTCACGTCTTCTCCAAGTCGGCATGGTCGGCGTGAACGAAGGTGTGACCCCAGGCCTTTTTCGGCAACGGAATCCGAGTTGAAGGTCTCATTTCCTGTGCCGAAGCGGCGTTCGGAGGTGTCAAGGAGAGTGGCTTGGGCCGGGAAGGCGGTCAGCAGGGCATCGACGAGTTCACCAATTGGAAGTACATCTGCACCCAGTACTAGACTTTCTTGTCTTCTGCTTTTTAGTTGTGAATGGAATCGTTAGGCCTTCCTAGTCACTCGACATTCCAAAAATTCTATATATTTTTTTCCTTCTTCTCTACTCACAGCCGTGCCACTTCTTCTTGCCTTCTCTTCCAATTATTCGTTCAGCTTGTCAGATCATCTTCTAGTCGTATGGAACATGTAAAAAGAAACTATTTCAAGAATTTTATTCCATAATTTTTAATTAATCTATTTGCACATTTGATGTTATATTTTTTTTGTTATTCTTCGAATGACATACGGTAATGAAAGCTCTAAAAGTCAAACGTTGGACGTTTGCGATGGTTGATTGAGGGGGAAAATGACATGATATTTACAAATATCAGAGTACCCATGAGTTGAAGAAAAAGCCACCGTTTTAGTGATAACGGCGTCGGCGGCTCGACAGCTGCTGATGGATGTAGGTGAGAGTTTGGAGCATCTTCTGCTCGCATTCGTTCTGTCGTTTGACGAGCCTCCGGACGGCTTCCGTCTCCATTTTCTTCACGGGGGAGCTCGCGATGTAGTTATCGCAGCTGAAATCCCCTTCTTTTTCGATAAAAAGAGATGATAATCACGTGTCGACGCTGGCGCAGCAGTTTCGGACCGATTGGCAGGCCTCCCGGATTGGCTCAAGCTTGGCGCGACAGGTGAAGTGGTTCGACTAGAAATCCTTCTCTTTAGCCTTCTAATTTTCAGAAAACAGCCAACCTGGGATCTAGCGTGCTCCTTGGCGAAGAACTCGTCGATGGACTGCGTGCTGGGCTGTTCGGCGCTGCACAGAGCTTCTTCCTGGTCGGTGACGGCGATTTTGTTCCGGCCAAGGTCCAGACAAGCCTTGCGGACTCCTCTTTGGATCACGAGCAGTTGTTTCAACTGAAAATGGTTCTTTTAACTTATCATCATTTTTTGGTTACTGTAGCGTGAGCGGAGCGGTCAAGTGGTCTGAGACACGCTTTGAGCACGATCTCGTGGTGGGAAATGGAGCTGTTGGTGAGGATGCTCAAAATTTGGGTGTCTTCGATTCCTTAATTCACGATTTCTAGCATGTTTTTCCCTTTTCGTTCTTCTACCATGGCTCAAGACCTCGGTGGAGTATTTTCGGTCGCACTGCTGTTCATAGTCATTGAGTGTCTGCCAACACGAAGAGTAGGTTTGGCAGTGGTTCTGTTCTTTTCTTGGTCGGATCTGCTTCACCTTTAACTTCCGTCGTGTTCAGAGTCTATTGTACAACCCTACCTGATCGATCACCTCCGAAGCGACAGTCGTCGTGGTCTCAGTTGTGGTGACAGCTTCAGTGGTTTCAGTCTCACCACTGCTTTCGACTTCAGTGACGGTGGTAGTAGTGGAGGAGCTCAATGGCACGTCTTCGTCTGATCCGACGAGAATCGTCTTTGGCTTCGTCACATCTTCATCTATTCCTGAGATCAGATGTACAAGAATATCTGAGATATTTCTTACCTGGTTTTTTCTCTTCGGTCTTCTCTTCAGACTTCTTCATCTCGTCGACAATCTTGCTCATGAGCTTCTCGGACTCGTGGTCGATGACGGTCTTCTTGGGAACGGTTTCGGTGGCGACGGTGGTGACTTCGCTCTTCTCAACGGCTTCTTCGTTTTTCTCAGTGGAGGTCTCAGCGCTCAGCTGTGGCAGGTCTTCGATCGCAGGTCCGTTGTGCTCCTCCTCGGCTTCAACAGCTCCATCGACCTTCTTGTGCTTGTCGGCGACGGCCTTGATTTCATCTTCCACCAGCAGAACTCGGTCTTTGTCTTCCATCTGAGGTGTCTTCTCGAACTTCTCCTCTTCGGCAAGTTTCACCTTTGGCTTCTCAGCGACGTCAACAGATGGCTTGGCTTCGAGGTCCTTGTCGACGACGTTGATGGATTCTTTGGCTTCCTTGGCCTTCTTGGCGTCGTTAGTGGTTTCGGGAACCATGAGAGTGCGATCGATAAGGGTATGGGCGAGTCGCGATTCTGGCAACATATTCTTGGCGGTCTTCTTCGGCGACGGCGTCTTGCTGGTCAAGGAATCGAGGGTCAGGAGCATTGGCAATGGTCGCGTCACTGTAGTTTCGCTTTCTGGAGTCGTCGTCTCCGACTTCTTTTCGGATTTCTCCTTTTTCTCTTCGTCGATCACTTTTTCTTTTTTCTCAGCTTTTTCCTCTTTCTTTTCCTCTTTCTTTTCTTCTTTCTTTTCTTCTTCTTTCTTCTCTTCCTTCTTCTTCTCCTTCTTGTCACTCTTCTTTTCCTCCTTCTTCTCGAATTCTTCGGTCTTTTCTGGCTCAACCTTCTCTACAGTTTCAGCCTCCACGATTTTGTGCTCAGTCGCTTCATCCTGAAATCATTTTTTCGATGCACAACTCAAACCAAATCTCACCTTTTCGCTAAGACTTCTGGCCACAATCTTCACGTTTTCCTCAGAAATATCTCCGATTTCAGATTTCTTACCAAGTGTCTCATTGATGGCATCTCTGTGAAATTAATCAAGAAGACTATTTTTGTTTTGAAGTTTGCCAATACCTGATCTTCTTCATTTTTTCGCTCGTTTCTTCATCGATCGAGGCGTGGATCTTTTCTCTCTCGGCTGCCAAGGCGAAAAGCTCAGCGAAGTTTCCTTCGGCGATGAGGGCGACGTACTTGGAGAGGTCCTTGTCCGAAGCAGTTCTGAGGAAGTATCAATAACTAATAATTATCAGATTGAGTCAAACCTGATGAGATTTCTGACGATAGCAACTCGCTTGACAGCGTCAAGTTCGACTTCTTTCTTCTCAGTCGCGACGTCTTCTTCGCTGTTCTTTCCAAAGGTTCCTTCAACCTTGAGCTCCTTCTTTTTCTCTCCTTCCGCCTCCTCGGTCTTCGAGCTCTCTTGAAGCACCTCTTCTGGAGCGCTACCATCCTTGGCCGTGCTCTCGACAACGATGTCGACAGTTTCAGAAGGCGCTTCGGTTGTTTCAACTGAACTGCTTGGGGTCGTTGGAGCTTCAGTGGTTTCTTCTTGAACAGCGCTGAACTTCGAGGTGGTGGTGTACTGGTCGACGAGTTGCTGGGCCAGAAGCTGGCGGATCTGTGTGTATTTCTGGGAGAAACGCTCCTTGCGCTGCTCCAGGGCGTCCGTTGAAGTCAACGCCAGGCGACGGATGATTCGGTCTTCTGAAAAAAAAGGGATTTTAGAAGTTTGATTAAGGAACAGAGGTACCAGTGTATTTATCGGGACGAAGGAATGGAACTCCGGCGTTACGGTAAGGGTCTCGCAGCGCTTGCAGACGGTTTCCTTCGCGAGTGAAGCGAGGGTCGTTGGAGACGATGCACGACAACATGTTCGCCACGATTTGTTGGGCTGCATGTTGACATTTTTTTTCTCTAATATCGCAGAATACTAACCTTTGACACGAGCGTTCTGATAAGCCATTGAGACGGCGTTCATACGTTCTCCGCATCTTAAAATGGGGTTCGGTGAAAAGTAGATTACGGTTTTGCAGACTTTTGGGGTCTTGACACACATTTATAGTTAATATTTCTTGGAAAAAATAAATTTTTGTGCAATTTTCCGTAAATATTTGAGAACCTGAAAAAAAGCTGTAATATTTTATTAATTTTCATCTTAAAACGCATGCTTCAAGGGTCATGTCCCTCTACAAGATGGGTTGTTAAGGAAACTTGTTTTTTGAAGCTTCGGCTTCTCCAACAAACCGGGAATGGTCGGGACAGCACTCGAGGAGCGTCTCGCAGTACTCTCTGTCTTGTTTGAAGTCGACGAGACATTGGAACGCGTCCCCGTGCGAGTCGTTCTTCTGCGTCGGCGCCACGAAATCGCAGCTGTCCGAGAACTGAAAAAAGATATCGATTGAAGCTTTTTAAGAAACTCAAAACGAACAGTTTCCTGCCGCCGAGAGCTTTCTGGGATCTTTTCAAAGCACTCACGACCGTCCTCATTCACCAGAACCTGCAGAGACTCGAAGTCGATGATCTCTTTCAGAATTCGGTCTGCAGTTTGTTGATGTTTGTTATTTTTCAGGCGTTGGAGATCAACCTTGGCAACCGACAAACTCCAGAGCTCTGTACTTGACGAGGTCTCGAATGTTGACGTCCTTGCTCTCCAGTGTTAAAGATATACCCGTGCCGCCGGCACATCGTTTGAAGTTGCTCTGGACTGTTTCCAAACACGACAGGTAGTGGAAACACGAGGTCTGAAAGGTGTCATCCATTGAGTTTTGATTAATTCCGAAAGAAAAAGAGAGAACTTTGGCTTCAAAAATTTTCTTTTGGAAGGAATAATTTACCAGAGCTTGCATGACCATATCGAAATAAAAAAGAATATGATTTTCATGACCTTTAAAATAATAATATTTAATCATTGACAATGCGATTAGAGCATAGGAAACAGGAAAACTTTTTTTGAATATTTTCACCACCAAAAAAATTCATGTTTATGTGTGATTTTTTCCAGCTTAATTTTGATTCAATTCGGAAAAGGAGCAATTTGAAATGTGAATAATAGGACATTATAAACTGGAAATAAGAACAAAAAGCCTGAAGTATAGGAGGAAATCCGAATGATGACTTACCCTATTGCGTTGATGAGCTGCGACAACTGCCGTGAGGGCGAGGAGTATCAACGCTCGCATCCTGGAAAAGTAAGAAAATTCCAAAAAGAAAGAAATAGAGATGACATTCAGGAGAGAAGCTGAAAGAAAAGGTCGAAAAGTTTTCACACTCCAAGAAGCAAGTAACGTCTCAAGGTTAGCTTCTTTCATCAAGTGGGTTTTCAAGGATGAGGAAGTGTCAAGCTTTTTCTATCAGAAGTTCAAAGAGTTCAATGAAAGTCAGAGAAGAATTAGATTTGGTAGATTTTTGGAATAAATTAATGAAGTTGTTAAACTTTTTTGTTGAAAATATTGAAGCAAAAATGGTATTAGTGGGAGAAATTGAAACAAACTTGGCGAGAAAAAGAGATCTCGAAGAAGGAATCTCGAAGAAGTATCAATAGAGTTGATTATTTTTGAATAATATGTTGAGTTTTCTATCAATAAGAAAGTGAATTAAAAATGAAAGTTGAGGTTTATAAGAGAGGCTTGAAATTTCTTCAGAAACAGAATTTTTTGATTAAGTTTGGACTCAGTTTGGGGAAGTAATCAAATCTCTCAACTAAGTAGTCTTGATGAATAAGGGGGTGAAAAAGAAATTTCCTATGTCCTAAGCGAAATTTTTTTTTAATGTGGAAATCCAAGACAGAAGTTAAAGTAAGCGTTCAAAGTCTTATTAAAAGTTGTCTCCTTATTCCAAGGGAAAGGTTAAAGATACTGAGTAGCTCTAGATCAAAAAAGGAACTTTTCGAAAAGTTCAAATTCAGAAAAGAAGTCTGAAGAAAGTAAGAAAAGCCGACACCGTCAAAGAAGAAGCGGCGAAAGTCAAGTGACACAGCGGCGCGAGGAACGGAAAGGCGGGCTTCTTCTTAAGAAGAGGTTGGACCTCTCTCCAGAAGTCGTGGGTGGTCCTTTCTTTGTGGGCGCCAAAACTGACGAGCCTGAAGACAGACGTTCTCCCGATAAGAGGAGTCCCTCCCTCCGCCGGAACAAAAAACGGATGAACTTGCTAAAGGGCGAGATGTTTCCGAACCCATTGTCTTCTCTGTAGACGCAAACTATGCAAATGGCCCGAAAGTCTCCTCGATTTGCGCGACTTCTCGTCAGCTTCTTGTCGCCGTCTCGCACCGTGGTGCCTTTTTTGGCCGATCGTCGCAGGGAAGGCAAAAAAACGGACGACGAGGATAGAAACGTTGGTCGGTTGGTCAGATTTCGCTGCCATGCTTCCGACGTCTTTTTCCGCTTTCCACAGACTTCAAGTGTCACGACGGTGGCTTTGGAATGGACCCTAAGGCCGACAACCATCAAATTTCTAGAAAAATTAAGGATTTCAGATTTTAAAAAGATAAATGAGAAAACCGAAAGTTTTTTTCTGGTCTTTCTTTTGACTTCCGAGTGAAGAATAAGTTTGGCGAGCGTTGAAAATCTTGTGTAAGATATCAAAAAGTAATTAATTTTCAAATACTTCGAGTCTTCTCAAAAAAATGCGAGTGGAGAAAAAAACTTTAATTTTACTTTTTTTCTGACCGAGTCAGTACTTTGAAAAATTTTTCCAAGAAAGAAAAAAATAATTCAGTAATTTTCGTAAAAACTGGAAAAAACACGATTTTTGATAAAGGAGAAGTCATAACAGCCTAATTACACAGAGCCGATTATCATACAACTTACTTTTATGAAATTTTTAAATATCCCCTTTTTATAATAAAAACATTCCGTCGGATTCGTTCTTGAGAAAGTTTTATTGAATTTCTTAGTTTTTCAAATTTTTTTGGTTTTATTGAAATACCTTTTCAAAGCAACCTTTCAAGCTGCTTAATAATAAAGATTTTCAGAACTTATTTTTTTAGAAGACTATATTCTACTCAAACTCTTGACAAATTTGCATCTCCAATCTTGCAGGAAAATAGCTACATCATGATACGTTCTTTGTTCTGAACAGGTACTTTCTCCCTAATATTATGAGTGGCGGTGTAAATTAAAGGCCAACAAACGATAGTGTTTTCATTGGTTTCGTTACACTTTAATGGATTTCAGAGAAAAGAACGGCCTGGGAAAGGTTAATGACCCATTAGGAATCGCGCAAAAGTTCAGAGAAACAGCTGGGTTCATGGGTAAACTGGCGATAGGGCAGCTAATTATTGAGGCTATCACGAGGAAATGACAAAGAAATCCTTGGAGGTTGTTAAGAAATTCAGTTGGCGGTTGAGGGTTTTTGAAAGTTGGCTAGAACACTTTTTGATATACGAGAAGACAACTTCCTAATTTTCGGGAAATGGGAGCCCACAAAATAGCTTATTTCAACGGCTTTCAAGGTTTTCTCTGAGTTTGAGGTGTACTTTTCCAACAATTATAATGTTGAGCAAGTTAAGAACTTCATGTTCTTCGTCTGGTACTTAAATGAGTGTTTTTGGCCAATTTTCAGGGAGTTTCCAACCAAAAGGTGAAATGACTTTCTTTGTAAGAAAATAAGTTTAATTTCAGACTAACTCAACTTCAATTCATCAGAAAAGTGTCGAAATATTCACGTTTCTGGACATCATCCAATGATGCGCAGCTTCATTATCATATCAAGCATATCGGATTGCGCGATCGCCTCAGGGCAAAAAAAACGGATCGGTTGAGGGCCGCCGATTGTGATCATCGCATTCAACTCTTTCGGGTCATTAGCAGGATCGGATATTCAATTTAACGACGTATTAACAGACAGGAAGGCAGACTATCGGCGGCATCTCTTTTCCAGACCAACGCTTCTTCCAAAAATGGAGACCCTCCAAATAATTTGGGATAAGTTGAAATTTCTGACTTTTGAATACTTTTTTTGTTATGAAGTTCTATAAATCTTTATCAGAATAATTTCAAACTTTTTGTGAACTTTTTAGGTTCATTTTGATTTTGAAAATTGGAGTAAGAGGGTGATTCTTCGCAGAAAAATGAGAAGAACTTCATTTAAAAAAATAAATTTTTTTAAGAAGTGTACTGGACTGAGTTTCCGAAAGTTGAGGAAAGTGGTTTTCAAAGAAAATTGCGGATTTTATCTTCGAAAATTTCCCCTTTTAAAGAAATTCAAAAAGAGTTCCTCGACGAAAAGCTGAAAAAATTCCATTTTTTTCAAAACTTTACTCATGAATTTCAATCTGTCCTTAACATCAAAATGTGGTAATCTTTAAGCTTCTTTTCCAATTTTGTCTACTATTTTCCTTTATTTGTAGAGTAGAAGTTTTATTTTTTTTTGTATGAAGTGTTTTCAAAAAGAGAAAAATATAAAGAGAACAGAATGAAACCGAAAAAAGTTTGATTTTATGCGAAAACTGTTCAAAGAATCTTCAACAGTATTTTCAGCAACCAGCAGAAAGTATGTCAAGAGAAACTATGAAACATATGATTCCATTCAACTCGACACTTGATAATAAAAAGATGGAACAGAAATTTTGAGAAAAGAGATGAAACAAAAGCCGAAAAAGCGGTCGAGAAACGGCTTTATATAGGCTGACCACTGGGCAAAGCCGAACTCGGTTCAGGCGGAAAACAGGCGAGAGGTGATAGGTGGATAAGACTGGACCAAACTTCCCGAAAAAAAGCTCGACGCGGCCGTTTTGGTGGAACCCCGACGATGTTTCAAACATTCCCGTTCCTGTCGAGAACCTAATCAGTTGTCGTTTGTGACTTTTTTCTTCCAGAAAAGATGTCGGTTTTCGATTTTTGACCACTTTCTGTAGTCAACTTCATGCTTATCAAGGAAAAGAGGTTTTTGGCTTTAGAATTAGGTTTCGAAGTTCTATTTTTGAAATAAATAACTGATGAAAAAAATGAAAAAAAAGCGTTAACGGTTACTCACTGTTATGAAATTAGATTTTGATTTCCTTGAATCAGACTCCATGAAAGGGCAACCACACGGTTGCGTTCCTTACGAAGCAGTTTGCTCTAATACTATCCGATGCCTCATGGCGCAAGTCGTATCGGGTCGGGCGCAGGGAAAGTTCATTCTACGCATGAGTTTTCAAACAAAATTTTTTATAAAGTTGATGTGAAATATGTCGAAACTTGAGAAAAAACGAAAAAACGTATATGTTATCATACCTCAAGATCAAAGTGGTCTTTTTTCAGGATTTCACCTTTTCGAAATTTTCGCGAAACTCCACGAATTCATTCAAAATTAGACAGTAATTTCTGCCTGACATAGTGGTAGCAAAGAAAAAAATTCAAATAATAGAAAACATATCTTTTTTTCCCTTCAAATTTATCATTTTTCGAAAAGTTTTACACAAATAAAAATGTTTATTTTTTACGTTAAGGTACAAATCAAACAAGGATCGTGGACAGGAAATCTGGCACTTGGGGATGAGGTGCCAATGGCCGAACGGGCCGCCTGAAGGGCGCTTTTAGCGTTTGCGGTTGGGTCCATTAAGCCACTAAACTCGCACCGATCAACTCTTTTTTCATTGCCATGAGACATTGGCCGACCGTCGGATTCCTTTTGCAACGTTATTTTGCCTTTTTCTGAGGGTTTCTGTGTGCTGTTCACGGTGATTTATGATGGAAATCAACAGGATGATGATTAATTATCAGATTTCATAGGCAAAGGTGACGCTATGAATATCTGTGATTAGTACACTATACCTTAGATCTCAAAAAATCTCTTGCTTTGATAAGATTCTTCATTTTCTAGTCCTTTTGAATTAAAAATATGCGGAAATCGATTGTTATGGCACGTTTCCAAATCTTTTTTCCTCTCGGAAAAATTTGAAAAAGCCCCAGAAAGAGTTCAATTTCGCCTAAAGTTCCGATTTCGAGAATAAACTTACCAAAACGGGATTTTATTTACGCTTTGCTATCAGATAAAAGTTTTGGGCATAAAATCCTGAAAGTCGATTATTTTTCAGCTTGAGCTTCAGGATCATCTTGCACATTCTAGAGGTTTTTTATTGATTGTATCTAAAATTCTGACGTCGATGACTATTTTAATCAAATTAAAAAAGTAGCGTTTAAAAGCCGAGCTCCATGTAACGTCCACCAGATTTAAAAATAAAATTCTTTTATTCGTAGATTTATGCAACTTTACAGAGAGGAATATATTTCGCGAAAATGTTCAACTGCTTTCTCCAATCGCCTCGAGAAGTTTCTGGACGGCTGGAGCGACGTCGAAAGGTTCAACCTAAACTTTTCATTTTCGAAAATGAAAATAGAACTTACAAGAATTGTGTGCCAACCACGCGCTTCAGCGGCGTCCAGGTTCACTTGGAGGTCGTCGAGGAACAGAATTTGGTTGGGTGCGAGGCCCAGTCGGTCTTCCATCATCTGAAATGAAGGTTGAAGCCTTCCAAGTTGAGCTTTGTGAAGTTGATTTTAAAACTCAAGTTTTGAGGTCTGATTTCATGAAGTTTAATTAAAAAAAGTTACTTTCTTTTCACAGTTTGGCCTTCAATCATTTAAAAAAGTTGTTTCATTCAGAAACCTAGTTTGAAATTTTGAATACTCAAGGCTAAGCTCTAAGGTCCTATTAAAAAACTTCAAAGTTTCGAAATTGCCTTGTAGATCTCGGGCTGCGGCTTCATGACTTTTTCGACACAAGACTCGATCAAGACGTCGAAATGTGCCGTGTCGATGATCAATCGACTCTTCACGCCGTCCTAAAAAATAAGAAAAACTTGAAGTTAGATAATCGTTCTTTCACCTTGTCCAGAAACATATTATTCGTCAACAATCCTGTTTTGAGGCCTTTCTCGCGCACTTTTTTCACCGTTTCCAACATTGGCACGATCTGATAAAGATTGGGATTATTTGACTGGTCGGAGAAAGGAAATTTCAATAAAGAAGTTTATTAGGTTAGGGAAAGTTAACTCCTAGACCACCTTGATCAAAATGATGAGAAAAAAACCAACAATTTTGGCGTTGATTCCACCGAGAGCGTCTGAATACGGCTTTATCGGGTGCTTTTCTTTCAGCGAGTACTGAAACAATTATTTTTCCATTTTCAGATAAGAAAGAACCTTTTCGTGAAGATACTCAACAAGTAGACCCGCTTCGATTTCCGCAATGGAAATGTTTCCGAGGAACATATTCCGGTGAGGACCCAGCCAGTCGTGGAAATCCTGACCCACGATCTCCTTCACTACCGTTCCGACTGGGAGACCCAGCAACTCGTCGATTTCTGGTAAAATGTCATTATTTAAAATTCAAGTGAGTTTCTAGGTTTTCATTATATGTAAAAAAATATAAAATCGAAAATTCTACAGCAACGCCTCATCTGGCTCTTGTTAAGGTAATACCGAGCTTCATGGAGAATTTAAAATAGCTTTGGAAGTTCGAAATTTTGAAGCAACTTTTAGCATTACTTCGAGCTCGAAAAATTTCATGATTACAAAAAAAAGAACATTTATCGTGAAATGAAGAATGAAAAAACAAACTTTTACATGTCGGTTTGACGTTGTCGTAAGACAGCAGAACTCCGCCGAAATCGTAGACAACAGCACGAATTTCTGGGATCATCTTAGTCGAAAATAGAAAACCAAAATAATATTTTGGCGCTCCAGACAAATTCAACAGGCTTTATCAAATTGATAAGCAACTGTCAAACACTCAGAACTCTGCCAATCGGCACTTTTTTGGGAAGAGAACGAAAATATGCTCTTTGATTGCTTGATAAATCTGGAAACGGGCAAGCTTCCATAGTAATTACGCTGAGTATATGTTTTCACAAGAAGCTTAAGGGGTGATTAAAAGCAGAAATTGAGGAGGAGTATTCGAAAATCTGCCAAACGGACTTGTTTTTAATGAAATGGAAGGAAAATTCCGCTCTTTGAGTGCTTCTGTGGAGAGTGATACGATTCGAAAATGATTAAAAGAAAAAAAAAGTGTACTTTTTTCAAAATTTGTTAGCTTTGAAAAGTACAAACCGGAATTTAAAATAAAAGATGAACACTTTCAGCACTCGATAGAAAGTGATTCAAAAAAGGAAAAAATATATCAATTTTTTTATTTGGGCCTAAATTTTCTTATTTTTTTGAACTCTAACTTTTTTTCACTATGAAAAAAATTTAGACTTACTTTCCTACTGAGTAAAAAAATCAACTTGAATATAATCTGCTTGAAATTTTTGATTATTTTTTTAAATGAACATTTAAACTTCAACTTTGCACGTTTTTTTCAGTTCCAAACCCACAGTTTTTTTCCTTAATTTTTTTCATGAAATTTAGAATTTAAAACTCAAAACTCAAGTTTTTGTATCTTCCCAAAGTATGCTATAGATTTCCTTTTCATTTTCCGAGCACCGTAAAAATTTTTCAACTTGAAAACTTAAGAGCTTTGATTATTTATTTGAAGTGATCAAGTTTCCTTTTGATTCAATGTTTTCATAGTGCAACGACCCTGAGAAAACCGAAACCGATGAAATGTCCGTTTTTACACATAAATCGAGTGGAAACGCACCTTTTCAATATTGACCGTGAAAAGGAGTGCGAAAGCGCGCAAGTCGCGGCGCGTCGGTCGCTGTAAAACTAGGGTCTATCTCTCGTAAGGCCGATTGCAGGGCCGTGAGGACAAACTTAGGACACCTTTGGAGGGCTTCGGCCCGCTGAAAAGAAAACTATTAGCCTAAACCGAGCCCAGCGTTGAAATTTTGATCGATTGTGTATTGAAACAAAAATATTGTGATGAGTAAAAAAAAAGCAGGAAAAGTTGATCAATTAATGATATCAGAGAATAATTTTACACCAAGGTTTGTAGTATGGAAATCAAAAAAACAAAACCCTTGATGGGAAAAAAAAAGTTCTTCGACTTTTACCAAGGTTAAATAATATCAGCCTCCACATTTTTTCCGCACTTGACAGTTTTATTGTAAAATATTACATCGAAACTTGTCTTGGAGCGGCAACGAGGTCGGTCAAAAATTGTGTTATTCTTATTTTTGATTGATTAGTGGGAAGCCGAAAAGAAGGGTTTTTATGCCATGTACGAAGTAATTTCCGCGAATCGCAAGATCTCTGATTCTCCGAAATTTAGTTATTTTTTTCACTCTTTTATGGCTATTTTTGAATTTCATGGAATCTCTTTGAACCTTGAATTAAATTGGATTGTTTATTTTGGGGAGTTCATGAATATTCTGACAACACATTTTTTTAAGTTAATCTGAAAAGAAATGCTTAAAATCGAGAAATTTTTCAAATCTGCCGTTCTACACGTTTCCGCAGTTTTTTTGGCTGAATTAAGAATTTTTTTCATATTTTTTTGTGGGCGTTGCAAGATCTTCTTAAGAATATATTTGACTCTTTTTCTGCTCATGCACTAGGGTACATTTTCTGCACTTTTTAAAGTCTCAAAGTTTGAGACCTGGAGAGTTTTTTGAACAGATAAAACCACAATCATTCGAAAAGCTCTCAAAACGAAATTTTGAAAAAAAAAATCATTAGGAGTTTTACATATTGTACCGAAAAAAGTGACCCTGCTACTTACTCAGGGCCATTAAGTTAATGGTGACAACCGAAAAGGAAAGAAAAAAGAAAACAGCTGTTTTTTTGATGAAAACAAAGGTCAGGAGGTGTCACTTGAGAGGCGAGGCCGACGATGGCAGGCCGACGAACGGGTCGCGTTCCGCCGCTCCTCACTTTCCTTTTTTGGAGACACCTTCTTCAGCTCCTCAATCATACAGTAACTTTCTCTTCCTTTTCCATTTTTCCCATGATTCGAAATTTTTCCATAAATCAAGAAAAAAAACCCCTTTAAAAACTGTGTTTCATTCACATCTGACTTTGGAAAACATGTAAGAGCCTTTTTGTTTGGACGAATAGTTATTTATCCCATGTCCAAGCTAAGAGTCTGAGATGAAACAGAAAACTCAAGGATCTTCCATCAATTTTTGAAAACTAGCAAGTCTTTTTAAAAAAGGATAATTTCCGGAAGACTTCAAATTTTTCGATATTGATGAAATTTTTTCTTCGTTCTTACACACTACAGAGAAGTTCCCTTTCAGTGTGAGTTAGGGACCGCAAAGCCACGCCCCTTTTCGCGATAGAAAAAGTGGCTTTTTTTTGGTTTTCAACTTTCATTTGTTGTAGTTGCAAAATATGTGGAACTGGCTAATAAAATTTGACACACATGTACAGAAAAGCTTCCTCTTTCATTTAAAAAATATTTCACGCTTTTTTTGATGCGTTCTCGCGGAATGTCGTACAAAAAAACGTGAATGGAACTAAAAAATTTTTTGTCATTTTTTTGCTTTTTTTATGTGTTTTTCAGGTCGAACGCACTCTTTCTTTTTTTAAATAATGGTTTTTGATTCAAGTAACGGTAATTTTAAAACAATAAAATAAAAAATTCGTCTTTGCCAAACATTTTAGGGAGTGCCGAAAGTCATAATTCAAAATATCGTTAATAAGCGAATATAATCGAGTTTTTGTTTTTTCAAAATTTAGATCATGGGCTTACTTAAATTTTTCTCCACAGCATCTGCGCTTGAAAAAGTTGTTTAATACACAAAAATGCTCTTGAAACTAGAGAATAAAATTAGCGGCGTTTATCATACAGAAAGCGGTCGAACGCAGGTTTTTTAAACGATTATATGCATTTATTAGTGAAAAAAATCTTTCAATTAAAAGAATAAAATAAAAAATTCGTCTTTGCCAAAAATTTACGGGGCCGTTTTATTGCTGCGATCGTTAAACGAGGCAAAAGGCACTAAAAAAACAGTTTTTTTCGAAGTAAACTTTCTACGAAAAGTTTGAGTAGAGATTTGCGAACATATTCTGATAAAAAAATAGCTTAATTACTTCAAGTTTTTCTTTTTGAAATAGGCAATCTGTGCTATTCAAACGGCTCAAGGGTATGGCGGATGGAGGCTCCCCTCGCTAGACCTGACAGCTTGGCGCAGCGCGTGCGCTGCGAACTTTCATTTTGAGGTCGCGAGTTCGATGCCCGCAAGCGTCAGTTTTTTTGTTTTCTGAAAAATACCGTTTTTTTCGGCAAACTAGCTGATGAGCATCATTTTAGCACTCTATTATGATTTGTTACATCAAATGTCAAAAATGGAAAATACCAAAATTTCAGTGTTAAAAAAATTGTGCGCGGCGCGCCATATTTTTCGTCATAACTTTTTTCATCCTCAATCTTTTTCGAAAAACTAAACGGTTCCGAGTTTTGAATCGAAACAGCTATCAAACCATACAAAGCTCAATGCTGAAAAATTTTTTTTGAAAATTCGTCTGCGGTCCCTAGTGTAAGTATTGAAAATTGGAATACAAAATCGATTTTGGAATGGAATTTTAAAAAAAGTTTGAATCGTCCTATTTTTGTCATAGGAGACCTTAATTTTCTCTATTTTATTATCAGAAACTGTAAAAATTACGACTTATGAAACAAAAAAATTCATAAATTGGTTGATGTGATAATTTAAAAAAGCCGCCTCGAGAATCGTGAAAAATCTCTTTTCAAGGTTTTTCATTTCAAGTTTTCAATGAATTTGATCAGTTTCAGATTTTCTAGGACTGTAAATTTCGACGTTTGATAACATTATCCTTCCTTTTTGCTGCTAAACTGTAAAGAAAGAGTTTCAATTCTCTACCAATATGCAAAATAATGCGTTATGCGACGCCTCGACTAAACCGCTTCGAGTCGGGAATTTCGAATTATTTTATTTACAATAAATTCGTGCAAAATTTTATTTATCGAAATTCTTCTTCAATCACATGAGGAAAAAGAAAACCATCAGTTTTTGGAAATTCTTTGATAAGAGACCATTTTTCTATGAAAATGCAACCGCATTTGTCTCTGTCTTCTGACCGCTGAACCTATTTTTGTTGTTCTAAGGTTCACCGAAAACCGATCGGTTATTGATAATTGCGAGAAAACTACGTCAACTTCTGGTCAGTCATTGAGGAGGGTGTTTTTGTGATTCGGGAAAAAAGGACAACATGAAATGACGCCGACCGCTCCTTTTTTTCCGTTCTTTTCTTCAGCAAAATAGCTTTTTCTTTTTTTCTTTCTGTCTGGTAATTAAATTGTTCCTTCAATTTTTCTTTCTAGCTGAGAATATATTTTTTTATCAAGGAAGATTCGAAATCATCTATCAGATTTGTAGCAGGAAACACGACCCTACTATGGTTTTTCCTTTTTCATAGGTTTTTCATTTTCAAAAAATTTTTTTTGTGATAATTTTTTTAAACCGTTTTTTTCAGAATCTGTAGTGATAAGCATCCAGTTTTACCATTTATTTACTAGTTAAACTGAATTCAGCCCAGAACTGGGCGAATAAAAAAGGTTAGACTTACCTTTTTCGCCTTGTTTCACCTAACTCTTTGTACTTTTCTTGAAAACATGTTTTATTTTTTTTTAAATAGAAAAGGCAGTAGTTTGAAACTATATTAATTATCACTAGCTTTTTCTGAAATAAAATAATACACTATTCAGAAAAAAAACGTTTTACAAATTTTTTCCCCAGTACTATCACAATTCCTTCGGTTTTCGAGGTCTGTGGCCGTCGGGTCCATTTTCTCAAGTTTATAAAAATCTTTGATTTTTGAAGTATATGTGCTTCGGATCATTAAAAAAACAAAAAAAGAAAAAAAGCGCCGTCATTGAAAGTTAAAAAAAAAGGAAAATTTCAATTTTTTTCCACGTTTCGTTGCAAATTTCAATCCTCATTCCCTTCATTTTCATTTTAATCATTCAGGAGGTTTTTGCTCGTGAATTTTATGGTTTCTTTGATTTTTGAAAAATTTTTAGCACCAGGAAAGCCGGAAAGACGAATGGAAAGGTTAACGCGGCTGCTCGCCGAACATCCCAAGAGAATTCTAATATCCGTCACTTTGCTCCTTTTGCCCCTACTAAGGTACACTATTTGAATAAACTATCAGAAAGTTTTCAGAATTTTAAATTTCCCATTTAACAAAAACATGGTTTTCATTTCGTAAATTTTCTGAGCATTGAAGTGAAATGAATAAATCAATAAACGAAGAATCTTTTTAGCTTCTTCTTGATCTACTCACAGGAGATTGAGTGCGACGTCAGAAGAGGCTTCGCCAACAAAAATGGCCGGGCTATCAAAGAATTTCAGGTTATTTTCAGCTTGTTCAAAGTATATTTAGGTCAGGAATTCTTCCTGAGACATTTAAAGGACCATAGCTAAATTCCATAAAGGTCTCGATGCGAAGAGCCATTTTATTGTTGTTTTTTGTCATAAAATACTTCTCTATTATGAAAAACCAACATGAGTTAAAGTCTTGAAATTTCACGGAACGACATTCCGCTGTTCCGCTACGTGCTTTCGCGAAGCGTCTTTCGAATCAAGGTCACGCTATCAATCGATTGTTGCTGTAGAAGCACATTAATGTAGAGAACCTTAATAAAAGTAAAAAAAAAATTAAAAGCGCGACCAAGGTTCGCAAAGGCGCGCAGCGGCACAGCGGAATGTCGTTTGGTGAAATTCCAAGTCGTAGTACACAGGCTATACCAAATCAAATCAAAAAAAAATCTCGAAATCAAATTTTGAATGTCAACTTTCTTTCAGAGGTTCTCGGACTTTTACAATATCTCATTCGAAGGGCTTGAGATCTGGGGAATTCTAGTGAAAAGTCGGAGCGAAGGAGGCTTTTTGAAAATGAACGCCGCTCTATTGGATGAGGTTTTTCTGAGCAATTTTTCAACCTCAACCTTTTTTTGCATGCAGATTGAACGACTGGAACTGTATGTCAAAGAATTTCAAGTGAAGAAAGATGGAGCGACGATAAGTTTCAACGACACGACGGCCGCTGATTTGAACTTTGTTTTCCATTATTATAAGGTTTCGATTTTATTCAAAGTTTTTAGAGCTAATTTTGAAACGTCTACAGTTTCGAACTGCTAAAAAAATGATTTTTGTCGGAAGTTTGAAATGTTCCAAAAAAAATTTTAATGTTCTGAAAATCTTTTTCTTCAATTTTTTTGGAAATTTTGCTACCCACGCTGAATTTTTGATCAGGAGATGTGATTTTCTAAAATTTTCTTTCAAAAGAAATTAAGCTTGCGATCAACATCTCAAAAATTTCAAAATCCATAACTAGGAAATCAAAAGTTCGCACAGATAGCGATTATGAGCAGTCTTCTTCTAGACCTTCCAAGGGTTCTCGTAATAGATCAACAGAAAAAAAAACTTCAAATTTCTTCTTGTAAGCAATTTTCCACCCATTCCGCCGTTTTCTAGAAACTGTACCCATTGGACGGCTGGCTTCCCGGCTTGAACCTTTCTTTTCCGATGTCCAGCGCCTTTGGCACGACTTTCTTCATCGGAAGTCAGTTCTTCGGCGTCAACCAACATCGTCCTGACACAGTGAGGCGAATTCGTGAGATCATTCAGACTCTCTCGATTCAGACTGGCCCGATAGAAAAGTTCCGATTCCTGACGTTGTGGTACATGAGCAAGGCGGAGACTGCGGAGGAGCGTCGGAGTCTTCAAGCAGTTCAGATGGGCATCTTCGGCGTCTCCGCCCAGAATAACTTCAGCCGCCTTTTTTCCTTTGAAATGTTCGGCGACCAAGTTGCCAATGCCGAGATGCTGCGTGGAACCCTCACCACAGTCAAGCTTTTTGTCGTCGGCGCCGCTCTGATGATCGCATTCATGGCGTTCAATTTCAGCCAGCTCACCGTCAAGTCTCAGGTTATTTCAAACTCGTTTTTTTTCTTTCGCCGTCAACGAGGGGGGTTATCACTGTAAAAATTTGGCTCTGTTGCAGTCCATTCGATAACAAAAGACTTGAAAAATTTTGTTTAACCTGCTTTTTTTTGCTTTAAAAGAGAAATCGATTCGAGAGCCCAGTCATTAAAAAAAACTCTGAAGTAAAATTACCTCTCTGTGACCTGTCCACAATGAACTTTTCAAAATTTCCTACGAAAATATTTTGAAAGGATGCTTCTATAGGTCATGCTGATCATCGGAGCGATCGGCTCTCCAATCGTGGCCACGTGTTCTTGCTTCGCTCTTCTCGGCTGGTTCGGCCAGGAGTTCAACTCGATCATGTGCATCACCCCCTTCTTAATCTTGGGCATAGGTTGGACCTCTCTGCTTCCTTCAAAAAGAGAATAAATGTTTGAGGAGTCGACGACGCCTTCCTTCTGCTCCACTGCTGGCGTCGAGAATCCTCCATGCCGAGCAAATCTTCGCGGCTCCGGAGCGTCGTCCTCGAAATCTCCCCCTCCATGGCCATCACCTCCATCACCAACACCATGGCCTTCAGTGTTGGATTCCTCTCGCCGACGCCTCAGGTGAATTTTCATATCCCTTTTCGTAAGATTCTTATAGAACTTTCTGTATGAGAAACAACTATTTTAATACAAGATTTTCTCCAGATGAGCTCCTTCTGCTTGTGCACGGCGGTAGCCATTCTTCTCGATTTCTTATTCGAGTTCCTCATTTTCGTGCCATGTATGGTCCTTTACTACGAAGAAAAATCACACAAGAAGCTCCTAATCGAGCAGAATAACATAAAGTTTAGAATCATATGTTCTTTCTTACAATTTTCTAATTCAGCAGTTCTACGGGCTGGACCAAGTTTGTCAACCTTTTGCTTTCCCCGGCTGGCCAAATTCTTGGACTTTCCTTGTATCTCACCTTGCTGGCCTCGTCCTATTACGGGGTGACGACTCTGGAGACGACTTTCGACCCCTCGAAGACGTTTCCTTCTGATTCCAAACTCGTCGAAGCGCTTCAGGACTTTACGTTCATCCAAGAAGAGGTTGTCCTATAAAATATGAATATTAATAATTCGGATCATCAGTACACTCCGGTGAACTACCTGACGAAGACGCCAAATCTATCCAACGACACCGAAATGGCTTCTTTTGAGAAAATGGTCCGGGAGCTGGAAAACAGGAACAATTGCTATGGATCGGAACGCAGCCAAAACATGTACTGGGATTATGTCGAGGTTTTTTTTCCGTATTTTTTTTTAGCTAACTAATGGTTTTAGTACTTGCGATCGTCAAATAATTCTGTGATGAACTACAATAAGTTGGAAGATTTCTTTAAGCAGCGTGGAATGAACGACGTCCGAATGGTCAAGTATCATCAAGAAGGGTTAGTGTTTTTCAATGTTTCAAATTTTATATAAAATCTCTCTTGATAAAGTAATTTTAAAGTAATTTTAAAAAACAAATGAAGTTGAAAAAAGAACTCGGACATTGGTAACGCGAAACGGACGTGCTCCGGACGTTTCTGGGCGATTCTAGAGATCACTTAAGAGTTCTGAGGCTACTAAAGGGGTCACTAGAAATGCCCCGACACGTCCGATTCGCGTCCCGTTCGCGTTACCAAGGTCTGAGAAGATTTTAAAAATCAGCCGATTTTGTCAATGGAGCAACTTTTCTGCGAAGTGGATTTTAAACTTGGAAATTCAAAATCTTTTCGATCATCAGATTTTTGACTTAATTTTTTTTTGAATTCATTATTTTTATTTATTTTGCAATAAAACAATAAAGCTATAAAGATCGTCTTTCTAATGCTTCTTTGAAATTGCTGCACTTGTTTTCCTAATCTTTCTTCAACAATTCGCTATTCTGCTTCAAGGAATGAGACGAAAGTGGACGTCCTGAACTTCTTGGTCATCTGCCGGGGAGAGAATGACTGGGGCTCGCGGGCCTCGGCCTTAGAGTCGTCACGACGGATCATCGACCGCTATCCACAGTTCCAAGTCTCTCTTTTCGACTACGACGCCACCATATACGACCTCATCATCACCGTTAAGGTGGCGTTGTCTGCTCACGTCTTCTTAATTCAGCTGGATTTCAGGGCGAACTCATCAAGTCGGTTTTCATTACGTTTTCCTGCATGACAATGGCATGTTTCGTCATCATGCCGTCCTGTATAGCGCCTACCATCGCTTCCGTCGCTACTCTCTCAATTTCTTACTGTAAGTTTTAATTTTAAACCCCTTATCCGCACTCAGAATGGCTTGACGCGTAGAAAATATTGCTTCGAAGCTGCAGAATTACTAATGCAAGTCCAGTTTGGACCGCAACGCGAGCTTGGCGCTTTGAACCATTCTACCTGCGACTTTGACCTTTTTCCAGGTCTTGTTGGTTTCCTATCAATTTGGGGGCAAAATCTGGATCCAGTCACCATGATCGTCATCATCATGGCCATCGGCTTCAGTGTTGACTACAGGTTTTTTCGAAACTTCCGAAGAATTTCTTGAAAAATGAATTTTTTCCAGTGCTCATGTATGTTTCAATTACTACTGTGCCTGTCGAGCTGGACCGAAAAATCAGTCTAAAAAAGCTTTGATCTCCGGAGTTTTGAACGCAGTCGGCCGGCCACTCATTGAGGTTGGTTTCAGTTTTCTTTCAAATAGAAATTTAAAAAAAAACGTTTAAATAATCGTATTTCCCTGACGTTATTTTTCTGATTCAAAAAAAAAGTTTATGGGAATTCTTTTAGCAAAAGCGGTTGAAAGGCCGTTAAGAAGAGAACCTGAAAATGGGTAATCATCATATCGAATCAAATAGCTCCCTGAGCTTTTCAAAGGAACTGAACTTGAAATAGTCTTAATTATACCAAAAAAATGCTGCATGATTTTATGAAAACGAAGCCATTGTGCTCATAAAAACAAGTTTACGTTTTAAAATGATTATATAAACATTTGATTAGAAGATTATTCATTAGTTTGTGCACTAATGTCAAATTGAAAAATTTTGATTTGATTCTATTCAAAAAATGAACTGCAAAGCTTCGTTTTTATTTTAAATGAAATTGCACAATAAGTTACTCAAATCGAAAAATTTAAGTCCAAATCGCCGCCTGATTATGAAATTTGTTTTCTGGTTTTATTTTGCACGGGGAATGGCTAGAAGCGGTAAAATCCCGTTAAGAGCCCTAAAAATTGAATACTAATATCAATAGTTATAAGTTTATTCCCTTTATACGGTATAATAATGAGTAAATTATAATAAATAAAAGCTAAAAAGGCTGTAGGATAACCAATAACGGGGATTAGTCTACAAATTTCGAAGATTGTTTCAATACTTTTTCTTTCAATTTTTTTGGAGTCGTTAGAACTGCACATGGTCAAGTAAAGAACTAAATAAGTCCAGGAGGAAGGGTTTCAAAAAAGTGGGAGAAAATGGACTTAGGAAGGCATTTTTCACGCGTTATAAATTTCTTTGATCTAGATAGCAACTGTTGAGTAGCTGATAAGTATTGAAAATACGCTCCAGAAGCTTTGAATTTGAAGTTGACAATTGTAAAAAATTGAGAAAAATTTAAACTGATAGCAGCAGACTTGTTTCAGGTCTTAAAAAGATTTTTCCAGAGAATCTATAGACAGAAGAAAGTTTTGCAGGCCTCCCTGACGACTCTTCTCTGCATGCTTCCCCTCTTCGTCGTCCCTGTCTACATCATCCGTTCCTTCGCCAAGACAGTCACTCTCGTCACGACTTTCGGACTTTTACACGCTCTTCTCTTCCTTCCCATCCTTCTCTACGCCATCCCCATGCGAAAACCCAAAAATCGCTTCGTCAGCGTCCCCACCAACGAAACGTGCGTCTCTGAAATCGCCTGAGAAACTCTCCTCGACTCTCTGATAACTGGTATCTTACAAGTACGGGCCTTTGGTCTACCTCAGTGTACAGCTCAAGAACTATATGAATATGTGTAAATAGAAATTGCAATAAAGATTGAAAAAATCAGAGGAAATGATGGCGTGAAGGAACCGGATTTCTCAGTTTACAACACAAAAAACAGCAAACAATTGGGGTGACAAGAGGCAAAAGTTCGTTCCGAATCGACTTTGTTCATGTTGTTGGCTTTCCTTCTAACAGTTCTTCTGAGCCATTCTCAATGCGTCCAGCAGCACCTTCAACGCGTCGATCGCTTCTGCGGAAGTCCTGAAAGTTCGGATAGCCGTTTCTGTGTTCATTATACTAGGGTCCGAGAAGGTTGGTTTTTAGATTAATTTTTGAATAAAATCTAGAAAAGTTTAGATTCTGAAAAATAATAACTGCTTTTCAAAAAAGAATTTTAAGGTAAATCAAATAAAATTTTACTCCGATTGACCTTTGAAGCGCAAAAATATATTTATCCTAGCTTTGTTAAGCTCTCTACGAAATATTATTCAAAAAAAAAAAATGGAAACACCATTTTGCAGCGCGGCAAAATCCATTGAAAGAAGGATTCGCTGCTCCAATCGAACCGGTTGGCAAACCTAACGCGGTTCCATCAGATGATGCCGCGCTCCTCGGCGTAGGTCCACTGACCACTCCTCATAAAGCTCCTCCAGCTCCAGCTCAAGTAGAAAGCAACAAAAAAGTGGTTATCATACCTGGAGCGACCAAATCGGTCTCACCTATGGATGAAGCCCATTCTGACGTCGGCGGAAGTTCTCTGTCCGCAGTAGGAACTCCGCTCGCTTCCCAACCTCTGGCCAGTCCTATCGACAACATCGGAAGACCCAGCTCCGCAGACTTGCTGAATGTAGGGAACAAGGCTGGATCGATCGCCGGCTCTTCTGGAACCGTGGAGAACAAGGCAGCACCAATTGTTGGGGATTCTGGAATCGTTGGACCGATTTCTGGGGCTTCTGACACTTCTCTGGCCGGAGTTGAGAAGCAGCAAGCGCCGCAACCTCTCGACAGTCCCCTAGACGTTATAGTCAAGCCAAAAGTCAATTTGGCTACAGGACCAGCTCCGGCCGACGAAACTTCGGTTGTCACTGGACTCAACCGTCCTGGATCCAACCCGAAAACGCCCTTAGCCGAACCTATAGTCCCTGTAAAGCCTGGCGGGAAAATCGTGTCGGATGAGGCGGCGTTGCTGTCGTCGGGACCTCTTCCCGCGGCCATCCCGAATCCACCGACGATCCCCGTTTCTGCCGGAAATCCCGCCTCGCACTCCACTGTCATGGTCGCCACGGAGAAGCCACCAATTCCAGTTGTTGGCGTAGGCGTCATTGACCATACTCCGGCTCCGCTCGATGATCCGGTATCTTCTTCTTTTATCTTTGAAGAGAAAAAGAAGTTTTTAGGCTTGTGACAAGCTCAGAACCGAATACGACACGGTCTGCTTCACCTCCCCGCCGCTGGCCGCTTTCCAGGAAACTCGCGATTTTTGCGATGCTTTCGTCAAAAACTGCAAACACACTCTCATGACCAACCTTTTCACTGAATTGAGGTGAACTATTCTGAAATTTTTTTTAATGTAACAAGACATGCTTCTTGATACTTTCAAGCTCAACAAACTGTGAAAAGCTGTCAGAATGTTGGTCAAGATGAAGATAAACAACTCATAGTATTATAGTACACTGTAAATGAAAGAAAAAATCTTTTAGTGAGAAGAATGAGTCAATTTCAAAATTCGGATTCAAATAAGTATCCTAAAAAAAAATTGGCAACGCACTGTTTTGAAAATTTATTTTTTTTTTTGTTGCCAGGCACCTGAAAATCGACTATACGGCTTATTGCAAAACGCAAAAGGAGAGGTTCCGATACGTGTGTCCAGAGCCACTTAGGTTCCACGCTTACGCAGAACAGGTAAAATATCCAAAAAAAATCCTTAAAAAATCAGGATTCAGGCCGTGGAGTTCTGCATCAGATACAACGAAAGATGTCCAGAAGTGAAGCTTCCTTCTAAGCCAGTTCAGTTTAAGGAAAAGGTAATCAGTTTTTTTGATTTTTCAGCTCATGGAAGCGCTTCTGAATTAACTCTATTAGTTTCAAAAACAATATCAGTGTTTTTTGCAATGTACTCTAGCTGAAAATTCCATGATGAATGAATTATGAACCTGGGCGTTGTTTCCAGGATGCTGGCCACATCTACACTCGCGAAATCGAGTTCTGGTGCACCAGAACGAAGAGGACGGCGTTCAACTACTGCACCGAGATCGACCTGCTCAAAGTGCCCAAATACCAGCTTTTCTGCGGAACCTACAAATACATGTGCATCGATATTCTCTACAAACGGGTCATTTACGGTTAAAATATCGATTCATTCTTTCCTACGATAAATTTGATTTATTTCGTCGTTTGCAATCAGCAAGAAAGTGGACGTGGCGAGGAATTCGGCCAACTTGAAAAATTACACCTTTTTTGTTTCTCGATGGGCAGAAACTACGAAAATCAGAAAGGGGACAATGACTTCGCATCGATTCAATTTCGCAGAAAACCGTCATGTCGCTCCTTTTTGGAATTTTACTGGTATTTATTCTTCACATAGCCGATGGCCGGGATTATGAGCCAGTTCCTATTTCAAAGTGGGTTTCCTTTTTCTTTATTATACCTTTTTAAGGATTGAAAACTTGAGCGTTAAAATTTTTAATTTGGTTTTTTCCTCTTGGCTTTCTGTCTAATGCACTTTTTGTTCTAAAAGGCTGGATTCGGGGATTTTTTTTCAGGAAGAGAATTTGAGAATAAGAATTTTTGAGCTTGCAGGATCAAATTTTTATTCAAAATTTTTGATTTTCGATCGTTTTGAAACCAGAGAGTTCGTTTGGTTTTTTTCAGTTGAAACAATTTTCTTCGAAAACGAGTGTTCCTTCAAATTTTTTCAAAGGATTCAATAAGTATCCAGCAGAGAACCTTTCATTTTTGCTGATAAAAAATGTAGAACCCAATTTTTCCTGTTAGGTGTTTTGAGAAATTTAAAGAAATCCACATTCATATTCTTGAAAACTAACATCTAACCTTTTTTCCAATTTTCAGAGACGTTGACGGAAGAGCTGAGTACCGACATGTGCCCCACCCAGTGGAGCAAGAGCTGGATGAGCCTAAACCTCGTCGTCGACATCGGCATCGACCTCGGTTCAAAAAAACTCCACTTTTCGTATTTCGTTTATATATTTTTCAGACTTCCATATGACAGCGTCTATGAAGCCCAGCTGGAAGAGTACCAGCGTAAAAGGTTTGGAAATCTTCCGATTTATGAGAATTCTTTTTTTTAATGAATAGAGATGAAGTGAACAAGATTCGGAAGCAAATGCAGGACCGGTACTACGAGGAATATTTCGACAGAATGCGTGGCTATGCCATGCAGGTCCATATAAAACGGTTTGTTACTTTTATCATTTTATTTTTTCTGAATTCAAAACAAGAATTCATTCATCTTTTGAAGCTACAACCAACTTCTTCAACAACAGCAAAGCGAAAAGGAGCGTTTCATCAAGAACATGAAGGAATTCGGACTAAAAACTGACGGAATCCGAGAAAATACTCCCGAGACTCCAACTGAGCCCCGACCTTTGTAAATATACTGTTTTTTGGATCCGTACTCATTTCAATGTCTTCAGAAGCCCTTTCGGAGACGCCCAAGACAAAGCGGAAGTTCAAGGCGGAACGAGCTCGGTACGGCAAAATTGAACACATTGATAATTCTGTACAAAGTTATAAAAAAATCATGTAAAGTTAATAAACCTTTGATAAAAGATAATAGATGTATATTCTGTGTACCACGATTTGGAATTTCACAGAACGACATTCCACTGTGACGTTGCGCGCTTTTGCGAACCAGTTGTGCTTTTAATTTTTTCTTTTATTAAGGTACTCTACTTTCATGTGCTCCCACAGCAATAACAATCAACTGAAATCGTGACCCAGATTCGAAAGACGCTTCGCGAACGCACGCAGCGGAACAGCGGAATGTCGTTTTGTGAAATTTCAAGTCGTGACACACAGACTATAATCGATGGGCTTTTCAACTCGAAAAATATTCAGAGACCGAGAACTTTGCGACGGATCGATGAGAAGTCTGTTCCATTGCCGATGAAGTGTCAGAGGTTGCTTTGAAACTTCGAAAAATTCTTCAGAATGAGTTTTGAGGTATCTTCCGACAGTGAGAAAGCACTGTTTCGACGGCGGGAAAACGGAGAAAGAGTTTGAATCGCGTTGCAAAGGATATTTCCATGTAAAAGATTTTCTAATTCATTTTGATCTGTTTTTTTTTCTTTTTAGGACTGTCAAAAATACTTGCCTCAAGCGGATCCGCTCTACAACATCGCCTACGGGTTTAATTCGAATGTTGGAATCAATCTTGGCACTTGGTGAGTCTTATAACCTCAATAGCTGAAACTGGATTATTATAAAACTCAAGAATCTTTGAAGGGAAGTCAAAGGAATACCGTACTACCCGATCAACGAAGAAGGAGCCATCGGCGCAACTTCTCTGATAAATGTACCCTTTGGCTCGTGGGGCGGCGGATATTCCGATCATTTCGGTGTCAGGTTCATTGCCCTCTACCTTTTCTCACGAAAAATCTATAACTTTTTCAGAGATTACTGGTCGCAATACCACGAGATCGGCGCCAATTGGTACGAAGGAAAGTACGGTTATAAGGCCGGCTGGAGTGTCCCTTTGGTTCAGTCTCTTGGAGTCGAGGGCGACACTCATGCGACGGTAACTTTTTCGGTTTTACTAGTCTAGGAAGGATTTTCTGACTAGAAAATCTTGTCTGCGCTCTCTTTATCTATCCACGCCCAAGAGATTTCTAAAATTGTCATCATAGAGAACTTTTTCAGAGGGTAGGTTTTTCAAAAATCAAATATTTAGAGATACTGGCAGTAATTCTGTTGTTCTTCAGCATCGCATTGAATTTTTTCAGGTTTCTGTTCCAATAAAGCCCGGAGACGTGGGCAAGCCTATTGGTGTCGATGTCGGCGGCGGAGTCGGGCCTTATTATCAGCAGAATCAACACGTTGGAGTCGACCCTTACCATGGACAGGTAATCAAGGTAATCTTGAGTAGTTGACTCCTTAATGGGTTCAGGTGAACACCAATTTCGGTGTTGGCGTGCCGATGGCCGGCGTCGGCGTTGGATTGGGCCTTGGGGTCCAATTTCCTTCCATCGAGGACATCACTGGTCGTGGATAATTAGTGACGAATAATTATTGAATTTTCCATATGATACTGCCGTCAAAACCCAACTCGTAAATACCTTACATATCATGGATTTTCCTCATAAACAAATTTTTATATAATTCACAAGTTTATTAGAAAAACCTTCTGAATTTTTATAAGTATTGGAAGCTTCTACACATTTACATGTTTACTTCAGGACAAATTTGAGAAAACTGCCCACAATAAGGAGAAATAAGTTAAAGTTTAGCCGCAAGGTGAGGCTCGATTTCCGGTTTCTCGCTGGCCTGCTTCAACTCGACCCAACAGTTTGACAAAACCGTCTTTCCCGTTTCTTTTACCTGAAAGTTTTGATTTTAAGACACATTTCGAGCTTCATTTTTTCTTTTTGGACTTCAAAAGAGCATAGACAAGTTTTATTTAAAAAGCAAGAAAATTTCATCAGTTTTTTTAAAATTCAGGTAATAATCCGTTTTTGCGATTTCAAAGACTTTGGCAGGGTTTTTTCAACAGGCTTAAAATAGCGCTCTTTTAAGAAAGATAAAAAATTTTAGAAATAAGAAAAAAATGAGCTCTCAAAGTACCTTTGTCTGGAATACGATACGATTTCCTTCCTTCCACATCTCAGTTCGCAGAGTTTGTCCAGGAATCACTGGGGAAGCAAATCGAGTCTGAAAATGAATCATTCAAAACCTAAAATGTTATTCTTTGAAGTACAAACTTTGAAAAGAGTTTTTTTTTAAACTCTTTTCAATAACTGACCTTATTTTTAGTGTATTTTGATCAAGTTTTCATTTTAGACTTGCTTTTTTTCTTCCCTGAGAAAATCGCTGTGCGATATTTTTCCGAGACAATAAGAAAAGTTCAAAAAAAATATTTAATTTTATGAATTTTCCAATATTTCTCTCCCATCAAAAATACCTTCATCGCCTTGAACTGTGTGCCGTCGTTGTTGGCCCAGACGCTGAGAACGTGGCGAGTGGAGAAACCCAAAGAACAGAGGCCGTGGAGAATCGGCTGCTCGAATCCAGACATCTGAGGGGAATCTGGTTTTTTTTCCTTATATCTTCACACCTTGGCAAAGTTGGGATCAATGTGGAGGGGATTCAAGTCACCGGAGCCCATTCTGTACAGCGCCGCCTGTAAATCGAATTAATGAATTGAAAATTAGATTTTTCAAATGATTTTTTTGATCTGATTTGATTTTGATTTTTTTCTGATTGCTGATTTTTCAAACTTTCAGAAGTCGAACATAAATCGAAAAGTTAGTTGTTCCTAGTTAAAGAAAGGAAAAAAAATAAATAAAACTTCGAAAAATGGACTATCAGGATCAAAATGACAAAATATTAATTTCTTTTTTCGAAGCTTTAGGTGAAAGAGAAGGAAAAAAAGTGGAAAAAGAGTAAAAAAAAAATGACAAGACTTTGAAAGATAATTTTTTCTCCTCTGGATAGATATAATGAATCATAGCTCTCCTTATTTTCAAACTAAACTTTAAATAATCAAAACCTGATCGATGGAAGTTTTCTCCTCGACGACCGCATCGGGCTCTCTCGACGGGATATCAGCCGGCTTCTTTTCGTGGGGCGAAGTTCGGGCGCCACCGAACTTTCCGGCGCCGACCTGGAAGGTACTGATTTGCTGCACGCCGATCTTCTTCCCGGTCGCGTCGTCGTAGGTCGTTACTGAAAAAAAATCCTTGTGAACGACCTTTTCAAAGAAAAATTAACTTTTAAATTAGTTCTAGAGACAAAATAACTAGTCATATATGGAGAGATAGTTTTTAGAAGCCGCCAGCCCCTTCTCCAAACACATATTTTTAAACTTTTGGACTGGCTTTTAGTACCTCTGAACAGCCATTTCTTCCTCTCCGAATGGTTGAAGCAATGAAAGAGAATGAAAATATTGAAAGAAAAATCTTCCAAAAACGAACTCTCGCTGAGAATCAGAGCTCCCGAGCCCTTGTCCAGAAGGTCGACGACGCGACATTCGGACCGAAGTCGTGCGTCTGTGGGCAGAGGCTCGTGGATCTCGATGTACTGCTCGCCGTGGAGGATCCGCACCAGGTCGAACTCGATCCCCGGCCAGTCAAGAAGTCCGGCCGCCTTCAGGCCTGGCGCCACGATGAAAGTCGGCAGAGGCGCGAAATCCTCGTGTACCTCGTACAGGTAGCGGATGTCTTGCTTCGCATGAGCTCCCACTGCAACAATTCAATCAATCGTTGTATAAAGGATTCACATTTTTCCTACGTTTTCATGAACTAGGACTATTTCAAATTTAGAAACGGGAAAGCTTACATCAATTTCGTATCAATACGAAGCTTTTTTCAAGTTGAGTTTTAAAGTGCAAATCAAAATCTGACTCGCCAAAACTAAGTTATTTTTTTACTCTCTGACAGCTTATCCGAATTTCGCGGATTCACTTTGAATAAGAGGTCTCAAAATCCAAAAATATTTTTGAAATCCAATGTCTTCATATCTCAAACGCTCAGTTTTTGAAAACTTCGAGAAAAAAAAAAAATGGAAAATGCGAACCTCCAAGGGCATAGATGATGGCATCGCGACTGTTGTAGGAGAAAAAGTCCGGGGCCGGAATATGGGCCTTCGCCTTTTCGGGATCCATTTCACGGGCCAAATAAGGAGAGAAAAACGAACGATATTTGCGAGGGAATCAGCCTACGGCGTGGTCGCTGATAACGCCACACTACAGTGTATCCTTGCGATTTTCGATGAAAGAAGAAAAATCATAATAATTTATAGTACATGTTGTTCACGTCGTACCCGATCATAAAATACAAGAAAAGGTGGGGAGCCGATTAAACAATCCAACTAGAAATGGGGAGAGAAGCCATAGATCCTAATGTGCAATTTGAACAGAAGTTAGTGATTGATGAGGGGAAAATTAGAGGTCGGCTGGATGTTGCTGAGGAAGGCCGCCGTTGGAGCAGATCGCCTTGGAGATCTTCGGGATGAGCGACAGCGATGTCGCGTCTGGACTAGCCGCCTCCTTTAGAGCGTCGGCCGCGCGTTTCGAGGCCTTCAACCAGATCAATTATAGTTCAAATATGAATCTTTATGAATTGAACGAAAATTTGTTAGTTTTAGAAGTTCCGATAAGAACCGATTTCAAGGGAAAACATTTTAATTCTTACCGTTTGAACGTAGAAATTGGCAATGTCCGTCTCAAAAGCGGCGCTTGACGATTTTTCCTTGATCGATCTCGTGCATCTGAAAAAATCGGAGCTTTGATACGAACGAAGTAAAAACGAGAAGTTTGTTCAAAAAACCGTCAGAAATATATAACACTCTACCAGAAAAGATTAAATTCTCCCTAATTTTTTTCAGCTTTTTTTGGTGTAGTTTCTCTATGGAAAAAAATTCAATAAAGTACTCAACTAGAGAAGAAAAAAGTTTTTGTCAATGTAGGGCGAAGTTTTCTAGTTCTTCTTCAAGAATGTACCTCGACAAAACGGCGACAGAGCTGTAGATGTCGATGGCGGCGTCGGCGACACGGATCAGTTCGTATTGGCGGTCTTCAAAAAGAAGATGAATTGAGAGGGGCAGATTTTTCAAATACTAAACATGAAAACCGCCTACTAATAAGATATATTTGAAAAAAAAAAAGAATCAAAACGCACCAATGATTCCCTTCTTGTGTTTCATGAGAAGTCCCTCCAAAGTCTTTCCGAACAATTTGATGTTGGCGTCGAGGGCGGCGGCCGAATCTTTCAGAGCCGGATCGATGACCTTGTCGAAGTCAGCGCCCGTTGAGGATCTGAAGAAAAAGGCTGTTGGTAGCTTAAAAATAAATAATTCAGTTTTGTAGACGATTTTATTCTTCTAATCGCCACAATTCTATGACATTAAATCCAAATTTTTTGTCCGAAAAAGATGCAAACTCAAATTGAGACCTCGAAATGGATTGTAAATGTTGAGAAACTGAAACTGACCCGGTGGCGCGACGGACGACTTCTCCGAAGATAGAGCTGATTCCGCCGGAAGCCACTTGCTGGAGATGCTTTCCGGCATGAAGAGAGCCCGTCAAGGCGACGAAAAGTCTCATCACGTCGTTGGCTCCTTCGAAGATTCTGAACTTTTTCAATAAGTTAGCAGTTACGAAAAGTTTTCTTTGATTTGAAAAAAATCATATTTTTTTATAGATGGAGCAAAGGTTAGAATTAGAAATAAAAAAAGCTTGTCATACGACGAAAAAAATTTTCTAGAGAAAAAAATTGAAAAAAAAATTTTTTTAAATACTCCCTTCATAAATAGCTTCTTGATGAAAAAATTTAGTGTAAAAAGCTTCCTTTCGAAAAATAATGCGAAATTATGCAGAATCCCTTCAAAAAAGTTTACAAACTCAAAAAAAGGGACTCCGGTTTAAAAAATGCTAATGGGAAACATAAAAAATCAAAAACCCACAGGATCTTTCTGAAATTAATGGAAAATACAATATAATCGTTTCAAGAAGCCACTCGTCTTTTTTCTCATTTCAAAAGTGCTTTTTTCTAACTCCTTGTAAAAAAACTCTTATTGAATTTACTCAATATTTCCTTTTTAGAGATTTTTTTCAAAAAAAGAACCTGAAGATTCTCAAATCGCGAAGAACGCGTTCGAGGCCGGTCTCCTTCATGAATCCCATGCCGCCGTGGAGTTGGATCGCCTCGTCGCAAACCCACCAGGCGTTTTTCCGATGCCAACACTTTGCCGATAGCAGCTTCCAGTTGATAGTCGCTGATTCCTCTGAAAAATTTCTTTAAAAAAGATTTGTTTTCTGTAATTTTAAGACGAAATAATCACTACTATGAGTTTGGATCATTTATCCTGGGCGCTGTGCAAAAAAAGGAAATCGAGTGAAAATTTACAAAAACACCTATCGAGCTTTCAACGCAGTAAAAAAAGTGCCTTTTTAGTTCGAATTTTACAAGAATATTGAATTTTACTCTTTCGGATCAAACAAATTCATTTTTTTATTTATTGTGATTGTTCATTTTTTTGAAAAAGGGAGTGGTCGTACGGTAAGTGGTTCGCAGAATCGCAGTTAAAAATACTTTATAAAATTGGGATTTAGCAGCTGGTTTCCATTTTTTTATCAAATGTAATCACGCGCAAACCAATTTAAGTCGGTCGTGTTTCGAAACCACTCTAAAGGCTTTGAGGAAAAGTGGTCAAGATATTAAAAATCATAAATAGAGATAAAAATCAGAATAGAAGTCTTTGCCTTCAAATTGTTAAACAAAGCTCAATAACCAATAAATTTTTACATTCTCATATTTAAAATTACCTGTCCATATTAGCGGCGAGCATGTAGACAATGGATTCGGTGGCATAGAGACGAGCCACCATATTCGTCAGCTTCTCCTGAAACGGGAAAGTGTGCCAAGGAAAGCAAAAAGGGAAAAAAACCTGGACATTCCCGAATTCCTCAAGTTTCTTGCCGAATTGAGTACGAGTAGTGATGTGCTCAACCTGGAAAATAAAATGAGCTCATTTATTCTTTTTGGAAATTTCTTAATTTTTTCTTTGATACTTCACACTGAATAAATAAAACTTCCAGAAGTGCGAAACATTTTTTTTAAACATCCAAGAAGGTGATGTTTCGAGAACTTTTGGGGGTTTCTTGAAAATTGACCACAAAATTTTTAGATTTGAAGTTCTGGTGAAGATTTTGAAAGTCTCAAACCGCATAACTCCCTATTTTTCGAGAAAGAAGAGTTCAAAGCCCAAAAATTACCCATTTCTCGGATTTTTTTCAATGGAAATTTCCAGCCACAGAACTAATGGTTTTCTTCCTTGGTGAAAATTACAATTTTTTTTGCTAACAATGAATATTTCGATACTAACAGTCTTCTGGATGCAATGTTTCATGGATCCGGTACAGGCGGCCGGAATTCCAAACCGTCCGTTGTTCAAAATATTCATGGCGACTTTGAAGCCTTCGCCTTCCTGTCCGAGCAAGTTTTCCACAGGAACCTCAAAATAACTCAATTTCACTTCACTTTTTTCCTCACCTTGACGTTCTCAAAAGTGACTTCGGCAGTGTTGGATCCCTTGATTCCCATCTTTTTCTCGGGCGGTCCGTTCGTGATTCCTCCGAATCCGCGCTCGACGATGAACGCGGTAACGGCGTTTTTCGTGGTTCCGTCGGCTTTTTTCACAGGAAGCTGAATTTAAAGAAATACATTTTTTCAAAAACATTTTAATCTATTTTATGAATATTTAGAGACAGTGATTGCAATGGAAGCGTTACTGAGAAAAAAATTTGAAAAATTAGCTTTCAGCTCCAACATTCACTCAATCATGTTGAAAAAACAGTGAAAATCAAATTTCTGATTCTACTTTTCCTCCTGTCATAAGGTTTTATGAATAGGGTCGAATAGGAAACAATTTGCAACGAAAATGGCTAAATACACTAACTTTTTAATTTGAGAAAAATCTTCGAAAATTGTGGAAACCTTCGGAATAAACTAAAAAATACGGGAAATTCGGTTTTTTCGAGAAACAAATTGTTTTCCAATTTTTACTGAGCTTCTACAAACTACGAGCCTTTTCAAAAAGCTTGCAATTTTTTAACTTTGTTTACATTTTCCAGCCTTATTCTTCCCAAATCACCTGAGCGAAAACTGTGAACACATCGGCAAAGCCGCCGTTACTGATCCAGATCTTTCCACCGTTCAGAATGTAGTGTTTTCCATCAGCCGAAAGCTCAGCACGAGTTCTGATCGACTGAAAATCCAGAAAATTATCCAGGAATCTCTGAAGCAGCAAACGTTGGCGTCAGAACCGCTGCTGGGCTCCGTGAGGCAGAAAGCGGCGAATTTTCGGCCGGTCGCCAGGTCGGGCAGGTATTTCTGCTTCTGGGCGTCCGTTCCGAACAGAAGGATACCTTTGTAGCCGATCGACTGCAAGAATTTTTTTTTTTGGGCGATCAAGGTCGGATTCATTTGAATATGATGGATGGAAAGTGACCAAATTTAGATGCCCGTGAAACAGCAACAAATTATATTTTAATAGTATGCGAAAAATTATTTTCCAAGTTTAAAAGATGTTCCGAATTCTTCTCATTTTCGCTGCAACTGATTTTTCAAGCTTCCCGGTGAATTTCAAAACCTTCAAGGCTGATTTCCAAACTAGAAACTATGCTTAGGAACTAAGAACTGCGATATGAAAGCAAAAATCAGAAATTCAGTAAAAAGCTCTAAATCCAATTGTTTCAAAGGTACACTCACAATATAGTGGTCAAATTCAAACTTTCGTACTTTTTCGATTTCGATCGTTAAAATTAAAAATCAATTTCGCAGTTCAAAATTTTTTTTTCAGCGGTCAAGCGTTTGAACCGCTGTTTTTCTCACATTTCGAGCTGAATCATTAGAAGAAAAAAAAACCGTAGGGCGCTTGGCTCGAGGAGAATGGACTTTTACTGTAACTTAGTATGTCCACTTTTCAAAAACTGTGAAATTCGATCAGAAAGTTATTATTTTGTTTTGAACCAAAAAATTGGTCAACTTTTAGAAAAAAATTAATGAAGTTGACGACCACAACTCCCAAAAATATTATTTTTCATTCTGCGAACCTGATGAGCCCCCATGACGACGCCGAATCCGAGGTCGTGGGCGCCAACGACCTCGGCCAGCCGGGCCATCTGGCTGTTGTTCAGACCGGCGCCCTCGTACTCGGGCGGGACGACGGCTCCGAAGCCTCCGAGTTCGGCAAACTGCTTCAGAACTTCCATCGGGATCTCGGCTTTCTCGTCGTTCCTGTAAATAGAAGAATATTCATATTTATTCGAGAACCAGAACTGGTATGAGATGAAAGGCTAGCTCTACCATCCTATATACTCTCAGAAAAAATATTTATCTTTTTGAAAGCTCTGAACTTTTTCGAATGATACTGATGCATACTTTGCAACGTTGTTGACTTCGCTGAGGAATTTTTCCGTCGGAGAAAGGATCATTCCCAAAGTTTCCTTCTGCTCATCAGTCAGCTTCAAAGGATACGGGAACACCTGGAAAGAAAAATAATAAAACAACCAAATGGAAAAAAAACTACCTGGTCAGAAACGGCTCGTCCGCGGAACAAGTTCATGCAGAAAGATGCAGATTCCTTCAAAATGGCACCATTTTTTCTGTTTTTTGTCCAATGAAAACCTCGGCTTTTTTCGTTTTTGGCTTATTTTCAGAAGCGGCATTGGGGGCCTTGGCTGCCGTGGCCTGAGAGGCGAATCGGAGAGACGCTCTGAAATTATCTTTTTCATTTTCAATACTCATTTTTCTTCCGATTTACCCATTTCCGGCAGAAATGACCGCGCGAGCAGTTTTCTTGCTCAATGTGGAAAGCATCCTTCCTGAAAAATATCATTCTACAAAATTACAGAAGTCTTACAACGATTATAAACCAATCGCATGCGATTGCGCGCAACAACTTTGTGAGAATATGGGAAAAAAATTCGCGATGAAAAAGCTTTAAAAACAGTTCAAAAAAATAAAAAAATAAATGTTTTTTTAAGGAAAAGTTTTTATTTAAGTTTTTTTCATAGATTCTTCCTCAGAAATTGAAAAAGCTTTTTTTAATTGGAAACAGATTTTTCATCATTGACCATAGAATTCCGTTGAAAGCATTTACGAAGTTTTTCCATGCTTTGCACAAGAAAATTATTCAAAGCAATGAAAGATCTAAAAACAATGGAAAAAAATTATCAAAGAATTACGTGCCCAAATCCTACGAACTTTAATTTTTTTGTTAATATACTTGACGGAGTCTTCAAAGACAATGTATGAAGGTGCGGAGGCAAAAAAAGTAGCTTGAAGTGTTATTTTGTGTATCACTCGAAAACTCTGAACTTTTGAATACCCAGAGAAACCATTTTGATTATGATGAGAAAAAAAATATTTTTTTTGAAAGTACCAAAAAAAACTTGTTTCTTCAAACGCCTCAAAAAATCTGTAATAAGTTAACAGCAAGCAAAAACTCATTGCAAGCTCAAAAATCTATGAAACCTAGTGAAAATGATAAGAAAATAACCGAAATGAGTGGAAATGAGGTCAAGAAGTCCACTCGGCTGCGATGAACGAAGAAATAATGACGGAGACGAGTGTAACGGGCAATGAGACTTTGGACTTTGTCTTTTGCGTGTGTCTATCCAACAGCACAAACAAAAGATAACGGAGAAACTCCGCGTGGAAGTCAGTTGATTGAAATTTCGACTAAACTATAGCCTCGTGAATAAAGTACAGACTGTGATGAGTTATTGAAAGAATTGAAAGTGAATCATTTCAAGACAAAAAAATCAAAAAAAAAAATGCATCTTTTCTCGACTTTCACCTCGGAAAACCTCACAAAAATAATTGAATAGTTTCGAATTTGCTTCTTCGATTGATAAAACTTTATATTCGGATAAAAAATAATACAGTCTATTCCAAGTTTTTTTTTCAAAGTTTTTGAAGGCGTAAACGTTTTTATGACTAACAATCTCTCTAAACAAGGCTTTTTGACAGGAAACTCTCATAAAATTTCTCTACATCACTTTGAATATCCTATGGCTAGGATTTTTTGAACAGATTCTACCGATATCTAACGGATCATCACGTGGCCGCTCGATTACGTCATGCGGAAGCGGTTTCGGAGAGGAAAGATATGAAAAGAAACGGCTAGACATCTTCAAAAAGAGGGAACTACTAAAGGTCATCTAGGAAGACTCTAATTTTTGTGAAAAGAAAAAGACACTACGCCTGCAATGTTTGATTTATAGCCTCACAGAATTTAGCAAATTCAGTTTAATTTAACTTTTTCCAGGTAACTTATTTTTCATAAATTAATGAACCCTCCTTATGTAAACCTTGCTCTTTGAAAAAACTAAAAAACAACTATTCAAACATATTTCATAGCTTTTCAAACTACTGATGCGAAAAGAAACTAGTTGTCTTCTTGAATAACTACAGGAAAAAGTTCAGATTTCCAATAAATAATGTTTGAAATCAGATTAACTATACAGCAGAGCAAGAAAAGCGGTGGGCAACCTGCAGATAACAGATGCCACTGACGTCCCTGACAAAGTGGCCGCCGTTCGAAGAACGAATCGCCGTCAAAACAACGGCGCAACAAACAAAACAACAGTTTCAGTGGTCTTGCTTCTATAGTCTATCGATTCGTGTTGATGAAATCACTTAATGATAAAATTTGGAGACAGAATTTTTATATTTAATATTACCAGAAAGCACGGAAGTTTTACCCATATTCACTTCTGACTTCTCTACGCTTAAACATTTGCGAATGAAAAAAATCTGGTCATGAGGACGTGATCAGCTGTTTTCCGATAGCGCAAGGATTGAGATATATCGGGTTCGTGATAAATCTTGTTCCTGGCATTCAAAATTTGCAATGAAGGCTTCGGAAAAAAAAAAAAACAGAAACTGATTGAAAAAATATATTAGAAGTGGATCTTGCAAATTTACACCAAGCAGTAGTGAATACCCAATCGATAAACACTATCAAGTGGACGAAATCTTAGAGTGAGTTCAAAAACTTACGAGAAAAAAAAAATTAAAAAACGTACAAAATGAGAGAAGAAAAAAACTAGCTGGCTTCCGTTTATGCGCTCCACGGCCAAACTAGATTCAGCGGGAGTTCAAAATTTCTTTTCGTTTTCTCGTCATTTCTCGCATGCTGATCAGGTGTCTCAACGGGTGTACCCGTATTAAACCCGTGTTTCTGAGGTTATTTTAGTCTCAGTTGGGCTAAAACGGGGGAACAACGGGTGTAAGAAAAATAGGTAACCCAGCTGGGCTAAAGCGGGGTCTCAGTTGGGCTAAAAAGTGCCAAAAGTTCTATCAGCTGGGCTTATACGGGTTTAATACGGGGGCACCCGCGGAGACCCCGTGTTAGCACGGCGGGGTTACCCTGCTCAGCATGCGAGTTAACGTTAAAAATATCTTCGTTTTGTTTGTTGGAAAACAGACAACATGGACTCACTGACCACCTCTGCAAGCCATCAACTCATCCAGCTCCTTGGAGAAGCGCCGTACAAGCACGAGTCGCATGTAAAGGGTCCGCGCTGCTGAAAATCGTAAGTATCATTTTTTGCAAACTTTTAACAAATAAACCAACTAAAATGCTTAGCCGAGGTTTGTTTCTGCGACATCTTCATTTTCAAACCCATGTCGCTCTCTCTTATAAATTTTTAAATTTAAAAAAACGATTTTTTTCTTTTTACTTTCGATGATTGTTGAATTCGGAAGTTTTTCCATTTTGAAAAAAACGTTGCTTAAACTTTTGAAAAAAAATATTGGGAATTTATAGAACTAGAGAAAAAAATAAAGATTAGTAAGATAAAAGCGAGGGAGCGCTGCGGAAGCAGAGACGATAGCCGGTTCTGGTTTTCAAGTTCATCTCTAGCCTCCCATGTTATGCAACCTGTTCTTTTCGGCAGATATTATCGCTTTGGCGCGCTTTTGCCATCGCTTTTCCATTTTTTAGACCGGCCCTTTTTGCTCTTGTTTTGTTTATTTGTTTTTTTTTTCGTTGTTGGAAGATGCTCTCTACATTTTTGAAGATAAGCTTCGATTAAATCAAGATTTTTTTTTTCGGTTTGAGCTTCTATTCTAAGATATTTCTATGCTTCTGAGGTAGTTGTTTTATAATAATCATGATGTGATATTAGAAAAAAATGTCGAAAAACTGTTAAGCTAGTTTTAAAGCGCATTTTTTTAGCAATCCCTAACCTGATTCAAGAATTGTATTTCTTCTTTTGTGTTTTTTTCGTAAAAATTCCTTTTTTTAAAATATTTACAACTATGATTGACAATCAAAAAAATTATTTCAGTAGTTCACTTCCTTTTCTCTCCTTTTCCACTTATCACTGTTCAAGGACCTCTCCGATTTCCACTTTTAGATCAAGTACCGCTATCTGTAGTTTTTGCCAACTTTCCAATGTTGTCGATCGCTCTTCTCTGTCTCGAATCGCGCTACTTTCATCGCTGACTGGTTTTGTTTCACCAAAAACAGAAAGGCGGCAAGACACGGTCAATCGGAAATCATGAATTGCATAACCACGCGGCAAACGGCTTCCGCACGGCGTTTTCCAGTGCCAAAAGCCTTTGAAGACGCGATCGAGAAAACCTGCTACACTCCGTTCTTCTCCAAAGAAAAAATGGGCGCCAACTTAGGTCCACGACGTGAATTTTTGTTAGGACTTCAAAGATTCGCCGCAAAAATCAATTTTGAGGCGTGGAGTTTTGATCAAGAGGCTAAAAAGAATATAAGCTTTGTTTAAAAACATCTCTAACTCTACGAAGTTTAGTTATCTCTTTCAATCCCTGACGACTGTTCTAAATTTTGAGGAAATTGAACATGGCATTGGACTCGTAAAATTCTTGTTGAATCAATTTTTCAAAATTAGCTTTTCAGCTTTTTATGAATTTCTTCTAATCAACTCGACTCGAAATTTGTGGATGAACTGAAATAATTCAGGTCTGAGAAAGCGCAAGGTTTGAGGAACTTTCAAATAAATCTGGAGTGAGAACAAGTTTTCCAGAAGCGTTTGAACAATTGTTTTAACTTTATTTTCTTTACAATACTTGAGTATAGATTCAAAACACAAAACCTGTATTCTGAAAATTTTTAAATCGTGTGAAATATTTTTTTCAAAAATAAAAATTCTAGCCGATTCAAACTTTTTTTGTATTATTTCGAAATTGCTTCGTCCGTCAACCTTGAGGAAACTCGCTAGCTTTAAAGAATCATCATTGACTTATTTTTTTTCTCCCGAGAAAAATCAATATTTTAACTTTACGAAAGCATTATCTTAAACTCTATGAGTTTCATAACTTTTTTTCCGAGACCTGCACAGCAATTTTGAATTTTGGTTTGAATTGAGCGAAAAAATGATTTCTAGTGATTTCAGTTCAATTAAAAAATCCCTGTGTGATTTTGTTACAAGATTTTCAGAATGAAAAACAGTTTTTACTTTTCAGAAATTTATCGTTTTCTTTATCGTAAAGTTTTGCGACTGACTTTACAATTGATATCATTTTAAAGAGATCATGAGAAACAGGAATACCATATAGTTGAAGCCACTCAAGGAAATCCACTCGCAAAATTTACACCGAATGATTTCAATCGGACGATTTTTTGTGAAGCGTTCGTCGAGGGATGACATCAGAAGCCGTTGAGTTGAACCTTGCGGCGAAAGGGAAACCGGCCGGAGGCGGAGGCTTCGGCTGCCAATCGCTGCGGCCCAACTTTGGCACTTTCGCCCTCGACGGATCGTCCCTCCGATCCTCTTTATTTGGCACTTTTCTCGCTTTACTTGAAGCCTTCCTTCGTGCTCTTCGAATACATTTTTCTAATCGGTTCCGGGAGGGTTTAAAATGAAAGACGTGTTTTTAGGATCCTTATTGGTTTTCAATTTTCTTTATCTATCGGTTCGGTTTCCTTTTTCCACGTTACCGATAAGTTCAAAAAAAAATTGTGTTTCTTTTTGTTGTTTTTTTTTTCAATGGAGTTGAAACAAGTGTACTTTTTTTGTCATTTTTCCGCTCATTCTTTTTTTCTATTGATCGCTTCGAAGCGTAACGGCTACGAAGCGGTCCTTTGCGTCCGACTGAAAGCGATTTGCGCCTGAAGATAGCGGAAAGCATTAGCTTCAAACTTCCTAGTCACATTATTTCAACTAAAAAGCTTTAACTTATCCCACGGCGTTTCAACTTTATAAAGTTATGTTCTTATATAAGACTGTTCTTGGAAGCTCAATACTCTTTTGAATTTTTTGAAAGGATTTTTCAAGTTAACTATCGCAAACCCTAAAAAATTGACTTTTTCCTCAATATTTTTTCCTTACCCACTATCGATTTTAAGTGTTCCAACCTTGTTCCCTACCCGGAAAAGAAAGTTTGCTCCGAGTTTGAAGGGAAAGTTGAAGCCGTCTCGGCACTTGTCCCGCAACCGGTCGTCTATTACACAACCGACGGACGATGCCATCCCCAACAGGAAGTGTCTACAGCCTTCCTCGTTTTACCTCACCCATCATTTACTCTTTCTTTCCGTAGTATTCCTTTCTTCCTCACAGAACTCCGTGACAACCAGTTGAGGGAAAGAAGAACCTCCTGGAGGAATGGCTAATGGCATATGCCCAAATGTTGCCGCGGATTCAGTTGAGACCAGTTTCGAACGACCGCCGGGGGGTTCTATTTTATCCTCTCATCTTACTTTATTTCTCCGCTGTGTCAACTTGCCCCCATCAAGTTTATTTTGCAATATTTTATGTTTGATTCTTCCAAACTGTGAAAATTGGTGAGATTTTCGAGTTCGCCCAAGTTAAAGGCTTGGTTCAAAAAGAAATTTTTAAAGTTTAGTTTGAAGAATTTTTCTCAGAGCTATTTCTAGCAAGGACATCTACTTGACTCGATACTTGAGAAGTGATATTCCTTTTTTCCAACGCTAAATCACAAAAATTATCAATGGGAACCGAGATTATTATTTTTTTTTAGCTCGTCCTCTTAGTTTGAGGTTATTCATTGTTTTTTTCTAAGCTGTAAAATCAAAAAATAAAAACAAAAGTCCGGCTTTATGGTCTGATTTCTAAACCAATTTTCTGCTTTTAATTTTTGGACCACTTGAATTTTGGCGTCGATAGTCGGAAAATCGCCAAATATTCCTGCATCCTGAGGGTCATGAAACCGATCAAAAAACGGCGCAGAATGACATATTTTTGGGTGCAAAAAGTGAGTTTTTTGCGGGGTCGATGGCAGGACGTCGAAGGACCTTGTCCAGGTCGTTGTTGACCCAAACGGTGTTGACTCCGCGTCCTGCCGGCTCTTGGCGCCTCGAGCCCGGCTCCAACAGATCCACTCTTTTGAGCTCTCTTGAAACTGATATGCCTTTCTATTTTCGGTTTTTTTGCTGATATTGATTGTTTTCGCAAATTCATTTTTCTATTAAGAAATTTATGTTTTTGTTTTCATTCATTGTTTTTTTTTTCACAGCAAGCTTCAGATGGAATTTGCTGTTGAATCTTACAATTGCAAGACTTTCTAAGCCTTTATTCCAATAACTTTGAGCTGATTTTATTTTGTTCACGCAGATGATTTTTTTTACTCTCACCTTTTTGAATAACTTAAAATTCCCAAAATTTTTCATTGAAACTAGTCAGTTATAGATATAATACTACTTTTCGTCTTGTTTGAAAACTTTCAGTCGCCTTTGAAAGAACTGATAGCGGTTGTGGTTCGAAGCTTCTTGCTCTGATACTTTCTAATATTCTGGCGCAAGTCGCTTTAGGTCTGGCAGCCGCTCAGCGGCCGTAAGATCGCGGATCATTTCATTAGCGACCATGGATTTTAGGTTAGGAAAAAAAAGATTTCTATGATTTTCTTATAGTCTGTTCAAATTTGGAATGTCAAGTCGTCGCTCAAGCTCCGCCCATAATGGCGCGGTAAACCAATCAGAGAGCGAGCCATCCACAGAGTGTTTTTGAATGAAGTCATTCTACTTGACATTCAAAATCTGAACAGACTATATCAAGTTTACAAAATTAAACTACTCATTAATTCAGATCCCCGTTTAATAAATCCTTTTTTGCTGTGAAATTGTTTTTCTAATGATTCAAGCTGCAGTGTTTGTTCTTGATTCTTTTCATTTTTTGAAAATATTCAAGTTTTTGAGAAGATTGAAAAATAATTTTGTTTCCACTGTGTTCAATATACTCCATTTGGCTCAACTTGAACATGCTTTTCTTCACTATCTTGTCCAGCTCAAGCTCTCCGGTGTTCAAGTTCGGTGTTCGAAAACATGCCTTTCCCTCTAAAATTTCAATTTCAATTTCTATGAGCGTTTCTGAATTCAGGCGGTCCGGTTCAACCAGACACCTGGTTGTTTCCAAAAAAGGACCATACTCACGGGGGGAAAGTAGCTCCTGAGGCCATTGTCCACTCCGTGTTCGACACCCCCCGCTTTCCCCCTTTTTCCGTTATTTGTTTGTTTTTTTATTTGTTTTGTCGTCGACCCGCGAAATCTTCTCTTTTTTTTCCCAACCTCTCCGCGGCATTTTCCAGATTCCATGCTATTGACATGGATTCGCTTGGCGTTTCTCACCTCGAGCGCTCTGGGTGAACTTTTTTTTTTCTTTATCTCTAACTTATGAGGTCATTCGGAGGGATTATTCATAATTCATATCTAGGTTCAAAAAAATTTAAAATGGAAATTCTTTAAAAATGTCAGTCTTGAGAAATTATGATGGTAGAGAATGCGACGCAGCTTTATTCCTGTATTTTTTTTCTGATTTGAAAACTCACGAAAGTTATGAATTTTTCTTTCTCACTCCGAGGTACATAGTAGCACGTGAAATTGCTAAATACCGGTGATTTTAGAGTTCCACCGACTCGAAACTACTTGCGCGCATAGGGATAGTCTGTATGCCACGACTTGAAATTTCCCCGAACGACATTCCGCTGTTCCGCTGCGTGCGTTCGCGAAGTGTCTTTTGAATCTAGGTCACGATTTCAACTGATTGTTATTTCCGTGGGAGTTAATGAAAGTAGAGTACCTTAAAAAAAGAAAAAAAAATTAAAAGCGCGACCGAGGTTCGCAAAGGCGCGCAGCGGCACAGCGGAATTTCGTTCGGTGAAATTCCAAGTTGTGGTGTACAGACTATAATTTGAGGCATTGTAATATTCTTTCCAACTTTCAGCCGACCTTGGACCTTAACGCGACGCTTAGAGCCATTTCACAGCTTATAAAAGTCGAAAAAATGAACGAGAAAATGGATTATATCACGATTTTGACTGTAAGATCAAATGAAGATGTCTTCAGCTAACACAGATCCTCTCGATGGTCTCCAATCTTTGAACCTCGCCGATTTCGAACATGCCGAAAAACTCACAAAAGGTGTGTTTGATATAAGTACCTGTCCTTCTCTTCCCATGAGCCAAAGTTTATTTCTTCAGCAAGTTACTAAAAAGTTGATTTATTTAACCTTCCTCCAATACGAACTCTCTGTACTTTTTTGAAATCTTCTTCCAGTTTTTTATTCATAACGACTTATAAATATTTTTCTATTAAGTCGAACTGTTTGGATTCTTGCCGAGCGGGGAAAGTTAAAGAAAAAGATAGCAGTCTACTTTGCTAACGAGATTGACAAGAGAGGAAAAGATTGCAGAGGAATTGTTCGGGAAGCACATCCCGCTGGAGGTCGTCAACGACTTCAAGTCCGACATCCGCAACTCTCGAAGGCATAAGGTTGCTTGAACTTTTTAATTTTCAATTAGTGTTGATTCTCTTTTCGAACCCTATTCTTAATATTGTTCAACCCTGTCTGTACTCTCTTGATCTCTCTTACTTTTTCTGTGTTTCATATATGGGATAGTCCCGGTGAGACCTGAAAAAGGGGGAGACTTGGCAAAAAAACGAGTAAATGGATGGGGGTTGGCGAAAAACCGTAAAAATTTCCTGGTGCGCGCTGGGCGGCGCGTTCGTCTGATCTAATGAAAAAAATCATACGTTCATTTATAAAAAAATCAAAAAAAAATTTTTTTCTTAGTTAAAATGATCGGAAAAAAACAGGGGGGACTCGGCTTTCGCCAGTCATGCTTTTTCCCATGTATGCTGTTTTTCTACGACCTTGCGGCTGAAAAGAAAGATCATATTACTCCGTTGTGGGGATAGACCTGAAAATTGAAAAAATTGGCCAGGACACCCCTTGACGTACCAGAGGAAGATCCTGAGAGCCCCAACTTGCCCAACTTCCTAGTTTTCAAGAAATGAGGGCTCGAACCCCCAAGATGGCCTATTTTTTCACATTTTGAGGTTTTCTTTGACTTCAAAGTCTTTTCTCGAAAACTAGGAATTTTCGCAAGGAGATAATCTCAGAATATTCTTGGGTATATCAAGAAGCGTTCTGGCAAAGTTTCAGGAAATTCCCAACCGCAAAGTAGAATGACCATCCTTGTGAGTGAAAAGAAAGCACAGACAAGCTGAACTGTCTGTTATGAGTATTATCGATTAGGGCTTTATTTAAGCTTGAGAAATTATTTCAGTCTTTTTTATCAATTATTTGCAGAGAAATGGCGTTTCTCGGGCCGCGAAACTTTGGCCCAACGCTCGGATTCCGTATGCCATCTCGCCGCACTACTCACCACATGAAAGGGCTCTTCTGGCCAAAGCTGTCAAACAGGTTCACATTTATTCCATTTTGGTTGATTTTGACCCTTGATTTTAAAAAATGGTTCAAACTTGTTTCTTCTATGATGAGATGGAGAGTAGCATTGTTGACTGCAGTACCACGAGAAGACGTGCATCCGCTTCGTCCCGCGGGCGGCCGGAGAGCCCGACTACCTGTTCATCGGCAAAGTCGACGGGTTTGCTAACGCTTTTTGCAACTTTTTCTGACCGGTCAGGTATGGGAAATGTATTGAAAATTAGTCTTGGCTGTTTAGTTGCGCTAACGCTCTTTTTCCAAACTTTGAGGTTTTTCCTGGATTGATACGATCAATTTTTCAGTTTGAAACGAGCCGTAAGAATTGCATTTTTTTTTCTATGATGACTGAAGCCCTCCTAGCCATCTGCCCAAGGCGCGCAAACTGGCGCGAGTCGGGCGCATGAAAATATAGATCCTGGCCCTTAGGAACTCCAGAGGAGTCCCTTTAGGGGCTCTTCACGATTCCTCTCTAGGGAAAACTTCAAATATCAAAGCTGAACAAATCAAAAAAGACGGTTTTTCCACAAAACGCAAAGTTTTGAGGTGTTTCTCGGAGGTCGGCAGGACGTCCGGCGTTCAGGTGCTGTCGTTGGACAACGGCTGCATGGAGTACGCGACGATAATCCACGAAATGATGCACGTCGTCGGCTTCTACCACGAACACGGTAGGTTTAACACAAAAGCCAAATATTGCTTTATCAGCAAGAATCTGAAATTTTATCACTATACGCTTGAAAAAAAACTTCTTTTTTTTTGTTTCAAAACCGTTGAAATGCTCCAGTTTAATTCTGTTCTTTGATGACAGCATTTTTGAAGAAGTAAGTTGTGGTTCTCAATTTCAATCATTTTTCAAGTGACGGAATTTTTTCTGATTTACCGTAGATTTTGTCGATTTTCCGAATTCAGGAAAACGATGTCATTTCCTTGCCTTGTCAGGCATTCATTTCGATCTTCTAGCTTTTTTTTTTTTAAGAAATTTCTTTCATAGACACAGAAAATTTTCAAAAATTGTCAGATTGCAGTTTTTTGGAAGATCTTTTTATTCAATTAATGTTTTTTTTAACGTTTAGTATTTTTCTAAAAAAAAAAATTCTGATGTCGATATTAAGGGTCACGTCTTTCTTTAAAATTGCAATGAAAATACCGTTTCAGAACGATGGGATCGGGACAACTTTATCGATATCATTTGGCAGAATATTGATCGAGGTACTTTTTCGAATATTAGATTGTGGGGTCTTCTCATAAAACTTTGACTCTTTTGACCCGCTTTCTGAAAATTCATATAAGAATTCTAACTATTACAGACCTGCGTTTTCAGTTTCTTTAACCAGTCTCTCATAACTTCGAAAAACCCAAATTTTTTGCTTTCACCAGCTGCACGGCTGTAGAAACCCTCGAAAACGCGTTTTCTGATAAGTTTAAATTTATAAAAAAGGTTTCATCCAATTTTTGTGCCTCAGAACCTATCAAAAGTTATTTTATCAACTGTTTGAAATCTGTAAGTCAAAATATTAAATATTCCTAGATCGATTAAGTTAATAAATCTTTATATGAAACAACCCAACATTTTCACTTTCGTTTTGTCATTTATTCCCTCTCCACCTTCTCAGGAGCCCTGGACCAGTTCGGAAAAGTGGACCTGAGCAAGACGTCTTATTATGGCCAGCCCTACGACTACAAGTCCATTCTCCATTACGACAGCCTCGCTTTCTCCAAAAACGGGTTCCCTACGATGCTTCCGAAGCTCAAATGTTGGTTTTTTCAACACTATAGGTGCAAAAAAATCCAAAAGGCGGGACAATTTTTTCACGTATCCTTAGAATTTTCATACCTTCTTCTTCTTTTTCTTCCTACGCCTTTGTACTTCTTGAGCGGCGTCGACACCCCAAGTCGATTAGCCGAGGTCCTATCCTGATATTGATAATCATTGGACTGGCTCGAGTGATATATCCGTCCTTGTTTGTGAGTTCTGGGGATTTTGAAGTTGTGGTTTCCCACTACCAATATTTCTTAAACCCCTTGGTTGGGTCGAGGCAAGGATCGAACTTGTGACCCTGTGGACCGTAGACAGGCACACAACCTGTTGCGCTACGACGCGTTTTTTCAATTTTCAAACCAACTTCAAGAACTAAAAATAGGAAACGTTCAGCGGCGACGATCGGCAACGCTCGCGACTTCAGCGACGTCGACATCGCCAAAATCAACAGGATGTACAACTGCCCAGTGGAAAAAAGCGTGACGGCGCCGTTCGCCCGCGCCAGAGTTTATCCCATATTCATTGTCTCTCAATGTGTTTCGAGCTTTTCAGCACTCACCGATCTACTCGCCGCATCAAAACAAGTACGAGGATCGGCCCAAGTTGCCACTTAAGGCCTACGACTCCATCTCTTACAACACAAACAAGCCCGAGCGTTCGTTTCTTTTCAAAGCTTGAAGCTTTCAAACAAAAACCTAATTCTCATTTTTTGAACTAATTGCTTCGAAAATTAATGCAATTTTTTTCATCTGTTAACACAACGGGATATAGCGACTTTTTGAGTTTTTAATAAAAAAATAAATCAGAACGAATTTTTCACACGTAGAAAAAGCCAAAATCCACTTTAATTCTACAATTTATAAGAACATTTTATTTTTTTCTAGGTCTCTTTCTGGAAAAAGAATAGTTATCGACAGATTTTTTTCATTGAACAGTTCAATCAAAAAGTAGGAAAAGCTAGAGATTAATAAATATAAGAATGGAGGAACGTGAATAATTCAACGTCCAAACCGTGAAGGCCGTGTTTCACAAATGCAAAATAAGGCCTGATTTTCCAAAATTTCAATCATAACTCTCATATGCGATTCAACCCCGGCTAGATCGAAACATCATATTTTTTCCTAATCTTTTTTACAAGTACAATCTTATCAGCCAATACTTCTGATAATTTTAGTTCGAAGTAAAGTTTGACTCGAGGGATAAACCGTGATGTTTCATGGATAAACCTATCAGGTTACATTTTCGAAATTTTAGGTTGCGAGGACCGGATAACGGTGTGTTGGTGGACGGCGGATCGTTGCCGGTCGCCGGCCATCTACACGGTGATGACGTCACTTTGTCCGAAGACGTGCAAATTCTGCTGACGTCATCAATCTTCGAAAATCATTTTTCGTGATCTCGATACCTTTCCCGGTAACTTTGCCCAGAAAACGCAAAATCGCCTCTTTTTCAAAGTTGTTAGCTTACTTTTGAGTTCTACGCTAGGTTTTTTTTTTCGTTTTTCCATCACTTCTACGGGTCGCTCAATGCTTTCAATCTTCTTCTTTTGTTGTAATATATGTCAAAAATAAATCAATGATAAGACCTACTTTATTGGACAGATTAAAATTTTAAAAAGGGAACGAAATTCAGCGGCAATAAACGCAAAAACAATCTCAATAATGAAGTATTTAGTGAATATGAACAACAAAAAAGAGTAGAATTGACCCCGCGGAATAAATCGAAGATGTTCATTTCACTGAATAAAGCAATCGGGTCGGCCCAAAAACCAGTCAAAATATTTTCTTTCCTTCAGAAATTTTCGATTGGGTGCAATGAATAGATAATTCTATACTATTTATTAATACACAGAATTATGCGTGGATTCCTGAAATGAAGCCCATGTTTCGCCGTAATTATTGTGGAAGCGGAGTTTTCAACTATGAAATGGTTAAATGGAAATGAGAGCAGAACACTTCACAGAAGGGTCCTTCGATTGCAAGGAGTACGTGAGAAGATTTCCAAAGGTGATACCCTAGCGAAGGAAAAAAAAAAGACGATGCAAAAGCGGCTAGAGCCGAGAATCCGATAGATTTGCCCGAAAGAGAGGCTTCAAGTTGAGAAAAAGGATGACTTGAAGCTGGAAAGTTAAGGAGAGGAAATGGCGAAAAACCTGAGTCACAGAGAAATGCCACCAAAAGACAGGAAAGATGGAGAAAATGAGAACGAAAAGTATAGTAATGAATCATGACACGAACAATCTAAAACGAAATTTGACGGTCGCTCTTTTTTAGACATCGCTGTGGCGAGCTCGTTTTGTTGGGGGCTGTTCGCCTGAAAATTCATTTTATAATTTAAGAAAACTATGGAATTGAGATAGATTTTTAAAACACCCGATTTTTTTCAAAGGAACTTATCGGAAGAGAATTTGAGGAAATCCAGCTTCAGTTCAATAATGAATTTTTGCCCAAACCCGATATTTTTGGATGAAACATTTCAGATAAAGCTTCTTTTCGAATATTATGATTGCCTATGTAAAAAAAAATAGATTGCTCTTTTTTTAACTCTCAAAATTTCTCAAAAAATTTTTTCAACTAAAAATTTTTGTGAAACCTGCCAAGGTTTTTTTGAAGAAAATTTATCTCGGTTTTCTAAACTGATTTTTCAATTTCTTTTCTCAAGCCTCAGTTTTGAACATTTTCTCACAAATTGTCCATGGATGCTCTACAATTCCAATACAGTTAAGATTTAAAAAAAACTGACGATTTCCACGAGAGCTGGAGGTTGTAGTTTGATTCCGAGAAAAGCAGTTCTTTCCGCCCAAAAATCGAACGACTTCTGTCACCAAAAACGGGTGCTCCTTGATCATTTGGTTCCACGTTTCGGACTGAAATGTGAAGATTTGAAATTTTAATTAATCCATCAAAAGCTACAGTCCTCTCTAACGTAACTTTTACATAAAAAAGCTAAAGGAATACATCTTCAACTTTTTTATTTCTTATTCTAAACGTCACCTAGACGTTAAAGAAGATATTTTCACGAAAAATGAACATTTTTTCTTTTAAATTCTAGGAAAAATCATAAAAATACGGACATTGGTGACCGAAGGGACATTGTCGACGATATAATTGATGGCTTCTCTCTTCAGATCCGGAGCACTGTACATATCCGCGTAGACGAGTTGTCGACAGGCCGATTCCACCGTGAATGTACTCCTGACAGCCTGAAACAAAAATATTGAGAAAGTCAAAGGGATATTCTGAAAAAGGATTCATTCTACCTAACCGGAAAATTGAAAAAAAAATCCCAGTGTTTCGCCACGATTTGAAACAGTCTGAACTGTCTGCGACTCTTTTTTTTTCATCGACTAGGTAATAGGCCTATAGAAATAGCTTCAAAACAGAAGAGTGTCGCAGAGAAATAAAAATGCTTCCGCGCATGCACTATAACATTTATTCACAGAAAAAGAGGCTTTTTAATATTCTTAATGCGAAACGGCTGCGTATTTGCTACTACATGAGTCCACTTAGAGAAAATTAAATCGCGAATTTTAACTTTGATCGCGATACATTTAGCCATTCTAATTGCGACCAGAGAGTATTATTTTCTTCAAAAATTTGATCTTTGAAAAAAACTTATTATTCAAGTTTAAACTCTACTTGGCTACGTTCACCCTTTTGATAAACTACACAGAGCTAGATTTTAGATATTTTCTTTGATTAAAAAAAAACGAACAACGTCGGCCATCTCCTTGAGGCCAGGAAGCTGGAATCGGTCGGCTGCAGCGAGGATTTCCAAACCATAAGAGGCCAGGTGCGGACTTCGGCCCGTGTACATGTACATCAGAAGTTCGTACATCACCTAGAAAACTTGAAATATCATACGAAAAAGACTCGGAGTCTCATAACTTTGATCCCACTAATATCTCTTTTGAATTCGACATCACGTTTAAAAGGATCAAAATATCGAGCTATTTTTGAATATTACCAAAAAGTTAAAAAGTTCTGAGATTAGAAAGCTTTCACTCATAAAAAACAAAAAATGTTTCGTTCCTTCTTCAAACATTTTCAAAAAAATAAAAAACCCAAAAGACTCAAAATATCAAGCAAACTACTACAAACAGTAACTATGCTCATTCTAACCAATTTCATAATTGATTTTTTTGTTTTGAAAACCTTACTCGAAAACTCTCAGTGTTACTAGAAGCTTTAGATCGAAAAAACCTCGTAATCGATGTCAGGAAGGACGACGCGACCTGTCTGCGCTTCTTCCGTGTGAGGCTCCAGCATTGCGGCAAAGACCGGAGATCGGGCGGCGATCACGATCTTCAAAATCATTTATTTATCAACTGGAACACCTCAGAAAAATGCCGGAGGAAGTGTGCTCTGTTAGGATATCACGCAACAAAAAAATGGAACCAAGTGCGTCAGCTCAAAGAACCACGCAGTGTAATAACATCAAAGCCAGTAAAATAACATTTTTAAGGAACAGATGTGATTTTTGTAAAATTTTTATGTCGCGTTTTTTTAAAGATTCACTGAACTGGAATCCTACAAAAGCCTGTATTTTTTTGATAGAAAAACGAGATTTCGTGCAATGTTCAAGGTAATTTCCGCGAAATTCTTCAAAAAAATAGGATTCTTTACTATTTCAAGTAAATTTTTATAGTTTTTTTCTTCAAAAAAAGACAATTAGAAGTATGATAATGATACTTAAAAGGTAAATTAAGTTTGATAAAAATAATAATCAATAAAGCTCTCAATCTTGTTCTAAAATGACGAAAAAAAAAAATAATTTTCTTGAACGAGACGAAAAAAGTCACCCTGTGTGTCGGGATCTCTCGGCCTCCGGCGATGATTGTGAAATCGGAATGTTTTCCGTCTCGGAACATCGGCTCCAGATCTTTGGCCACTTCGTCGGGCTTCGGCGGCGGAATCGGAATCGAAGTCAACTCGCTGTTCGACCTGAAGTTTAGTTCATCTGTTTGGAAATAAAAAGAGAAAATGGGCACTGAAAAGGTCTTGCAAATATATCTTAACTGTTCCACATGCACTTGAACCTTTTCCAACTTTTTCATACAGAGAAATATTTCAAAGAAAGAACCCGATTCACCTGGACTTCGTGACCGAATCAAAAGTGCACGTGATATTGAGGGTAAGTTGGAGTTCATCGGTCGGTTGAACATGGGAAATCAATAAATCACGGCGGATGTATTCAAAGTAGCCGTGAAGCTGAAAATAATGAAAATTGCAAAGTTTGAAACTAGCAAAAAGTAAAAATGAACCAGAAAGGTAAGATCGAACCGTTTTCAATGTGAAAAAAGCTCGTACATGACTTAGAAAGCTTCATCAAGTGAAATTAAAATGTTATGCCATGTCCAAAGTGAATCCGCAAAATCCGAAATCGCCTTCAGAGAAAAAGAAAGATAACTAAAATTTGGAGAGTCAGAGATAAATTTGCATTTCGCTGAAATTACATTGAGCACGGCATTAATTTTTTTTTTAATAGAGAATTCAATTTTTATTCCCCCTTAAAATATTGAACGCAAAAAAATTTTCTTGACGCCTGAAAGGTCATCTTTACACGGCGTCCCACGCCATTCAAGCGACGCAAAAAAAAAGAAATAACGCCACGCAGCGCAAAGACGCTCGCGTCATACAGAATTGTGAAAGGCTGGTTTATTTTTTGATATATATCGAGTTTTTTTTTTTGCAGAAACTGTGCAATAAGTAAACTATGGCTTCAGTTTGGCCTGAAATCAATAACTTACAGAAATTTCTTTTTTTGAGCGTCAATAAAAGCCTTCCTATTTTATCCGTGCCCATTATCTTCTAAATTCTGCCTAATAATTTCAGAAGATTTTTATCCCACAGTTAAACGACCTTTTTATCTCATTTTTTCCAAAAAAAAAAAAAGAAAAAACGATGACCAAAAACCTTATAAGGGAAAGTAACCTGCTGGGTGCCAGTATAAACTGTAGTCGTAGTTTCTTCATTTCGAGAGTTGAAAATCGTGAATTTGAATTTAGATTTGTAGTGAGGCGTCGCTGTGCTGTTGGTGAAACACTGAAAAGTTTGATTTAGAAAAAAAGCTGAAAATCGTGGCAAGCACCTGGAAAAAAGTAAAATCTTTGTTGGATTCTTTGTTCCCTTGAGGGTGCAGTCGAATCCGGAATGTTATCGTCGGATGGTCGGTGGAAGTTGAGGCGTTTGTCGTTTCTTGGTGTAACTGGAAACAGCAAAGTCAGATTGTTGCTTCGAAAAAGAGGCGCGAACCGCGCTTATGTCCAAAACTTTGACGCTCGTTTCAAGGTATCGACAATCGCACTGCGAAAATCCGCTGATTTTCCACAAATGTCTGGAAAAAACTCGAATTATTAGAAGAAGTGTTCAGTAATATAATAATATTGAATTCAAAATGTGGAAAAAAGTTGAATTTTTTGTATAGTCTGTTTCATTCTAAAAAAAACCTCTCATTTACATTTTTTTTTTGCGTAAAAATTACGGAAGATTGAAAATTTTCTACTTTTCAACACTTTCAATTTCTTTTTACTTTTTTGCGAAATTTTGCAAAATAATGAAAAAAAGTTTGAGAGACCAAGAAACGGAATTTTGAATAGAGAGCTGCTCGGAAAGTGCTTAAATTGCCTTGAAAACTATAGAAAACAAAAACAATTATAAAGAAATCCATAGATGAAATAAAAAATTCCCAAGTCTTACCTATGGTTGACGGTTCTAACTTCCGTAGTTGAAAAACTGTCGGCAGAACGTGCAGGGCCGAATTCTTCCATTCTGAAACCAAGAAATGACGAATATTATTAAAAAGAGCCTTGAAACGAAATGAGAGCCAGAATTCACGTGAAGATCGGCAAGAAAAGAGGAAAATTCGGTGGGGCGAGGCTGCGTGGCACGAGAGACGCAGAGAAACGTTCGATTTGTTTCAGAAAAAAAAAGTACAGGGCGGAGCCTACGCACAAAGCACATCCATCGCACCGACGAGGCAAAAAATAGCAGTCGAGTACATTTTTTAGGCGTGCGAAATGATATCAGAAGGGCATTAAGTCTGGTTTCAGAGTTTAAAAACATCGAAGTCCTTTTTTTTGAATAGATGAATTTGAAGACGCGTTTTCTACCTTTGAAGACCATTAAAGGCGTTTTGAAATAGAATGGGAAAAAAATTATCTTAAAATTTCTGAAAGGGAGTCGATGGAAAAAAGATGTTCTCATGCAAAATTTTTTCTATTCTTCGGAAAACCCTGAAACTTCCTTCAGAAGTCATCATTTTGCCCAATTTGCAGAAGAGTGAAAGGGAAAAAGAGTTCGAAGAACAGAGGAAATGAGAACGATGAGTGGGCGGCAAATCGATAATCGCCGCCAACCTGAGCCGATATAATGTATGTTGATCAAAGTTCATATCTTTTTTATAGTTTGTTTAACTTCTTTTTGAGACCCAGAATAGAGGCTCGTAAAAAGATAAATGATTTTTGTCTATTTGTTTTTTCGGTTAGAAATTCGAGCTTCAAAAAAAGTCGAGAGAACAGAAAATCAAAAACAAAACTTCCCCAATTTTCACTCAAAAAATTCCTCCCAGCTCTATATGGCGTTCATTAAAAACAGCAAAACAAGAGTGGCAGAAAATAATTTTGTTTTTACTAAACGCACCAAAAAAAGAGGAATGAATTTCGGGTTAGGAACCGCGGCCCAAAATTATTCCACAACAAGAAGCCAAACGACAAAAATATTTTCACCGCCGAAAAAAATAATTCAGAGATTTCGATTCCCCTTTGAACTGGTGCGACGAGTGATAACTGAAAGACTGTGTGATAAATGAAATCCGAGCGCAGTCATAAAAAACAACTGGTAGGAAAACAGTGGTGAACAGGTTCACTAAAGGGGTTTCGGGACACGCAAACAGGCACAGAAATGGAGGAAAACAAGTTCGAAGCCAGCTGTTTACAAGGAAGTCGCCGCGAATGCGAGCAATCTGACACACCGACCCAGATAACATGCGCTCGTCTGCGGCCAAAAACCGACGCTGACCAACGATTGTCCGACCACAAAACACAAATCGCCTAGACTCTTTCCAAAACCTCCCTTTTCCATCTCTTTTCAGGCTCATTCTTCAAAAGGAATGTTCGAGAGCAGAGATGGAAAGTCACTGAATTTACGACTTTCTGAATTTTTGGAATTTCTAGGGTGTATCAAATTTTTTGAAGATGCAGAAGAATTACTATTGAAATTTATCAAATCAATCTCAAAAAAGAACTGCGAAATAAAGAAAATAAAGAAAAACCCAAACGTCAGTGCGAAAATCCCTTATCGGTCACTTTTTTAATCATCCTCTTTCTGGCGCCTTCGAACACAAAGAACTCTTAATGACTCATATTTGTCGCTTCTCGTTGACATTAATTCAGCACTTTTCGAAAAGAACATAAAAAGCGTCTTTCTTAACGTTTATAGACACAAACCAGAACTGTGCTCTGGGCTGGCTATAGGTTTGCAACGCGGCCGCGATGCGATCGAACATTTTGCCACTTTTCGAACTTTTTTGTCTCAAAACTTACACATGGAAGGTTATTAGGGGTACCGAAAATCTGTTCTTGTGGGCCACTTCGGCCATAACGGCCGGCCCACGCACAGCTCCGATACAAACCAAAATGTAGTCTTACTACAAACTCCGAAGTAAACTACAATCGCAAGAAAAAACCTTCTTTATTCTTCTCGTTTATCTTTTCTCTTTTGGCAAAAAAGCTTCAAAAGAGCTTTTAGTCACCAGAAAATGAAACATGTTACGTAATTTTTGAAGGAAAGAGAAGGTCGAGAGAAAATAAACCCATTTTCTCGTGGCTACAAAGTTCTCAATCGGAAACCACCTCTGCAACGTTGAAACTTTGCAAATTGAAACTAGAGCAAAAGTTTTTTCCATCTTTTCGCTTCGTTCAATTTTTATTGTGGACACAGATCCATTTGAAAACATGCAAAATACTTTGGTAGAGAAAACTAACTTCACATCATTTCTTTTTCATAACTTTACTCTCGCCGTACGCAGAATCACTTGAAAAGTCGGGATTTCTCAAGAAAGCCATTAGAAGCCAAGGAAATATCTATGAAGAAAAATCAGAAAAAAAAAATGGTGATTATCTGTCTTGGTTGGTATTTAATGGGCCGAGGTAAATCCAATTTTCAACATTGATTAGTAGAAAATGGTTCGCAAAACGAAAACTCTATCTGCTGCACGTAAAACGACCTTCAGAGTCAACTAAAACCGTTCAGTCATAACTCGCCGCTGAGGACGAATGACTCTAGTGCAAGCATAAAAGCGGAAGTTTCAGCAGAACAAACGGGAGAGCGCAGCAAAGATCTAGGGGAAATTCGTTTCTGAGTAAAAGGCTAAAAGTCAAAAATCATTTGCTTTTGCAGCAAAAAAGACTGGAAAAGTTCCATTTACGACTGAAACGAAAAAAATTAAGTCTTGGACATTTTACCACTGAAACAAGAAACCAAATACCAAGGTTCCAAAAAGAATAAACAACCTTAAATTTGATCCAGTTGGACGCAAAAAACACGATAAACGAACAGTTTAAAAAAAATTAGTCCGTTTTGACGCATTCAACAACGAAACTGATATGTTCTTTATCGCAATGTTGCGCAATATCGCCGACTGAAAGAGAAAATGGTGTCAAAAGGTTAAATTAGCCAAAAAAAATTGAGAAAAAAGTGGTGTTACAAAGTTCAATCGAGAACAAGAGATATGACGGTCTTTCGCTTTTCGACCCCATGGCTATCACGCGGGAATATTCGCGCCGTTAAGATCGGTTCTTCAAACAAACCGCGACCAGAGACCGAAAGGGCGTCGACGGCTCTTGCCCACAGCCCGTTGCGCAAACTTACAAAACTCGTTCGAAGAAGATTAAGAAACACGGAGAAGAGCGAGAAGAAGTTCGGAATATTACGGGAATAATGAAATCAAGAACGATTTGCACCGAAGCTTCACTTCGAGCTCAAAAAGGCGAGAGAAAGCTTGAACTCAACCAAGCCGTGGCAAAACAATGCAAACTGGATAAACTGGAAAGTCCTTGCCTCTAACAAGATGAGAAGACGTGGTCCGACGTAAATATCGGGTGCTTTTGCCCAAAAACCGAAATATTGACAACTTTCTGCGTGTCACTCCACTTTGGCAATGACTAAAAATATTGTGCAGTCAGAATATTTACAAACAGTGGAAACATGCCAACTCGCACAAATATTTTGTAGGTTTTGGAGCAAAGTCGTAAACAAGGCGCGTGAAAAAAGTGTTTGTCAAAACTGAGGATTGAAAACAAAAGGATGAGAGGATCTCCAAGGACAAGTCAACTTAATTTCGTAAGAAGTAGAGAAATATGTTTTTGAAACAAATCATAAATAGATCAAATGAACAGAAAAACAGCTGTTCGTTCATTTTGAAACACAGAAACAGCAAAAAAACGTTATGCAATTGGTTGAATATTCTGTCAGCTTAAACTTTTTTTTAATCGAAAGAATTCGATTAGAATAAATTCAAGCATAAAGCTGCAAAAATAAGATATATTCACCACGCAAAACTTTGCAACATGGTCTCATAAATCTTACAACAAGAAAAAAAAAACAAAAAGTGTGTTGAAGCAAATATTTTCGCACTTTGCGTCAACAAGGGCATCAAAAAGGATTGCCACATTCGGCACAGCCTCAATATTTTTCATCCAACGCTTGTTTTCACGAGTCGGTCAAAACACAGGACTCTGAACGTTAAAAGAACTTGTCTTGAATGTCAAGAAAAAAAAAACAGCCCATGCGTCGTTTTTTTTTCCGTGAAGCTGAGTCGGCCAGGTGAAAAATATTTTCAATAACATGTGAGAATAACGAAAGGCAAAAGATATGCTTTTTTCAAACTTAAGATCAGTGAGGTCAGTTTCCACTACTAATTGTCTAACAAGCTTAGCAATTTTTTTCCGACAATCCAAAAATCACATGCCTTTTTTTAGAGCTTCTTTTAGTCTAAAAGATCAAAGATTTTTAACCGAAAATGTTATCTCCATCCCAAACTAATCAATAAGAGGAGTGATCAGCTTGAAAATATTATGGTCCGACGGCCAGAAAAAGGCGGAAAAAAAACAGGAGCCTGGAATAGTTAGGCGAGCCTGGGAAACAATCAAAACAAGGACCGAGCAAAATATTCGAGTTCTTTTTTTCGACTTGCAAAACATTTCACGGAGAGACACGGAAAACAAGGACTGGCCACATAATGATAGCGAATTTGTGTGGCTCGCCAAAAACCACAATATTTTTCCGTTTTCGAGGATAAATCGCCAGGAAATTTGGAAAAGAACTCTGGCGTTAAGTCTTCAAAAAAATATTTGTTTGGCACTAATCGCAGAGTTGAGAGTTATATATGAAATCGAAAAATTGTGGAAATGATTTACAGAGTGAAGCGATAAATCAAGAGAAAAAGACTGCGGATTCGGTCGAAACGTGTGTTCCCACTGAACCCAGCACTTTTGGATCCGCCCATTTTTTTGATGTTCTTTTTCTGACGCCTACCCTTTTCACGGTTTCTCCTCTTGGAAGAAATATTTTCGACTTCTTTTTTTTTCCAAGCATACAGGTTTTGGAAAAAAAAAAATGAAAATTGACTTCGTTGAAAAGTTTATATTCTACAAAAAAAAACCACCACGGATAGTCAAAAAGTATATTTTCAGACCTTAAAATTGATTATTATTTGTTTTGAAAAACCATAGAAGTACTGAGAAAAGTGTAAAAATTTTGACGGAAACAA